CCAGTCATTCCATTCCGGCTCCAGAAAAAATTCATGGCCGTCAAGCGCCGCGTCGATTCCCAGACTCCTCTATTTTAGGTGAGTTACTCGACAGCACCAAAGCACCGTCATCGGCAAGTCTGGTTGGTCCAATTGCTGCGAGCTTTTGTTTACACCTGGACCTGTTTATCTCTATTTTGGCTCGTGTGTGAATCGCTTACGAACCCGGCCCTCGTACGGCCTCTCTTTCGCTGCTGGCCAGTGGTTCATCACTTTCTCCGTCTCATGAACATCATGGCTCGTCGTCACGCCGGCCAAACACCCCCTCTCAGTCTCTTCGCGCCTTCTCTCTATGCTTCTTCCGGTCTCCGAGTCCCTGTCATGTACATGGTCCAGTACATACATAATACATGAGGGCGTACATAGACTGGCAGGCATCGTGGTAGCATGACAGGTGGGTATGCATGTACGTGGGGATGTATCGTTATTTTTTTTTTTTACTGTTTTCCCAGTTCTACCCAGTCTAGAACACCGTTTCCAGCAGCCAGATATTACTTCTTCGAGTTGATTGCAGTTGCATTAGTGGCCGCCAAAACGCATCTGCAGAAGACAATTCGCTTGCTCTCTGCTGTCCCCAACATTGGAACCAGGCACATCCTTCCCAGCCCTTCTCCGAGAGTTTCGGGCGAGGAAACGTGACTTGTAGCCGATCCAGTGGACAGTTACGCATATTTTCTGGTCTCGCCATTTCGTCGTCACAGTCCGTAGACGGCGTGGGTTGGCCGCAGAAATGGTTCCAGTTCCTTACCATTTTGCCACTTCATTATGCCTGCCTCTGCATATACTGCGTCTTTACCCAGCAGGCCCCATTGTCGGACAGGGGAGACGGAGCACAGAGTGAAGAAGAGGGAAAGAAGCAAAAAAAAAAAAAAAAAAAAACCTCGCACGGGGACGCGGTACCGCATTCTGCCAAAAGCATATGGCCAGACTTATCAAGATGATCGTCTATGGGATGCATTACCCCATGTGTGTTGCGGTGGAGGTGCCTAGTTAGTCTCTTCGGTTTTATCAACTGGCAACGACACGCGCCAACACATCAAGATGGGTCACACTCTAGAGAGCCGCATCTTTACGTGCATCTATCGAACTTGTCCCTTCCCTTCCCGCCGCCGTCTCTCGGTCCTGTTTTCTTTGATTCCGTCTTTAGATATCCCTGCCCCACACTAACAACACATTTCTGCAATAAAGCACACATGTCTCGCCATCGATGGATCATCTTTCTGCACCGCAGCCCTGAATACGCAGCCTAACCTCCTTCTTCAACACCACATCACACCTCCGCCTCGTTGTACAGACCCATCACCAAGTGCTGCCTTACCGGTATTGAGGTTCTCTACCCTCCTCAACCCTCCCCACGGTTGGGCTCGACTGCATACTTCCAAGGGGTCCGGATCATCATCCCGCGCTGTTCTGGGCGTTTACCACGACTTGCCGGTCGATACCCGCGGGGTCGCTTTCCTACTCTGAACTCTAATCAAAACCTGCCATTATCGAAGCCATTGGCACAAGTCAACAATATGGGAGGCTTCTACATGCAATACCTCGAGAGTAAGTCATTCAATTCGTCCCGACCGATGATTCCGTCGTCGTCAATTGCACCGCCCAGAAACCATTTTCATGATGTGTGGTGGGGGAGTTCGTCTTACATGTGTCAACCCCCTGCATCATGGAAATCTTGCAGGCGGCCATCAGGTCCCTGTCGCCTTGACAAAATGCCATGATTTGCAGCCCCGGGTTCCTGACATGCGTTTCCGTGGAAAATGTCCGACCTGGGGCGTTCATCGTTGGGCTGTCATGCATATGTCCTTCGATCTGCTTCGCGTCACCAGCGCTGCAGCTGCTATGCATCATCATTAGATTGGCGGCCGACAGGAGATTTTCTTTCCCAGGATCAGGAGCTAACCGGAGTTCTCATAGGTCTGTGCCGACGAAGAGGGTGGCGAGATCCTTCATACGAATGCTACCGGGACTCTAGTGGCTACACATGCCTGGTCTTGGTCAACGGGCGCGAGTACCAGACGGATCTTGCCTACGAATCGGACGGTCTGGCCCAGGAGAACGCGGCCATGAGAGCGTTCATGGTGTGCCGCAACTTTTCCGTCAATGGGGGCATGCTCGCCCGTAACGGGATCGTACAGGGCCTTCCGGCCAATGATACCGGCAGGCGAAGCAAGAAGTCTCGCCACAGCTCGTCTGCTGGCCACAGAGAAAGCCACCACCACCATCGATCCGGACATCACTCGAGCAGCAGCTCAACGGCTTCTTTCGATTGAGGGAGAGTCCAACTGGTACTCCTCCCTGGAAGTACCGAATAGCCTTGCTTTTTTCCCCTGCTGGATGGACCCAGCGCGAGACACACATACAGATCACACACAGACGAGGCGCAGGTGCGAACTGAGATATACAAGCGGCGAAGCTTCACAGCTTATTCCTCCGGGTACATTCTGCGAAAAAATACCCAACCGGGGGGTGTTATCACCCATGGAGAGAGCGGGGAGACCAAAAATTGCATACATCGACGACTTGACGACTTGACGAATGACGAAACGACTTCTAATGAGACACACCGGCGGCTCTCTCGACTTGTTTTGCTGTGGTTTTCCGGTTCCCGAGTTTTGCCTGTTCTATTCTATCCCATAAAAGATTTGATGAATTCCACTATTTCCGGCCGGGATTTACAGAACCAGGCCGGTTGTTATGATACGGGCTCTCTCGGAGGCAACTCTGTTGGACCGGAAACTTATACGATTCCATCATTGCGGGAAGGGATTTCTCCGCTCTACATGCCATTGGGACGTGGCGGTGGACTTGGGGTGTTTTCTATTTGCGGTTTAGACGCATCACTCTTGCATTTGCAAATGACGAGCGACGGAGGGAAAAGGCACTTGGCCCGTGGCTTCTACTTGTCTACCACATTATTTCCCCAAAGCCTCACTCCTTTTCAGTTGCCCTGGCACACACAAACACACACACACAACCCAATCCCCTATGTGCCAGTCATATGAGAAAGCAGTGGAGGGAGCCAAATCTAATAGACTAGTTGGTGCTATTGGTGTTTACGACGAGATTCTGGAATGACGACGGCGACAGTGGTGGCGATTACTTACTAGGTTCACAACTTACGTTGGCACCTGGCAGTCCTCGGGGAGACCTCTTCAATTAGCACCAACTGGGTGGCATCGTATCGAGACCTGGGGGCTTATACTGGGAAATGGGAAGACCTTTGATTGGAAATTCTATATTCTCTTTGCCCCGTTCTGGAAGGCGGAAGACGATTATGATGACGAAGCTTATGAAAGAATCAAATCTTAACGACACACTCAAATAGGACAAACCAATACAACCCATCCACACATTCTCCAAGCATGTGCTTCCTTATCAAGAGAGGAGGGAAGGAGTGAGTGCTCTTGCTGTTTTTCATGTGAAATGCCGCCTTTGGATTAGAGTTTGTCGCCGGTGTGTACCGGCCAGTAGTTGCTTGACAAGCGGCGAGGAGGTGAGGTGAGGTCCGAACTGATCGATAAGCTAACTGCTGGGTTTAAAAAGGCCCGGTCGATATCTAAATTGATTCTAAAAAAAGATGCAGCCACAGGCCACACCCGCTGATCCCCGGATTAACGTGATCTTCCCTATCCCAGCAAGCGTTGAACTGCCAGTACTGAAGGTTAGCATCAAACGTTGATGATTGGGGAATATCGGAGTTGTCGAGTGCACATTAGTCTGCACTCTACTTAATCTGCAAGGAAGTTGAGATGTGTCCAGAATTTTGTTCTGGGTACGAAGTAATTAACGCATAACACATCCTTCCTGATCCCGCCCTGTCCAATCGAGGACAAACGTGGATCGTGCTCTTTTCCACCAAGCTCCGTTCTTCACGTTGAAACATGCACGAATTTCAACACGACTTCCCTTCTATCGAGAGCAACAAAGTGTACGTAGTTGCCCCTTGGAAGTTATACACCTCATTGCTCTGCCTCACGGTACTACGTCATGGTAGTCAGCCTCGAATTGAGGTTTTGCCATTGTGGACCGCTGGTCAACAAACGGGGTCGCAGGCTTGAGGTCGTACAGTGGCTTTGCGTAAGCTCGTTTGACGTTCGCCATAGCCCCCACAGTTGGCACCCGTGGTCTTGACACCTCGGGGACTCATGGGAAACAAATCGGGAGACTCAGATATGACAAAGAGACAAGATTTCGTACCAGCCATGGAAGGCTCCCATTCTCGTGAGTCAGGATATCCAAGAGCGCAACACGAAGTCTGCTGGCGAAGTCAGCACCACGACAAGACTCGGCTGAGAAGATTCTGCACCGTGAAGTCGAGTCGTGCGTCCTCAACGCTGCCAACCGACAATCCGACAATCGATTTGTTCCCGTCACTTCGGCGCAGCCCCCCATGGCCAGGTTCAGACAGGGATTATGGTTGCTGCTGACCACCTACCTTCCAGTCTGCTAATACAAGAAAACTCGAAATGGCAATGCAATTTGACGTGCGGTGCTTACCGGAGCAGCAGCTCAATTGAGTTTTTCATTCCTGGCTCAACGCTACATCTGACAAAGCGGATGTATGCAATCAATGTACTTCCTGACCCAAAGGGAGCCCCAGGGCAGCAAGATAGAGAAGACGTGACATGGCGACCAATTTCGCCTGGGCGATTGCAGGAGATTGTGGCTCGTGAGGCATTGGCTTATCTGATTGGCCGAACCAGAAGTGCCCCTTTCCTTGAGCTGCAAATTGGGAAAAACTGGGAAAGTGACCCAGGCTGGCGAAGTCGCGGGTGCGTGCTGCGAAGCTGCATTGTTGCGGCCCTGCTGTGGAAATCATTAATTAGCGGGACGGGTGACATGAGGGAAAACCGACCTGTCTTCATCTCCTCTGCCCATCTTTGAAACATCGTAATATCTGAAAGCCCGGCTGATCTCCCGACTTTCGCGATACTTTTACTCGTATACAAACCCGTCGCCGAACTCTCGTTTTTTTCTTTCTATTCTTTCGCACCTCTGGATCTTTCTTGCGCCGACGAGACCACCTGCAGCAGTCCGAGCTTGACTTTCCAGCCTGTCTGCGTTAAACCAACCCCTTTGCGACCCTTGCGACCACACCAGATCTCCGCGTTCAATCCACTTACGAATCGGCGAAACGCAACACCTTCTCCACCACACCACACATCATCAACGAGTCCATCTCTCTCGAGAACACCGGCGACTTTACTTCTCGTCGTTCTTCGTACACTCGCTACATCACTCGTTCACATTTTTTACAACCGAACCTACCGCCATCATGAAGGGTAAGTGCAGCCTGCTCTGCGTCGTCCGCTGGACGGCCAGCCCTGCACCCTCGTGAGCTTCCACTGACTCGACCTCCCGACAGCTCTTATTCTCGTCGGCGGTTTTGGCACACGCCTTCGTCCTCTCGTACGTACAGCTTTTGGCGGCATCGACGAAGATGCGCGCAACACGCCGGGCGCAATGTCCAACGCTGACGAATTTGCTCATATTAGACCCTGACTCTGCCCAAGCCGCTGGTCGAGTTTGCGAACAAGCCTATGATCGTCCATCAGATCGAGGCCCTCGCTGCCGCTGGTGTAACCGACATCGTGCTCGCTGTCAACTACCGACCCGAGATCATGGAGAAGGCACTTGCCGAGGTTAGTATCTCCCACCACCGACCGGCTCCCACTTCTGCAACCTGTTGCTCACCCTTCGCACCTTCAGTACTCCGAGAAGTTCGGCGTCAACATTGTCATGTCGGTCGAATCTGAGCCCCTAGGGACCGCTGGCCCTCTGAAGCTCGCCGAAGAGATCCTGAGCAAGGACGACACGCCCTTCTTTGTTCTCAACTCAGACGTCACCTGCGAGTTCCCCTTCAAGCAGCTGGCCGAGTTCCACAAGGCCCACGGTGACGAGGGTACCATTGTGGTGACCAAGGTCGAGGAGCCCTCCAAGTACGGTGTCGTAGTCCACAAGCCCAACCACGCCTCGCGCATCGACCGTTTCGTCGAGAAGCCCGTCGAATTCGTCGGCAACCGCATCAATGCCGGTCTCTACATCCTCAATACGTCGGTCCTCAGCCGCATTGAGAAGAACCGCCCCACCTCCATCGAGCAGGAGACATTCCCTGCTATTGTTCGCGAAGGTCAGCTGCACTCCTTTGACCTGGAAGGCTTCTGGATGGATATCGGTCAACCCAAGGACTTCCTGACGGGCACCTGCCTGTACCTCTCTTCCCTGGCCAAGAATTCGCCTAAGCAGCTTGCCTCGCCCTCGGAGAGCTTCGTACACGGCGGTAATGTCATGATTGACCCCTCGGCCAAGATTGGTAAGAACTGCCGCATCGGCCCCAATGTGGTTATTGGCAAGGGCGTCGTGATTGGAGATGGTGTCCGTCTGCAGCGATGCACTCTCCTCCCCGGCTCCAAGGTCAAGGACCACGCATGGGTCAAGAGCACCATTGTGGGCTGGAACAGCTCCGTCGGCAAGTGGGCTCGTCTCGAGAACGTCACGGTCCTTGGTGACGATGTTACCATTGGTGACGAGATCTACGTGAACGGTGGCAGCGTTCTGCCTCACAAGAGCATCAAGGCCAATGTCGAGATTCCCGCCATCATTATGTAGGCCAGGCCAGCCCAGGCCTAGCTGCAAGATGGCAATGCATTCGCGTTTCTTTGACACAACACTTGTCCAATGTATATTCTGGCACATCCCATTTCTCCCCCCCCCCTTTTACCATATCGTAATACGTTTTCGACCGGACGAAAAAGCACTTCTCAACTTCTTGTTCCGTTACCGACTATGATTGAGGCAGACAGGCGTTTTCAGGACTGAGGGTTTGGTGACAGGTTGGGGGTCATGCTGAACACGGAGACATGTTTTCCCCCCCCTTGCTCCACACTACGAACCCATGAGATACCAAGAAATCTAGAGGCCCGCCTCTCGTATGAGGGAGGCAAAGAGCTTAGAGTTGATGAACCCTCAAAAAAGTTGGCGTGTGGCATTTAGCGAAACGAATTGGTTCTTTTTGGCTGGCATTGCATTGCATGGCATTGGCTGGCGTAGGGCTCAGTGGACGTGTGACGTTGTCTGGAACTCGACCCAATGTTTGACGAACGTTCGGAACGGCATTGAGGGGTAGGGCTGGTGCGAGAGAACAGAGCATGTGTCGTGGTTTGGAGTCACTTGTCCATGTGTCTGAGAGGAATTATCTCGTCTGTGCCACATGAGTGAAGCCTTGCCCCTCAAGAGAGAGAGATCATAGAGGATAGGGCACGGAAGTATCGGTTGTACTATAGTGGCTGCATAGCGAGCAATGCAAGAATAGCATTGGTCGACTTTCGTCGTTTGAGGTCAACTTCGGACGGACGGTGGTGGTTACTAAGGGATTACTCGACAACTCGAGCCAACTTTGACCAATATTGAGATGCAACCCTTTTCAGATGAGTCGGAACTTTTGAGCAAATGCCTTGACACCAGTTGAATGTGCCGACAACTCGGGGGGGTACTTCGCCACATTGACTAAAACTGAGGTGAGCCTTTCAGTATTTCTTTACATACTACTTACTAGTTGAATGTATCGAATGTCTACAGTGGGCTGTTACTCGATACGTCGACGTCGGAGGGGTGTGTGTTGAGCATCTTGGCCACATGTGCACACCAAATGATTCGGTAGATTAAAGTAAGGTATTAGTATGCAGTTCCATTAATGCCTACTAATACACGAAGTACTCCTACTCTAGCATAGGGGCGGGGGGATATCTTTCCAGCCCGCGATATATGTACGTGTATGTTCAGCCGAGTCGACGGCACGCACCTTCTCCGACATTACACCACCTTAGCCGACTCCTCGTCTTTTTGACCGAGTTCGATGGCACTGTCCTCTCGAACAAGCTTGGACAGTTCCGCCTCCTCTTCCTCGTCGTGATGTTCCTGAGTCACCCATCCACGACTCATCTCCACGGCTCTCTCCCAACACGTGTACATTCTGGCGACCGTCTTCTTGTCCATTTGCGGCTCGAAGGTGCACCTGCCTTTCTTTTTCCGCATCATGGAGGATATCTCGTCTAAGCTGTTCCAGCCGCCGTCGTCGATGGCCAGGCCGGCCGCGATAGCGGCGCCGAGCGCTGTTGTTTCGCGCATGGCGGGCCTCTCCACCATGATATTGGTGAGGTCGGCCTGTGTTTGCATGGTGAGGTCAGAGTTGGACATGCCGCCATCCACCGCCAGGGACTCGAGACTGTGGCCTGAGTCCTTGGCCATGGCATCAAGAATTGCGCGCGTTTGGAAGCATGTAGCTTCGAGGGTTGCGCGCGCGATGTGGCCCCTGTTGGTGTGTTGTGTCAAACCGACTACAAGAAATGTTAGCTGCTATTCTTCAGAGGCGAGGTGAGGAGAGAAAACGTACACAATGTGCCCTTCGCATCGTCGATCCAGTAAGGGGCGAAGAGACCGCTGAAGGCGGTGACAAAATACACTCCACCGTTGTCCTTAACGCTCTCGGCCAGTGCGGTGACCCTGGTTGAGTCGCGCTCAAACCCCAAGTTGTTCATCAAGAACTTGACACCCGATCCAGCGACCGCAATACTGCCTTCCAGTGCGTACACCGGCTCGGTACCCGGACCGAAATCATATGCAATAGTAGCCAACAGACCGTACTGGGAGATGACGGGCTTAGTTCCGACGTTGTACAGCAGGAAACACCCTGTGCCATAGGTATTTTTGGCCTGACCAGCGCTGAAGCCACACTGCCCGACCAGCGCACTAGACTGGTCGCCCAAGCAGCCCGCAATCCTGACACCAGCTAGAGCACCACGGCCCAAAGTACCGTAGGCTTCAGAGCAACTTGAAGGCACGATCTTGGGGAGGGCGACCTTCCGGGGGTCAATGCCAAAAAAGTCCAGGAGCTCGTCGTCGTATTTCAGCGTCCGCAGGTTCATGAACATGGTCCGGCTGGCGTTGGTGCTGTCTGTGACGTGGATGTTCTTCTCCTTGCCGTTGAGTTGGTAAATCAGCCAGGTGTCAACGGTGCCAAAAGCCAGCCGTCCTTCGGCATAAGCCTGACCCACGGCTTCATTGTTGCGGATCAGCCAGAGGAGCTTCACGCTCGAGGGATATGTGCTGAGGGGTAGACCGCACATGTCGAGAAGCTTGTCGGAGTGGGGACGAGCCTTGAGCTCGCGGACGATGTTACTCGTGCGAGTGTCGGGCCACACGACGGCATTGCAAAGCGGCTCGCCCGTGTACTTGTCCCAGACCACAATTGTTTCTCTTTGATTTGTGAGGCCGATGGCTTTGATCTGGGATTTGGAGTAGCCTTTGGAGATGAACTGCTCCATCGCCTTTTCTATACATTCTTCAACGGATCCGACGAGATCCATGGGGTCGTGTTCGTGCCATCTGTTGATAGCTTGTGGTCAGCTCACACATGCGTGGGTACAAGAGGGTGGGAGGCTACTGACCCTGACTCCGGGTAGTGGTTATCGAACTCGATTTGGTGACTTGCGACTGGTTCCGCTTCGCTGTCGAAGATGATGAAGCGAGAAGAGGTTGTGCCTTGATCGATGCTGCCTATGAACCACTCGCCTTGGGATTCTGTGGCAGCCGTGTATTTGTCCGTACGGGAGCGCTTGCACTCGCGGAACTCGTAATTTTCACCCATTGTGGTGGTCGTGTTAGACGTGGAGGAGGATGTGGTGGTAATGGCGCGCTGCTCCCCAGTGTGAGGTGTGACCGCCACAGGACGGTTCGGTGTGCGGGCAGGGCTGCCTGCTTCGAGCACTCCGGCAAGATGGATAGGCGGATGAGGAGAGTCAGAGTGCTCGACGGACAGCGTGGCTATGTCCTAGCTTTCTGGACGGTGTCCCTGGGTGCTGACGACAGCGGCCGAGGGGAAGCGGGCCACGGAGTTCTTGGGCGGTCTCGGCGTGTTGATCAGGGGGGTTACGATTACTTTGGTAGTGTGGTGATAGTGTTTGCGACTACTAGGGAATCTACAAAGTCTACTAGATGGCGTTGGCGATGGCGATGGCGAGGCTGGACTTGCAAGGAGGCAGTTTTTGGGAGGCAGAGGTGAGGTTGAGAGTGAGTTGGCGAAAACAAGGACAGGAGTAGAGCCGCCAAGGGTATTACACAGAGAGCGACGAGTGCAGGCCGAGAAGATGGAGGGGAGGGAGGACGGCATTTTCTGTCGACGATTTGGGGTGGTCGCGAGCTATTCAACCGATCTGCGGATGGTCGGTAGGAGTTCTTGGGTCAAGGTTGTGCAGGGGTGCGGCTAGGCTTGCTAGGACTAGGTGCAGAGCGGTCATGCGGTGCGCTGCTCCAAACTCCCATCCGTCCCCGCAACGTCACGACTCCATTCCAAGCAAGCACGGATGGGCAAATTGCGCTTGCCTCGTGATTGCTGGAAGATTTGTGGGGAGTTATCTCGTGTTGCTCAGATGCTGATTTCCCTTTTCTCGTAGTGATGGGTAAGTCTCTCCAATGGCCCGTGGGGTGAGCTTCAGCGGTAGCAAAGTCCCCATTGGCCGGCGCTGTACATTTCGGGAAACGGCTAAGAGCCAGTCCTCAAGTCCAATTGGCCGCGATACTCGCACCAAGTCCGGCACGCAATGGGGACTTGGCAGCGCTGTTGTCGTCTGGCCTTAGTGAGATAATGCGGGGTAGTCTGGGCGCAAGAATGGGCCCCATTCATTGGATTCTTGGGGCTTCTGGACGCGTCTGGACGCATGTGAATACTTTGGTAAATGTGATAGAACTCTCCTTACGCTGGCCGAGGGAATCTGGCCCATATGCAAACCGTTTCGCCTCGAAGGAACAGCCTGGGAACATAACCTCGGGTCAATCTTCGGAAAAGTCGTCGACGTTGGGGCCAAGTGAGCAGCCGAGCGCATCCATCTGTTCCATCTGTCCACATGTCAGTCAGATGGCGCACCAGCTCCCGTCCCTCGCTGGCAGCCACCATCGGAGGTTCTTGGCCGGCCTATTTGATTAGTTCAGCCTCAGCCATGTCGACATTTTCGTCTTTTTACTATGGGGAAGCGGGTTTGAATCCCATATCAGACTGACGGTGTAGTATTTGCCTCCGAGTTGCACCGAAATAACGAGCTCGACAAGTCACACTTTCCAGGTCAATAGGACGCTTGGGGCTGTGCATTGAAGTGGATGATGTTCCCCGTCAGCATGGAGTATTTTGCTCTCCAGCTGACCGCAGAGTCCACAGCGGAGTTTCCGGATTCTGGGGCTATAACCAGCGCCAAGAATATAAGCTTGGCAAGCGTATAACTACGTTAGAGACCCGGCCCGACCGACGCAATACCATATCATGACAACACGGCATCGAGACAGACAATATCGCTTGCACCGCCGTACTGAACAACTGTCTCTACAAACGATCGCACATCAGTATGATGAAACCGCCGCGTTTGCACCGCCGCCCCGGGGCGCTATGAGCAATTATGCGGCACGCCCTATCCATCGATGTTGACCCGCAAAATGATGAACCGTTTCAAAACTTGAAGGCCACAAATGACACACGAACCTAAACTCACGATAGTTGCCACCTCCCGTCAGTCAACCGTATCCCCCCCTCCCCTTCACGTTTAGAATTTCCAAGGGACTGGCCCCTTTTCGAGTAGAAGTAATTTCACGATGTTTGAACCGCTGACCCATTGTGGGTCTAGATAATTTCTTGTTTAAGACTGGATGAATACTGACAACAACATAGAGTCATTTGACAATGCTGAACAAGCTAGGGGCAGACAGGAAAACGGCGCATCCAGGTAGAATAACCAAGTTATGCCTGTCTACTGCGCGGGAACATCAGGCTTTCCCACATTATTCCAAGTTTGGTGTGCTGCGTCTCTTGTCCTTCCTTGCCGGGGAGCAGTGTCCATGTTTACACAATACCACCATCCCGACTTACCTCACGCCGACCCGACAACTATAAATCAACTGGAAATAGCATTTGCGGCACCGGACCCACGCTGATCGATAGCCATAAGGGGGAAGCTCATGCGTGCCCAACCCTCAACCCATTGAAGAACAAACAAACAAACGCTGCCCAATACGCGCGAAAGGGGGTCTCCATCGCCAGCAATGACTCAAATGGCCGTGCTTGGTGAACCCACACGTCCTAAATTTGTCGCTCCAAATTTTGCACAATGGCTATTACGGTTCGAGTCGCCGCTACTCCAGCTGTTTACCCTGTTTTCCTCCAGCGCAGCACAAGTATAGTAGCCTGCGAAACGCCGTTGTGGAAGACTAGGAACGCTGACGGCCAAGAATCTTGCAAAAGTCAAACGGGTGAAAGTGCACAGAGGGAAAATAACCGTATTGCGGACACCCTAGCACAGAACGAACAACGTTTAGTCAGCGGAGGATCACTGAGTACCGGTTGCTGGTCGCTTTGATTGAGACTTTGGTCTGGCAATTGACGTAAACTCTGCTATTCATACTGGACTCGTCCAAACCGAACATCGTGACGGCCGAGGGTTTAGTTACGTCTGGGTCTGGGCAGCTGGATGCTCCACTTGCTAGCATTGTGTTGAGGGGCAAAAGATATATTCAGAGCAGCTCTTGTGCATTAGTCCTGTGGAAGACTCTACTGTGCATACATCCGCATACTGTCAACCTTGCGGTTGCAATAGAACCGTAGGCGTTGAAAACCATTCATTTGGGTGACGAGTGTTTGGTTCAAGGCCAGGGTCGCATGGCTCTGAACCATGCGCATCCATTCCCGCAGCATGCAAACACCCAGTAAAAAGCTACGACAGTCCGGGTCAGACTTGGGCATCGGCCCGGGAAGAACAGCGTCAGTGGCTTTATTTTATTCTCAGCGGGCCCTTCATGTTGTTCCGACAAAATAAGCTGGTCGAGAAATGGTAAATGATACATTGTCGTCAATGGCATTTTCATGGGAGATAGAGAACCACCTAGCCCCTTCGCATGCGGAAACTGGTATCCGGCTATCATTATCGTGACTGCTCACAATGCGTTGCAGACCGGCTAGAGGGGGCATCAAGTTTCTTCCTGAGGCGCAGCAGAGGACAGCTGCATCAGAGGCAAAACTTGCGAATTAAAGATGGGCCATGACGTAAATACTGACTGGTCTGCAGGAATGAGAACCCACTCGCTTCCAGACTGAACAAGAACTCGGCGATTAGAAGACTCCAGGTACAATTGCATACCATGTTGCGTTACCTTATGGACCAAAACCCAATCATGGGAGATACACGTTCAGCCCAGCCCGCCGGCCAGTTAGGAACTGTCCAATAAGGGCCGAGGCTTTGAAGATGTCGAGGTGGTGTCTTAGCACTAGCATACAAGAAAAACGATTTCATCAGCGTGTTAATAAAGGGGAACAGGCATAATGAGAACCTGCATCATAACACAAATAGGACAAAGTACCAAACATCAATTAAAGTGCCAGTGTATGGCGTCTAGGGTCAAGGCATATATCCAGGCTCGAGAATTCTACATTCGAAGTTGAGGTTCCTTTCTGCTTTTGCTCTAAGCCGTTGAGTATGGACGAGGCTACAGGTTGGGGCACCTTCCAACTCAACGGCAAAATGAACGGCACACTTGGCTGAGGCTATTAAGTTGTGCCAGATCTACTGCAGTGGAACATCAGGCTATCCCATATCATTACAACCTTAGTGCGCCGTTTAGTCCGTCACCTCCTTGCCTTCTTTGCAACCCCTAAACTGGCTCGGTTAATATTTCCATAACCCAGCCTGTTGAGATCTAGAGGTTTCCTCAGTGAGCTTTGAGCCATAACCAGGAAGCCGGGAACAAGGCACGTCGCAGAAACTGTACACATCATTGGCAATGTTCACTTCTTTGGGGTCTCGGGTGAGGGCTGGCGCGAAAACGAAACTCCCGAAAGTCGAATGAGGATATATAAAAAACTGGGACACACTTCGAAAATAGCTACAACTAATTGTCGTACCTAGGTAGGGTGTAGGATATAGGGGTGAGCCGGCACTGGCCGAAATAGCATAGTAACCACCACTGATATAGTGGCTGAAAACAACGAGTGCCGTCAGGCAGGATATTTGCTGGACATAATGCCAATACAGCTCTTGTCATGGCCTGAGGCACAGCACAAGTACTTATTTGATTGTTTGATGGTTTGGCCGTTTGGTCGAGAATGACGCAGTGCGTCCAGTACAGACACCCGTCTCGAATCAAACCTTGTTGTATTTTATACACTCCACCAACCACGACTCAACCTCATTTATAATGATTCGCCACATAAAGGCTTCGGAGATGGCTGTGACTATTCATATATCAATCAGGGATTGATCGTGGAGTTGTCTGCGAGGGCATTCTCTACTGACAGGTAACGGGTAGGTCAACCGAAAATCACCACATCCATTCACATCGTTGAATTGCTCGGTTTCACCTGACAATTATTCGCTAGTGCATTACTTTCCAAAATCCACAAACTGAAGAGGAAGAGCTGGTTCCACATGACACATAAAAATGTCGAAAAGTCCGGCAACTGCGCAAAAGCAACAACCCCAATTCTCCCCTGCAACGCAAAGTGACTCAACCATCACCCACCTCAACGCAAGATTTCCAAAAGCACCCAGAGGCGCCAACCTCGGCTTTTTCTGGCATGATTCGAGAGGTACAAAAGCCGCGTACAAAAAAGACTGGATCACAGGCCACATCAGGCCACGCACCATGATGGACGACTTCATCGACAAGATGACGCCTGAGAAAAGGGAGGCGTACAGGAGGAAGCTCTGGAGGCCTAATCATGACTCTTGGGATGACTTTGACTACTCGTTCGAAGACTGGGATTCAGGGTATGAGAGTGGACAGCGTTGAGGTTCGAGAAGAAGTCGATGAAGACGAAACTGGATTCAGAGGACGGAATACATCTACCTCTTGGACGAAAGCAAATACTGACAGACCTGCCAGTATTGGTGTGGACGGTGTAACTACGGGGTTTACAGTGGAACAAGGGATGTTACAATCACATGTGATCCAGTCTATGGTATCCCAGAATTGGCCTTTGTGTGTACAGATGGTACCGAAGCCAGAGTGCATTCCAGGCGTAGACTGGATAATGCAAGCAGAAGTTGGAGTATATTTTGTTTGGTCTAAACTAAGACACTCCTTTAGAAGGTATGTTGGCGAACCCATGTGATGATACGTCAATAATTTTGACTGCTCCTTCGATTGTGGAGTATGTACGCCTATTTTCTGTCAGACTGCCGCCCAATTTGTTCGATGTGTGTATGGATTGTGAACGGTTAATCATAATGGTTAGGCATGTGTAGATAACGACAGAAAGAGAAGGTCCAAGATCCACATCGTCCTCGTTACCTCAACCCCATGACACATTCCCTTCGTCGAAATGATTTGCAGGAATTGTTTTGACCAGTGTCACACCTCGCTGCACGCGGGAATCCATGAACTAGTCGCCAAGGTCGAGAAGGGATCTTACCATCCTCTCGACTTGCCAACAGCGTCCGTCGGTAAGCATCAGGACTATTTTCCAAGTCCCAGAAGCACCAAGTTGGCCACGTTCAGAACCACGATAACGATCCAGATAACGAATGCAAGCACCGACACCCACCACGAGTTGGCCATCTTGACGAGGGGGCCATTAGCAGTTTCCACGCCGTTCTCAGCGGTGCCCAGCGCGTTTGCGGCTCTTACCGTCAGGTTAGTTCCGCTCAGTCCGGACTTGTCACTGCCCTCGATGCAGTGTCTAGCATGGCCCGGCTGTACCGTCATGAACTTGTTGAAGCAGGTGAAGTAAATCAACGGCGCAGATACAAACGGCAAAACAACGCTAAGCGCCACCTGGCTACCGTTCAAGGCATCGTTCAGCTTCTCCCGGCCAGCAGCCCCAGCAATGATGATGCTCGGGGTGATGCTGATGCTTCGTGTGATGAGTCGGCGTATCCAGGGCCTCATCTTCCATTTCAGAGCACCCTCGCATACCATCTGACCGGATATGGTGCAAACGATGCCCGCAGACACGCCCGAAAATAGCAGAGCGAGCGCAAAGATTGTTCCCGCACCTGGACTGATACTCGAAGACAATAGTCTGTGGATTCCGAATATGTCGGCGTCCAAAGCGTCGGGGTTGTTGTACAAGCTTGCGCCGGCGACAATCAATATGGCGCTGTTGACGAAAAGGGCAAATGTGAAGAGGGAAATGGCCACTTCAGTGTACGAGTACTTGAGTGAATGGTTGATTGCCTTCAGACTTGGTACATAGAAGATCTTCTCTCCCAATTTACCATCGTGCATACTGCTTGCGGCGGAAGGTGGTTGTCGAGGCAGGAGGCCATTCTTGATATCGTAATCCTTCAAACGGGATTGAACGATGCCAGAGCCGAGATACTGTGGAATTCTCAGTATTAGCAATATTCTTCGTAGTCTTTTAGAAGATTCAAGCTCAGGGCCCACGGTTTATCCTCCCCTCCCCCTGTCCCCTTTCTCACTCGCTCCTCCAAATCATCATCCCACCGGCACCAAAACACAATAAGAAAGGATGGACACGAAGTGGAATTGACGTACAATGCTGTGCGGCATCACGGTAGCACCAACAATTCCGCATGCTTGATAGAGGCCATCGCTTTGGGTGATGGCGTCGTTGGGTAAGTACCCCTTAAAGACATCACCAGGGGTGGTATTTTCGATCAGGGAGAGCTGGATGCAGAAACAAACTACCACGGCCATCACGAGCAGCATAACGAAGAATTCGAAGCTCCGTAATGCCTTCATGGATCCATCGGGGTGGTAGAAGAGGAGTATAAGCATCACGTCCGCCATAGAGATCGCGCACCCGGCTACCAGGGGAAGTTGTGGGATCAGCAGGTTCAAGGCGATTGCAGTACCGATAACCTATTCAAAAGTAAGCCAGTTTGATCAGATTATGATCGCAGTTGCAATAGAATCGCCAACCTCGGCTATGTCGGTGGCTATTATCGCAATTTCGGCCATGGCGTATAGGAAGTAATTGAGCCATCGCGGAAGAAAAGCACGGCATGCTTCGGCAAGGTTCAATCCCGTGACCGTTCCCAGTTTGACCGAAAGACACTGTAGAAAAATTGCAAAAATGTTGCTCATCAAAACTATGAAGAGCAGGCGGAAGCGATATGAAGCCCCAGCGGCGATGTCGGTTGCGTAGTTTCCCGGGTCGACTACCGTCTCATTAGCACTTATTTAGCTGCCTAACCGACGCGGCGGGTCATGACTCAAGGGATGAATAACACAGAACCCGCACATCTGGACAAACTTCAAGAGGGCTGCATGCTTACTGTAAGCCACCGAAACTAGAAAACCGGGCCCAACGAACTTCCCGAAAGTGAGAATCGTGTGTCGGGCCTTGTCAATATGACTTCCCCTCCCTTTCCCTTTCATCGCAGCAGCAACAGCAGCAGGTGTATAATCACCACAAGAAGGCGGCGTTGAGCCACCACGACCACCACCACCACCACCACTACTGCTCATCAGGGAGTCAGCTCTCACCCCTCCTCCCGCCTGGGTCTCGTCCTCGTACTGCCCAGGCGACTGACCAATGACTCGGTGCGGATTGGTCAGATTCGGCACCGCACCATTGGGCCGTAGCACATCGTCCAGTCCAAGTACGGGCATGTTCTCGTCTGCGAGGGCCTGGCCAGAATCATCCGGTATCCTGCTGCCGTCTGGCCCGGCACGCTGGGTCCGGGCGTTGGCGCGCCCATTAAAGTCCTCGTTTGTGGTGAGGTCATTGGAGAAGGTGTTGGGGCTCTGGTTCATGGAGCTGTCACTCGACGAGAGCGGCTCGTCTGTGTGCGCCGTTTGATTCATGGCTTCAAATTCTGGCTGCTTTGGGCCTTTATTTCTGTTTGAAGCTGGAAATCCTCTGCTGCAGCATTGAAGTTGAAGCTTGGCCGACTGGTGGCGGGATATCAAAGAAGGAAGATATACCCCTTGTAACAAAGAAAGCAGGAAAAAAGCCCGAGTACTTGAACTCCGACAGCGAACTAAGTTGAGGTACTTTCAGAGGTGGGTTGGCAATCGCAAGACTGGAATTTGTAGGATTGTAGTTGATGGGGGAAAATTCCAACAAGTCAGATAGTCAGAGTGCAAGGTACTTAAGGGAGGTAGATCGTGGATCCTTTAAGTGATTTGCCAATGGTCCACTCACCCATCCGGGTACGGCACAGGCATGCAACTCACTATGTCTGCCGTGGTTGCCGTCCTTCTGTTTGGTCGAGAGCCTCCTCCACTACCCCAGACTTCTTACTACAACGACACGCGAACCCGATTTAAGCAGCCCCTGCAAAAACATGTGCCTAGACCCCTGGCAAGCCCGAAAATGGGGGTACCTGCCCGCTCCGATCGCCCATCCTTTCTGCGGGCTTGCTACGGTTTTGCCCGAATGACGAATGACGGCATCACTACGGTACACTTTCAATAGTTGCGGGACTGCGGGAATGCTGCCATGCGCAAATAATGGAGACATTCACCCGGCAGCCATCATACGAGAATAAAGACTCCAGTTTAACTAAGTGGGTTGCGTGCAAGGGGATTTACACGGACGCAGTTCTGGTTGCAAGTGCACAGACAGCTCTGACCATCCGATATACGCCGCGATCCACTAGGGGCCGCGATGGCGGCGATCACAGCACATCAACCGCTGCGCCATGCCCGCCCAACATTGATTCCGGAATCATCAGGCCATTGCGAGAAAGGGACAAGCTTTTTCCGAGCAGGCTAATTACCGTGCTATGGTCGGCAGCCCCGTAAGTGGCCTCAATATCACACAAATCGCAATACTGTCGTTATCAAGTATTGGAATCGTCGGTAGTATTGCAGTAACTTTTGGTCTGATTCACGGTGAAATCTACACACGCCCCGCTATCTTGGCCTCGTGCACAAACTCTCATCAGCAGCGATACCCACTGCCTCAGAAAGAACCACAGGGTGCGAATATGTTCCCGCGAACTCCTCGCCATTAGATGTCTTTGGACACACCGCCTCACTCTGAGACTAGTGTCAACCTCCCACGCGTTGCTTGGCCGTCCGATGCAGTAGTTGGCTTGTGATGCCGGACACCATGTCGGTGCAGCTGGCACGCAAGAAATCAAGCTAGTGACGTAACAAGCAGTGACTTCACGTATAGCAAGCCGCCTCACTCCCCTCCCATCTACCGACTTTTCTTTCTCTCGTTCTTCCCCGCCTCCCTCGCCCTCTCCCTCTTGACGTAAATTTCCGCCGTAAATGGGTTCTCATAAGCCAAAGCCACCTTATACACGACCCACACCCAAGTCGTCAACAGCAACCCCGCCGGCTTGCCATATAACAGCGCGGTACCCAAAAAGCTACAAGTGCTGCCCCAGTACATAGGCGCCTCAGTGACGCTGAACGGAAAACCGGTGACGATGTCATCCATGAGGATACCGAAATAGTCGCCGAGAAAGGTACCAGTGATGCCCAGCGCCCAGGTGGACGACACCACGAGCGTGGTTCCCGAGGCAATGAGCGCATAGGCTAGGTACTTGACTTCGGGAGTGTCGGCGAGGAGCGGGTGCGAGGGCTGTTGGCGCAGAGCGCGCTCGTACAGCGAGTCGCGGAAGAGACCCAACGTGAAGATGGTGACAGCGAGAGCGTAGCAGGCCGTTTGGGAGCGGCCGCCGAAGAGCTTGGTGAGAATTTTGTTGTGGTATTCTTGTCGTGCGATGATGCTGTGTCAAGGTGGATGTGTTAGTTACTATTGTTGTTGTTATTGCCAACTAAAGTAAGTAAGGGTTCCGGGACTTGGAAGTTTCCTGCGGAGGGTATATCATACTTCCAGAACAGCGGATTGAAGGCAATAGAGCAAGCCGAGACTGGAATAGGTATTAGCAGCTGTTCTCATGAGTTTCTCTGTGTTTCTGGCCACATACTCAGTAGACTTGTCTGGCTGAAGTCCACAAGCTCGCTGGGTTCTACCGAGAAAGGAGCCATGGCCGGGTATCTTGCAATGGCAACTTCTTTTTGGACTATTCGTGGTTCAGACGAATTTTAACCTCGTTTGCGCGGGGTACTTTCTTTGACAAGGTGATTGTTGCGTACGCAGACACAGTTGTCATAGGACGGAAGGAATAAAGAAAGCTGTGTCGACGGTGGAAGGTAGGGACCCCTGCAATGGCTCCATGCGTCATTCCGCATTGAGTGAGGGGCTCCTCACTTCTACTTCCGGATCGTACGGTCACCAAAAAGTTCTGGAACATTGAATTACGGCTGGGGGAACCTAGAGAATCCAGTTGCAGATCTAGCTTTTGAATTGGAGTGATCGTCTGGCCGAGATTATTTCTGCACATTCGAATTGGTAGGAAAAAACGTCTATCTTAAGTCAACCGATGTCTTATGTGTGCCTTGAAGCAGCATCGGTTTACTCAAATTGCGGGGCCGAGGCATTGTTACGGCAAACCATCCATAACATGCTAGCCTTTCACATCGGCTAGGAGTTCGGAGTAGGTAGGTCATCGTTCGTCAGCTCAACTGCATTTTGGGATCTATCTAAACGATCCCGGGTATTGTCTTGTCGCCAAATCGCCGTGTCACATTGCCTTTGCCGTATCTATCATTTCAGCGCCCAGAACTACCATTTGCGTCGCTACCTGCGATTCCTAGTCTTCTTTCCGGTTGGCTGTGTCGTATCTTCTTCCTCCTCGTCCTGGCCCTTCTTGAGATCTTCCTCAAGGCCCCATTCCTCTTTATCGTACCAGTCCTCGCCATCCGACATGTCGCGATTCGGACCCACATGCGCTTCGTACTTTGACCATTGGAAAACCGTCTTCCGTAGCCGGTCCGCACGAAGTAGTCCTTCATATAAGCGCTTAGCCCCCCGGCATACTTCTTCTTGCTTTTGCACGTAGAGCTGCATCAGCCGTCGGAGATCTTCAGCTTCTCCTTCGGGGAGGCCCAAGTCTCGGTCTGGGCGAGCTGATCTTGGTGCTAGGAATAGTGGGTGGATAAACATATCGTCCACAGGTTCTGATGCATTTGACGCCGGGCCAATAGCCCTGTGATTTACCTGGCTGCCGTTCATCATCCTTTGGGGTCCACGAGTTTTGCTGCTCGACTTGCCATTCTGTTCCGTTGTACGATCAATCCCATTCACGATAACTTCGTGTTCAACATCGGTTGGTAGTTTCAGGGAATGCTTGCCCTTTACCCCTTCTTCTGTATCATCATGCTCATCAACTACAGCCGTCTTTAACGATGTATCGGTCGTCTCCTTATCTTCGTCCGACGACTTCTCCTGCCCTTCTGTCTCTGGGTTCGGCGCAGGGGGTACTGCGTGAGATTTGTCCCCGTTCACTTGCGATTCGGAAGCACTAGCATGAGCAGTGGCATCTGCGACAGTCATTGGTGCGTCGGGTTCGCCAATGGCTTCTCCTTTACGCCCAGTTTCGGCATTATTCTCCAGAGGGGATTCTCCATTGCCTGAGATCCGTCCGTTGGACTGTGGATGTACATTCTCTAGCAGAGGCATGCTAGCGTCTGAGTTGACTGAGTTCTTCGAAAGGCTTCCTAGACCGTTTACTACGTAGTCATCTCGGTACAGGTTGATGTCGTTGGGTCCAAGCATGAGCTCGCACGGAATCCAAGTGTGGTCGCCAACAAGTCTCGTCTGCAAGTGTTTAACCTGCCAAAGAGCTGCATTCTCTTTGTGCATAATGTCACAGGCTTGCTTCGTTAAGTCGGTTAAAGTTTTGGAAGTGTAAGGTCGTGACATGGTAGGGTGTGAGGCAAGATCGGTGACGGCAGTGAGGGGAGCGAGAATGGTCTCAAGCCGGATCCTGGCATAAGGATTGAACTCGGCGGCGTCTTCCATGGCTTCTCGTACACGCTCTTCATCGTCGTCGCTGTCAAGTTCGTAGCCCTCGTCGTCGATAAGGGGCGGGTTCCGATTTATAATGGCCCGCTGATAACCAGCGTGGTTGACGATCTGAAAGCGCAAACGTCAATTCTCTTTCTTAAGTAACGAAAAAGGTGTACCTACCTCTCTATATACTTCAGGGCCAGATGGTGGTGCTAGCTGACCCTCGCGCACAAACCTGGCGCGCTTCTTCATTTTTTGCCCTCGATTTCCGTGATTGTCGACTTCGTCGTCCGAATCTGACTCTGTCGGGAAACCGCGAGGTAAGATTGTGTTCAAGGGAGGAGGAGGGGGAGAGGGTAATGGAGCTGACGATCCTTACCATACGCTTTTCGTTTCAACGCCTTCTTCATTGCCATGATTGTTTCGGCGAATAACACTTGTTGAGACGCCATGACGGCGGCTCTCCGTCGAGACGATCGACACGTTGGGAAGGCCAAAATTATTCCTTAAGGCGCGAAATATGTATAGTGGTCTACCAAGCGACTAAGGTGGACGGGGAGGACTAGGACTAGGACTAGGATGTCGGCGTTGCGTAGACGTGGAGGTGGATTTTAATCGGTCGCTGAGCTCGACGATGGACTCTCCTTCGATCAACCGAGATACGCAGCAGTTGGGTACGATCGATTCTTCTTGCGACAAATTCAAAATGTGTAGACAATGATAAATAGCAGGAACTGTTAATGCCTACGAATCCATGGCAAGGTAAAGTAAAAGATCCTTTGCGACCATGGACAAGCTGGACTGACTTGGGAGAACGAGGCTGCGCTGCATCTCTCCTCCAGCGCGCGATGAAATGGCACAAGCTCTTGATTTGGCTGGCAAGCCCCCACACAGGCTGGAGCCGATGGCCGATTCCGCACCATTTTACGGCAGGTTGGCAGCTACGTGGGGGATGGAACCACGGACCAAAAACTGCTAAATCCCCGATGGGCTGGTGTTCCTGTGGCTCGGCAACTTTAGAGGCGGAGTGAGGTCACTGAAGCCACAAGGGCTAGCGCAACAGGTGAGAACAATGGGCTCGGAGCTGTGCTAGTTTGAGGTTGCTACTGCCCATTTTCAAAGCCGAAGTCAGAAATCTCCAACATTTCCGGGTTCCCAGGTTAACTAAAAGAAACAGATTATTCCTGTGATCAGCTCTTGCGCATCTATCAGTTGTGGCCCTCTGTAGCTTTAAAGGAAACTGACACCTTGGCAACAATCATCCCGACAAAAGTGAGGAGCATACGTGTGTCTAGGTGCCACATGCCGTTTCGCGACTGAGTGGGATACTGATATTTTCTGCGCCAGTGGTTATCTGACACCATATCGTCCAAATCCTCATTTACTATGATTGGCGAATCATCGCATGTTAGCTACATGACAAGGTAGAAACCCCGAGGCGCAATGGACAAATATCCGCGCGGTAGCCTCGACCACAACTTGCCTCTCCTTGTTGTGTCAGGCCTCAGTACTGGCCCGACCAAACCACTCCTCACGGACCCGGACCTCCGAGAGCAGGGGGTGTTGATACGATCAGAGATCCCTCCCGTGGAGAGCCGCGAGGCAAAGACAATACTTCAGTATGTTCAAGAGACGGACGCGACACACCTGCCCTGGCACTCGCGGGATGTTTCGAGGAAGCATAAGTTCAAGATCAGGACCATAGGAAGGGTAGGAACGCCATGGAACTATTTCTCTAACCGGATGGTCTTCTGACAAGAGCCACAGGAGTTCCTTTTGCCACCGCGCAATGCCCGCCTGCCTGACGAGTTCGAAACTCCCCTATCTCCTCCGGTGCTACATTCGCCCTTTTCGCCTCTCAGCCCAGGATCTACCCTCTATCCAGATGGGTTGATCGATACTCGTTGGCTTGAGAAGCACCAGGACTTGATACCGAGCGTTTGTCTCTGCTTCTACAGTCTAACATCAGATTCGAGTCTCGCAACATTGCATGACAACCAACTTAAAACAGATATAAATGCTCTCAAAAATGCTCTCTCCCAGTCAGGACACAAGTGCCGCTTGGCTGTCGTTATTCTTAGCGACCAGTCTCCTAGCTCTATGGATGTGTTTCAAGACCGGTTGGAGAATATTCGCAAAAGCACTGCTCTAGACCCCAAAACATCACTTTTCGTGCTGCCTACCCAACGCGCCGAGACAGAGCTGGAATCAGCAATAGACAGCGTCTTGACTGCGCTTTTTTCTCAGGCGACCGAATATTATCGAGACCTGGGCCGCCACTCGCGAAAGAAGAAAGGTCGGGGTATTGCTCCGCAGCCGACAATACCTCCAACCAGTGGAACCTCCCATACCTTGTCACTTCAAGGGTGGAACGTCCGATATGACTTCAAAGCAGCCGTGTTTTCTGAGTTTCGTCAGGAGATGGAAGTTGCGCAGCGCTCATACGAACAAGCCTACGAAACGCTCCTAGGGGTCGATGTCATGGAGACCATCCCAAGCTGGAGTTCAAGATTCAACGATGCTCGACTGCTGGCAGACATAATAGCAATTCGTATTTTAAGATGTTTTCTGTGGACAGGGCAAAGCACGGCTGCCGTGCGCCGGTGGCGAGCGCATCGGTTAAGGATGGCTGACTTCATAGACAGAAGAGGTCGGGGGACGCAAAACTATGGCTGGCAGGCATGGGAAGCTCGATGGGCAGAAACCATGGCCAATCTGATTGCTAAGGTTGACTATCCCGAATTGGACCCCTCAAATCAGTCGCTCTTCCGACCGCCTGAAAAGGTCTTGTCCGCCGAACGGCTTCAACCTTGGGAGCAGCTACATCACCAAGGATATTGGTACCGCACGGCTGCTCGACATTCACTGGATCGAAGGAAATTAGCCTACCTAATTCCAGAGGACGACCGCCGACCTGTTGGTGCGTCTGCTACGTCTCCGTCAATGATCAAGGCTTACACATCTTATGACACTTACATGTGTCCGGAACCATATGAGGAATACCCCTTAAATGGTCACGGCACGAACCATTCCTTGCAGATAATTGAATACCTCAACTTTGCAAAGGCTGAGTTTCAAAAACGGCATCAACCCCGCCTGGTAGCGGAAGTTGCGCTTGAATGTTCCAAAGAACTAGAGAGCATCAAAGCATGGCAGCCGTTGCTTGAGTTACTTGCACCACTATGGAGGGATATGTCGTTCCGAGCAGAAGGTTGGTGGGATATCAATGAGGCTATGAGCTGGGCATTACGAGCTGGTGCGGCTCACATGGGCAATGCCGGCTTGGTGGTCGCAATTGACTGGGAACTTCTCAATAAAAGTACGTCGTCGAATCGTTTCCTAGGACACCCTACTGATATAAAGTGCAGAGTTCACGAGACGGCCTGGCTGGCATTACGATATAAAAAGGTCCCTCGATCATGTGCAGGTTGACCGAACACCCGAGGTTGTCATCAACGATGATCAAATTTCGTCATTTATCTCGGCATCCTTCGTTTTCAAACAGGACGAAGGAAGGGCTGGTCAAACGTGCCCCGCGCAGCTCTCGATCAACTCAAATGCGTTTGCTGAAAGTTCACCAGTTGTGTTGGAAGAAATCCAAATCGACTTTGAAGGCAGCTTACGTACGATTCGTCTCAAGCATCAAGCAAATTCTAAGTCGGTAACATCCTCGGCCAAAAATGTCTACGTGACCACCATTCCTTTGGTGGAGACAGAAATATCTACAGACGATGCCTCAGACGAAGAAGACTCTGATGAAGACTCCAACGAAGATGACTCTGATGATGCTTCACAACCACCTCAGTCGGTTATATTGGAAGGCGAAAGTGACTTGAGTCTGCTCCCTGGCCACACTAGAGTATTCGAAATGAACCTGCCGCTGAGGGAGGCTGGCAACGCGCGAGCCTCGGCAGTTCAAGTGTCAGTGGCTCCAGAAACATTTACTCTCAAGTACACCATGAAGGTACGCGAAACCAACACTGTGGGCTCGTGGTACACAATCGATGGGAGAAAGAAGATCACACGAGTGAACCCACAGAGCATCAAAGTCCTTCCGCGGCCGCCCAAGATGGAGATCCGGTTCGTCAACGCACTCAAACAGTACTACGCGGGCGAGCCCATCCAAGTTGAGGTTGAAATGGTCAATGAAGAGGACGTCGATGCGAATACCAAGCTTGACGTCCATCTGTACGGGCTCGATGTGCCTGCCTTCAAAGTACACGTCACAGGTGGTGCTGTACGTTCAAGTGTTGCGAGCGGCGAGGAAGCCAAGCTGAATGGCATGCCTGTCGGTACTATTTCGCAGTCACAGTCGGAGAAAGCCACCATTACGGTTGATCCCGTCAACCGGCCGACTGCATATGACCTGACCATCAAAGCGTGGTATAACCTGGTCTCGGATCCAGGAACCCCGATTGTTCAGATTGTGGCCTTCCAGCTCAATATCGTCAACCCTTTCGAAGCCAGCTATGATCTGGTACCGCGCTTACACGATGAAATTTGGCCAAGTCTGTTTGATCATGAGGGCGTCCAAGAGCTCGCAGGTGAAGACGATGGCATTATTCAACCCCAAGGCCTGGCGCAGAAGTGGTGTCTCATTACCCGGTTCGGCTCCTTCGCCGCAGAAGACTTAACCATCCTTGACCTCGATGTTAAGGTCCTATCGACCCATGGCTCTGCGAGGTGCGTGGCCTCCAAGAACCAAGCCATTCCCCCAAACGGGCTGAAGATGGCCCCGAAGACGATGGAGGAAGCCCATTTCGACGTCGTCGCGCAGAAGTTGAGTCTCGACGACCGTGCTTCTTCCACGGCGGACCTGGCGTTTTCCATTACATGGCAGCGCAGCTCAAATTGCGCAACAACCACCAATTCGCCTTCAATGCCCAACATCACCACCTTCCTCATTGACCCTTTCTACGTTACGGTCTCCGAACCCCGTGTTTTGGCCTCGGTTTCATACTCCACTACCTCGCCTGGCAGCCCTTCATCACATCCATCATCTGCGCCGCTGCAGCTCTTAGTGCTGAACGTCACTATAGAGAATCCATCTTCACACTTCCTGACTTTCGGTCTGACCATGGAGCCGTCGGACGCATTCGCATTCTCTGGCGCTAAGACCACGACGCTCAACGTGCTGCCCTTGGCAAGACGTAGCATCACTTACAGGCTGCTGCCGCTGGTTCGGGGTGCATGGATCAGGCCGACTTTAGTAGTAAGAGACAAGTACTTTCAAAAGGTTTTAAAGATCATCCCGACGGAAGGAATGAAAAGGGACGTTGAAGGTATACTGGTCTGGGTTCCGGAAGAAGCGGAGCTTCAATCGAAGGACAGGATGAAAAAGCCACAGGATATCGAAGGCCCAGGGGATCCGAGCGAAGGCAACGAAACTTCAGGAAATGAGGAGGTCGAGGTTTAAGCTTCCTGGATTTCTGTCGGTAAGACGAGTGATGATTATGGCGTCCATGTGTTGTCAGGTAGTCATCCATTATCAGTAAACTCTACTACTGCCAGCGTTCTGCATATCCTGAGATCTGTAACCTGATATCGAGATCGCTGGTTAGATTTTTACCACACGTGGCAAGGCATGTGAAGATTTCACTTCTTAGTAGTGGCATTAGCATGAACTCCATCAACACCATACGACCAGCCAAGAGACTTACTGTCGCATGAATTGGAATGACATCGGGTCTTGGATCTCCTACACTAATTGCACAATCCAAGACTTGACGACGAATTTTAACGAACTGTACAGGGATGGAGCCTAGAGTTTGTAACGGAGATCACATGCAAGTACGCAAGCCTTTCCAAACTTACAAAGCCGTCTGATCTTGCTTGAAAAATCGTAGACAAGGCACTCCAACTTGCTTAGAAATTGATATGCTTCAAATCCTAAAATAACACCCAAAAGTCCTCTTATCATCCCTTGCTTCCAGACGATATTTCCATTTCGGAGTATACTCTCTCTACTCACAATCCACCATCTTAATATTTCGATACGAATTTAGTGATCAATAAGACCAATAAGGATGAGACCATGGAAGGTACCAACACAACCAACTCGATTGTGCAGCCATCTCTTCCACCACCGTATTCGTCTACTTTCACCTCACGACCCGCACCCTTGGCAGAACCGACGAAGGCACCTACTGGACCGAAAATCGACGTTAGCCAAACCATCACGATAACTCAGACGGCGTCGGCTTCCGCTGTGCCATCATCTTCAAACGGCAGCGCGACGCTCATGGTTCCGAGCCAGGTTGCTAGTTCAACAACAACAACAACCACCACAACAAGCTCTATATTTGCCATCCCGCATCCAACTGATATCAACGACTCGGTTGTGATGCCGGGCCAGGTTTTGCTGTTGGTTCTGGCCACACTAAGTAACCCTGAACGAATGCTTTAGTTGAGATTGCTTGCTGATAATATTGACAGTTGGGCTGCTTATTTTGGGAACTACCACAAACTTCTGGTATAGCAGGAAGCACAAGAAATCACAGAAACAGGTATGTGTATTGTGACTATGTGGAGTGTATTGATGCCATTGCTTACGCCGACCACACAGGAGAAACGGAAGGAATGGCAAAACCCTTAATGATGAGTTCACTAAGGAGACAGACATAGTACTATGGACCAAGTAGACTTGTCGTAATATAACTGACATGTCATTGACTGTGAAGTCGATACAACTAGCTAAGTCTTTTCTCAAGAGAACATGCTCCAGCAGTACACTTCCCATATTTTCAGAGAGAATTCGGTACATACATACCCTACTCGATAAGTACTGAGCTCCCAAGGACGAAAACATGCATCATACCGACAACACCACCCCGTGTTTAGAGATACAAGGTACCAGGATCATCGGATCTCTGCCGAGATTCCAGACTTCGTAAATGAGCTCCGCATAAACGCTTCCATATCGGCCAGCACAAGGTAAAATTGGATAGTCAGCCAACATAAACCCAGAGAGGAAGAGGGTTCATCCCAGATGATGCCCAGGAAGCCCCCCTGGCAGCTTAATCTGATCTCCCGTCATGCTCAGCTCTGGACTAGTGACCACATGCACAAGGCTGATATAGTGGGCAAAATGCCAACTTCATCAAAAGTGCCTACGTGACGTCTATCAAGTCAAACGTCCCAGCGAGGAAACATCCAGCTCATATGGTCTTCATCTCTGATCTGGTCGGGATAACTGGCATTGAGGGTTGGGCGGTTCGATGTGTACTGAATCATATCCCGAAGATTGTATGAGTCTCATGTTCTGGAAACTCGCGAGGATAATGTTAAGGTGAGACGAGGAGGTAGAGCAGAGTAGAGACGATACCAAATTTGCATATATTCTTCATCAGAGGACTGGATCAGTTTAGTTCATAAAACAAAGGTCGGTTTGTAGTTTCACTACCGCCTTGATGACTTGCCGCAGCCCGCTTTGCCATGATAATACACCACTTACTCTTATGTGCATTTCAGCGTACCCTATTCCAGGGATTGCCTAGGCGGTTCATTGCCTGTGATTGCCTGATGCTCCTCTGTTGCACTTACATATTCTTCTTAGCAACATTCGCAGGGCGCCCCGTTCCAAAAGCCCCCAGTAGAGTCAGCCACCTGTTAACATTTAGGAAAGCGCTCACGCCAACATTTCCCCAAACCATGTGGTTCCATTTCCCCAGGTTCCAGAAATGCTCTGGCCCGACCCCTTTGTAGGTTGCGTAGATATGGCCGAAGTCGGCCAGCGCCACTGCAAACAGATACCACTTGGTCACACTAGCACGCGTGGTGAAGCAGCAGATGACTGCCACAGCGGCCAGTAGAAGCAGAACGTTGGCCATCATCAGCGTCAGAATCAATGCCTGAGGTGGGAAGTCGTCTCGCTCCTGAGGGTAATTTGGTGCTTGGTCGTTAAAGTATTGGAACGGGTCGTTCATTGTGGTTATCCAGGCCCAGCCTCTGCTCTAGTGTCAGCTCGTGCCACACATAAATGGTGTATGTCACACACACAGGGCGATTGGCTCGAGGACCCCAAATAGGATGAGTGGCCATGCGGGGAGACTTGTTATCGCCATGTTGAGGGTGTATTGTAGATGGATTTAGATACGACAGGTTGTTCAATAACTACGATCTCGCGAGATAAGAAAGAAGGAAGACAAGTTCCAGTTTCTAGAGAAATAGAAGCAGCATTAGTACTTCCAGCTATAGTCGTGAGACTTTAGGCTCGATGGCCCCTGCTTCACTGCCTCAGCAGTAGATCCATTGCGACCTCTCAAAAGCGTCGAGATGCGTTCGTCATATTTCCGCATTGAGACACCAAATCCTTGATGATTACCGGCATGATGAAGCTGTCAACAAAAGAAAAGAGTGCAGCCATTCACAACCATGACGGGCTCGGAATATTGGGTCTATCTCGCTTCGAATAAGCTCAAAGTCTATCCTCTTCTGTGATCAGAATAGTGGGGCATTTTAGGACGGCGAGTCGGCCACCCCACATTCATGACGGGCTATCAGGCAGCTCTCATCACCTAGGAAACCGCGCGCCAGATCGGAAGTCAACAGCTAAATTTGGGCCGAAAAGCGAAAGAGCATCTGTCGTCCATCACCGCCAGACCTCGCTCAACACCCAAGGACAGTTGGATTGTTTCCAATCTGACTTCCACACCCAACTCTAATCGTCGACTGGGACGGGCACTCTCCAGTGAAACGTCAACGGTCATGGTATAGTACCCCCGTCATCAAGCCATTGCTAGCATTGCTTCTGCCCCTCCGGCTCCTAGATTCTGGCATTCTTTGATTCAACTGCTGCTTCATTTCTACCTGTACATTCTTCACACATCATCCATCGTTCCACTCATCTGGGGCACTGCCGGTTTCCCTAACAGCACGGCATGGCTTCGATAGAGGATTTCAATCATGCTTCTAGACAACATCAACAGCCCGATGGACACCAACGCTCCAGATCCAATGTCTTGAAGTCCTTCATGCATAGGCGGAACAACTCGGACGGCAACACCCTCACATCCGCCCCTTTGAATACGTATGCGCCACCACCAATCATGGTTGTCCCGGCAGCATCATCCGACATGCGCATCCCCAACTTCTCGCGACGTCCCGTAGCACTCGGCGAAATTCAGACGAACAAGGTCGATACGGTAGCTTCTCGATCGCACAGTCGGTCCCCAAGCAAGCAGCATAGCATATCCATCCCACCATCTCCAACGAAGTCATTTGGGTCTATCTCGCTGAGATCGCCTATCTCGAAAGGCTTCGAAAAGAAGCAGAAGGAGGCCGATTCTCAGACTACACCCAAGAAGACCAAGTCGTCCACCAACTTGGCTTCGCTCCTGGGACGACCCAAGACCTTGCGGAATCTTCACAAGCTGGCCAGCTCCGACGATGTCCGCTTTCGGAAGGACAAGGAGAACCAGACCCCTTCAGGTTCGGTGACGCCATCGCAGGACGAAGTGCGCCCGCCCATCTACGCGCAGTTCTCTAGCGGAGCGCTGGAGAAGCAGAAAGGGTTCAGTCTCTTTGGCCATGGAAATACCTCTGCGAGCGATGTCGCGAGCGACAAATCGAAGAAACCGCGGCCCAAGTCATATCACGCACAATACGTTGCCAAGTCGGAGAACAACCAAGCGCCAGAACCCAAATCCGGGCATGGTAGTGCCAGATTCTCGCCGTCTAAGACACAGCGTGGACTGAGCCTCTTCACCAACGGATTGAGTTCGAAGCAGAAAGCGGTATCGGTGGAGGTGACTGAGCCGAAGCTTGACCACAAGGATATCGACAAGCACCTGGAAGCTATGCTTGACCGGAGGAATATCCCCGAGAACCAGCGGTACAAGATGCGGAATCTTGCCGACACCATCAAGATGGAGTTCATTCGGCAGGATTGGGCAGAAAGCCATTCAAAGCTCAGCCGACCAACCACCAATGACAGCGACTCGAGCACGATCGATAGCCGGGACAAGGAAGACAGCAAGGCCGTCAAGCGGTCTCGACACAGGAGCTTCACTTTGGGCAGGGGCAGTGGAAAGAAGTCGGAGCCCAGCACGCCGGCCAAGAAGAAGAGTGACGCGACCATAGGACGGCACTTCCGGAGCAAGTCAGTCGAAAGCGTTTCAAGCGAGCGACCACCCTCGGCGGGCTCGGGCTCCGGAACCGGGACTGGCATTCTCGCCAAGATGAAACTGCAACAGGGACCCGTGGACTATGTGAATTATCTGCGCAAGGTGCGGAAGCCCGAGCTGGTTGAGGTGGGCAAGCTGCACAAGCTGCGACTTTTGTTGCGCAACGAGACTGTCGCCTGGACTGAAGACTTCATTCGTCAGGGTGGCATGGAAGAGATGGTCGGGCTGCTACACCGAATCATGGAGGTTGAATGGAGGGAGGAACACGAAGATGCGCTGCTCCACGAGAACCTGCTCTGCCTGAAGGCCCTCTGCACCATCTCCCTGGCGATGCAGTACCTACACTCGATTCAAGGAACCCTGTTCCCGGCATTGCTCCACATGCTCTTCGACCCGGAGAAGAAGGGGCCCAGCGAGTTCACTACCCGTAACATTATCACCTCCATGTTGTTCACTTATATCCAGTCAGCCAGTCCCCAAGACCGCCTGATCCGTGCCAGAACTGTGCTTGGCCACCTCCGCGACCCAGAGCCCAAGGAAGAGGAACGACCAGTGGGGTTCGTGCTGGACATGCGCCGCGAGCGCCCCTATCGGGTTTGGTGCAAGGAAGCTGTGAGCGTCACCAAGGAGGTCTTCTGGATCTTCTTGCACCACCTCAACGTTGTCTACCTTCCACGCGACAAGGACCGCAATGAGTCGGTGTACAACGCCATAGCGGCTGATAGTCAGTCGTACCTCAAGGCCCATTTTCCCCAGGAGCGCCCACCGGTGCCGGCCGCACCTTACGTTGGCGGCGTCGAATGGGATGCCACGAACTATCTTGCCTCGCACCTGGATTTACTGAACGCCATTATTGCCTGCACGCCCACGGCTGAGGAACGGAACAACTTGCGAAGTCAGATGCGCATCTCGGGCTGGGAGCGCTGCATGGGTGGCAGTCTGCGCTTGTGCAAGGAGAAGTTCTACCCCGGCGTCCACGACGCCCTGCGAACCTGGGTTGCCGCAGCGGCCGAAGATAGCTGGGAAGTGCGCGATGTACGATACGGCCCGCCGGCGGAGCCCAAGAGCCCAGTACGAAAGCAGGGTGGCGGCTTCATACCCGGTAACAAGGGCAAGAAGAAGGAAGACGAGCCCGCACCAAAGCTCGAGATCCCCAAGTTGGACTTTGGCCTAAGTCCTCCCGCCATTGGCGAGGCAGCAGGGCAGGGTGATAACTGGCTCTCGTAGCGCGAGACTCTGCTGCGGCGTTGGGGCAAAACAGACGAGCTCGAACCCAGGGCTGCTTGCGGTGGGCCTGACAGGCGTCCGAAAAGAGTATGATTTTGAAGCATTGAACAACACAAAATTGGACCAGGCATTGCAGATTTCGCCAGGGACAGACCTCAGCATACAGATATATGTTCGACAGGGGGTCTTGCCAGGGTATCATGTATTTGGATGGACCGTTTTCCGTTTGGTTCACCACTGTGGGGTTATAAAGGGGTTTACGGCACAAGTTGTGTTTTTTTTCGGTTACAACGGCTTCATCATGATTCGGAGTCGTCTTGTTACTGTTGTTATTTTGGTTCCCAGCCACCAACCGACACCCGCCACTCTCACTCTCCCTGTAACCTCTTCTGGTTCTTGACGATTCATAATGACAAAGGGAAACGGACAGGGCTATCACTGCAATTTACGGCCTGCCTGTTTGTTTGTCTGTTTGTTGTGTTTGGGACTAGAAGAAAACGTCGATCATAAGGGAGCACTGCTTTTATGGTTGGTTGCATGGGGTATATAACGAATGAATGACACGAGAATTGCAGGTTTCTAAGTTTTTTTTCTCTTTTTCTTTTTGCTTTTTTTGTCTAGCTTGCGGCGGTGACGATGAACGAGTTTGCCCTGTCTGATGTCGCCACCCAAAAAGGAACTTGACCGTCTAGCAACTCCTGGCATGTGGATTTGATGAGTCGTTAGCTTGCAGCAACACAGATATGGCTATCTATTCGCTTCCTCCTACTCGGCTGAATATACTAGACACAGCGGGTGGTTACACAAGCAATGCAAGGCGTGTGGTGGCAATAAAGTACTTATGGGAAACATGCGTAATTATTACGAGATGGTGGCGATCAGTAGCTGCGTTGTTGGTGGGCCAAGCGTGCTATCCATCATGGCCAGTACCTGCGGGACAATTCAGTGACGGGAAGTGGTGGGATCTTCCCAAACGAGACCGTGTGTCCTCTTGCTCACAACTACTACACCGTCTGGGTTCGACGCCAGAGGCCGCCAGTTGGTCTTCAACATGATGAGCTCCTCAGTTGAACACTACAATTAACTGGGCTTATAGTTTCGTATGACAACGTCGTGCATAATAAAGCTTGATTCTCATGGTGAATTAATATCTACACTATGGTTCGGTGGGTCGCCAGGATCATCATCTGGTACTAACATGGCGGATGCTTAGATTAGGTCATCCTGTAGCACAAAAATGAAACATTGCCGCAGGTACTCAGCCTAGTAGGTGTGTGTGGATCGTCTCTACGCAAATTTAGGACAACTTATCAGACCATATGAATATACGAAGCTGATTCTCTGTCCCTTAGGCAACCTCTTGACGGTGGAATAGCATAATTACATCCTTGGCGAGCTTTCCATCTCAGACTGGCCTGATTTGCGAATCTACTTTGCGACCTATTCACGACCAAGCCCCCCAGCGTAGAGGAACCCCCCACCGTCCTCGAACATGTGGCAACGTAGTGCACCAGCTGCACAGGTGTGGCCCATGTCCAAGGGTAGCAATCGTGAGGTTGACGTGGATCACACAGCGAAGGGGAGCTACTAGTGCCTGGCTACCGCAAAGGCCCCCATCTAGAACGACCACTTCACGTCCCTCCAGAGTATGGACCTTTCCACGATCAATGCTATCACCATTACCCACCGAGCATTATTATTATGAAGTGCATGTATCTCTTCCAATGTGGTATTACGGCGTAACAAACAAGTCGAGCGCTGCATGCACAGCCGAAACACCTCCAGTAGCCTACATCAACACCAGTGAACTCGATCGGTGGCAATTGAGACCTATCAGTATATCCATATGCATAACCAGGGCTTCTTATAGCCCCGGCCCTCCAGAAGGTTCGGTAGCGGCACCGAGAGAAGGGTAGAGGATTGGCACGACGTGAACGTGGCAGCCTGGGGCAAAGAAGCCCCATGGCCAACCTGGAGGGACACGGTGCGGCCGCTCCAAGTACTCACTGTTCTGGCCAATGACGGCGGGGGGAGTAGTTCGCGTTGATGAATTGATCGACAGTGTACGTACTCATGTTACCGTGCTTCAAGGCTCCCGGAACAAAACTTTATGCAACCTGAGTCATAGAATACGATGTCCAGAAACCGGCAAGTTATCTATGAGATTTGGAAGCACCGAATAGAGGCAAGGTGGCAGCCGAAGGCGCTGCTATGGAGTCTAATGCTATCGTGGCCATAGGAGCTGCGGCCCTCCACGTTCCTGTGCTCTGCTTCATCGCCGAATCGTGCGCTTCCCGTGGCAGCGGCGACGAAACTCGGGATGGAATTTCCAGAGAAGGAACGTATCGACCCGTTTTCCAGATAGGCAGCACGCCCAACGTTGCAGGACTTGAGCTTATACATTCATCCCATGTCTCCCGGTTTGCACGATGCTCCCAGCGTATCACACGTGTAATATGCAGCCACCTGTTTTTACAGGAAGAACTAGAGCTAGTCCGCATAGTTCGTGGGCCAATGATGGACACGTCTCTGAGGGAAGTCAAACGTTGAACCAAGAGTTCGGTAAGACCCTTGGAAGTTTGTCCCAACCGGTGACTGGGGGGAACAACGAATGATAATGTTCCTTCGGGATCCAGAACAATAAATATCTGTCGATTTAAGAGCTTCGATGTGATTTATGTACAAGATAACTAACTACCACCAGTTACGTCGAATCAGGGTTCTGTCGATCGTCCCGTGTAGCCCCATAGGTTCGACGGGAGCACCCACGGATCCGCCCACCACGCAACCTACATGCCTGTTGAGCTAAACCAGAAGCTGTCAAGCTGCAACTAAAGAGCAAAATTACAATTTCCAGTGGTGGGGGGCCGTAGTCAAGAACGCTTAGGCGGTCAAGTGTCGGGGTCGAGTCGGACGCGGAAGTGGACAACAAGAACCCGTCTAGGATGTAGTTTTCGCAAGAGTCCGTTGCCTGGGTCCTCAGGTGTTGTCAGATAGGGCAGACAGGCTTGTCAGTGGCAACCGGTGAAGAAAATGGCCTGAAGCCATGCCGTGTTGGAGGAGAGGTTCCGTTAGTGATGCCAATATGGAATAAGCACATGACCGTCGCTGCCCCGGGGCCCGGCAAATGACAGGCACATGGTGCATTGGAGCGACGAGGCTATGCCGGGAACGGTACTGGTGAGGATCCGGGAGGCTGGATGCGACATGGGTAGCAAGCTCGTCTCCGCGTGCCCGTCGAAACGAGTTTAACATTTATCTGTTGCCTACCAATCCGTACTGATACCGATGAATTGAGGACGAAAGAGAGTGCCCATGACAGAAAATGCTGTTTGATACGAGCTGAAGGGCTAGGTTGGACAAGATTTCAACACAAGCTCAGAGTCGCTTGCCTTGCCGAACGGCTGCTCTCAACAAAAATTTGCAGGTATTTTTCTCGTAGGCTTTGATACGTCCCAGAGATGTCCTATGTCCATGAGAACTGACCAAATGCTCGGCTCTCGGTTGTGCCTTTGCGTTGCAAGTCGTAGTCCCACCCAGTATCACGTGCTGACCCACTGTAGTGCCCGGCGTTGCCGCTTCCGCGTTCATTCCTTCCTGGTCAAGTTCTCAGCTCTGGGTTGAGCCGTTCTAAACCGTAATCGCATGTATTGCGTACAATGCACAGAAGTATCTGCTTGTCGCCGTACTAGCTTTCCTCAAGATCACTATCCATCGACTAAGGACGTGGGGACAAAGCAAACACCTCTCCCGACTTACATATCATGAGGATCCATCTACTGGACGAGCCATGGCCAAACAGAGTATACCAAACGGGGCATGCGAAGCTCCGTGCGCCCAAGTGTATTGTGAACCGTCTAGATCCTGCAGTCATTAAGTCAGGCGGGATCCATCCAGAGCAAACATACAATGCACTTCAAGCATTGTGGATCTTTCGAGTTATTATGGCTGCATAGTTGAGCTATTAAACCGAGTTGCATATCTTCTACAACGTGGGCGAAGTAGCAGCAAGGTTAAAGTTGCCTGCATCAAATCTGCATGATCTTGACTCTCACAGCAGCATCGTTTGTCGTACACCGATGACAGGCCACAAATCGTCAAAATGGTCGCGGTTTTGAAGCACCATAAGCAGCACTTGGATCTGCAGAGACCAACCTATGCTCTCGGTTTGCGAAGAAGCTACTACATACAATGCAAACACTGGACCATCTGATTTGATGGAAACACCTGGAGCTGCTGCGTGGAGGCACCCCCGAAGAGAGTGGACTTGCTGTCATTTATTTCCCCACCATATCTCTAGAGCGGTACATGTACTCCCGCGAGAGACGGCAATGACTTTGCAAATTACCCAAACCGTACTGATGCATCAAAATGTCAAACAATTTTTTAGACTGACACATTGCCTTCAGGCAGTAGCCATTCACGTTTGTCACCACCCACTTTGCGGTGCCATGGAGCTCTGTCAGCGGGCGAATTGTCATTTGCTGATATGACATCCCGGTCGCGAACTCAACCCAACCACCTGGGCACCCCTAGAAATTCTAGCCTTTCACACCCACTAATCAGCACTTCCAGCACCTACGACAAGCATACGTGACCAAAGCCGCACGCACGCACCCACGCACACTCACACTCACACTCATGCACACGCACACGCACGCACTCACAGACAGAGAGAGACAGCCCAACAACCACCATTTCATCTTCATTCTTGTGATCCTAGCGTTATCTCCTCAGTACCTATTGCATCGGGGTAGGCCTTTGGCGACGGGTGCAGACGCTCAAAACCCAAAACTTTGAAGCAACTAGACACCAACGTCCACTTCATAGGAACGCGTCTCAGGCCGTCCAGACGCTCCACATCTCTGAGGTCTGACATACTCCCTGGCTTCCATAACCACACTTGGCAGTTCAAAGTCAGAAGGCTACAGCTCTAGCGGCCCACTTTCAAATCCCATATTCTCCCGTCACTGCTTCAAGCTCTGCAAGGCGCACCGCCCCCGAAGGCAGTATCCTCGACTAGACCATCTGAACCCTGCTCTCGGTCAACCATCGACGAATCTAGAAGCCCCGTCGCAACGAGTGAGGACCGCTCCACTAGGTCAGAACCGTTCACAGCGGTCTATTTCACTTCGGATCAAAATGTCAATAAAGTACGTTGTCGGATCTCGTCTCTCACATTTTCTGTTAAACGTCCCTACCTTTCCATATCATCCCAGCCATGTAGCAAGTTGTAGACTATCAACATCTTGTTAAGAGCCCCGCTCCTGCCTCGACTCGTCCTGAATACTGCAGCCAAGGATCCTGCGGCGTGGACGGTCCTGCGCCGCCATGGACTATAGTCTTCACGAAACCCATGCTGGAATCCTAGCCCAACACGCTGTGGAAGATGATGATGATCCTAACGAATCTTACAGCTGGGTTATGTTAAACCAAAAGGGGGACATTGAGCCCCTCCCACATGAGAGCATCTTCCACAAGACTAGAGGCCGAATAGCGCTTGAGCTATCAGCACCGTCGCCTTCACAGGGAGTTCCCGCATATAGTCAAAGATGTGATCGTGGCACGGCATACATAACCAATCAGAGAGTGAGTGACATGTCGTTTCTGTTATGGCAAGACCTAACAAAGTATGCCACAGCTCATATATCTGGCCAGCACACCTACAGATCAGTTCACATCATTCTCGACCAAAATCCTATCTTCTGAGGATGCACACACGGGATCCACCTTGTTGGGCTTTGGCGCAAATTTCTGGGAGTCAACCATTAAACCAGTGTCCAATGGAGGCGTACCCGCCGACTACCCAAGGATCAACATGAGGTTGGTCTTCTACGATGGTGGACACAGTGACTGGGCAATCAAGCATCAGGATATGAAAGGCCGGCTTTTGCACGCTGTCGAAACCGCTGGTCTTTCTTATCAAAACTCAACCAACATGCTCAATATGATATCTGGCGAACAACTACCTGAGTACTCACCCGGCGAAGGTGGCTCGGTGCAACCGCAGACGGAAGCAAGTCAGGTACAAGTCGAGGTACGAGGAGAAGAGGCGGCAAGGGACAGGCAGACGAACCAAGGCTTGCCTGATGAGCCTCCGCCGGACTACGATGAGGCACAGGCACAAGCGGTAGCCGCTCGATTCGATGAGCGGGCGCGTGAGGATGCGGAGAGACAGTAACGACACTTTACGAAACGTGATTGAAATCTAGCGGAACGATCGTAGCACCTTATTATTGCGTTACATTCTGCCAGTCAGGCCGGTGGGGTGCAGCCTATTTATGTGGTGGTACACAGAAGAAGGCGTTACTATACTTTTGGCCATTGCGATGCGGCTGCATGTTACCATTTGGGATCCCTCCCTATGAAACTGCTTATATACGCTGAACAGTTCTTCCTCGCCCAGTGATGTTCTGATTCTGGTATCGTTCTTTCCACACCCGGCATCGGATTGAACAGTACGTAACTGAAATATGCGGGCTGGCGGCTTTCACTAGTTGATGGCTGGAGAGCAAGGGAGGGGGGCCGACCCAGGTAGACCTATCCTACCAACAGTGAGCTAGTACAATCATGGCGCTCGCCTAGAAGATGCTATTTCGGATTGGATAGGTGACTCCAGAAGGATTTTAATGCATTTCCTTCTGTTGTGCTGTGCCGGGTCTGGGATTGAGTTTGATTTTTCGATCTGATAAGGTATGGGCTGTCTGAAAATGGCAGTAATTTCCTGTGCGTGTCAGATTCTATAGTAGATATTGAGATGAAAGAGCTTTATTTCTAGATAAAAGCAGATGTAGTCCTCAAGTCCTAGGCCGCTCGCTCGAGCATTATGTGCTTTTGACGCACCAGCTGGCCCCAGCTGCCTGGACCTGAGAGGCCCACTTCTGGCATTTGAGGTTACCGTGGCCAATCAAAATGGCTCAATTGACAAGGCGGATCGATCAAGCACGGTTTAATTTCTCAGCGACAACTTCCGAACGGCCATCCATCACAACACACCCGCTCAATCCTCCTACCACCAGCCATTGGACCACTGCAGCGTCAGCTCTGACCGCAATGGGTATCTGGGACACCATCACCGACTTGGTCGAGGCTGCCACGCCTTGGACCACGGCCGAAGCCGAAGCTCCGCAGCCCGAGGAACAGGTACGACATCATTGTTCTTTTCGGAACGGCTATGCCAGATCGAAGGCGGCGGGCTCTACTCAACATGCGCCCGCTGTGATAAGTCCTGCGGAGCTCTTTTTTTTTTTTTTTTTTTTTTGCGAGCTCTTTCACTTCCTTACAAATGAGATCCGCTAACTAGTAGATAGGAGTCCAACGACGAGCCCGCAGAGGAAGAGGAGGGTGGCGAGGACGAGGAAGAAGAGGAGGAAGAGGATGACGAGGAAGAAATCGTGGATCCTAAGGAGAAGTTTGAGGAAGGTTCGTCAGCACCCATTACTCCATACCACTATCGACCGATCTTCAAGGACAGTCTATAGCGACACCATGCCTGCCACAAAAGCCCGGACAAACGGCTCGATTTCAAAACGTCATGGGTGATGCTAATAATGCGGGATAGAGTGCAAAGAGTCCAAGCAATGTGCACCTGCAAAGCACCACTTTGACGAGTGCGTCGAGCGAGTCACCCAGCAGGAGGAAGACGGAGGTGCCAAGGAGGACTGCGTCGAAGAGTGTAAGCTTCCCAAAACCCAAGCGCGTGGAAACCCGACTATCTTGTCATTGACGTTGAAAACACGATGCTAACAAATAGGCTGTTCCAGTCTTCCACCTTGCCCACTGCGCCACCCAATGTGCCGCTCCCAAGCTCTGGTCGGTCCTCAAATAAACGACGTGGACGAGCAACCCATCTTACGACTACCGGCGCATCATATGGATATATATGGTTTGTAGAACGCATCGCCGGGAGGTTCCTCAAGAAGGGAGTCCTAGCCACCACCACGCAACTTTGGTGGCACGGTGGTGGTTATGTAACACGATTGCGGCTCGCATGATGGCATGGAAGACAATAAAGCTCAAGCATCGCCTGCCTCTGTACCATACACTGCATCAAAATCACACTCTTAGATCATTATTACACGAATACTCGCTGTCGTTGGTCCGGAACAGTGATCTGTGGCAGGGGAGACCTGCTACATCTAACATGTCAACTTGATAGTCCAAGCCACCGAGCTATCGCCGATTGCAAGGTTTTCATACTTCACGACTCACTGGAAGTCGGTCCTTGTCGACCCGAAGTGGAGCTGGTAACCATTGTCGCATTGGGTAACTTTACTCAGGCGCATGGGATTCGACTCGATCACGTCTTCTGGTTTTGATAGGTGCATTACGTGCGTTATTTGACTGCCATACCTAGGCATTGCTCGAGAATTTCAAGCCACCATTCTGCGCAGTTATCTGCAATTGAAAGATTAGACATGCAACACTGCTCGACTGCTTGTCTCGATTCCAACTTCTTCGGCTGAGTGGATGACCGGCTCATTAAGCATTTCCAATGTTACCTCAATCCGAAAAAAGATGTTGAACCCGAGCAGGTGCTCCAATCAGGCCGGGCCGCAAGCCTTTAATCACACCTCCTTCCATTTACGGCGACATGACGGCCTAGGATAATGGATCCCGCGTGTTCGCGCGAAGCTGCGAAGAGAACTGTCACAGGAGTCGTTTCCCAATAAGTCTTTGGGGTTAGTCAGAAAGTACCCAAACAACCAGACATGTGCCAGGGCTGTACATCAGGGGAATCATACGATCGGATCTGCGGTTTGGCTTATTGCAACAACAATAGCGCATGAAAGTGTCGCAGGCTGTTGATGTTGGATCGAATGAGAATGGCTCGGTTGCGCAGGTGCATCGGAGGATTCGCCCGTAGCAGACAGCTCATATAAGGGCTTAGCGTTACCTAAGGTCATGGATGGATCGGTTTGAGGCACAAGGGTTATTGTGGCAGTCTCGTTCCTCCGAACGCCTCTTTTCCTTCTCAGTGACAAGTTCCCCTCTCTTGTTTTTCTTACTGAATGGCTTTTGGCGAATTGGAAAGGACGAACACTTTTTTAATACCAGTTTCCCGCAGTCCGTCAGCTCAGCGACCTGGAGCGTCAGCCCAAGCCAATTTCCCCAGGTTTCAGCGAGTCAACACGCCCTGGTCAATCCGCTCCGTGCGCCGCTAAAGCAAGCCATAGCCCCCGTAGGAGCCAACTGCGATAAAGTGCACTTCCTGTCAGTCTGCGGCCCAACCTCCCATCTGCTCAGATGGCATTCGACAGCGGCTGCGACGAGAAACAGCTGGGGAAGCAAGCAGCGACAGCCAACGAGATCGCAACGCCCGCCGACCTAAAGGAGGCGGGCCAGCCGCCGGTCGACGACACTGTCATGCGCAGCATGTCGCCCCAAGCCAGCAAGGGCGACAACTATACGGGCTCGCTGGACGCTGGTGATGACGATCTCGCGCCGCAGGGTTCGGCCGAGTATGGAGACGTCGCGGTGAGCGTGGGTCCGGGGGATGAGGGTGATCGTGCGCGTGCGGATGTGGAGTATAAGGTCTATACACGGAGGTGGTTTGGTGTCGTGCAGTTGACGCTGTTGAATATCGTTGTGAGCTGGGACGTAAGTGGGACTTTGCTTCGCTTCTTTTCAACCGTTCCTTGAAGGATGACTGTGGGAGTCTGTGGGTGTCGTTGGTCCTGCTGCTGCAGGGCGGTGAGATGCTGAGATGCAGGTACTGATCAGCGTTGGGGGTCATGATGGCTTACTGTCAGGCCCCCATGAACTACCGCCTCGCAGCTATGGTTACATGCATTCAGCATCTGACGATGAAACTTGCAATGACCTACAGGAGAGAGAGCCTCGCGCTAACATACCTGATCCTGATTCGTAGTGGTTGACCTTCTCCCCAGTGTCGCAATTCGCGGCGACATACTACGACACCACCGAGTCCACCATCAATTGGTTGGCAACAGCTTTCATGTTTTCCTTCGTTTTCATATCGCCAGTAGTCATCTACATCCTGCACTGGGGGCCAAAGCCGTCTATTATCACCGCCGCTGTGCTTGTTCTGGCCGGTAACTGGATCCGCTTTGCCGGATCTCATTCCGGTGGTGGCGGTATCTTCGGTGTCGTCATGTTCGGTCAGATCCTGACGGGACTTGCCCAACCCTTTGTCTTGAGCGCACCAACCCGCTACTCGGATCTCTGGTTCACCAGCCGCGGTCGCGTCGGTGCTACCGCCTTGATGAGTCTTGCCAACCCCTTCGGCGCCGCGCTGGGCCAGCTCGTCGTGCCCTTCATCTGCACCAAGCCCAGCGAGGTCTCGAGCATGGTCCTCTACGTCTCCGTTATCGCGTCCGTCTGCGCCATCCCGTCCTTCTTCGTGCCCGCCGAGCCGCCTACTCCCCCTGCGCCCTCGGGCAAGACCCCCAAGGCTTCGCTCAGGGAGTCGCTCCGTCTGTGCAATTCGCTCGAGTGCTGGCTGCTGCTGGTCCCCTTCGCCGTCTACGTCGGCTTCTTCAACAGTATCTCGTCGCTGCTCAACCAGATCCTCATGCCCTACGGCTTCAGTTCCGATGACGCCGGCATTGCCGGTGCTGTCCTCATCGTTGTCGGCCTTGTCGCCTCCGCCGTCGCGAGCCCCCTCCTCGACCGCACGAAGCAGTTCCTCTTGTCCATCAAAATCTTCGTCCCCGTCATTGGCCTCATGTATTTCATCTTCATCTGGATGCCCGCGACCCGTGGCGTCGCGGGCCCGTATGCCGTCCTTGCCCTGCTCGGCGCGAGTTCCTTCTCTCTCTTGCCCGTCGCGCTGGAGTACCTGGGCGAGCTTTCCCATCCGTGTAGTCCCGAGGTGACATCCACGTTCGCCTGGGCTGGCGGTCAATTGCTGGGTGGTTGTTTTATACTTATTAGCGATGCGCTGAAGGCAGGGCCGGAGGCGAATCCCCCAGTCAACATGTCCAGGTCGCTGATCTTCACGGCCGTTATCGCCCTGGCGGTTGTACCACTGCCGCTGGCATTGGGTATGTTTGGACGCCAGGATAATGTGGTGCTGAGGAGAGTCAGGAGCGATGACCGGCATTTGGAGCATGAACATGCTCACCGAGACGTGGTTGCCTGACTTGACTGCATTTCTCTTACATTGTCTTGGAAATTAATGAAAGTACGAATAATAAGTCTCAGTAACATGAGACACTGGAGAAGGATACCTAGGCAGTACATGATATCGTACGCCGCCGAAGTGCATATATAGCCTACATATATAATTGCCAACTTCTTGTGAAGTATCTGCGAGATTCCGTTGGCTTGTTGTGATTTATCAGAAGCCCCCGTTCTGTGACGTTGTTTGTTGTATGACGATGTGAATTGCCATGGTGACGCCGCACGCGTCCGCGGTTGAATTCCGACAGCCCGGCACCAGTTTTGGCAATGCTGCGACATAGGGTTTTAGTTAAATATTTGAGTACCCATGAAGAATAATCTTTTTGACAACTCTGTACAATTCTTCAGCTATGACATTAAGGTGCCGTGGCTTGAGATCAAGTAACCCCGTCTATTAGAGCTATCGATTTTGACGGGTGTTCATATATACTACTGTTAGTTATTTATCTAAAGCAAGTTTCATCAGACTGTTTCATTAAATGCCCTATACAGCCCCTCCAGCCCAGACGAAAGAGGCGTCGAGGTGCGGTTCTACGCCTTCCTATTACCAGCTGCCTTGCTCTGATCGCGGCCGAGCACACTCTCCCATAGCACTCTCAGCCTCTCCAGTTCCTGCCAGCAGCCCACAGCCTCGTCCTCAAACTTCTTACGCTTCCCATCTGTCAACTCGACCGCGTCCCATTTCCTCCCCTTCAACTTTCGCAAAATCCCAGCATCGTCATCCTGTTTCAGCGCCTCCGCGTCCTCTATTTTCCCTTCCCAACCCCAGCCCTCGACTTCGGTCTTCTTCGCTGCTGAGCGGCCCAAGCGGTCACACGAAGACCCCCATTTCACGTGTTGAGCATTCTCGGCATCGAGCGTCGCCTGGTCCGCAAGCGCAAGCCAGACGGTGGCGCAGGCGCCGAGATATGAGTTCACAACGTGCCAGGGTGAGCCGAGCCAGCGCGAGATGTACATGGCCATGTAGTAGCCGACGAAGAGGACCGCATTGAGGGGAAACAGACACGTGCAGACGATGCCGGGGTGGGAGAGGTAAAATTTCGGTCGGATCGCTTTGGGGACTTCGGGATTTGTGAAAAACGAAGCTGAAGCTTTCTGCGCTCTGGGGAGGTCAGCTGTCAGACTGATGAGATCTGTAATGCGCTTGCTGCTTTCGTAGGGGCCATGACTTCGCAATGCCTCGAAATCGTCGAAGTCGAGATGGCGTTCTTCGGCGTCGATACTGCTTGTCCATACCACGCGCGCGGGAGTCTCGTCGGGACTCGACCGGCTGAGGAGAGGTAGCAGTTCGTGTGCCAGAATATAATGCCCGAAGACATTAGCACAAAAGACCTCGGCTAGTTGAGGCTGGTCTTCCTTGGCCTGTACTTCCGAAGTAGATATCTCTTGCGGCGGCAGCGCCTTGCTTGGTATTGCTACCTTAAACGACGGGAAGGTAGTTGCTTGCACCATTCCCACGCTGAAAAACTGCCGCGCAAACTCGAGCCAACTCAGGCCAGACCAGCCGCCATACCCAGCGTTCAGAAGGACAGCATCGAGGCGCGGAATGGCCACAGGCTGTCCCCCCGCAGTGATACCCGTCGGGTCTCGTATATCCCCTCGATCAAGTCTTTCGGCCGCCTCATAGACCGAGGGTAGCTTACAGAGGTCCAATTCAACCGAGAATAAGTGAATTCGATTGATAGCGCTTTGCGCATTGTAACCTGGGCGAGCACGAAGATTCCTCGACCCGACAGCCTTTGTGAGGTGCGCACGTAGCACGTGGATCGTCTCGCTCGACTTCGTCGTTGATCGAGTGGTAGGGATGAGGATTAGATGTGAGGATACGGAGCGCGTGGCGAGGAATTCGTCTATTAGGCGTTGTCCTATTCCCAGGCCCACACCACTGCTCGCTTTATCAGTCTAAGAATGTCGAGGGCAAAGTTCAAACCGTAGTGTACCTGTTGGCCCCTGTGAGGAGAATGAAGTATTGCTCATGGCTGGCTGCTCCTTCCCATGGAGCTGAAGCCATTTTCTTGGGCCTTCTTTCACGCCTTGTAAAACTCAAGACCTTGCGCCACTGAGCTTAACATAGGATGTTAGAGTGGACTGGTCGCACGGAGCGTTGGACGGGTGTTGATAGTCTGGTGTCGGGGGTTTCAAGTCGAAAGCCAACAATGAAGGCGCAACACTTACCACAACTAACGGTGCCGGAAATACTGGCTGGTTCAGTATCGAAAAATCATATCTAGAACTACATACCTCGTGATGATATAACGTTAATCGACTCCTAATGGCATCCCGGAATTGGGCGGTCAGTCGCGGCCCAGAGCGACCAAGGATGATACGGTGTCCGAAACTCTGTTGCCCGCCACCTTGCGCTGTCTTGTTCCACATCTGCAAAAGTAGGTAATGTAATCAACCCATAAGCGGGCCACACCCCTTAGCGAGCCACCCAATTTCGGCTTATTATCTTTACTAAACGCATTTAGAAGGAATTAACGCTTATTGGCAATGTATTTATTAGTTGAAAATAGCGTTATGAATAGCTTTAACCTTGCTTATTATGCTGTTATTGAGGGATTCAATCCTCTATTGATGACTCTGCGTAGATCCTGTCTTGATTGATCTGTCTATCTGCTCCGTTGTGTGTAGTGTGTAGCTATTTTATCTACGAGGAAGGGTTTGACCCCACTAGTGCAATTGCCGCTACACCTCCTTCGGCCTAGGGCATAACCGTGGCGCTCAATCCCACAGTTACTAATCATCCCCTTATTATGCTAAAATGGTGACTCGCTTAGGGGTGTAGCCCACTTACAGTTGGATTACGCGACATCATGGAGTTAAAACGAACTTGAAGCTCCCCCAATACTTGGGCTGTCCACCAAAGGTCTCTTTGGTAGCTGTCTCATTCTCTGGTCGTTCAGCCCTATGTAGAGTAAGCACAAGTCGGCGATGAACAGAGGAGCATTATTAGTCCTCTTAGACGCTAGGGCTAACTAGATTTTCGAGGTACGGTAAGAACTTTAACCGCCTTAACGCCCCCTTGAAACGTACCTCCATTTGCAAAACTTAGCTCCTTTTTCCTTAACAATGATAGTAACATATATGATAAACAACTATTATTTTAGAAATAGTTATGGTTAGTTTCGAACCCTACATTAAATATACCTAATATCTTAAATCTGTCACGGGGCTAGGGCCGGCACCGCATGTATATTGGTACTGCACGAGCTGGCTGATGTTCCATTCTTCGTACTACAACAATAAACTACTGGTACCCCCATACACGACCCTGACAAAATCTCTAGGGTATAGCATTTAATACGCGGTATAGGTAAAACTTGATAGATTTACGCTGGATATGCGTTAGACTATTAAGAAAGGGTATAAGAAGAGTTTCACTAACTTATTAGATTCTAGAATCATGTAAAGCAACGTAAAGCTAAGAAGTATATGTTTAGATGACTTGAAATTACCATTGTTTTGCTGCTTCATTTGATCGAGTGATGTCGACATTTCGCAAGGATGACGTTTTCCTTTTCAGTCAAATTGAATAGCACATAGAAGTTTCCAGCCTGCCATTGGGTCCCAGGGAGCACAAGTCGAGTTTCCTCATATGTTCAATATGTCCGGTAATCAAACCTTCTGGTGAGTCCTTTCGGAGTGCGCTTGTGCTCCTACAGTGTGCTTGCCGGAAATCAAGGAAGCATCGCGCGATCTTTAGCAACGGTCTCACCACTCGACAGTATTAAGGCCTTTTATGCTGCACCCAGCCTCTACTGCTTCTCAACTTCACGCGTTTCTCCATTCATAGGCAGTCTTCTTTGAGAGTCAACCTGTCTTACCACATACACAATTTATCTATTATAGCCCCCCTCTATCTGCACTCCAACGGCCTTATTTGCACCCGACAGCCGTCGCGTCGCGTCTCTCTCTCAACCCACCCAACGCCCCAATTCCCTCCACGGACTTCCTCGTCATGCACAAGGGGCTAGATATGACTTGGTACACCAACGAATTTCAGACTGGTGTTGTTCCCTCCGAGGTTTGGTGCCTCGTGAGCTGGGTTGCATTCGTCTTCGTAAGTATTTGCTGCCTAACTAGCTTGCCGTGTCAACCGTTTAATTGATTTGGTGGACACAGAAACTCGCCAGCCTAGCATTCGCTTTCCCCATCATTGGCTTGATCCTCTTCGACTTTTGTCTCTGGATCTGGAGACTGAATCTACCGCCACCTCGAGACACGCCCCGATCCAGTGTTGCCGCCAGAACTCCCACAGCCGATCACGGAATGCACCATGCCGCTGAACCTGGTTTCATAAACACTACGGCCATGACGGTTGGTGGTGGTGCCACGGGCGAGAAGCGAACCGGATACTCAGCAGATACAGGAAACTGATGGCTACACACCATAACAACGAAGAAATGGCAGCATGCTTTCATTATACCCCGGGAACACCGAGTGACATTTGTGTAGAAGCTTCGACTATTTACTAATTTGGGAGATCACCTTCAGCAAATCGCTCGTGACACCCATGGCGGTAACATCTCCACCAGCACCCGCACCTTGTACAATGAGGGGGTTACTTCCGTAGCGCTTAGTGTAGAAGCTGATAATATTATCACTTCCCTTGAGCGCGGCAATCGGGTGTGACCGATCGAACATCTCCAGTCCCACCTTGACTGCCTTGGTGGCAACATCGATACTGCCCACGAATCTTACAACCTTGCCTTGGTTTCCGGCTGCAGCCTTGGTTTCCTCCATCTGCGAGTCAAACTCTGGAAGTCTCTGCAGAAATTCGTCTCCACTGGAGACAGACTCCAATTCTTTGGGAATCAGGCTCTGCACTGGGAACGAAGTCGGCGACTCAACGGGTAACCCAGCCAGGCGTGCAAGGATGGTCAACTTTCTTGCCACATCAAGACCGTTCAGATCGTCTCGGGGATCGGGCTCCGTGTAACCCAACTCTTTGGCTTTCTTGACTTCGGCAGACCATTGACCTCCAGAGCCTTCGAGCGGGGCAAAGGAGTTGAAAAGGAATGACATGGTGCCGCTGAACACACCCTCAATCTTAGTCACCTCGTCCCCGGTATCCACCAAGTCTTTGAGGGTCGAAATGACTGGCAATCCTGCACCGACCGAGGACTCGTGGTAGACCTTGGCTCCAGAGTCGGCAGCTGCAGCGAAGATCTCCTGCCACAACTTGTATGAGCCTGAGAAGGCCTTCTTGTTGGGGGTCACGATGCTGATACCCCGGCTCAGGAAGCTAGGATAGGCATCTGCCACATCTTGCGAGCTCGTATTGTCCACCAGTATCACTTTCGATGGCGCTGCAGCTAGATAGTCGACAATATTGGGCAGGGCGAAAGGTACTTTGGTGGAGGCAGCGAGTTCATCGACTGCAGTTTCGGTTGGGATAGGAGAGTAATCATTGTTGAACAAGGCTTTCTTGCTCGTGGAAATGTAGCAGATGCTAAGCTTAGGGGTCGGTCGTCGGCTGGCCAGTGTTTGCAGCTGCGAGAGGAAGCATTTGCCCACTCCTCCAGCGCCTGCGGATAGCTGTGTAAGCCAGATGAATCTTGAACATAGAACATACATAGCACAGTTATACAACTTACCGATAATGGCAATCAGGACCTGGTTTGCTGACGACATATTGACTTTGCAGTAACTACAAGTAGTTTCCAGCGTACTTGACTATTGAAACTCTCGATTGGATGGATTCAACTTCAGAATTAACTGGCGTGATACAGGATCGTGACGACGTGGAGTAGTGAAATCTGAAAATCTCCAGGGCCACAACTGTAGCGACCGATCGCGGGGCAGGTCGGGGATCAGCACGCCGAGGGCTTTGGTGGGGCAAACGGAATTTCGGCCTTCTAGGTACAAAGTAACCTCAAAGGTCCGTAGCCATCGTCCCAGGATGCGACACCTTTATTCACAACAACTTTCGACTTTGCAAGAATTCATCCGACGATCCAGGACGCTCTATTCGGACTTCTGATTTCCTTACAGAACATAGCCGACTACCCAAGATGCCCCAAGACCCAAACCTTTACGGCCAACGGCCAGCCAAACGGCAGAAGAAAGAGATCGCACTTTCCAGCTCCCTCGCTTTCACATCGCAACTGGCATCTCTGCTCTCCACGCCATCTACCTCCACGGCATCCGCAACTGCCGGCCGGGCTCGTCCATCAAAGATTAAAGACGATTTGTTCTCGGTAAAGGCAAAACGGAAAGCCCCTAAATCCAATGATGGGGGCGCAAAGCTTACCCTGAGGGAGACGAACGGCACGGAAGAGGAGAAACAAGACTTTTCGCGCGGAAAGCGGAAGATGGAAGAGAAAGCACGTTTATATGCCGCCATGAAGCGCGGGGACTACATTGCGAAAGAAGGCGAGACAGCGCCGTTGGTGGATTTCGACAAGAAATGGGTTGAATCGCATCCCGACGATACGAATCAACACTCAAGCTCAGGGACCGACGATTCCGAGGACGAGGGGTCTACAGAGATTATTGAGTTCAAGGACGAGTTCGGACGCACGCGACGCGGTACAAGGGCCGACCTGGCACGGCAGGAGAGAATGGCTCAGAGGAGGGCACTCGGGGCTGAAGAACTGGAACGCTTGAGTGCGAGGCCCAAGGCGCCCGAGAAGCTGATTTATGGCGACGAGATCCAAACCCATGCCTTCAACCCCGAAGACGAAACGTGGGACAAGATGGAACAGTTGGCCGCCAAGAGAGATCGTACACCTACTCCTCCGCCGGACCTGCACTATGACGGGAACCACGAGATCAGGACAAAAGGTGTGGGCTTTTACCACTTTAGCAAGGAAAAGGAGGCCAGGGATGCCGAAATGGTGGCCTTGGATAAGGAAAGGGATAATACGGAGCGCATCAGACGGGAGAGGGAAATGGAGAAGGAACGAAGGCGAAAGGAGATCGAGGAGCGGAGACGCAAGATCGGCGAGAAGAGGGCGGAGAAGATGGCTGATAACTTCCTGGAAGGGCTGGCTGGAGAATTGGTTTCTAGCTCTGTGAGGAAGGAACCGAGTGAGGAGGCTTGAATAGTCCTGGCTCCTCAGTAACTGTCCCTTCTCCTTTTTGAGGCGTCCGACTGTACTTCACCACGGTGGCTTCAAACTCTATGAAGCTGGATCAACCAAAGAACCCAATCTTCTATAGATGACACGTCGTCAACGAGGCATTGTAGATTATTGCAATAGCATGCGCTTCCTCCTCGAAACCATTTTTTGTACTCAACTAGTACTTTCACTTGACGTAACTCACTATTTCGGACCACGAAGAGCTCCGCAAACACACACATGGCAAAGGACAACTTGCAACATATCAACGTATACGAACGTATACGGCAATAACTTCGTTTTTCCTTGTTCATCATGGATTCCACCACGGAAATGCTCGGCAACCTGTTTCGCCGGCTTAGCGACAAGGACTACGTGCATTCCTCCATGGACAAGCTCGACGACCTGTTTTATCTGCTTAGCAAGGACTACTCAACATCAATGCCGTCGCCAGTCCGATTGCCACCAGCGATCGAGGTGGTTGGCGACGTCGCTGGCGTCCTATATTTGCTACTGTCGGCTGGTGTAGTTGGTCACTTCGCTGGTAGATAAGTCCCGATTTGAGCCTCGCCCACTTGGGTCGGTGACGAGTCGCGGGTTCGAATCCTGCAGCTGACACACAAGGGGGTTTAGTCAACCCTTATGGCGCGCTGCCCACCTTGTTGACTTCGCCTACCTAGCGATAATAGGGAGATTGGTGCAGTTTAGGATTACGAGCATCCTAGCCAGTCGACCGTCAAGCACTACGTCGGCGGAATATAACTCGACAGCCGGTCCAGAATTCGAATCGTTAATCCGGCCCCTTATCGGACCTCGCCTATCCGATAACGCTCGTCGGCGAACCCGTCCCCTCACGATAGAAGGCGCGCAGCACGCCCTCTCGCCGCGATTCTTGCGAGCGTCTAGACCACGTTACGGTCTATCCACTTGAGCGTATGGTTGAGATGTATACGCTCGACGAGAACCCCAATTAGCAGATACTACGACTTGTCGCGACAAAAAATAGTCGAGCATCTTCTGCACATCAGCAGCATCCCACCCCTGAGGACGAATTTAAGTGCCACATTACCACACTTATCGGTAGTTCAGGCAGGGGTTGTAGCACAGACTTAGGGAGGGACAGGAGGTTTAGTAGTCGTTTGGCTACAAGTTTACCTGTATAACCGCCCGACGCGGCTTAAGGGCCCGCTATATCATCTATAGCCCCTTAAGGGAGTACTTGTAGAGGTACCGAGGGTTAACACCTACGGCGTATTTAATATTATTTATATTTGCTACTTCTCGTTGTCGGCCTCGTCATGGTGTTCTATCATAAAAGTCTGTCGAACGCTTACGCTCTCCGTATCACCGGCATCATCGGCACCATCGGCACCATCGGTATCATAGGCACGCAAACCTTGTTGGATATGATCAAATTGGGCTATCACATGATCCCATATTGGACAGTGAAGAACATCGAGTTCGTCGTCGGCTCCGTGTGGTCCTTCTTAAAGACGCCCGAGGGGCAAGTGGTGGCGCTTCTGTATGGGTTGACGTGGAGTCTCGTAATCTTCTTCATTGTGACGTTGTTTGTGGTGTTGATGGTGGTTGGCTTGGTATGGTTCTACCGTCACTATTTCCCCAAGCAAGACCGGCAGACCCAGGACCTCAAGGGATCTGAGGCGGACGACTCCGTGGCCTAACCGTTGAACTCCAAGTACGTGCTGCTTTCTGGTTTCTGCGGTCGGTGTTGGGTGGCCGGCACATGCATGCACAGCGTTGGAAAAAAGGGCATCTTTGGGAATAAGGGGGGAGTGAGCGGGGAGCGGGGTCGGTACTGCTATTTGACTGTTATTTGGTGGACGGTTGAAAGGATGTCACGCTCGACGGCGGCATTGCTGTACCAGGTAATGATTGTCTGAATAAAACTAGTATTGCCAGTACATCTGATTGAAGTTAGCAATGCGACTGTATCATAGATGATCTATCATTTGTTCGTCGACGTTCATTTAACTCCTGCCGTTTTCGCTTATAAGTCGTAGCATAATGTGTATATCCATGACGGCATCACAGATTCGACACGAATATATTCTTGGGCCAACATAATCACGCCTCTCTAACCGCCTCCTCTAACCGGCATTTTCCATATGTTGCCTTTTATTCTTTTGTATTTCATGACGGGGAAAGGGTGATGGTTGGGTATATGATAAGAAAGAACATCTACATAGCTACAGGCACGTAAGGGACGAACAGGAGCAATGACCTCCTGTGAACTGTCGAGGATCAATCGTAGGCCAAAATTGTGTGTGCCACAGAACCATAAAGAGTGCTAAATACATCAGCACTTTACCTACCATAGTAGAGGAACATGCTGGAGTAGTTAGTACATGACTCGCGAACTTGACCTCCAGATACCAGGATTATCCTTACCTTTTAGGAAAATTCGTCGTGTTTCGACACTTGAGGATATAGAAAAACCAGAGGGGGAACGTTCTATAATAACTTGTCACACTGAATTACTGCGGGACGTTTGGCAGACGGCGGGTGTGCCTCGGCGTTCCTTCTGCCCAAGTTTGAAATCAAGATTTGCATTCGGGCAGTCAAGTTGGGGACTTGCATGGTTTTTTGTCGACCTTATCTGCCTGGCATGAGTAGTTGATCCTCGATTCAGTTTTGTGGGGGCCTTGTTTCTCCCTATTCCAAATTGCCTTCACAGCATGTTGAACGAATCTAAGAGAAGGCGAGTAGTATCGGGCACAGCGGATACCCGTGTTCATGTTTGTTCTATTGGTTGCCTCCTAGTGATGCGGCGTCATCTCATGTTTCGTCCGTTTTAGCACACGAATTTATGCATCACATGACACCGGTAGCACGGAATGTTGAGTCGCTTAGTCGTGGAGGCCGCGATCCTGTTCGATCACAGCGGGCGTCTCATCAGGACAACTGGTCCAACTAAGATCAAAGTGTTGTAGCGGCAGGGGCTGTATGCGTAAGAAGCCCGCACCCCGCAGCATCCCGGATACAGATGCTGTTATATGTGCTGGTCGAGTCTGCATAAGGTGATATCATGACAATATTGGCTTCACTGAAGAATGCGGCGTAAGAGGCCAAGGCCTAATCGTAATCATGCTCCTTATACACCCCTCAGTGCTAACTCCTGCCGCGCTCTATTGCAAAGCTCTATCAAGGTGTGGGCTGCCCATTCAAAATCTGCATGTTCCAAATATATCTGACCGCTAAGTCTCGTCCAAAATGCCCCATTATAATACCGGGTAGGCAAGTAGCTGTCATACTCAATAATAGACTTCTCCGAGATCCAATTCGCGGTTGCGACAGCCTCTTGGGGACAACCTGCTTCCTCGGACGTCAAGGGCAAGCGCACGTTGGTGAAGCAGCACCTGCACAGCGTCTTTGTTTTGTTTTCAAGCACTTCAGTGCCCATGATTTGTGCCATTAGCATACCCCCTTCTCGGGCAATTCTGCTGCCGTACTCCCGAACCTGCTCCTCGCCACCGCAAACCTCACTCCTGAATCTCAGAGCTTCGCTGATGCAGAGGTATGGCGTGAAATCGATGGTGCCCACCCTGTTAAAGAGGTTGACGAAATAGTCTGTAACTGGCATCCCTCGTCTCTCCCGCTCCGGCAGAAAATCCTCTGACGTGGGGAACGTCGTCTTGATCAAGTGCTGATTTCGGAAGGGCACGTAGAGGGCCGAGCACCCTTGAGGCACCATGATCCATTTGTAACAGTTGCTGATGAAGAAGTCTGGTCCTAGGCCAGCCATGTGGTAGAGCGAAATGTGGCCAATCCCGTGAGCTCCGTCTACACACGACATGACGCCAAATTCACGGCATTTGGCCAACATCCTCTCCCAAGGAAAGCGAACACCGGGGAAGGTGAGGACAGTATCGAAGCTAGCAAGCTTTACCCTCTTTCCTTGCGTTTGGACATCAATGATAGCTTTCTCGAAGAGGTTCAAAACCTCATCGTCCTCGATTGGGTATACAAGCGATATCGAATGACCTTGGACAGCTGTCGTCTCCTCTAACGACTGTATCGTTCTTAGGAACGAAGAGTACACCGTACTGAAATACAGTATAACATCACCATCTTCATAGACCAAATTGCGCACCACCGTGTTAAAGGCCGTGGAGGCGTTGGGCACCAAGACAACCTCGTCCACGTGTGCTCCAAGAAGAGGGGCAACAGCACCTCGCGCTTCACGCAATAGTTCCGGATAAGCAATCCGACGGAACGTGTCTGGGCGTTCCTGGGCTTGTTGCTGTAGAAATTGTTGGTACTGCCGGACGGCCTTGGGGAAGGTTCCGAATGACCCATGGTTGAACGGTCGGTAGCTAGAGGCGAAGTCGAAATGTCTAAGTCGCATTTCCCTACCGAACGGCGTTGGTTCTGGCCCAAGCTGTCGCTCAGCTAGGATGAGCATGGTTGGATTGTTGCCACACCCGTTGGGGCATGGGTGACAAGTCCAGGATGCTATCAAGCGCCGGAATGCTCTGGATATGTCGCGACTTCTCGCTAGAGGCTGCAGTTGCAATGGCTATGATCACGATCTTCGATTTGGCATGCTGTTCTTGCCATACTTCTTCTCTGCAATCAACTTGAGCCGCACGTTTCAGACATATACACGATACTATATGAAGTATAGTGCTTACGGGTCCTTCGTATTCAGCATCTGCATATGCTCAGCCGAAAACATGCTGAATTGAGCATGTATATGTACTTGACGTTCGGTAACCACCAGTTTTGGCAGTGCCTTCCGTTGCGAATGGTTAGGATCCCACCGTATTTGAGCTGCGGTTTCCATCTAGACCACCACAGCTGGTTAGACGTTTGGAGACATTGATACACGGTGGGGAAATGCCGTCGCTCAACACCTTGACACGCCGAAGAGCGTTGTAATAAGAACAGGCTGATATCAGTCGGAGAAGTGCAGAAGGTCTCTCCCACGGACTGCACATCCTCTCTCCCTTCGAGCTTCTCTCTAGAGTCAACTAAGTCTAGCTATGTAGAAACGAACCCTGCTTGCAATAAACGAACTACCGGATTTAACAATACCAAGGATCCAAGCCCTGGGACAGCAGCCGGGGCGTCGGGGTGGATCGTGGCAGGAAACCCAGATAGTGAGGCTCAAGCGGGGTCTCTGATGTCGGAAAAGCTTACTTTAGCAACAGCGGTACCCCGGCACGAAACATCGGCGCGACTCTCCCGTGCGTCCCTCCAGGACAGAAACATGGACGCACATGATCCAGCGTTGTGTCAGTCCGTCATCAGGCCACCAAACCAAACACGGCACTTGTTCCGTGATAGCGGAATTGGCAACTTTGGCAGTTTCTCATCTTATGCTTCTCGTCGCATCTGAACTCGGATCATTCGGGATCGCAGAGTTCGACTTTGGTTCAAGGCTAAAAACGAGGAGCGCACTATTGCCGCTGGACGTTGGAGTCCGTCTTTCCAAGAATGCATCAGTCATTTCACATCTCACTGGGGATGCAAGAAATTTGACCGAATGTGCCCTCTTGGCCATACTTTGTGTCGACACTGGCAGGGAACTTGACTCGGTATCACCGAACCGGCAACAACCCCAGGGCTGTCATACGAGCATCATTTTGACTATTTTCACGATAACCTTTTTCGCCATGTGGACATCGAATACAGGCATGCAAGACAGAGTGGCTTCTGTGTTCTGTACCAACGCTCAATCCGACTAGTTCGGTCGCGGCAGTATGACTCCATCAATTTAAGCTCAACTTGACCATTCCTTTTTTCAGATGCCACAGATTGGAAATGCGCTCCCTCGTCGGCCCAAAAGAGCACTTTGGGTCACTTGAGCCGATCCAAGCTTGTTCGCCTTAGAGACACTTGAGATTTCAGCCCGTTTAGCCGGACCAGCCGCCCCCAAGAAGCAGTCGCGTCGCATTTCTACCAAGCACAGTGTATTTGCGAAAATCAAGCCCGTCTGGCTGCAAACTAAAATTCCAAAACACGTTACAGTAGCACACTGCGACTATTCGAAAACCCTGTACCGTATTGATAGCAATGTTGACCTACTCGGCACTTCTCGCTGACGGTTGTCTGGCAGTCGGCAGACACCGCAGTTCAAGAGGCTGCCAAGACGCGATGTGGCTCCTGAAACGGGTACCCAGATTACTATTCCCCGCTACGGCGCAACATGAGTGTCTTTGTCTCAGACTTTATTTCCTTCAACGATGACTTGGGAATGCTTCACTCGATACACATGTCCTGTCAGCCAGCGTGAGGCTCTGCAACTGGTTCAATCCTTCCGTGGGAGGTCCTATCTGATGAAAGCATAAATGACGGCAATCAATTGCCAAAGTCACCCACAGGCAAGGGGTTAATGCGAGGGCGGGCAGAAACAGGGAGGCCCGGCGCCTTGCAAGGAATCCAGGGCCGAGCCAATAAACCTTCTCACACGAAGAAACCTTGAGCTGCCATTTTAGATGGCGCTCTCCACCTTGATGCAACGGTATGCTTCCGGCTGTATTGGGCAGAAGACTCGCGCCCCTCTTCTGCAGTGCAATGGCTCGGGCAGTTCACCTTTTCTGGCATCTGCTATGCCACCCAAGAAGCCACGAATTCAAGCAAGCTATCTGGGCCAGGCCGATGTGCTGCAGTCGATATTGCTTGAATATGTTGGCAGAAGGGAGGACTGCTAAGGGATCTCAGGATGTCCCCGGCACCCTAGCACTGCACGACGGCTTTAGGAATCAAGTATGAAGTAAACCCAGAGGTTCCCGGCGTCGCCCACGGGGTTGCAGCAGGCTTTGCTAGGCTTTAATACAGTAGTTACTAACCTTGGATCACTGGCGGGATCACTTGGCGATTATTGGTTAGTCCAGAACGAGCAGCCCGCAGAAGCCTGAAGGCACTCTTGATTTTCACCATCAGGGGGAGACAGGGAACCCATACCATGCGACTACACCCAAAGTAACCCACCAATGACACGATTGTAACGCTCGCTCCTCCCCTCCCCCCAATCCAGTCCGAAACCCACAGCGCTAGTGTGTCCGTCTTTCCCTACTAATCCACGGTGCCAGTGCATGTCCCACGGTTGCGCATTTGTTGGTCTCATCTCCAAGCCTCTCACTCACATCAAGCAACCAAGATACAACAATTGACGATCGCAAAGGCCAGCATCGACAAGACCCGGTTCGAGCAGAATTGACCCGCCCAAAAGGCAGGGACGGTCGAAGAAAGGACTTGTAGACGACCTCTTGGGGCCAGGGTCGTCGTTGATCCAAGTCACTAATGCTGCGGAGCCACCTCGCTCTGTGAGCACAACACTGGTCGCCAATACACGATTTAACACACAATCGCAATCATGAGCGGCACCGACTCCAAGGCGGCCGATCCGGACCAGAGGGCGTCGATGAGGACATCAATGAGATTGTCCAGGCTTGAGGGCGACGATGAAGACTATGATTTGCAAGCAATGGGCATCTCGGACGGGTTTCGGCCAGCGGATATGGGCGTCTCGGATGGATTTCGACCAACGCAAATGGGCGTCTCGGATGGATTTCGACCAATGCAAATGGGCGTCTCGGATGGATTTCGACCAACGCAAATGGGCGTCTCGGATGGCTTTCGACCTACGCAAATGGGCGTCTCGGATGGATTTCGACCAACGCAAATGGGCGTCTCGGATGGCTTTCGACCAACGCAAATGGGCGTCTCTGATGGATTTCGATCAACGCAAGTGGGTATCTCGGATGGTTTTCGACCAACACCGATGGGACCCTCAGATGGTTTTCGACCAGCCGATGTTGCACAGGACCACGCGAACCCGTCGAGCCCGTCTAACCCGGAACCACCGGCCGCCCAGGTCGCTCAACCTCTCTCCGCACGACCGTCGAGTATTGGGAAACCTCCGCATCGACCACGTGAATCCTTCACATTACGGCACGATGGTGCGATGGGATCCATGGACGACTCGATAGCGGCGCGGGGAGTGAGCATAGCCTCCGCGTCACAGATTGCCCGGCCGGAAAGTCCGTATCAAGGACCTTCAGGACCGTCTTTCCCGTACCAGATGTATCCGCAAAATACTCGCCTCTCAAGGACGGCTAGTGTGGTGACCACGTCGACGGTCCCGATTGCCGAGAGGATATACAATGGGCCGCGCGGTCCAACGCACCCCTATCAAATGTATCCTCAAAACACAGTGCCCGAGCCGGACGCCGATCCCGACGAGGACAGGATAACACCAGCACCAGCACCAGTACCAGCACCCATCCCAGTCGGCTTTCCCGGCGCAGCAAACAATTATCAGAGGAGACTAGGGCCAGAGGGTGAAGATGTGGCCGACATTATCGGCCCAGATGGCCACACAGAACAGTTACCTCCCTACACCAGGTATCCCGATGAGGCTTATGCGAGAAAAGTACAGGGTATTGTACTACCTACACCAGCGGCGGCAGTGGCAGCAGCGCCTGCGTCAATCCAACTCCAGGCAATACCTGGCGCGGGCGGCATCGGTCTTGCAACGCGAAACCCGGAATTCGCATCGACCGAGGACTTGAACAACGGCGCCCACTCACCAGTGTCCCGACAATCCGTTAGGAGCTTTCACACGGATACCAGTCAGCATGACATTAATACAGCAGCCTTAGCGGTCGTTAATGAAAAGAAGCCACCCCTTAAGAAATGGCAAGTTGCGGCCAAAAGAAAGGTTTGGGGCGTCGTCCCGTGCTGGGCGTTTGGTCTGACAGCCGTTATTGTTATCATGCTTGCTGTCGTCCTCGGTGCCATTCTCGGCACCTTCTTCGGTAGGCCCAAAAGGGGTCACCATAGCGAGTGAGTCTAGACTAACGAACTATGGTATTTCTTGGGGCACGATAATTGACACGTTTCTACAGCTCTTCCTCCCAGGCCACCATGACTTACGACATGACACCATGGCCTACCGTACCGGCCGGTTTACCTCCATTAGTGGAAGGGACGTTTGCCATGCCCATCATGGTGACACGCAATCCCGCGACATGTTTCAACGACACGACACAAGCTCAGTCGTGGAACTGTAACATCGTCTTTTCTCAGCTCATGATGACGATCAAGGCCATTGTGGATGCCGACCCGACAGCGGCGTACTCCATGAGCCTGTCATTCAACCACTCGTACACCATTGACAATCATGTGTACTCCTATGGAATGCAACCCCCTTTGTTCCAAGATGCCAGACTCATACTCGTCAACGATACATACGAAGTTTCTCGGGGCCCGGCTTGGGCAGTTGAGATGCCATATGACAAGGTCGTCATTATCCCTGAACCCCTATTCACAGCGGCCGCATCCACAGCCTCGTCTGACTCGGTCAAACACCGTCGCATGGGCGGCTTCAACGGTCCCGATGGCGGTGACTTCAAGCGCAAGGGTGTCGCGAAGTCGGGAGAGAGGCCTTGGATCTGCCACTGGGACGGCACGATCCTCGAAACCTTTATCTACGCTGCACAAAACAGCAGTCATAATCCCATCACTACGAGCGGCGGCGGCGGCACTGGCACCATTACAAGTGGCTCCCCCACTGCTACGCTTTTCTCGGAGCGTCCGAACAGTCAGTGGCCACCCTTTTCGGATAGAAAGCAGGTAGTGGCCGCTACCTCGATTGCGACAGATCAAGTGACAGCTACTAGCACGACAGCGAGCTTATCGGCGACCTTAACGACGGGCGGTTCGTCATCTTCCACGACGAACTGGTTTGACAGCCCGATGCCAACCGATTTCAAGTCGGCCTACCCACGTGTTGTCAAAGTGGAGGAGCGCCGCGTTTCCGGCAAGCCCTCCGCGGAGCCTTGGTGCCGCCAGTATGAGATCTTGACAAACGGTTCGGCACAGCCTCTCAAAGACTCAGCAGGCAACTATATCGAGGTCCGTATTGCGGAAGAGGAGCCTGCATACGGTCCCAGCTCTTCGGAATCGCGACGAAGCCTCGTAGAGCGGTACCTTGGTCATCCCCTTGAGGAGAGGAGTGTGGGAAGCGACATGAGCGATTGCGGCTGTATGTGGTGGTCCACCTGAATACCGAGGCCGTGGATGGTATGGTTGTGCTTGTACGACAGGGCGGAACTCACGACATTGTATATGAACGAAGGATATTATTTTCTTTTGTTGTTAAACATCGGCACAGCCGTCGTCTCGCATCCGGGGATCGGCTTGGCTTGCCTTGACTAGGCATGGGAAGAAAAGGAAAGACTGGGGACAATGGCGTACAATGGCGTTTTGTTATATATATATCCATGATGGGATGCCAACTGGTCGGCAATCCTTTTTTACTACTAACTCGACACAGGATGGCATCTGGGGTTTTGAGGACGATGCCTATAGTATTAGTTTCCAGCGAATGGTTGGAGAGAGAGATTTTGGCCATGCGGGGAAGAGGGAGACGGCGAATTGTATCAGCATTGATGACAAGAGAGATGTGGCAGAGAATGAGGGGAAGCCAGTAGCAGTGACCACGGAGAGCACGCACTGCTTTGTGCAGCAAATAGGTAATATTGGTTGTGGTCTCGTGGAAGAGGAACGGGCTGGGCTGGCTGGAGGTGTTGACTTTGAGAGGTGTATTGTAGCGTAACCGGTTATCCTTCGCAGTAGGTCATGAAGAAGCGAACAGAAGCGAACGAAGAAATAGAATAACACAAATCTTGATGGTTTCTGACGAGGCCCGGTCTACCGTGCGATGCGTGATTTGGGCGCGGCACTGGAGCCTTTTCAACCTGGGAAGGGGAGAGGCCGAAACGCGATTGCTTGACAGGTCTCCCTCTACGAGGCAGACAGCGATTGCCCACTCGCTCCAGCTCCTTGCGTTCACGGCACAGACGCACCATCAACTGCCTTGTCTTTTTCCCATGCGGCTCAACTGCATTGGGAGGGTACTTAGCCACCAACATGGATCTGTCCGATTTATCACGAGACAGATGCTCACCGAAAATCAACTACCACTGGCCTACCTCCCAAATGCGAGGTTTCCAGACGGTCGTCGGAACAGGGCGAAGTGGCTTGCTGTTCATTCCCACTTCATTGGCCGCGCTGCATGGAGCTACACATTGTCACACACCACAACCACTTTGCCCTGTTTGTTAGCAAAACTCCCCATCGGCCATAGACGTAAGACTGCCTCGTCCAGACGATGACCAGTACGAAGTAGAAAGGTGAGAAGAGAACGAGTCTTGCCCGCCCGCATTTGCACCCCAGTAACGCTGCGCCTGCACTCGCTGTGTTTCTGGAAGGCGTCTTCTTCCCTTTCTCCTTCCCCCACTTCCCAGGCTCCCCGCCAATCCAATCGTCAGGTTCCGGGCATGATCCAACAAGTCGGCCGGCTGTTTACAGATACCGCGTACTTGGCTTCCGATTGATTCGATGGTTGCCTGTGCCTGTAACCACCGAGCGATTATTATTGTTATTATCAATTTTCTCATCAGCGTGGCTGCCTGGCTGGTTTCGATCGTCGTGCTGCTGTACATATATGCATGCATGCATGAACGAACATGAGGCAGCCAACCCGCCCGGAAACTGAGGAAAGGGGAGCGATAGGCGCTCGCCCGTTCGCCCTGCTTCTGTGGTTGATGCCACGGCAAGCCCGTGGATCGGTGGGCTCGCTGCACACCGTTGACCAGGTAGGGAATATTTAATATCGTCTTGTTTCGCCCCGTTTTCGTCTTTACCAGGCTTGGATCCCTTGTCTTCCCAACCTTCCCGTCTTACTTCGTTCCACGTCTTGATACAGACCGGTCATCGCGTTGAGCACACCGAGATATCGTCGCCCTTTGCTCGAGGTGTCTTATGTCTCTAGGCCGCTGGACAGGGCAACCCCTCGTCTGAAGTCAAGTCTTCGTGCATTGTTTCAATCAGTCGGGTGGCTAGTTTGTATACTACCGCCGATCATCAACCAGCAACCAGCACGCACTCCGAGTGTGGTAGCTACATTTGTCAATCATAGTACCCAAGTAGCATAGTTCCTTATCATCAAACCCCTGACAATTCCGCCCAAGATGGACGGCTACCCGCACCACCGCCAGCACTCAGACACGAGGTCCTACCTCTCCTCGTCAAGTCGCTCCTCTTCATCATCATCTGCCTCTTCCTACTCAGACGGCTCATCCTACGGCTCACACGGCTCCCGAGGCTCCTATTATTCCTCCACCGGCAGCGTTTACCGCGCTGTCCCCAAACACGCCAACGCAGCGGTGAAATTCTTTCTGCACGTCCAGCAGGGACCCTTCGCGGCTTTGGGCGCCAAAAGCCATCGCCATCATGGGAAATCTGGAAAGAAGCACCGGACCCCCCCTCCGTTTGTATCAGGCGGTCCGGGGAACGGCCTCCGAGGCGGACCGCCACCTCCGCCTCCTCCTGGGCATATGCCCCCTATGGGCATGGGCATGGGGCGGATGCCTGGACCGCCACCAGGACCACCACCACCACCTCCTCGACCACCACCGGGGCATTTTATGGGAGGAGGCGGCGGTGGGGGTGATCCGGGGTTCATCCAGCTGAATGGTGGAGGTGGAGGAGGACGGCCACCACCGCCCCCTCCACCACCTGGTTGGGGACACCCGCAGCCTCCTCAGGGCTGGCACCCGGGGAATGTTGAAATTGTGGATGACTTTGAGGATTAAAGGATGTAGTAGGGCCGGTTGTAATTCAGTACTGGTATTGTTTCTGATATTTGCATGGCGTTGAATGTTTTCCCACTCTATAAGAGAAAGGGGGAGGTACTTTGACTTATTGGGGGTTCAACATCTTATATGGATGGATGAACTGGAATTGAAAACGGAACGATCATGAAATACCCAAATCATTTGGGTTGAGTTAGGGCCTGTTCAGGACGACGGTGATAAGAAGCTGTTGTCACTCGAGCTGTGTTGTTGGGATACTGATTGGCATATCCACAAAACGCAGTTCATGTATGAGATAATATTGAGTGTACCTTTTCATGACTTGATTATCTGATCAACTTAGCTTTATTTTCTCAATCTTCCATTGACGTTATCATGAGAGTCAAGTCATACATTGTATTACTGAACCTGCATTTTGTACGAGGCCCAAGACTTTATTGAAACGACGATTCGTTCACTTTGAGCACCCCAGGTACTCAAGTGAGACACTGTCTTATATTACTCAATTCCAAGTGGTGTTTATTGCGCCTTATTTTTCATTTCGAAAAAACGTGAGTTGCAAATGCAGGCTGGGACCTCACAGGCCTAGTTGGGATGCGAATTATTTCCTTGCATCTGCAACTGACAACTAAATCAAAGGTTGCCAGTCGTCAGTTACTTAACTTGAGCTTGACTTCTCGTTTTATTCGTTGCCCGAAAGCTACTGTTAGCCGAAATGGCGATAAACATATACTACAAGGTGTCGGGACGTGTCGAGGTGCATCATTTGCTGTTTTTGGTATGCTAACCCTATTGTGGCTACTCTTGGCCCTGAAACGGGAGAACGAAATCTATATCAAGCTTCCTTTTCCTCTTCGTAGGATTAGCAATCGTTTCAACAGGGCAATCCTCTCAAGTGCACTATTCCGGTGATTAGAACTGCACAGAAGGTATGAATCACGTTAATATTAGGAAAGGCACCAACGTAAGTGCTAAGGTTATCGAGGACAACCAACCAGGACTAGTGACTTGCGTGGATTTGGAAGTGGTTGTCAATCACCTATGGAGAGACATCCTTTTTCGTGAAAAGATAATGCGAGTACAGACCATTAGTGAAGAGTTCATTGAAAGCAACGGGTTATGGTATGAGCGGTGTTCATGTAGGATAACTTGTGTAGGTCGATTGAATGACATGACGTGGTTGATAATGCTCTTCCTTCCAACCACAGAAGAAGGAAAGAAATGGCAGAAACGAAGGAAACCTGTGTAACTATTTCGGATAAAGATACTGCGATGTTGCTGGAAGGACTGCAATTCTTATTTGTCGATTCTCTATGCAAACGTGTCAATGGTTGTCCAGAATGGTGACGACGTTGATTCGATTCGCATTCGGAAAGCTCAAAACACTGTAGGAATTCGGGTCGGTGTTCTCGTTCATCCGCTGTGCACCTGTCTGCAGCCACCAGGACATACCTTTCTTAGGATCCCTTAATTCCGTATCCCATATCTAACCTGCATTCACTTCACCATACCCAGCGACAGGATGCTCTGCAATTTCGGTATATAAGAATCCATCAGCCTTCCCCAATTTCTTCACATCTGTCTTGGATCAATTTCTATTCAAAATCGAAGCGCATGCGTCCCTTATTCCAACTTTTCTCACGCCACATAGCCGGCCATTCGAGAAAAGCGCACCTACAGGCTTCGGCAGCGACGGCCTCCACAGCCTTGCTATCGATGGCTGCATATTCAGCCTCTGTGGCCAAGCATCCGGGAGTTAGTCCCAATGATGCCGCCGCAAAGCCCCATCATGTCAAAGACCGCCGGGGCAGGACGACGGGGTTTCGCAATCCACATCCTTCGTTCACGAAGTCGAAAACCCTCGATATTTTCATGCTCTTTTTGTTCGTTATATGATGAAGCTACCTATCCCAGAATACTTTTATTATATCCACTAACAGAAACCATAGTAAATGGCATATCGGCCTGATCAAGTTCCCTGAACCTACCGGAAAGGAGGTCTCCGTTGTGCCGGCTCAGTTCCTCCAGTCGCGCATTGCTTCACCCAACCTGCGGGCTACTTGGCTTGGACATGCTTGCTACTATCTTGAATATCCATCGGGGTTGAGGGTGTTATTGTGAGTGCAAAATGCCCGTCATTCCGACATTCCAGCCTGTATTGACTCGCGGGCGCCCAGTGACCCTGTGATGGAAAATCATTGCACTCCAGTGAGTTTCGTGGGCTTCAAGCGCTACACTCAGCCGCCGTGCGACTTGTCCGCTCTTCCCTACGTGGACGTGGTGGTGATATCTCACAACCACTACGACCACTTGTCGTACCCCAGCGTCTGCGAGATCCAGAAAAACCACCCCAACACTCACTTCTTTGTCCCTCTTGGCTTAGAGAGCTGGTTCAAGAAAGCTGGGATCGCCAATGTCACAGAGATGGATTGGTGGGACGATGCTGAGATCACTTTATCCCCTGAAGCACAAAAGTCAGACGCGGGCAGGGCGAAAAGCACGGCATCCTCTAATGCACCACACGAGCCCATCAAGGCTCGCATATCGTGTCTACCCAGCCAACATACGTCCTCAAGAAAGGGCTTCGACGAAAACAAGACGCTTTGGAGCTCGTGGGGCATTGCATCCGGGGGAAAGTCCGTCTGGTTCGGTGGTGATACTGGGTACCGATCAGTACCACAGATCCCAAAGGACATCGATGACTATGGATCTGAATACAGCCACCTGCCAGTCTGTCCGCAGTTCCGCCAGATCGGCGAGCTTTGCGGGCCGTTTGACCTCGGGCTCATCCCTATCGGGGCGTATGAACCCCGACACATCTTCTTAGGGGAACATGCGAATCCCGTGGATGCTGTCAACATATTCCAGGATATTAAGTGCAGGAGAGCGATGGCCATCCATTGGGGAACTTGGGTGCTTACACCCGAGGAAGTGTTGGAACCGCCGAGGCGGCTGAAGGAGACTTTGAGGTTGAAGGGGTTGCCGGAGACGGGTGTTTTTGACGTGTGTGCCATTGGAGAGAGCAGGGAGTTTTGAGTATTGGTGGGAGAGCCCTTTGTAAACCTAATATTATTATTATTATTATTAAATACGCCGTAGGCTCGAAGCCCCCGGTACCTCTACTAGTACTCCCGTATGTCAAACCGTGCCCTAATGGCTGGACTAAATACATACGCTGCGTCGTCGGTTCGCCCTATTGGCGACTGCGTTGCGTTCACTACCATACTACGTTGGTTCTCAACCTACCAACAAAGTCCCCCCTGAGAAGATCGATGCTATCTGGGCCTTGAAGCTGTCCGACCCGTCCCTAGCAGCCACCTTACAATAGTCCCACTAACTACTGGTTCTCCTGTTGCCGTTGCGAGGTCTCTGCGAGAGTATAGTGGCCGTGGTGCGATGGCGGCCCGTAATCGTTCCCTCGGTCCTTCCAACAGCCCGCAAAAGAGGATTACGTGCAACCTAATATTAGACTGGCCGAAAGATACGTCGAGAAAGATAGCAATGTACAATTTGAGTGGCTTGAATTCAGTGGGCTCCGAGGCCAAGTTCAGCAGGTCAGGATGGCATGGTGGTGTATGGGATTTATCGGAAGCTCCTTCCCAGTCCCGCCTCCCTGATCTTAGGAAAGAGCACTGCGGTTGACATACATCAGCAGAGCCCCTGCCTCTCTGGAACCGGCGTTGCCAATGCAGCTGAGTGATCTTTGTCGATGTTCCGCCAACCTTGGAAACCGTTCAAGCTCTAATGATCAACTCCATACGCTCAAAGTCGAGCGGTACTTCACTGCGACAACATCCATCATCCATCATCCCAAGATAATATTTCTGCGTTTTATTGCACAGCACCACCAATGATGGCCCAGCCAGAGACCCAGAAACTCGAGATATTTTTCCAAAGCGAAGGCCCCGGCTCAAATATGGCCATGATCTGCGCATACACCGTAAGGGATCCGACGAATAATGATGGGGAACTCGATGTCTGACCCTCCTCCGTAGTATACTTCGATACCGGGCGAAGACACTCGAGAGTATCGCGAAGCCATATCCTCTGTGGGCTTGACGTGGAAGGAGATGGTGGGCGAAGACGACAAGCAACTACCCATCGAGGTGAGTCATGCCGACACCATGAGATCAGTGCATACCCAAACTTATAGTTATGACCACCAGGACTTGTTGGCCAAGGTTGAAGTCCAAGACCCGGGATTTATCAATCGTTTCATAGCCAGACTCGTGCAAGCCAAGCCTTCCATTGTTCAGAAGCCCCAGGTAAAGACGGCGACTGCTACATTGTTGGTTCTGCGCATGGCTTGCGGATAGCTGATGCTTCACCAGGATCTATCTGGCCCTTCGTGTGGGGATAAAAGACGACGTGATGACGATGTGGGCGGTGTCGACGCCGCACCTGGCAAGCGGGTCAGATGGCACCCCGTCCTTATGGACCTTCCGAGGGGGCTCTAGGATTAGACTATGGAATGGTTTAGTCTCAAGGATCTTGAGGCTAGGGAAGCTGCAGAAAAGACTGGCTAGTCGGGACGAACATGGCCATTGGGCCGGGATGTAGATGGGATGTGCTATGTTGGAGTAGGACGCTCATGGTATTGATAAGCCTCGTTTGGATGATATGGGGTTCGCAGGCTTTCTGGAGGTGTTTCCTTATTTGTGGCAGTTGTTTCAGGGACTGGGTATTGGCTGTATAACTGGTCCTCGTAGTCTGCGTTAGAAAACACGAGCAACTATCCACCCTCTTTTCAGCTACAGCAGGTACCTTGGACGAGGTATACATATCTAATTTTGTGCCTTCCAAGTCGTGCTCACGAGGATAAAGTCACTTCATAAAGTGATGGTAACGTCGAGTGGCAAACCGCAAACGATACACGTTAAACGGGAAAGGTTAGGCACATGTCTTCCCGTCGCAATGGCCCAACGTACGTGACCTTGCTCTTTCTGAAAACTACTTCATCCCGAAGGACACATTCGAGATCCACATTCCCACGCGCCCTATTGGCGACTGCGTTGCGTCCACTACCATACTACGTTGGTTCTCAACCTACCAACAAAGTCCCCCCTGAGAAGATCGATGCTATCTGGGCCTTGAATATATAAATATTGCAGACTTTCACAACAAAAGGGGCAATCGCCATATCGTAAGTTGGTCCGCCAGTCGGCAACTACTTCATACAGACAATTTCATCCTACATTCTCACGTTCCCTTCTTTTCATGCTATCATAACCTCGCCGAAAGAAAAAAGAGGCAGCTCTTCAGCGAAACAAGCACTACAAGCGACAACCCGCAGCCGCTCAGCGCCATGGAGCGCCTCTCCCCGGAGATCAAGATGCAGATCTTCATCACCGTCACCGACCGGCAGTCTATCTGGTATCTGCATATGCTTACGCAAGTTTTCGTGCCGTCTACGCTTCACGTAAGCAGATTATCGAGTCAAGCCTTCCCTGGGAGGTGCTGGGTTGGACTGGTGCTGTATGAAATGTTGTGCGGCACCTCCAAAGGGAACCGACCCATTTCCGTGGGGGTGTAAGTCACAAACAAAATGAATGACGAATATATATCTCTAGGGGCATTGCGCTGGAGAAGAAGGCTTGAGATGAGTGGTAATTAGAAGCGTAGCAAACAGGTTAGTCACTCTAGCCTGTCATTGTGCGTGGAAACCAACTGATCAAGTCAAGCTATTTATGTCTGCGCCTGCTCTGTCATTTGGGAATCGGGTTCTTGTCATTTCGAGCAACTTGACCGAGCGGTTAGGGTGCTACTGCATACTTGCCCAAGTATCTGGTGCGATTGAGCGAAGGGATCATTCGTAGCTATTCCATGCTGAGGACTGGGGGAGCATTCTGAGCGAGAGTTATACACTCAGCGCTTCATGGTTAGGCATACGTGGTGCAGGAAAGCCGTATCATAAGCACATTATGATGCCGAGCGTGCGCCCACGTAGGCGAATGCCGTTTTTATGAGCAGGAAGTTCGCCCACAAGGAAAACTAATCAAGTCACATCAGCGAGAACCGCGACTCTCTCTTCTCGCCCTCGCGCCTCGCAACCTTATACCTCTACCGCTTCTTCAGATCCCTTGCTATATTGCTATTCCAACACTCCCGGGGCATACCTGTCTAATAGGATCCTCAATAACCCACGCCTAGGCTCATCCGCCGCCAGCAGCCCCAGTCCATACATCTCCACGCCCATCTCATCTCTCCCTTTCAATTCTTCCTCTCTCAATGACTCGAAACCCTTATCGGGGCTACCCGTGCTGGTGTCGAAGTCCTAGTGATTGTCAGGCATGGACAGCCCGGGGAGCGCTCGCCGGGGCTGAGTTGAAGGTGGAGAGTCCAGGCTTCGTAGATGTACGACCAGCGATGCCGTCTAGGAGATGGTGGGTGGGATGATTATCTATGGGTGGAGTCTAGGTGATGTTTCTCGGGTTGTTAGGCAAGACTGTGGAAGGATTTGAAGCCATTGCAGGCTGCCATACATGTGGGGCTATCAATGAGATTGCGGATTTACAGTGCTTGTTGTGCCAGTTCAGAATTTCAGCTTCGTGACTGCAGATATTGATCAGATGCTGTTGCTGCTCTGAGAGAACAAGGACGGTTACGCATGTGCATGGCCGAGGCATTGTGACGGCCTGACCTGACCGGATGTGTGACTGGAGACAAAGGACTCGCGAGTATCTCCGCGTCCATGTTCTCGTCTGCTGCCATTCTTGATATGGTGGACTGAATTTCGCAGAATCCTTCGCTTCCTTCAAGTATCGAGTCGTAGACCTACCGACCCTGACCTGAGTCGTCTCAAAGCCGAACGTACCGTGCGATTCAATAATCAAGACCCAGAAGAAACATTAGCTGCCGGTACATGGTCGAGCCTGTTGACTATTTGTGCTACATAGTTAAGAATGTACTCCCAGGTCGTCTATCATATTTGACTAAGTGATGGGCTGCCATGACTCGTTAGTCAGAGATATCGACCGGTTTCGAGGTCTCTGTATCCGAAGCAAAATCAACTGACTGGTCGTTTCGCCCAACATAATAACAAAGATGCGACAGGCCCATCTTTCGTCAAGGCATAAGTCTTTTCTGCAATTACGGACATCGCCCGTATATGCATCAAGCAATGTTTTCGTATCCTGTGTGCTTTTTGTAGTCCGGGAACAGTTTTGCCGGGCCAGCCGAGGGACTTTCTACCATCTAAAGCACTTGGTCGGTTGAAGTACCGGCGGCTTCTAATGTCCCAGAGGGACGATGCCGTTCTTGTGCTTCCACGCTTCCAAAACAAAGCCGTGTCGATGACAGAACGTAGCTTGTAAATGCCCCGTAGAGGACCAGCTATAGCCAATGGGGCACCCAACTTCCCCACGCTCAATGATCACTGTGCGCTCTCAAGAACCCGGGATATTTGGATGTAATGCTTCGCCTGGAAGCTAGTTGATCAAAGTGCGTGGCTGACGTTGACGTGTAACTTATTTAGGCACCTTGGAGGCACCTGGTTTTGAGCCTCCATGCAAGACCCCCAAGTTGTCAGAAATCGTCTAGCTATAGTTCCAGGTGGGTGGAAGCCATGTCATCATTTCTAGTACTTCCGCACCCCGTTATTCCATCCCTGCTTGATGTGTGAACCCTCGTGTTGGGAGACGATTCAGTGCAACTGGACGTCATTAACGTCGTCAACCGCCAACCCACCAACCCCAGTGGGTGTATGACAACAGAAAAGGAGACAACGCCCCTGAGTGGGTAGGCTCGGGCGGGCGCCTATCCTGCCATTGACAATAGAGTGCACACTGGGGCGCCTGAGGCCCCTAGCGCCTACGGTTGGGAATTGTTGCTTGATTGGTGGGTCCACAAGTACTGTCCCCCCTAAGCCACTGCAAAAACACTGCCGAAGGTACATTCGGGTTGAGAGAACTAAGATGAGCCTGACCAGGATGGTGGTTGAACCTCACTTTTGGAATGCAAACATTCGACAACAACCATTGTCGATCTCCAAGCATCGACACATCAGGACGCAATTACCTACGACCGACTACTTCAATTGGCAGTGCGCAATCTAGCATGCAGCTCATCTAATTCCGCCCGATATTGGATCTTGGCAAGCAACTTGACGGTGCGCCGCAAGCGAGTAATCAGCCGACCCGTGTAGTCGTCGCCAGAACAGCTCTAACTCCTACCCACGCCTTGAGCACCAATTCGCATTCAACCGCCACGTTGTCAGACTCACAAGACGATACCGACGGACAGTCCGTGTCCGCTGGGCTGCAAACTGCCGAAATCCACAACCAGGAACCACCGTTTGATTCGGTCAACAAGGCAGGAGCTGGTGATATTGACGCCGACTGTCGCGATACCGAAGACACCGACCACACTTGCGGGCGATCCCCTCCGCCGCGCTACCCTTACCCAGGTTCCGAAGTTTCGGCCTCGACCTCGTTTACGCTCGTCGCTTTGCGACCCGCACCTCCACCGTTTTCTAGCAGCCACGAGTACACGTCAGCCGAAGATCTCGCCGACGACCTCATCCAACTCACGCCTCCTGCTTCCCAGGCTGAAACATCGTCTGCTGCAGCTGCACCAGCATACGCTCCCCTAGCTGCTGGCTCCTCCAACAGCCCTCTACAAGACGCCGTTGCCGAGACCAAGCGAGCTCTCCCGCAAGATACCAAGGCCGACCCATCGGGCCAGAAGAGCGACGATCCTAGCGAACCGCCCCCTGCCTATTCAGAAGGCTATAGCCCGTTACTCTCCTTCTCCTACCTCATGGCTGCCGCCGGTGGAGCGTCGAGTATTATTACTCAAGTCCAACAGGGCGGTCCGCCCATCAATGCTATCGGAGGTGAGAGCGCAGCACTGTTGTGAATATACCACTCGGCTAGATTACTGACATGTCGGCAGATGTTGGCGCCGACGAGACCATTACCATGGATCTGCGGTAAGCATTTACCCTCAGGAGACCTTGCAAGTCCATAGCTGACACCACTTCTCATTAGCGGCACGAGGTTTGTCTTGTCTAGAGACGAGCTACTAACACTGCCGGAATTCGTGCTTCTCTCACTATTCCCCAATGGCCTATTCCCGGAAGGACACATGGGCGGCTTCGCAGATGGTGATGCTGTTCAAGTCGATGTCAGTTCCCAGAATGATACCCCCATAACTCAAGTCGCTACCACTGCTTCCCCCTTTCCCTCTCGTTTGAATGCAAGTCCCACATGGACGAGCATCCCTGCGTCATCTACCACGCGCAATCTCCTCTCAAATATCAATATGCATTTCACTGACCTCACATCCCAGTATGACCCTGCTTCTCTACAATACATGCTAGACTTCTTCCGCAATGTTGCCCAGTCCATCCCCAGCGAGTCATCACCTAATTCCTCACCCGACGGCGGAGTGGTCCCAATCGACTCTCTTGGCGGTGCTCGAGACGATGGCAGCAAGCGCGCAGGTATCATCGTTCTCAGGGAAGACCTGGACTTCTACGCCATCCCACCGCGACCTGATATCGGACAGGCCGAGATGATTGAGGTCAAGAGAGCCGCGGCAAGGGCTTTACTTAGGCAAAACGGCATATTTTCAGGGCTCAAGAGAAGCGATGAACCTGGTACTACCGAGGCTCATCTGATTGAGATGCTCACGGCTGGGTAAGCTCTATGTCGACTTTCTTTGCTTCATTACTGCATCTTGAATACGACTGCTTACATCTTTCTAGAGGTTTCAACCATGATGATAGATGGGGACACCGCGCAGGTGAACCCAACAAAGCTGTTGTGTGCAGCCTCGCTCTTGCCAGACTACGCAGCGATATCCGTGGCAACGACATGGGCAACAATGCGGTGGGGATGGCACAGAAGCTGCTGCTGTTCTGGCGAAAGCCCGCCCGCCGTTGCTGGTGGGAAGGTGTTGATTTGGAGAACGTGGAAGGAGTCGACGGGCCCCTGAAGGTCTGGATTCGAAGGGTTTGGACACTCGAAATGAGCGTCATTGGATTGCGCTGAAGACACATACATGATTTTGCAAGCATCATGAAAGGGAGGCGGTTCGTGTCTGACTTTTTTGTTTTTGTTCGGTGTGACATCTGGTCACGCGATTCGACGCCCGCCCAGAGAGAAAAAGAGGGCTATAGGATTTGGGGGGATTCCTCCACCACCTGATGTTGATAACTTGCTTGCTTCGTTGCTTTGGAGATACAAGTGGCGACACGTCAGATTTCTTGCTTGTTGTGTACAGCAAATACATTTTTTAATTAACGGAGTTCGGCTGTTCATCTTGATACTACGTACATGGAGACGTGATATTGTGGTTCACGGCCGGTTGGCTATCGAACAGGCAGTCAGGAGTCGAGCGGATATGAAGTGGTTTGGGGGATAACTATCGGATTCCAACCACCGGGGGCTGTAGTGGTACTACGAACGTGCGTGGGGGACCAATCCCAAAGCCCCTGAGGGGTCCCTAAACACTACAATCCGGGCCTGCCCCTCTACACCTGAGGCCACAGCTTCCCACAAAACTGCGGAATCGAATGTAATGCTGTGAGGATTCAGTTGCAATGTGGCACTGTCAGTGCGAGTTTATCTGTGTCAACTGACTTGAGGTCTAGGAAGATTCGCTTGACATCCCCTAGGCCAGCCAGTTACTTTCGTATGAATCGGGCTTGCATAATCTCACCAGAAGATTGATTGCGATTGACTTCAGTCGTTATTGGAGAATATGATCGTCGTGGTGCCGTATACGCTGCCGAAACCTTCGTGTCTCTCGAAATCGGTCTGAAGGTCCTTTCCTGGCCTCCAGAGGATGCCAGGACCAACTCGGAACAGCATCCGACTCGGCTTGCTTACCACTCTTGGTAAGACCGCTAGACTCTCGACCCATAGAGTATCGTCTATGAGCGCACCTGGCCACAGACCAGGTAGCCAAAGCCCCTAATGTGACGAATGCGTGTTTATAAACATGCAACATTCCTCCCGCCTCGTGGCTCTCGTCGTTCGGGTCCTCTGGGATAATGCAGATACAATCGATCCATACGTAATTCCGCCGAGCCCGCGTGCAGACTCGATGGTATTCTGGAAGGGTTTTGGTAAAGGACTCCATAAAGTGCGCCTCTCTCGTTCCGCCGATGTGAACGAAGTTGTCCTGCACGCTGGCACATGGTCACCTCGGCAACACTGAGTGCCGCGTAAAGTAAATAGCTAGATGAACCATCTTCTCGGACCACCTCGCTGTCAGTCCCGAGCTTTAGTATTAACTAGGCGCGATAGTAGGAAAGGCCCCTTGTGAGTTACGTAGCTAGGCCCGCTTTACTATCGTTACTTAGCTGAGCTCAACTTTAGCTAGACCTTTGGATTGCCCTCGAATATCTCTAATCTACTTCGACCCTTTAAGAGAGCTTTACTTTGCTAATAGAAGGTTATAATTGCCGATTCTAGTAGTAAAGTATTTATCTCATATTCTGCCATACTAATCCTTTTAGCAGGCGGCCAGGTCTATTACACCCCTCTCGAAATCGCCCGCAGCCCTGATAGTAGCGAGAGTAATGTGGTATTTAGCGATGGGCCAGCGGTATACAATATGTATGTCTTTCCCTGTGGCGGATATTTCAGGCCGCTGAAGGTAGCCTCGGGGCGACTCGGTGTCATCAGACCTGGGTTCAATGAATATGGTTTGCCAGGGCCCCTGCTTATACATAGTGTCGTCATCGCCAAAGCAGAGTTTCCCTCTGTCGACTCTGACTTCAGGTCGTTTTCAGTCCCCATCTGCACTGTGTCGGCCCATCCGGACGCATGGGCTGGGATATCGCTCTTACGTTTTACCGGCCACTAGGGAGGGACATGCCACATCTATGTACTTGATCAAATTGGGCGGGTTACTTGATTTACCCCAAGACAGCATGGCCGCGCGTATGCATTGCTACTAGTAGTATTTCCCGCGATGAAACTGGGTACGTTGGACATCGGGTTGAGTACGGGTTGTCAAGCGTACCTACCTACGTATGTCATGGTTTCTTGATCAGTTTCTGATTAGTAGAAAAACTTGAAGCATGATCAATGCAAAGGTATTCAAAGAAATCCAAAAGGAACTAGCCTCGGGAAGCAACCGAAGTTGCATAGACTCCTTGGAAATATCGCCGACTTTATAGGGTGTCGATAAGCGGCGGCCCATAAAAGATGTACGTAGTCCCAGCGTCATACCATATCTAGTACAGGGGTCGGTCAAATATATTCATTTCGAGACACTTCACCGACACTTTTTGCCCGACTAGAGCCCTGAAACGTGCTTGCTTCTTCTTGCGCGACCACCATACACATTTGCACTGTTGGTCAACCGTCTCCCTGTAGACCAGCGGACGTTGAAAACTTCAAATACCGGCCTTGGCGCAGGAAAGCGTCACGGGTGACATCAACTGTCGCCCGAACTTTGATCGAACCCCCGAAGCTCGAGCACGCTAGCGAGAAATCGACATACACCTTTACAGAAGCATCAAAGCCTCAAACAGGCGCGGGGCGACCAAGGAGAGCGCTACAAAACAGAATGCGTCAAGATGACAGACGATAACTCCGCGCCGGAAGGTCTCCCTTCGTCATTAACGCGCCGCCACCACCCCGCCTCTCTCCCTCCGAACTCGTCTTTCTCCTCCATCAACGACATGCCGCGAACGAGGAAGCTGCGCATGTTGGTCGCCGCCAATGGCCAGAGGGATGTCACCTACGCCCAAGCCATTGCCGTGCGATTGCTCAAGGACTCCAACATCGAGACGCGCGCCCTCGTTGACGAGGTACCGTTGCGCCTCACCCATGACATCATCGTCATGGAGAACCGCAGCTTGGCGACGCTGGCGATAGACGCGGATCAGCGCACACGGGAAGCGATAGAGGCTGCACGGCAGACGGCGTATGAGCTGGTCGACTGGGCAGATTTACTGGTCCTGGCTCCCATCGACGCCGACCACCTCGCCAAGATGATGAGCGGCTTCGCCGACACACTGCTCCTCGAGGTGCTCCGCGCGTGGGACGTGTCCAAAAAGATACTGCTGGTGCCGGGCATGTCGATACAAATGTGGGAGAACCCTATTACCAAGAAGCAGCTGAGCAAGATCAAGCGGAAATGGAACTGGGTCAAGGTCATGTCGCCCGTCCTATGGCACTACGAGGGTCACGCGCCGTCGAAACGCGTAGTCTCCTGGGATGGTTTTCATGACCTCGTTGGCATCATCAAGAACCAGGCAGAGCTGCTGAGCCTGGGTCACGACGTCGAAGTCGCTGCACAACATGCGATGCACACCGCGGACCCGAGCATAGTGGCTACCGTCCTGCCCCCGGAGATATGGACCATCATTTTCGAACACGTCGGAGACTGGGAAGTAGCGCAGGCTCTTAACATTTACACAAACCTCAGAAGACCGCCGGAGTGGAGCATAGCGCGCACCAGTCTCGTCGATCCAGTCGAGTTATACATGCATGATCTAGAGTGGTTGATTTTGTCTTGTCCCGGATCTGCAGCCATTTGCCGGAAGCTATCCGAGGCACCTAAGGCTTTACGATACGTCTCGTCCTTGGCCGTGAAGCTCATTATCAAATTCTCGCTTACTGAAGTCTTGACATATCTGGAGACCAATTTGAGCAAGGTCTTCTGGGCATCGTTCAGCTCCAAGCTCCTTCCCAACAAATCCTCAGGTGTATACGGTCGGACGGACGTTCTCGACTGGTGGAACACATCCCCCTCGTTCTTAAAGAAGGAATACGATGCCGAAGCACTCGACGGCGCCTCCCGCATGGGATATGTGCACATCTTGGACTGGTGGCTCAAGTCTGGCTTGACGCTCAAGTATACCGAGGCCGCTCTCGAATCGGCTTCTGCAAAGGGTCATCTGCTCGTGTTGGAATGGTGGCGCGACGCTGCGCTCAAAGACGAGACCATCGTGCTGAAGCCCGGCCGGAGTATCCTCACTGCCGCCCAACAGCGCCAGACGGCCGTTCTGCGCTGGTGGGAGTCGTCCGGAATTTCCGTAGCGCACAGCGAGGGCGTGTGCAAGATCGCTAGTGCCAACGGTTATACCGACGTTCTGGACGCCTGGCGCGAGCTCAAGGGCGACAAGCTGGCGTTCGACTCGCAGGTCCTGGTTGCACCTACGAGACAAGGGCACGTGGGTGTTCTGGAGTGGTGGAAGCAGTTTGCCCGCGGGGAGCAGAAGGGAGACGGGAGGAAGCATCGTGTCGAGTACAAGACGTGCGATATTGAGGAGGCCCTCGAGGATGCCATTGGGGATCCGCTACCGGTGAGGAGGTGGTGGGCTAGGAATGGGTTGAACCTCGGTCTAGGCACCAGCGAGTGGATGAAGACGAAGTGCTTGTAGATGCCGAGTGTTCTTACTGCCATGAATGCAAGTAACTTATCTCGGTTGGACGGATCAATACCAGCGATCGATTCATGTGTGTTACCTCCGTTTGCGTTGTCGTATATTCAAGCCTAATAGTGTGGTGTAGGAGTGCCAGCAGGAAATCGCGAAACGATTTGCAGCAAACGTTATCCCCAAAGGACTCTAGCAGAAATGTATATGGATGAGCCCAATGCCAACGTGTTGTGTGCTAGAGCGCTAGATGTTGCCGAAGCAACATGATGCAGGCGATCAAGCAAAGTGGAAGCTTACATCTTACCCATGTGTGGACAACATGAAGCCAAAGCCGCGTTTATTTTATCAGGGCAAGACAAGCATCAATACACACGAGCAAGGTCTCTATCAATTAGAACAGCCGTCATGGGACGCAGAAGAATCCAGAGGAAACTTTAAATATCAAAATCATTCATACAACCACCTCAAATTACGAAAAAGGAACGAGTTCTTCATAGGTGTGAATACCAAATGACCGTGATCATCTCTCTGAAGTTGAAAACATTAACTAGACCACATTTCGTCAAGACACTGGAGCTCGACGAAGAAAGGTAGGAAATCCCTGATGCCACTTTTTAAGCTAGGCCGAAAGGCTTAGCTGAATCGAACCGAAAAACTACGTGAACTACAAGAAGAGAAGAAATCAAGAATCCGCGGCGAGTAGCGTCGAGGTCTGATCACGCCAATAGTGTCAGACTGGTACCACTGCCTCCTTATTTTTGTAGAGGTGACTAGGCCCCTCGAAGGCCTGTCCCTCCAGTTTCCCAAGCTAGCCGACACATCCACAGAATTACCAGTTGGTTCACGAACCACCAGACCGGCCCATGGCCAATCGTTTCCAATGATCACGTTCTTGCTCGAGCTTGGCAATCTTCTCCTCCAGTTCCTCAAGTTTCAGAGCCTTGCGCTCACGAGACTTGCGAGCAGCAAGAGTGTTGCGTGCTCGTTTCATTGCAATGGTGTCGGAGGGGTCCTCGACAACAATAGGAGGAAGAGGCTTGTCGCGTCGTCGGGAGTTTACACCAGAAACAGAAGAGTGTCGGCCATGGCCACCGCCAGGAGAGTTTCCAGACTTCCGACGAGATTGCTGAGCAGGCTCAACCTCGGGCTCTTCTGATTGCTGGGCAGGTGAATTGTTCTCGTTGTTAACGGCCTCGGGGATAGGCTGGGTAACAGTAGGCTCCTGAGGAAACAAAGAGAACCAGCTGTTCGGATCGTTGGACCCAGCGTCAAAGTCGTTGCTGCCAAAGTTGGGAGACGCATCAAAACCATCGTGAAACTCGGGGGACTCGTTGTAGATAGACGGCGAAGTCAAGTTGGTGAAAGCGGTGGAGTTTGGTGCAGAAAACGGCTCGCGGATAAGCAGGTCCTGAGGAGATACAGTGCCTGCCGAGCCCGCGTTGAAGTCGAACACCGCTCCAGCCGGCGAAGAGTAGGCCGTGGTGGAAGCTCCACCGTCGAAGGCGGAGAGGTCTTCGAGGTTGAGCGCGTCTGTTTTGTGTGAGTCTTGGTCGGCATCCGCAGAAGGAAGTAAATAATTACCTTGCAGATCCATCTTGGCTGACTGGTTTTGACCACCGTTGCCCTTAGTGAACAATGGAACAGGAGGACGAGTAAAGCGGTGTTGTTGTTGTTGTTGTGGTTGTTGCTGTTGATGATTCACTGCGACGGTGGACGATGGAGCTGATAACGATGCGTAAAACTGCTGCTGTTGCTGATTACTGAACCGGTTGGTGAACCCCGAAGAAGAAGTCTGATGCCCTGTAGCTTGGATAATCTGGGCCACTCGCTGATTCTGAAGTGACGGCGAATCGCTAGAGTTGTGCGACGAGTGACGACGATTGTTTAGTCCAAAAGCTGCTGCTGTTGGTGCAGGCGATGAAGCAGTGCGATTAACGTTCGTTCTGGCGGGTTGATCGAACAAGACGAAGTCCTGTTGCGGAGGCGGTTGGTAGGTCTGTGGCGTAGATGATGCCGGCAGGCTCGGGGAACTGGAGGGAAGCCATGATTGCTGAGTAGAATCCGTGGTGAAGACTAGAAAGTCGGAAATGGTTGCGGTGGTGCGTTCAACCTGGAAAGGAAGAGCTGAAGTGAAGGGTTGAGTGGAGTTGATGCTGTCTTGATTTGTTGACTGAATTTTGACTGAAGCTACTGAGAGCACTTGGGAACAAGGTTAACGCATCTTGAAGTTGATGCCTGATGTACTGTGTGGTCTAGAATATGTTGTTGGGGCATGAAGGAAGGAGGCGAAATTGTTTTTGGTGTTGTGGGAAATGGAAGCTAATAAACCCTGAGGCAGACTTGGAAAGCGCAACAGTTTTCTGGTCCGTGCACGAATGAGTGAGTCACACGCTCCTTCCGTTTTGCCGTTCTGTAAAAGGGTAGTTTGGCCGAGTACTTAGAAGAGGTACCGTCTGATATCTATGCGGCATATAAAATAACCTTCTAACCTAGATTAGCGCAGACTTATAGGTTAACCTCTGCTAATGGAATAGCTTCTGCTTTCTATTGACAAGCAGACTTTGCCAAATCATGATATCTAATGGCAACAGTCCATGAATGCACCGTAAGTGCATTCCACCGACTACGAACTGTTGCTCCAGAAAAGTCAGAAAGCGACAATCAGACTCAGGTCGTCTCAGCTGAAGTGGGATCAATCAAAACTAAAGGTACCCACTTGGCGGCTACTCAAAGCACGCGGGTTACTCACTTCGTGTTTGATTACTTGACGGAGTGGCTCTCTTACATGTTCCACTCTTGAAGCCGTTCGGCGAGCGGAATGTGGAAGGCACAGTGTAGATGACATTGCAGTGACTATCACTTCCAATGGCGCTTTTACTCAGATTGCATATTCCCTGAAATTCAATAATTATATAGACATTTATATTGTTAAATGACATCTTTAGTCAACACAGAAGACCAGTAGTCTCGAGGCCTTCGCATATCTCACGAAACGACTTCCACACACCTAGGAGGACACGAATTCAATCGCGAACTACCTCCAGTGTGGCATTTGTATGCCTCACAGCTTTGTAATCCGTCCTATTGATAATCCAGTTTCTCGGCGTATCAAACTTTTGGCCAACGCAGGCTGCAATGATAATAAAATGCGCATTGCAACAATACCACGATCCTATTGGCAGCCTTGAGGGCGGCTATGCTTGGACATGTGCCCTGTTCCTTATCTCTCGTCTAACTATTTCGCATAGCCTCTATGCAAGCAGTTTCCAGAGGATCGGTTGTGGCACACTTCAGTGATTCCGTATTCGTCACGCCAACAATACATGATTTCCCATATCTCTAGAAGTGAATAGAAACTTAAACCAGCAGAAAAGTCCAATGGGAAGGCTGCCCTCGACCACCAGAGACAGAGAATAGCTTACGTGGATTTCGGCCACATTTTGTGTCACCAACTGCGAATCTCGATGCCTAGTGTGCAAGGCACCCATGATTGATGTCCACTTTCATATACCATGCCATTTGGATGTTGAACATCCCCACATTCTTCGTAGGACTTTCTGGCACAGTCCCATCCTACAATCCGCTGCCACGGAACGATAGTTTTCAAATTGAAAGATCGGGTTGGCCAATTTCATGAAACGTCGTGACTCACAGTGCAAGATGGCACTTTCGAAATCAGCCATGCAGTCGCGTGTTTCCAGTTTGGTCCTAGCCCGCTCAGCCATACTGTTACCCCGTATCTCGTTGGATCCTACGCTTGTGAAGGAGCATGGCTATTTGGTCCGTCGCATATCGGAAAACTGGGGCGCACGATGCGCCAGATGTACCAAATAAAGCGACGAAGCGATTGGTTCTGTTGGTTGGGTCCCGAGAGGCACAATCATCCTGCCACTTAAGGCGTATGGAAATTTACCGTCGCTTTCCGCGATCGATAGTGAGAAATGCCTTTTCCAGCTGGGAAACTGTGTTTCTACGGCCTTGGCCTCACTGGCCTCACAGATACTTCGCAAGCGGGAAGAGATACCGTAGTAAACTCATGCATGCCTCAAAAATTCTAAACAAACTCAGCTGAAACAACTACCATGACAACATGGCAATTCGGCAGGGCTTGGGCACGTTGCCTGTTCACGAAGAAACTATTGCCATACCCCCGGGACTTTTCTCGTGCTTCAAAATAAAATAAAAATGTGCTTACGGCGTACATACATCTTCCCTCCATCTTCCTCCTTGCGCCAGCACGCCGGTGCGCAAACTGTACCGGTTTTGGCTGGCCGTGGGGGCGCCAACCACGCATCTACTAAAGTTCCTCCGTGGCTTACGCTCTTCCTACACATGTACACCTTGCTTTTTACGTTGCGTACGTCGCAAGCCCGGAACAGTGCTTACACACGTTCATATATAATGCGCCTTTTTGGTTCAGAGGGTTGGCGGGACTGCGTCTCCCATGTGCTCGTATAGCCTGCCCATTAAATATAATTTCGTATTCTGTGAAGCTGGACGACATGTCACACTTGGCGAGAGGATGACGGCGGACCTTGTGATCGTGTATGAAGTACCTGTCCAGGATGGCCTCAATGCTCTTCGTTGGTTGGTAGGTCTCATTCTGCAATCCTTACTAAGCCCATAGTCGTCCTGCAATGAGAGTGAGCCTAACAACCGGCAGGCCGGAAACTATTTTATGAGTGTGTGCTTGTGATCCGAAGATTTCTCGGTAGTGGCCTCCAAACGGCATCAGAGATAAGATCGGGCTTTGTTTCCCAATGTCCCAAAGCCGCGGACCAAAATCCGAATCAGCGTGTGTTGGAGAAGGTGAAGGCGTTCGATCAGTCAGCTTACCGCAGCGCTGCCCCGTAATCTCCGCACAGCCGTCTATCATGTGGGGACCGCGTGCTGCCCCGATTGCCGGCGACATCCGGGGATGATCAACGTGAACCCCCGACAGCCGTGGTACGAATTTGCCAATGGATTTGAATAAAGTTGATGAGGCCCTCATGATGATTCGTGATGTAATGCATCATTATGCATCTGAACGGTAAGCCGGGCGTGGGGTTCAGAAGTCGGGAGCTATTAACTGGGCTAATATTCACCCGTTCCTACCCCGATGTTACATGTATGTATAGTAGTAGTAAGCACACTGGTTAAGACTTACCTTCTACTTATCTTCATTACCTCTATGAAGTGATGCTGTTTGACAACATCATGCAAGAGGATAATGACAAGAACGGCGCACGGAATGGTGAAACAGTGGAATAACCCGATATCTAAGTGTCGTAAACAGACATGTTCTAATTATCCTACGTAGAATCGTCTGGGATAGCCTTATATCTTCGTATTATCAACAGGCATAATCTATTTATTATATATATAATAGTAGGGATGAGCCGTGTCCCGGTGTCGTCAATAGTGATTATTCTACCTGAATGCACTATTTGTTTCGTTTATCCTCTTGTCCGATGCTCTAGCTCGCAGGTTTGAGACCTGAGCATGAGGCTGTGAAGCGTGCACCTAGGGGGGAGGATGCTATAATGCAGCAGTGCGCAACGTTATAGTATCTAATTGAATGGGATTCACCTAACCAGTGGGTCCCCCTACCTTTTCGTATCAGGCTGGTTCACTAGCCAAACCGCTTGACGTCTTGCTGCCAATTATCCCACAAAATCCTACTGATACCCCAGCGCCTAACTAGACCGTAGACAAAATCTACAGAGCCAGGAACCCTGAAACTCAAAACATCGTTTTCAGTCACGACTGACTGTGATATAGTGAATGGTGCCCAATGTTGCGTATTAGTGGTGTATTCGGGGATAGAGAAGCTAAATTGTTCAATATGCATATGTCTGAGCATTGCCAACCTGGTTGTTGGTTCATTCGTCACGCAGTGGAGATATTGGTTCCAAAAGCGAAGGACTTTCTGCTGTCCCAGCACCCTCAACCCTAGAGTCAGTTATTTGGTGTCTCAATCGGTATATACTGCATGTCAAAAGTTGTTGTATCTATTATGCCTGCTGAGGCATATTCTTGCTCCAATGCTATCTTTGACTAGGTAAAAAGCCGACTGTGGTCCTAACTGCGATTACATAGTAGCGACTGCTTCTTTCATTGACATAAAAAGGAGTGACCAGATGTGCTAGCACCAGTGCCAGTTTATTCTAGCTCCTTAACACGCTGTACTTCTATTCTGTTACTTGCAGAAAGACAATTAGGTGGTAGTAGTCACTACTCGTCTTCTTTTTTGTATTTCAAGTGACTACTCTGGTAATTCACCTACTGTATCGTATTTTGGAGATATCGCTGCGAGCTTCACAGTTGATTTCATAGTATTTGTGAGCAAGTGCGGCCTCAAATACAGAGGGGTACAAGGCGGCCAGACACTAAGTTGTGTATACAGGGACCCCCAAGGGGGCCGGCTGGGTAGCTATTGCCTACGCACCTCCATAGTACCAATATAGCCCCCAATACTCGGAACCCGACAGTCCTAGCATAAATGAATCTCACTTCCTTGATTAATTTCAATTGCATCCATTTCTACTCCCAGCTGTTGGACATCCTCTTAGTTCGGTAATGTTTCAGCTATATATGCTATGTTCTGTTGAGGACATAAGTTGGGAAGCTCAACTTCCGGGCCAATGTTCTTTTCGATTGATAGATTAACTAGGAACTTGACTCTTGACAAACCATGGACATTGTTATTGCAAAGCTCTTGGAGGATATCCTGGTTGGCTTGATGTAACTAAGAACTTTCAAACATCACCTGCCTAGATGGTACTTGAGTTTTAACGGCGTGAACCTTGATATTCACAACGCTCACCTATAGCTTCCTCCGTGAAGCTGAAACCAACCTCTCAAGTCTATTTTGTGATACTGCTGAGTTCACTCGTCATTGTCCTTGAGGATATCTAAGCTCTTTTCACCGATTATATCTGCCTCTGATGCAGTTTCGCTGATTGGTCAGTTGGGGTTGATGACGAAGTATGCTCATGTTAGGACGAACTTTGCTGATTTTTGTTGGCAAGAGATGCCAGGGGGGTCACTCTGTAGGATACCGGTCTTAGTCCTCGACTCTATATCCACCATTGTCGACCTCGAAACTAAGGAACAAATCGTCACAGCATCAAACAACAACACCCCTTTTGACTCGGATTGACACAAGGACAGAAAACGGTCGTCAAACTACTAGGTATGCCTAATAGGTAATGGCATGCTGCCGGAGCTGGTCAAGAAACAATTACTTGGTTGTTGGAATGGTGATCCAGAAACAGCGTTCATCTAGTTCTCAAAACTCACCTGCCTCTAATGCGCCGCAACAACACCAGCAGAATCCGCCTGCTCAGCAATCCTCTTTTTGTATTGCTGAACATCACCAGGGAACTTCCAAACCGTCCCATTCTCGCAAACCCACAGACTCTTGCATACATTCTGGAGCATAGTAACATCGTGAGAAACCATGAGAACACCGCCCTGAAACTCATTCAGCGCATCGGCCAGGGCATCCATAGCCTCGATATCAAGATGGTTAGACGGTTCGTCAAGCACGAGGATGTGCGGGTTGGTGAGGGCCAGGCATGCAAAGGCCACACGCGACTTCTGACCACCGGAAAGCACTTCCATCTTCTGGAGACCCGTCGTGCCTGTGATGCCGAAGGCACCCAGCTGGCGACGGTATTCTTCGTCAGTGCGTCCTGGGTACTCCTTTGCCATGAAACTGACGGCGCTCGTTGTGAGATCGAGAGCGTCGACGTGGTGCTGTGCAAAGAACCCAATCCGCAAGCGAGAGTGTTGAGAGATAAGACCCTTCGTTGGGGACAGCTTGCCAATCAGGAGCTTCAGGATGGTTGTTTTACCAGCACCGTTTGGCCCAACGATACCAATCCGCGAGTCTAACTGGACATCGAGGTCGACGTTCTCTAGCAGGATCCTCTCTGGGGTATAACCGAATGTAACGCCAGACATTTGGACGATTGGCGGGGACAGCTTTTCCACCTCTGGGAACTTGAATTTGACGCTGTATTCTGCTTCTGGCGCCTCAAGAATAGGCATGCGTTCCAACTTCTTGATGCGAGATTGTGCTTCTGCGGCCTTGCCCGCATTGTATCGGAACTTGTCGATGAAAGCCTGCAAATGAGCACGCTGTGCCACATTGTTTTCGTATTCTCGTTTCGCAATCTTCTTGCGCTCCTCTCTCGTTGCATAAAAGGAGTTGAAATTGGCTCCTCGGTAGTAGTCCAACCGTTCAGAATGCTGGTGGATAATATCGGTCGCCACTTCGTCTAGGAAGGCTCTGTCGTGACTGACCACAAAAACAGTGCTAGGGTAGCCCTGCAGATAGTTGGAAAGGAAAGTAATGGACGGAACATCCAACATGTTGGAGGGTTCGTCAAGCAGTAGCAAGTCGGGTTCACAGAAAAGAGCTCTGGCCAGCGCCAGACGCATACGCCAACCACCAGAGAAGGTCTTGGTAGCAAATTGTTGCCGCTCAGGGGAGAAGCCAAGACCAGCCAGGATACTGGCGGCTCTTGACTCGGCCTTGTCGGATTCCATCTCTGACAATTTGCCCTGTACATCTCCAAGCTTCTGGTCAAGGGCCTCACGATCCCGATCCAGCCTGGCAGCGTCGGCAGAGGTATCGGCCATAGAAGATCGCTGAGACTCTATATCGGCCAGCCGTGTAGTAAGATCCTTGCCCCATTGTTAGTATGATGCCAAGCCAAGCGAAGAGGGACACGACTCACAATCTGTTCCTTGAGCAACACCTTTCTCCAGACATCGGCGTCCAGCACAGCCTGTATAGCAGACGTATCATCTCCAGTAAGCTACAATCTGTTAGTGTCATGAAAGTAGCGACTTCATCAGAAGGGAACCTACCTCTTGCTCAACGTGGAGAATCGAGATATGAGTTGGAATGGGTACTTCACGTCTGGAAAGCGCGCGCAAAAGCGTGGATTTACCCACACCGTTGTTACCAACCAAACCATAGCGGCGGCCATATGCGAGGGTCAAATTGGTGTCGGTCAAGATTCTTAAGCCACCAATAGCCACATCGATGTTGTCAATCTTGATATCTTTACTCTTGGCCTGGCCGGTACCACCCAGCTGCAGAGGGTTCACAGCCATGTAGAATTCCTCATACGATTGTGCGTCGTCCGTTTGGTTGAGCAGCTTGGACGCCTCGTACTCGACATTCTTGAACTGCTTCTTGCTCAACTTGGCGGCGATCTTGCGCTCCGCCTTCTCGAGTTTCTTGCGGTCGACCTTGGACTCGACCTTGCGCGCGTTGGCCGACTCGAGATCGACACTTCCTGTGGCCACAGCAAGAGTCGAGGACATGTTGCGTTGCGCTCCTACCTGGATGGCTTGGTCGAGACGCTTGATGGCCGAAGGGCCCCTGCGATCGCCATTTTCACTGTTGGCAGTCTCATATTTCTCGACCCATTTCTTGACGAGAGAGGCAATCTTCTGCTGCTCGGGACCCGGTGCATTGCCGGAGGCAGAAATCAGGAGTTCAGTGATGGCAGTCGCAGCGTCGGCGAGCGGCGACAGCCCGGTCGACTCATCATCGCCGCCGGTCCACGCGGTGGATGCATGCCTCAGGTAGCCAACCGAATATTCCGATACGATCGGGTCGATGTCCGGAAGCACGGCTCTGATATCGGCGTCCATGCTGATAGAGTAGCCCGGAGATTGCACAAGGCACGGATCCGACTTGGGGTCTCGGGATCCTGGGGCCTGAAATCAAGCCACGCGTAGCCTCAAGAGCTCAGCAAAAAAGGTGGTTAGCGTCGAATGATGGAGTAAGATTACTGAAACTCGATTTTCAGACTTCGCACTGACGCTGTGTTTGCTTGCCAATCTCGATTCTTGAAGCCTTGAAGCAGGCAGTGGAACTGGGAATGTGACGAGCTTTGCCCGTTGCCCGTTGCACGGCATCTGCTCCAATTTTTCATAGCGTCGTTGAATAAAAATGGGTCAGCACAGTGTTCGCATAAGTCATTTGTATTGCATTGAGATATTCTCCCTTCAATTACTTTTTTTGCATTGTTATGCATAGGAGCAATTTCCCCTGTTAGGCAGCCACCAACATGAGTCAATGAATTGCCTGCTTGTCTGACCTTTCTGGTTATGGCCGGGCCAACATGTTGCAGCACCGTGAAGTCACCGTGTAGGCACTGGTCGGTCTGTCTGACCAGGTTGCCGTCCGAACATTTGATAATCGCCATGGACCACGTTCAAGCTTTCCCCAGAAGACCAAAATATTGTAACCTTAATCCATCTCAATGGGGTCCGCGTTCCAAGGCCGAAGAGAAATCTAGGGTGATGATTTGTATCCCCCCAACGCTGCGACTCTTTGGTTGAATCGTGTCTGATGGGTTTCAAATTTTCCGCCTGGCACTGAAAACTTTATATCGATCACCACGTGTTGGGCGAAACCTCGATGCGCAATAATGGGCGCCTATGCTCATGCTATCAACATTTCTGGAAGTTGAACAAAAGTTGCGGAAATTTACGGCCAAGACCGGATGGCGTCCGATCAGATCTGAATCTCTCGTGTGTCTGTGTGCCCGTTCCGCGACGGGAAGGACGCGCGACTCAGACGCGACACCTTTAATTAGACCTTTCCCCTGCTTCATGCTAATCTAGGAACGTGTTGGTTGGCAACGCGGCAAGACCCTTAATCGCGTCTATCGGTACGTCTTCTCATTCGCCTGTTCCACGGTTGTCAACCACGATGCCAACCAATCGAAAGCGGCTCATCAACCAACTCTGAACCAACTGGTGAGGTGAGGATGCAGGCAAAAGGTTGCATTCAATTAATGCGCTGGACAACGTGGAGACCGGGCATGCCGTACTTGGGTCATCCTGTGGGAATTGCCAATGCTACGTGTTTTCAATGTTTAGAAAAAGCTTCTCTAACTACTAATTCGTGAGGTTTGCAGGAGCAAGAAGTGGTTATCCTACCCCGTAGAGTCGCCGAAGACTTTCAGAATTCCCACGTACTGAGCAGCATAGCATGAGAAATGCCGACCGCTGTCGTCCAACGTTCCTTGACTGCGCCGCTGGCCCAAGAAGACCAAGGAAAACCTCTACAAGCCTTGTCTGCGCAACGTCACTTGTGTGTCATATAGCCAGCTTAAGAGGGGTTTTCCAACATCACGAATCAGGGCCGCATCCTGGTGGAAAATATCTCCAGGCGCCTGCAGGTGGGGACAACCAATGAATGGCTCTCACTCCGATTACCCCAAAGGGATGCTGTCTCGTAGCTACCTAGAACCTGTCGTTCCAGAGCCAATGCTAATAAATCATCTGATGGTAAATAATAGTTGTTTTACAGATATCGCCTAGCATTGGGTTCCAGGTTCACGTTGGACGGGGGCGAAAGATTTGTCTCATCATACGAAACCAACGACTCGCTCGAACTGCTTGCGACAGGATTCCGTACAGCCAAGTAGCCAAGTATCTAGGACGAGCGTGAGAGTAATCCAAGGCCACGCCGTCTCGTCTCTTGTTCCAGCGCTAGCCGGGACGAAGACGGCAAGACTGCCGTTGGGGATAGAATTAGAATCAGTTGCTTGTCAGCAGCCGAGGAGGTCATAGCAAGACAATCCAAACAGCGATATCATCGTTCTTCCGTTGAGACGATCGTCGTTGTAGAAGTTTTCTGGTTCCAACAGCGCTTGGTAGGCAATATTTTGCGATATTTTGTTGGTATCCGGCCTCTGAATGGCATCATCCCTACAGTGCAGTCGACGCCACTTACGAAGTCGCTGCCGTCTTCCCTGGCCGGCCCTAATAGTACCGCTCACTATCGACTGTGATTATATTGAAAGCCCGACACAGCCCCAAGACTTCTTCCGACGTCCCACAAGTAGTCAAGTTGTTAGGCTATGAGATAGGTCTTAATTGTATCGAGTTGGCGATTTGAAGTGCTTAGCATTTATTCTAATCGGCTGGTGCACCAAATGCTCATGGCCACGATGAGACCCGCTGTCAAATCGTCTTATCCATTTGGGTTGCTGTCAGAGTATTTCGTACAGTCCCATTTGCAACTTTAAATAACTACTGATTGAAGGTTCCGTCATTGGTCAACCGGAGCGACGTCGAAGTTGAAGAGTCTCTTCGTTCATAAGTAATGTCCTAATTCTGATATTTTGCATAGATCCAGTAGTACGACTCTTTGTAACCGACCGTTTATCGTCAGTTCAAAACTGAAATTTTGTCACCATCGGTCCCAGCTCTCGCGGCGCCTCCATTTGATGATCGGTGGCATCTCGCATAGCGGCGGAGAGAAACTGGGTTTCCGGGAGACTGAAGGAGCCACGTCCCTGGCCAGTGGTAGATGAAGTGTCATGTGTCGCCTGGTACTTCGTGCAGTGGGCCCATCTGATTGATCAATGGCAGCGCAATCGCACGATGCTAGTAGGAACATTATGCAAGTCCCAAAATGACAATTGTTAAGATCCACCAGTTTAGCTGCAGAGCTAACAAGTGGCCAAATCGTGATGGGTGTTCTCTTAGCCCGGCGTTTTTCTTGGTCAAGTCGCGATCTCCACATTGTTCAGCCTCTGTGCGCTGTTAGGTTGAGATGTGAAACAAGTTGCTGGCTGACTACATTATGATCCTGATTGTCCCTCACGAGCGACACCATAGGCCGGCAAGTCGTCGTGGCGAGGAGGGTCTCGGAAAAGGGAAAAAGGCGACCTACGTTATTAAATTGTTCCATCTGGCTTGGCTCCCGTTGGTACGAGATGTGCATTCTCGAAGCAATCCTCTTCAAGACTTCTAATGACGCCGCTAGACGGACGAATGAAGGCGGCGAATTGCCTGGACGACAAGCGGCAGGTCGCAGGAGCAGAAAAAAACGTGCCTGAAAGAGAGAGACAGGCGGCGGCTGCAACTTCACAATAAAGCGTGGAAAATGGCAGTACAGCGACGTAGTAAGCTTATCATCATTATTAATTACAGAACGGCGCCCTCCGCGCCCCTCAATGGTCTGATGCCGCAATGTGGGAGTCTTGTCGGCGACCCCAGACGAGTGTTGCTTTGGCGTTCAATTAAGCAGCTGGATGCGTGATATCCATGTTCATTATATCTGGGTCTTCAGGGTTGGCCTTGAGCCTCGTGGACTGCGGTTAAAAGAGACCGCTCCCTGGCGTCCGTCCAATTGCCAAAACGGGATAGAAGCTGTAGATTGGACGATGGAACAAGAGACGGCACGATACACCGGATTACCAAAAATTGCTGAAATTGGGTTTGCTGGACAATAGGGATGCGTACTGTGTATGGTGGTACATGCAGTTTGTTTCTCCAACACAGCTTTTGGTGCGGTGATTCGTGACAGCTCAAGACAGCAAAGTTTGATGCATTGGCTAACACAGCATGTTGATGTCCTTGACAGGGCAAACATTAGTACACAGCATTTCCGCAACCAGACGCCATGTGTCGAGCCAATTACTTGAGAAGCCTATGTACCTCAACTGTCCCTTCAATACCTTATTTGGCGGTTAGACCTTGAAAAGCGTTTCTGCTGGAGTCGTGAGACCCTGGTTGACAGCTTGGGGAGAGATCTCGCACGTCGCCCGCAAGATGCGAGATATCATGTAGCATTCTCGTCCCTTACAGCCGTGTCGTATCCGCCTGTCGTTCTGGAAGTACAATAGTTCTGGACACAACTATAATAGCCACTTTTTTTCACGATTCTGCTTATGTTTGAATACGAAATAAATTCCACGATGCACGCCCAGTTCATGTACGACTAGCAGTTTCCGGGCCTCTGCCCCGTCTTGATAGTGTCAGCTTATACGGCGGTGTCGCGTGTTAATTAGTAGGTACTTGAAGAGGATTGAACTGCGCCCAAAACATCGGTCCGCCGCCTCCCGACATGTAGACAGCATAAGCACATGATCAAATAGTCTCCGATGATCGTGGCCCGAAGAGAATGAACAAAATGCGGTTGGCAACTGATATTTGTTGGCGAAATCGGGCTGTTCCTAACGCATATCGGCAGCTTATAAGAGCTTGTATATGCTGTGGATTGGCGGGTGGTGACACAGACTTCACCATCCTAAGGCAAAACTGTCGACTCATTCCCCTTCCCCTCAGCCGAGAAATCAAGGCAGGCCTCTCAGTGGTGAGCGCTACTAGAAATTGCCATTACGTCCTAGCCACCCATTCATAGACAGAAATGATGCCGTACGGCGACATGTACGACATGTCGAGCTGCTTAAGTACGTATGAAGGATCTGGCGTCAACGTCAAGCGGGCCCATATCAGGACCAACCGTCGTCGATCTCAAAGCGTGTTGCTAGGTGACGACCCATTTGCGGACCCTCTTGTTAGCAGGCCCGCTGATGAAGAACCCCAAGATTGTAGATTTGGAGCCCTGCAAGGAACTGGCAGACGATTTGTGGTTGATACGTGAGGTTTGGGGCTAGTGTAGAAACTGACCCTCAGGGCTAAAGCCGGGCAGGACGCGTGCAGGTAAAGAGTGGCCGTATCTGCAGCTATTGTGAAGTTTTGAAGCTCGAAACCTTGGCTCAGTCAAATGATAGGTCTCGGCGAAATGACGCTAGGTCAGATCGGTCCATTAGGGCGACAGCCTGCAGACGGATGCGCGCCTGGCAATAAGACGTGTGCAGGTGCAGGTGCTAGCAGGGCTGTTGTACTGGGGAATGCATCTAGGTAAAATGACATAAAGTGCAAACAGAGGACTCGATTCGATGTCCAAACGAAAAAAAGCAAATGCTCAGCAGCGTCAAAAAATGCCACTTGGATTTGGTGCAACGGTATTGGGGAATAATGAGGGCTTTTTCAAGACAGCAAGGAATAACCCATCGGAAGTGCGAAACGCGGGTTTTTTTTCCCACACACTAAGCGCGCAATTCACGCACCGGGTTCAATACTCCCCCCATTGCCAGGTAATGGTACTGAAATTATATGACAGTCCACAGGGGAGACATCTCACAGCGGCGATTGCTAGTGCCGGCCTACCCCAGTATGCCGCATTGCAGCATCTTGCAAGGCTCGACCTGGGCAGAGCTGGGTTCTTGGCCATCGCTTCACGGCGTGTTTGTTGTGCAGGCTGCAGAAAGAGCGACGGGCGCGCGCAAACAAGCAACAACTTGGTCAAGGAACCGACCCAAGGGCAAGGTCCAGAAGGTGGACACGGACAAGGTCAACGGGCTGACGGGTACTTCCCTCGCGCAATCCCAACGCGATAGTAATCGACACATAGCCAGGTCTACAGGTAATAATAATAATATCAAGGCACCTGGGGCCGGCATTGATTGCAAAGAGCAACCAACTCCGTGCGGCGTAAACAAGATCGTCCAGGGTTGAAGGGCCCATCAATAGATCCAATTCTTGTCTGGTTCACCACGCAATCTTTCCCTCCTTCCCACCAGGGCCAGTTCAGGACGGGCCAGAGTCAGGTCAGGTCCAGCTGTAAAGTTGTGCTGTGTTTTTTTGTTGTTTATGCTATGCTCCGGATGCTAGCTCGTCACAGGTTGAGATTTCCTGGTGTCTCCTCCATCTCGACTTCATTTTCTCTTCCTTCTTGCCCATTGTTGCAATTCTAGTTTCTAATCGCAGTCTTCCCCCACGAGTCAGCATCCTTACTTCCCTCCGTTTCTCAGTGACGATAGCGATATTTGTAGCAGCGTTAATTGCCCCGATTACGCCTTTACGAGCAGCTTTGGAGACGCTTTGTCGACTGAGCCGAGGGGGAAAGCTCCGCGCCGCCAATATCAATATTGGGACTTGGACGTTTCGAAAAACGATAGCTGTCAGCGTCGGACCTGTCGACTCCACGACCGCCGATAATTGGAGTTGGATCCAAACAACCCGCTCCCCAGGTATCGCACCATAGCGCCACAGCCTCGAGACACGCAAAATACGCAACGCAGATTTCCCGTCATTCCTCAGACTCCCCTACTGCGAAATTGCCATGTCTTGACAAACAATGGTCACGAGAACGTCTAAGAGAGCTGATTTCTCCTCTTGCCTCTTCCCCGAAGGCCCTCCTTCCTCATCCTAAGGCCCGTCTTCCACGATGCAGACCGTTCCCAGTGTAAGTCGCGTTGCCGCGCTCCAGCGTCGCCAAAACAACCTCGAGCTACACCCCAACGTTCTGCCAATTCTGCTTGCAACTACAGATTTAAGCTTTGCGTGCAGTCTATTCGCCCTCCCCTGTTTGTCAATCGCCCGTTTCAATTGTTTACAAGCAACCATGACAGTCACATATTATGCAATGGCATCCAACTCTGTTGCAACGGAAACTGACGTAAACTTCAGCTCATCGGAACCGGCACTGCTGTCGCTGCGGCGGCAACGGGTCTCGTCTTCGGCCAACTCACGGAAGGTCAACTCCTCCCCCACTCGCCAACTACACGATCGAATTCTAGCAGGAGGCAAATCACGCCCGACCGAGAATCACCGCCGGCATCTGCAAACCCCCTTTTCGCAGACGATTTCAGCTTCAACCCGCAGCAGAAGCAGCAGACGCAGACGCAGCAGGAACAATTACCGCTCTCTCACACGACGAACCAGCCGCGAATCCCCCGAGGTTCCTCTCATAATCAAGCCACCCCACCCAAATCATCCCATTGGCGCCACTCTTTCACCAGACAGGGTGAAGGGTCTATTGCCGAAAACGTGCGCGATTCGTCCTCGTCGAACAGCTCATGGTTGCGCAGATTATCCCTTCGTCCGTTATCTCAACATGAGAGCAGAAGATCGAGTCTTGTACCCGATTCTCCGTCCGTCTTCTCTCACGGTTCGGGAGCACCCATTCTGTCACATACAGGCCCCACGGCCACTCCGTTGCCTCCCAATAAACTAGTCAAGAGGTCTTCCACCAAAGATGGCAACGGCTCAGGTGCCTTGATCCGGCGGGGTTCAAAATCACAGATGCATACCCTCCGACGGCCGGCAACCAGTCATCAGAGATCCGCCACGCTTCGCCATCTGACCGTGGAGACTGTTCCGCCTCTACCTCAACTCTCGTTGGACCAACAGGGGCGGCCGAGGGCTCGAACGCTAGCGAATCCTTGTGGGGATCCTGCATTGCGAATATCAACAGCTGACAACTCGAGTTCTTGGCGGTCTTACTTCCACGCGCGGGTTGTAAGAATAGCGTCCAAAGTATCTCCGTTACGGGGGGACAGCGGCGTACCGTCAACCACGAAGCGAGTTTGTATGGAGCAACCAAAGCACGCAGGGGTTTATCTACTATCACCGGGATCCATCATGGCCGGTTCACCTTCGAGTCAGATCCTTTCTGAGATAGAGACCTCGGCGGAACTCGATGACAGCCCGCGAAGCTCAAATAAGTCACCCGGTGCATCCCCAAGTAGCACACCGTCAAAAACATCAAGACGGTCCATGTCGATGCATTTCAGCTCGCCCACAACTTGGATATCTAAGACGGGGAGCATCCGCCGTCGGAAACGAGGCTCCCCTGAACCTGCAGGCGGTGAAAAACGGTGTGTGTCTGAACCAACCGCGAATAATGACGATTCTGGCCATCCGCAAGTTGGAGAGCAGCTGGCACCAGACGAAGGTGGCGGCAGGGCGGGGGAGCCCAGCAAGGCCGAAACTGAACTGGCCGCCATTTTCCATCCACCAAAACGCGCAAGGAAGTCGTCTTCGCCAATTCCGCCATTGTCGAGGCTCTCGAGCTTCCACGTTGACCTGAACCAGCTCGGTTCGTCCTCTTTAGGTAGCCAAGCTAAACCTGATGAGGTAGCGGTTTCAGGCAATTCAACCAGCACTTTGAGGGTGAACTCAAATGGGTCTCAAGCTCGGACTCTGGACCGTGCATCGACGGTTGGAAGCTCCGAGTATCACCGCGGATTTGCATCGGGCGACGATGAGGACACCGACTTTAAGACAGATACCCCGTTTGATTCTTTTCGAACGGCGGGGTCTAGTCGTAGGAGGACCCAAGACTCGCCCTTGGAGTCCATGTTCGACGAATCACCTCCCAGCACAGCCGGCCTCAACAACAAGCCGAAACGATTGTCTATCCAAGAGATGCTCGGTCCGGCATTTGATAATGGCCATGGAATCATGGAGGAGGACGAGAGCTTGGCAACGCCAGTTTGTGGAACGTATGACGATGCAGAAGCCAACTTCCGCCTCGCTAATCTCGAGGACGATGAGGACTACAGACACCCTCGTGTTTCAGCTGATTTTAAAATGGCGAACAGAGATTTTGGCCGGCTTTCTTTCGACGATGACGACGATCTCGACTGGGCTAGAGAAGACGAGGCCCCTCTCTACAACCATCTGTCACCACCAAGTTCCATGAATTCCCGTAGGGGGAGCCCCAACCTGCGGACAGCACTGCCTAGTATTAGCCGCAATAGCAGTTCGGAATTGCGAGGCGACACAAGCAGTGAGCGACCTCGCAGCAACGTCTTTGATTGGGCAGAACCCTCTCAATATGAAAAGGTTGATGGAGAAGGCCGTTCAGCTCGTCCCAAGACAGTTCATGGAAAGCAACAACTTGATGTGAGAGGCGGTCGATCAGCAAGCCGGAAAGGCCCAACGGTGGCTCATATTCGCAGTCAAAGTGTCCCTATAGTGCCGGACCCTGCCGAAGGCTCCAAGGCAGCACCCAAATTTGGAACTTGGGGCTTAAGTACGAAGAATGTGAGTGAAGACTGGGACGACGACTTCGAGTTCGAAGAAGAGGCCTTCGCGGGACCATCGGATAAGAAGGCGGAAAATCGCATTTCCATGGTCGTGCCTGCTTCAATCCAGGCAACGCAACCCACGGTGAGAGCGCACTCGGGCCAGATCAGGGAGCTATCTTTGCTTGTTAATGACTTAAAACGGCTATGTCGGCTGGGACGAGAGATGGAGATCCTTGATGGAACTTCTTCAAAATTGTGGCGGGAGGCGGAGGGCATCATTGCTCTAGCCTCCCCCGATGAGGATGCTTCTGATGGAATCATGTCCACCTTGATGACTGATGACCAGGACGACCGGTTTGTGGATGAAGGATTTGATAGGAACGCTCTTGATTATTCACATACTGTCGACGATGGGGTTCAAATAAGGACTGCTGTTGTGAGAGAGCGCCCGTCGGTGCGGCGTCGATCTGTCTTCTCGCCCGAGGACGACATCTTTGGGAACTGGCCACACTCGAATGATCAATTCCCGCCGGCTCGACCCAGAACCCCTGAAACGAACATGGATAAGGACCCCTGGAACCCATTGTCCGTCGCGAGATCTTTAATGGAGTCAATGCAACTCCGACGGCGGCAACCCAATGAGGAGGATGACGATATCGATGATGATGAGGAGGAACCCAATGCCAGACTGAACTTTGATACGAACAGTCTGAAGGAACTGGTCAAGCGTGCGAGCGACCTGCGGGATGCACTTTCGGAACTCATCCGCAAAGCAGACCGTATCACAAACAGCCCGTCTCGAACTCCAAGGCGCGAGAAGACAAGCAAAAATGGCGATGGCAGCCCAGCCTTCACGCGAGTCTTCAACGATCCAGCCTCCAGCCCTCCCAGACGGCCCCCCAACAGCCATAGCAACAATTCGATTTTAAGCGGCGGTTCGATCAATGCTTCACCATCTAATGGATTGGGTCAGCGCATGCAGATGATGACCGTCAGCTAAATACTTGTTTCCTCGCCGCGCAACGATTGCCGCCTCCGACGCCCGAGCTTTGCTCCACCTGGGGCCTGTATATGTACAGATATATGTTTGATTTGCATAGCGAAGGCGGTCTCGGTTTGCCCATTACAAAAGACGCATGCACATGAGCTCTCACATTGGGAGGAAAAGCGTTGATGGGTGGCCTCATCTGTGGACATGCTTCAGTGTCAACACGGACTAGCCAACTTCACCACCATATGCCTCTCCCGGCTATGGCCCTCGGCGATCCTGGATAATAGCGTCGTGTCGTTTCCTTAGTTTGGAAGACGATTTACTGTGACGACTTAATACCACCGACTTTTCCGAGTATTCCTAGGTCATAGGCGGGTTCGCTGGTTCGCATTGCTAACGACGCAAAAACAAACCGATAGATTCGATCCACGCCTCATGAGCATGATTGATGAAATTTTCATTGCCTGAAATGGCTTGCATTACTGCCCGTCATGTTGTACGACGACTGCATCGGAAAATAGATGAATGCTTGCGATAAAAAGGAACCTATTTACACGAACCAGCAACGATTCTCACACCAAGACCCCTGGCGCGCCTTTTGCGCCAATGCATCAGGTGCTTCTTGCCGCCATTGCGACGGCATAACTTGAAAAAGGCCTTCTACAGGACACGCCTATTTTGTGCTGTCCTTATATGACTAGGGATGCCCACCATCGGTAGACCATGATGCATCTGGTGCCGAGTGCGGCTAAGGGGTCGAATTGATACTCTCTTGTTTTTTTCCCTCACTCCTTTGTTTTCCTAGGGGTAAGGCATGGCAAATGGACAAAGGGGCATTGTACACTCGGTAGACATGGCGTGGGCTGGATGGATTCCCACGGAAATGGATGGTCTCGGCTTCACAGGGGGATCTAAGTCTAGGTCCATAAAAAGAAGACGAAACATAATGCAGCCGGTTAATTTGCGTTTGTCCAAGTAATAAACAAACTAGAGTCTTGCTTCCTGCCATTCTACGATGTGCTTTGATTGATTGTCGGCTATCTTGGCTGCTTGGTGAAAGTCGTCTGGTGCAGACGTTATGGCCGTAGGCATAGATCGGTTCTGATTCATATCTTAGTGAGACGGTATACAGACGAGCAATGCTAGTACTATCATTTACAGCATAGGAATCTGGCTAATGCATCGGAACGTGATGGACCGTCATAGAGGTCGATTAGTGTTGGGATTGGAGTATATACCGGAATGCTCCAAACACGCTCCGGTTTAAGCGGGCGGGAATCAACCTTCAAAGGTTCAACATGTACCATCAAATACAATTGTTTGGCCTTAGCAGCTGTCGGAGAGAAGGTGCGTCCATAAAGGCTCAGCATCTAGCAGTCAGGTAAACAGCAACAGCTAGCATAGAATAAGAAGACAACAAGCAGGACAAATATGCGAATGTCTAATGTCGAGTATGAACCTCTGCCATGGTATCTGTCGGACCGCATCTATCCAATGTATAAGGGGCTAGCTATATAAATGTCTATGGGTCCCACTGCTTGCTGGGTGGCCAAGGGACTGACACCCCTATTTGGTGGTTGGCCTCTCTACGTATGCACACCTTCAATAGCCGGACAACTTGAGGCTACTCCACACTAAGAATACTTTTATCATGGTATTAAGGATTCCAAGTGCAATATTTGCTAGCCAAGCTGGTACGATGACATGTACCACGAGGACCACATCATAGCATCTTGTATCCATGCAGGACCACAGGTGAAAAAGCATATGGTCAAATCCAACTTGAAAACGTCTCTATGTTTCCGATTAGGGCTGCGTGAAGTGAGATGGTTGTTGCCCCTGTTACTGTCGCAGCAAGGTTAACACTAAGTTTTCGTCTTGCGAAAGGGGGCAATGGGCCAGGCCGAAAGATTAGTGGTGGGGCGGTCACAGCTCAAATACGCCTTGTGTATACTAAAATGTTGGTGGAAGACAGTACTAGGTGTGCTGTGAACATGATCATCACCGACCAGCAATGAGCAGAGCAGATGCCTCATCCAATCATGACTCTCCTATTTAAAAAAAACAATCGTTTGTGTCTGTTCTAGCCCATTAATAGTCCAACCTCCCGTCTGTAAAAGTCAAAGCCGCTACACTATATGCTTAGGTATCAAAAGCCTCCAACCCAAATATGCCAAAGTAACACTTCTCAAAAATGATGTGCCGTGTATACAAGGAGATGATACAACCGCCAGTCCATATCATGTACTACAATTCCATGAAAGCAAAAGGAACTGGTGAATCTCCTACGTCTCAATGCTTGCCGGTGTCCCATAGCCCGAATCCTTTTTCTCCTCCCTCTCACCCTTTGGTTTGACGACTTGCAACTTCTCTATGCTTAGGTTCACTTTCTCGTCAACCTCGGAATCCGAGTCTAATGATAAATCATCGTCCTTACTAGACGAGGACTCGGCCGATCTCTGAGTCTTGGGCTTGGACTTCTTCTTGCTCAGTTTTCTCCGCTCTTCTTTCTTAGACTTCTCCTTCTCCTTCTCTTCCTTTTCCTCGTCCTCTTTCTTTTTCTTAGCCAGCTCTTCAATCCTCTTTTCTTCGGCTTTCCGCTTTTCCTCGGCCTTCTTGATTTCTTTTTCCTTTCGGTCTTTTCTTGTCGTCTCCACGAATTCTGCTGCAGTGTCAATGGCGGCGCGCGGGTTGCGCTTGTGTCGCATAAGGTGCCCCTGAAGTTCTGCGGGGCTGAATTCGTGGGCTGGAATCTGAGCGGCGAATTCGAGGGCGAGGGCAATAACCCGAGCCTCATCGGCGCAACGTTTCTTTTCCCTCTCCTCACTTAGGGCAGCCCTCGCCACTGGGTCGAGTAGGAGATCATCGGCGGTTGTGTCTTTTGGGCCGTCGTCGCCTTCCAGACGGGCGAAGATGGCGCGGAAGATGGCGGCTGTCATATCGGTGTCGGCTAGTCCGAACTCGACGATCATGTCGACGCGACCAGGTCGGATCAGGGCCTTGTCCAGCTTCTCAAGGTGGTTCGTCGTCATGATCAGGACTCGCCCTTCCTGCGACGCAACACCGTCAAGGATGTTGAGCAAGCCAGACAGCGAAAGACGACCAGTGGGCAGAACAGCTGGGGGGTTGTTGGTATTCCCATTGCCCTGCGTGATCTGCCCAGGCTCCATCGGTTCCGTAGCGCTTCCACTGGCGCACTGGTTCTTATCCTCCTCGCGCGTGTTGGTGAGCCCAGCTGTGTCAATATCCTCAAGTAGCACCACACACCGTCGAGGAAGCTCAGTAAAAAGAGATGCCAGGTTCTCCTCGTTGGCTGTGATGGAGCTCAAGCTGACAATGTAGATACGCATCTTGAAGAAGCCCGCCAGAGCCAAACTCAAACTTGACTTGCCCGTGCCAGGTGGCCCGTACAGGAGGTAGCCACGACGGTAGGGGATACCGCGATTCGAGTACCAGGACTGTGTCGCGGGGGCGAGGTAGTCCGTCACATCATCGACCAGGTCCTTCTTGGTCTTTTCGTTGAGAATAACGGTCGAGAACGGCCGGGAAGTCCGAGCCATGCATCGCTGCCACGTTGGGTCGCTTGAACTAGAGCGTAGCGTGCCGCGGTAGATCAGCGTCTTTTGTCGGTCCCGCTCCATATGCATGGCGCGAGCCTCAAGGAGAAGCTCCTTCAGAATCCAGGGGTTGCGGCCAAAGCAAGAGATGGAAATCTCTTCCTTTTCACTGGCCAGCAGGCTGCTCCCCTGCTCCCGGTTGCAGCTTCGACGGAATAACAGGAGGCGGCTGCGGTACCAAAAATAATGGCTGCCGAAAGAGGGCGTGTAGCTCAATGCCTTCTTCTTTTTGCTTCCATTGGTCTGGTCCTCGACGCCATCATCCTCGTTATCTTCGTCGTAGTCCCATCGCCAAAGGTACCAAGAACGGGAGTTGAGGTTGGTGTTGACCACGAAGCGTCTCGCGCCCTGGGAGAAGCGCTGGGCGGCAACCCAGCTCATCAGGATGTTGTAGATCTCATCGTCAGTCCGGATATCCACCACGCTCATGAAATAGTTCTCCATTTGCTCCCAGAAGTAGCTGCTGGCGTAATTCCACATCAAGGTCAGGGCTCCAATGAGGAGGAGGATGGGGATGTAGAAGTTCAGGTCAATGTGGAGGTATTTCTGGATTGCGTTGGCCAGCGTAGAGAAGCCGGGAAAGAAGTAGTCTAGCAGCGCAAGCTGAGGTTCTGGAGAGGCGGCCGTGGGAATGGGCATGGCCGAGCCCGACGGTGGAGAAGCCGACAGGCTCTCCATAGCTGCGATGAGGGTATACCAAGATGGGTGCAGCGATACAAGAGGTGTTGAACCGGGGGAGGATATATCTACTTCAGTAGAGAAAACTATCACCGCGGAGGATGGATTTCGCCGGAAGATGATGAAAAGTTTCTGGCTCCGTGTGATGTAAGACAGCCGCGAGACTAGGTTGATGTTTTGTCAAACAAGCGAGAGAAGCTATTAGTCCAGACACTTAAGTATATTTTTTCAGTTTGCCAATATGATACTGCTAGGCAGCCTTCTGCCGTTTGAGTCCCAGGCATCAGCCGCCGCTGAAAGGTATTGACTGCGCGGCATCCTTACAACTTTCAACTTGCGAAATACCGGGCGCGCCGCTACCCATCGCGTGGAAAGAGGCCATTGGCCCAAACGTGCGTCAGGTCTCATCAGGCATCCTCGCCCAGTCCGTTTGGTCGTTTGGCTAGGGCACATGTCATTGGTCTGGTCTGGCCGCTACGCCCTCTTTGCGGACCATATGACTGTACCCCAGGCACAGCCTGAACCTAACTGCCGAGGAGTTATAAGCATTATGGATAGTAATGCAGGAAAATCGCGTCATAGGTTAGCCGGTTGAGCCACCGGCCAATAGTTGAGAGTTTTCGTAAGCTCGACCACTAGAAGTAGTGCCTTTTCTTTCGCCGAGATGTGTCACACAGAGGTGATGCAGGTCGACATCCCCGCTAGCTGAGGCTGGGTCGGGAGAAGCTGCCTACTCATCCACTACCTCCATTACCTTCACCGACTGAAACCGACTGGAAAAGAAGTGCACGGGTTGCCTCCAAGTTTTGGAGATATCATTGATATGTACTGTAATCATGTGGAATGACGTGGTTATTCGATACATACTTCTCACGTAGGAAAGATGAATGCTTCACACAGTTGTCGTGGCAGCGCCATACCTGCAAGTAGTACCCTAAGCTGACATCTTGCTCGTGTAGTTTTATGATGTACTGTGTCCTCTGGGCAAGACTTGCGATCGGGGTTTCTCGCGTATGGCAGCAGCAAATGGTCCATGATTTGTACAAGACGATCAATTACTCTTGTAACTACTACGCAATGAATAAAGTCTCCTTTCTGTGATGCGATCCACACCGTAGAGGTATATCTAATAAACACCCCGTAGAACCTTCAATTGACCATAACTGATCAATCCATTACTAAACACCGCAATGAAGGTCGAGGTGAGAAAAGTGTGTTGGCCAAGTCGAGTTGGAGGGTGGAGGGGGACGCGGGGCGTTGTGACTTGAGACAACGGCGAACGAGGCTTGTGGTATATCCAGCACTCGTCCAGATTGCACAGGCAATGCGCATACCGTTGCTGGGTATCAGCTGCTCCGTGCGTTTAAACCTCCTCCTCCATAGGGGCCTCCTCCTCGTACTCCTCCTCCTCCTCATCAACACCGGCATCCTGGTACTGCTGGTATTCGCTGACGAGATCATTCATATTGCTCTCGGCTTCAGTGAACTCCATCTCGTCCATACCCTCACCAGTGTACCAATGCAAGAAAGCCTTACGTCGGAACATGGCGCTGAATTGCTCGCCGACACGCTTGAAGAGTTCTTGGATGGCGGTGGAGTTGCCGACGAAAGTCGAAGACATCTTAAGGCCACGGGGGGGGATGGAACACAGAGCCGTCTGCACGTTGTTGGGAATCCACTCGACGAAGTAGGACGAGTTCTTGTTCTGAACGTTGCGCATCTGATCCTCGACCTCCTTCATGGAGACCTTACCACGGCTGAAGAGGGAAGGGGGAAAAGTTAGCAAAAGTCGAAGACCATACATTGCTAGCAACGCAACAGGGATACTCACAAGATGGCAGAACAGGTCAAGTAACGACCGTTGCGGAAGTCAGAAGCAGCCATCATATTCTTGGGGTCGAACATCTGCTGAGTCAACTCGGGGACGGTGACGGCACGGAAGGAGTAGGCGCCACGGCTGGTGAGGGGAGCAAAGCCGACCATGAAGAAATGCAGACGAGGGAAGGGCACCATGTTGACGGCGAGCTTGCGAAGGTCCGAGTTGAGCTGACCGGGGAAGCGCAGGCAAGTGGTGACGCCCGACATGACGGCGGAGACCAGGTGGTTCAGGTCACCGTACGAGGGGTTGGACAGCTTGAGGGTTCGCATGCAGATGTCGTACAGAGCCTCGTTGTCAATGCAGAAGGTCTCGTCCGAGTTTTCAACCAACTGATGGACTGAGAGGGTGGCGTTGTACGGCTCGACGACGGTGTCAGAGACCTTGGGGGAAGGCATGACCGAGAAGGTGGCCATCATGCGGTCGGGGAACTCCTCGCGGATCTTGGAGATCAACAGCGTACCCATACCAGCTCCGGTACCACCGCCGAGCGAGTGAGTGATCTGGAAGCCCTGGAGGCAGTCGCAACCCTCCGCCTCGCGACGGACGACGTCAAGGACCTGGTCGACGAGCTCGGCACCCTCAGTGTAATGACCCTTGGCCCAGTTGTTGCCGGCACCGGATTGGCCGAAGACGAAGTTGTCAGGACGGAAAAGCTGACCGAAGGGGCCAGCGCGGACGGCATCCATGGTACCGGGCTCGAGATCGACGAGGACGGCGCGTGGAACGTACTTGTTGCCGGAAGCCTCGTTGAAGTAGACGCTCATGCGCTCCAGCTGGAGCTCCGAAGTGCCATTGTAGCTGCAGAGCGATGGAGGTGAGCTTGCGTGTCACGATATCAATACTAGTGGCAAATAGAGAAAAACATACACGCCGTTGCTGTCGAGGCCGTGCTCGCCAGAGATGGTTTGCCAGAAGGCGGCACCAATTTGGTTACCCTATGAAGCTGTGTGAGTCCAAAGTCGCTCCGCATCATTTGAGCGCGAATATTGCGGGTGCCTGCCACTTACGCATTGGCCGGTCTGGAGGTGAACCTGGATGATTGAAGAAGTTGTTAGCCATGATTCCCATCACGCGAAAACGCGGTAACGTGTTCGGCGAAGAACATCGCGAGCGCAGGCGGCATTCAATATTGGGCACGTGGTGGGGTAGAATCAGGGGCATTGAATTCGGACGCGTCTAGGGTCACGCAAAGGGCAGCGATGCCCACGCAGGCAGAAGGTTGTTGACTTACAATCTCACGCATTTTGGCGATTGTTGATGATGGAGGATGTAATGCGGTTGGAGGAGCTTGAGCAAGCAAAAGAAGTGTCGAAGTCCGCAGACAAGGAGAGGTTGTGGTGGATGGAAGGAAGGATGTCGGGCAATGGAGTCGTTGAGATTGGGATTGTTGATTTTGCGGTGAAGGGTTTGGCTGGTGATGTGGGCTGCTCCAGGGGTGTTGGCTGCTCCCAAGAGGAAAGGCGCGGTCTGTTTACCACTGTTTAGGACTAGCGCTAAGGCAGGTGCGAATCTGCCACTTGGCTGGGGACAAGGTTTTGACAGGTGACGGCACCAACAACACAGACAAAAGAGGCAGTGGTTAGTAAATGAGGGTGATTAGGCAATATTTATTGATTCTCTAGCCTCTATTATTTTGCACCACTGTTCAGACGGGCGGCAATCTCGCGGAAAAGAACTTTCCCAGTGGCCGTACCCTGGAGGCATCTGCGTCTATGGATGTTGCCCGGACTAGCTTGGGCGAGCTCGACGAAGCATGGATGGTTACGGGGGTCTTTCAATATTACTACTATGTAGACGAGACCTGCGAAATGCTTCATTTTACGACCCCTTTCAGCAGTTGAGCAAGTGCTGCCTAGAGGTGTCCAGATGTGAACAGTTATGGCAACTCCTCTTATCTGATAAGTGTGTTCACCTTTTCGTTTTTTTAACGAATATTAACGAATATTAAAGTAATACAGTCTTCTCACCATTTAGATTTAGGCATCGAGTTGCGACAACGGTGCCAAGTATTGCAAGTCTTCGTATTGGCCTGGTTCGTATGATTGAAATGCACTGGGCGCGGAGAGCATCGAGACGAAATTGTAGTAGTTGATCGTTTCCTAAAGCAATTGAAGATATCAAAATGATCATCACCACGATTCCATCCGCTCCACTGGGTATTACTGGGTCCATGCAATGCTTGTCCAATAAACACTATCTAGACAGCCTGCCTGTGTCTGTCAACTCACAACACATGGTATCCATTCGACGACTTCGCTTCTAAACTCATGCCAGTAAACGATATGCTCAAACTTGGACTAGTTTTTCCCGCAACTACGAGTAGGACCCTGGGGTATCTTGACCGAAGCCTTGTTCTGCGGAAACCCCCGCCGAGATGCTACTTGGTCTAAGTAATACCGGAAACGTCCTATCATCTCTTGGCAGCGAACAACGGCAAGTGGTTTCTGGCGGATAACAGTCTGCCAAATCTGGACATTGAGATTGGCTTGGTGATTTTGACATACGGTCCCTAACTTAACCTTCATATAAGATCGGATTGTTGACACTGCAGATAGCTATCTGGTTGCGAGGCATTGAGCTGGGAGTCAAAGGTTCGGCGGCAGGAGAATGACACGAAGACAAGCAGACTGACGGAACCTTGGATTATATGAGATCCAGACAGACGTAGATTAGCAACGAGAGATTGCAAAAACCGCAACCTACTGTGTATCTCTTACCGGTATCCCGGTACCCAGCCTGCCATGCAATCTCGTGTCCGTGCAGTGTGTCTTGCTACTCGAGAATTATGTATGAATGACCCATTCTCTAGTATCAGTTTATTAACCATCCATTTATAAACACATCACCACGTCCTCCTCTTTACCAATCTGGTGCAGCTCCACAGCCACCACCACCACTACCATTGACCAACGCCTCGACCGGCTTCCGCATAGGCAGATTCATCATAGGCTTGACGCCAGGCTTCTTGGCTCGGTGACCTTTGAACGCGATCTTCGTGTCGAGCTCAACGAAGGGGCTCGGGGGCGCCTCGCCCTTCTTCACCATCCACTTCTTCGTCCCGAGCTCGCGATCCAGCTCCTCGACAAGAGGCAACTTGATGTACACGAGACCGTCAGTGCGTTCCTCCACCTTGAACGTCGCGATGGACAACTTCTTATCTGACTTACACTCGCCTGATGACAGGTCGAAGTTGCGCTTGTGGAACGGACACGCCACCCAAGGGGATGTTGAATCGCCGCAAGGCTCCTTGGGCTTCCCGTCCCCATTCGTGGCCCCGTTCGTCGCGCCGTGGGTTGTTCCATTGGCCTCGGAGCCTGGCTCCTTACCGACGAAGCCTTCCGAGAGAGCGAAGGTGCGTTTGTGCGGGCACATTTGCTGCGTGGCGTAGTACTTGCCCTTAACCCTCCACAGGGCTAGCTGCGTGTCCCCACGCTTGATATTGGCCGAGATGCCGTTGGCCACCTGGTCGGCACCAGCAAAGTACGAGGCTGCGATGACAGGCTGCCAACTCGTCGACGTCCAGCGATCTTTCAGGCCCTTAAAGTCCTCCTGGGCTGACTCCTCGGCCCAACAGACGGGTCGTGTCTGGTCGCGGTCCTCCTCGAGGTCCATGTTGTCCATGCTTTCTGCCGTGTTGGCAAACTGCTTGAATTTGGCTGCGATGGCCGGGTCCTTAATCGCTTCTGCCCACTCGTCGAAAAAACTGTCAACCAGCTCCTGCATTTGTGCCTCAAGGGATGCACAGATGCCCAGTTTGTCCTCAAGGACCACCTCCTTGAGGTATTTGATCCCGTCTGGTAGGTTCTCAAGCCACCGTGCTGTACGCTGCAGCTTGTCGGCTGTGCGGATATAGAACATGAGGTAGCGGTCAATAATTGGGATCACTTCGCTGGGGGGCAAGTCTTTTGCGAGAAGCTCGGAGTGCTTAGGCGATGCACCACCGTTGCCTGCCACGAAGATGTTGAAACCCTTCTCTGTAGCGATGAGACCGAAGCTGGCTTCGTTAGTCCACGTGTATGACTTAAATGGGGTCCCAACTGGCAGCTTGTGGGGGGTTGCTTACTCCTTGTTTTGCGCCTCGGCACACTCACGCACGCAGCCACTGACACCGCCCTTGATTTTATGAGGACTGCGGATACTCTTGTACCGCTCCTCAAGACGAACGGCCATACCGACACTGTCGCCGACACCGTATCTGCACCAAGTGGTGCCGACGCAGCTTTTGACGGTACGCAGCGACTTCGCATACGCATGTCCACTTTCCATTCCACCTTCAACCAATGCCTTCCAGATTTCAAGCAAGTCTTGCTTCTTGGCGCCGAACATGTCGATACGTTGGCCACCTGTGATCTTGGTGTATAGGTTGAACTTCTTGGCAACCTCGCCGATGACTATCAGTTTGTCTGGTGTGATCTCACCAGCTGATACTCGTGGCACGACCGAGTATGTGCCATTCCGTTGGATATTTCCCATGAATCGGTCGTTGGTTTCCTGCAAACCGTGTGTGGTCCGGTCCATAACGTGTTTGTTCCACAAAGATGCAAAGATACTTCCTACAGTAGGCTTGCAAGCTTCGCAGCCCTCCGAGGCCTTGTCGTTCCCCGCCTCGCGCATAACCTCGGGGAAAGTCTTCAGCCTCTTCACCATGGCGATGGTGTACAGATCGGCGCGGGAGTAGTTGAAATGGGAGCAAACGTAGTTGGTTACTTCGGCACCCATGGACCTCATTGTCTTGTTAAAGATGGTCGTCACAAGTGGGACGCAACCACCACATCCGGTCCCCGCCTTAGTACATGCCTTGACATCGCCGACGGTTTTGCATGTTCCTTCTTTGACCACGGCCACCATGTCGCCTTTGGTGACGTTGTGACAGGAACAAACCTGAGTGTCATCATCGAGATCGTCGGCATTATCTTCGCCGTCCTTCTTTGCACCGAGGATAAGCTGAGACGGCAGCACGTCGAGCTCCTTCTGGTTCTTTACCGTGAGCACCAATCTGATATAATCGCTGGTGTCTCCAATCATTATGCCGCCAAGAAGATACTTGCCGTCGGTGGTGAATAGATACTTCTTGTAGACATGTGAGAAGGGATCCAGGTACGTGAGTGCCTTGACAGGGGGCACAGGGGGCTCAGGCAGTCCATGTACGACCGTCTTGACTGCACTCTGCTTTTCCGACGGCTTTCGGGCGGCTTTTGCTGGTAGATGGCTTGGCCCGTCGCGGTCGGCAAAGTAGTCGCCGAAGCTTGCTACGTCGACACCGAGCAGCTTGAGCTTGGTGCTGAGGTCTGGCCGCTTGAAGACGCGTGGCGAATGCAGCTTCGCCTGAGTGAGGTTGAAAGAGAGGACATCGGCCATCTCGACGCCAGGGGCGAGCAGCCCAAAGCACTGGCCCTCCCAGTTCGCACACTCTCCAATGGCGTAGATGTCGGGGATGCTTGTCTGCAGATCGTTGTTGACAATGATACCGCCGCCACGGTCCGCACATTTGATGCCTGCGCTTCTTGCCAGGTTATCCCGTGGACGAATACCGATGGCAAAGCAGATAGTGGAGCATTTCATCTTCTCTCCGTCCTCAAACTCAACCCCGACCACATTATTTGCTTCATCGGTATTCACCTGACCGACCCGTTTGCCAAGGACGATGTCGACTCCTAGCTCGGTGATCTTTTTGATGACCAGGCCACCTGCGTCTTTATCCAACTGTCGGCTCAGAACCCAGCGACTTCCTTCGATCATCCTGACTTTATTGAAGCATCCCAAGTCCAACATGGCCTTGCCCGCCTCAAGACCCAGCAAGCCGCCGCCAACGACGAGTCCAGTGGTATCCCTGTGTGCTTCTCCGAATTCTATGAGCTTTTGGAGATCATCTATTGTTCGATAGACGAACACGCCGTTTGCATCATAGCCAGGTGTGTGTCTTGGAACAACAGCATCCGAGCCAGTGGCCAACACCAGGATATCATACGGAACCACCTCGCCGTTTGAACATGTCACGTTCTTCTTCCCAGAATCAATACTCGTTACTGTCGTATTCACATTGTAGTCGAGTTTTCTCTCCGGTAATTGCGATTCGTACTGTGGCTTTTGTCAATATCGATTCAACCACACTTGAGCTAGACCGGGGTTATTGTGGCTTACCCATTGCTTAGGATTCAGATACAAACTCTCGACTTTCCGGTGCGCAAAAAAACTCGTGAGCCCGACACGATTGTATGCTAAATGGGGCTCTTCGCCGATGACTACGATGTCGTACTCGCGACCCCTGGCATCGAGCTTCAAGACTTTTTCTCTGGTAGCAATCAATACCAACACCTGCTTGACTAGGTTTGGGCAGATTCTTACATGAAGGCGAAGCCGACCATGCCCAGGCCGACAACGACCAACTTCTTTCGCTGTCGGACCGCCATGTTGGACTGTGAAGTGCGTAATTGACACCTCGTGCCGTTACGTCATAGTTGAACACACACGACTCATACGGGAGCCAAAGGGAGTGAGCAATATGCAGAATTGACTGTGCGGATGGGAAACTTAAAGTGTGATAGAGGTGGGATGCAATGAAGTAGAGGAATAAACGAGAGAATAGAAAATATAGCAATGCAATGGAAAAGACGCAGGTCGTTGACTAATGAACCCTCAGCATCTCGATTATACTGTCACGATCCGAGATCAGCATCTCCGCGATACACAATGCCTTTGAGTAAGCCACCAGTGAGTGCGCAAGAGGATAGCTGACTAGAGCGTGGATCGAAGACAACCCATTAGGCCGTATGAGAGGGACACGAGCTTGGCCGCCGGAGACTTCTGGAGATTTGGAAGCGCGACACGTCGCCTAGGATGACCGGGGTCCATGGGGCTGTGATACTGCATTTCCACGGCTTGCAGCTGTACCACGTTCCAAACCCGGTGCTTGGGCTGGAGCCGCCAAAATTTTGTGTCATCGTTGTAGGTTGTTTCGTCGTAGGCTTGGAGGCAATTGCTGATAATAGGTCGAAGATAAGACTATTTGGCCAATCAGAAGACGCTAGGTTAAGATGGTGGCGCTCTAGGTACCTTAAAAGGACGCCGCGGAGATAAACGACGGCAGGTGGGGTATCAGAGGATTTGCTTGAGGTTCAACTAGCCATACTGGTTTTACATCATGCGTCTTTCTCCTCACAGGTGGATGATATCTGTCTCCGCGGACAGGACATGGTGCCGGTTTTTACGGTAAGTCCAGCTCACTCCAGTTTCGTAAGCCGTATTGAAGTCGGGCTCGTTCACTGCGCTTACTTTGGTAAGTGTTCCTTTGCTGATGAGGCCGGCCTTGTCACGGAGGGTAACAGTCAAGATACACACTTGGCAACTTCAGGCACGGCAGGTTTGGGAATATTGGAGACATTTTGCCTCCAATTCGTGGTTTCCGAACTAGATCCGTTGACTCTCGGTGGACATGCATTTACCAAGCTGTTAGTAACAAGAACATTTGGTCGTATGTTCCAAGTTGTGGCGTCAACCATGCACGGAACCTCAACAACATGACTGTCACTGAGGTTAGGCTCAGGTCGGAAACGGCACTGTACTTCATTATTCGTAATAACCGTATAATGACTAAGTTAATCTTGTTATACCTATGTACTCAGGTTGTCATCATATTCAAGGTCCTAGTTAATGGGGAAACGACATCAGGTTGCTCCTTCCCAGGGTGAGTCAGTTAGGACGGCCTAACCTTTGACGGCTGTGCCTGCCATGTATTTCCTGTGCGATACCGCGATTTTTGATTTGGCTGTCCATTTTATATGGTTCCGTCAATAAATAAAGAAGAAAATGATCCAGGTTCTCCCGTGCCACGAGTTGTTCGTTCCTCTTTCGCATCCTGCCCTTGGACATCTATGTTATTGCGAATGACATCAACCACCAAGCGCCACCGGGTGTTTGCCATGCCTGGTGGGCAAACCATGCTAGAGGCTAAGCTCATGAAGCTGGAATATTAGTTCAAGGGACCAGGCAGTTTCAATGCCACGGAAAGCGAAGGAAGCAGGCGTGGTATTTTATACATATTTGGTCATAAGACGTCGAGTTTGTCGGATCTCAAGCGTGAACGAACTGAGGAAAAGGCAAATTCTTTGCAGCCAGATTTGGAGGCTGATACGACGAGCAGGGAATCTGACCCATCGGTGAACCCTTTGATTTAAACTGGCTGCTCGACTACCTTTACCCACAACACGACGGGAGGCGGCCACCAAATTTCCAGCGGCTATGCAACGTCCCCCCTATCCTTCGTACTGCACTATACAGAGCTTAAGGCCTCCGATGAAGTACGTCGGTCCCCGCGAGTACCATTCCTGCTCGTCTGGTGCATATATACATGGTTTTACTTTCCGAAATGGTCACATTGACGGTTTTGTCGAGGTCCATAATCATTAGTCCAGCGGGTACGGCCGTTATGATTCTCCTCCCACTTACGAGGCCGCCAAGGACACGAAGAGCTCTTCCAGGAAATCTAGTTTCTACTAGTTACATTCACCATCTGGTTTTCGTTTTACCCTTATACTCAAGTCCTTATGGATGTTCTCCGCTCACTAATAACGGGGGAATAGTGTATAGGGGAAGACCATGGCCCCCTTGGCAAGTGAGGCCTCTACCCAACAGAGATGTATCTTTGCTTGCAGCACTCGGCCACTCAAGCCTAGGCACGAGTCCCATGGGAGCATACATAGGTATCACAAGGACATCCAATGCAATGTCCAGCCCAGGAACACCCAGTCTGACAACGAGGAGGATTGCCACCTCCGACATGGCATTGGCCCTTGGGGTTATTCTTGGGGTAAGTGTGCTTCTTGTGGCAAGTCCCCGATATCCAAAGTGCCGTTGCTACAACATAGTTAGTCGGTGGACAAACGTCACTTCAACAAGCAGCGCTTGAAACTCACAGTCCACGGTCAGATTCATAGCCGGAGATTGAATCACAGCCTGTGCCACTTCCGGCGTAAGGGCATATTCACAGTCGACCTGCGATTGGCCGCCGTTATTGGCGTCACCGATGAAGATATCGATGTGTTTCTTGCCGTTTTGCCCATCGTCGACTGACATGTCTTCTCATCAGCGTTCTGTTCCTCGGCATACACTTATGCTTACCTGAACAAATGAGAAGAAACATACTATATGTGGCGCAATCATCCTCCATACGCAGATACTTCTTCAAGTAGGCTGAATACACGATCTCGCAGACCTTATATCGTCCCAATTGTGAAGATGTGTTAACATGGTGTTTTCGACCTTACGTAGCTCAATTACACTGCTTCATGGATGTGATCCTTTATCAATTTCTATCAATCTGCCTTACCCTTACGGCTTTTTGGACAATAGGACGCAGGTGAAAGCTAACATTACCCTGGTTGCCCCGTCTTATATCTAGATGGAAGCTCGCGACACCAGCGTGATCATCGTAACATTAGTAGGCGCTTGAAAGGGGTGATCGGCGAGGTAGAAGTACTCAAAGTTACAAATAGAAATACGGCGAGGATTCATTTCGGATAAGCGATCCGTGATCCCCTCCGAGGAGTTTGTGACCCGGTCTTTACCGCTAGTAATATCACATATAGTCGCTCACACACGGAACAAGACACCGGAATCAAGCCCGGCAAACACTTTTATGGATCGGGCCTTGCCATCTAGATGCTGTTATAGGGAAGAGATTCTGCACTGCCGTTGCATTCATCGAGATGGTCCAGTGTTAACCGCTTGGGTCCTGCCTAAAGCGGCTACGCCGGAGCTCTTATTCGGTTACATGATTGGATCACAAGGCATTTTCATAATGAAACATAGAGGCATGGTACTATTAATGTGAACCAGATTCTCACGTCAATAAACAATTCGAAATACATCTTTATCCTTGTCGGCCTAGTACAGGCCGAGCCATGCACCGGTTTCCGCTAGCAAGAAGTACGAAGTCGAGAGAGCAACATTGTCCCGTTCTCGGTGAGGTCGTTTAAGTGTGGCTGACGCTGAAGTCCATCCTCTCGTATCTCAATAGGACCCTCTGGTCTCGATAAATCGAATCGGACTCATCATTCATGAATCCTGCTCACAATGCCCCGTACCCCCAATATCAACTCAACCACGATCGGGGCTCAGATGAACGATGGCTTGAATCGATCAAGACTGTCGGCCTAATGATATTTCCGATGAACTGCAATCAAGAACTAGGCAAGTGTATAAGCACCTACATGGACTAATCTAGCTCCGTAAGCAATGTGGCAGTCGATCACACTAGACTGACAGGGTATCCTACTTCACTGCGGAACCAATTGATATGGTCCCGACGCGCCGTATTTGAGAAAGCCCAGACTGCATGGCATAAAACAGGACATTAAAGTAGTTGTATTACTTAAAGCAGAAAAAGACGGACTAGCCGCGTCACAGTTGTAGCGATTCGCCAAGGAGCCCGTGCGCTGAGGCAGGCTCGGAGCAATTACAAGTGGTATTGCTGCTTCTCCCTCCGAGGCACGCGTGGGTATTAGACGGCCCTATCCAAAGTAACCCTTGGACAGTGGTTTCAAATCCTTGCTCACGTCGATAATTTCTGGTCTTGATGAAAGTGGAACTGTGGCTACTTTTGTTCAACCTCCTATCCAAGGCTATTCCGCTCAATGGTCGAGGACCCCTCCGCCGAACAAAGCCAGTATCTGGCTGGCATGACGGCAGCATCCACCATAATGGCTACCCGCTGCTCGCATCACGGTGTCAGGCTATCTCGAAATTGTGGGATGGAAGCATTCTAGAAGGAATACAGCGAACTAAAACGGGTTCGAATTAGACGAGATGACAAACTGAACAACCTGACGGCTGGCATGAGTGGAATCATTGATGAGGCAGATGATACGTCAATTCGGTTTGATGAGCTTAGAAAACGGAGCTGATGGGGTCGGGCGGGATGGCCTCCAGCTTTTCAACCGGCATAATAGGTCAACTCGTATTGTCAAGTAACCGTGTTTCGGAAATATTCCGCCGTAAAGATTCGGTGTCCCAAAGGCATGCATTCGTTCCTCTCTGCGGCTGAGGTGCGAAGAAGCAAGCTAGATCATGAGGAAAGGTATGTACATATGCGGAATTAAGTGTATATTATATCACGGTAAGGTAGCAAACATAGCTGATAGGCATTTGATCACTCGGAAAGTTTTGCAACTGGGACAACCCTAGGACTTGTACTTCGAGGATTACGGTATCCTCGGAACTACTCCGAAGCGATTATGTGGTACCACTGTTTCGATGTGCAGTATCGAGGCAGGCATGGCCTTGGGAGAACGGCAAAATGCAACAAGGAGCCGACGACTGATAGGGAGATGCAGAGCCCTCCCGTGCCACCCCATGTTTATCCCAAGCAAGGAGCGAGGAACTGGAGATCTTTTGGATGCTGACTCGCAATACTCTGCCTGCTCGGAATGCACAGCCAATATAATTGAGCAAACGACGTGCAAAGGATTGTACTCATAACAGAGTTCATCATATGCAAACGAATAAGTAAGCCATGCGGGGTGTTGAACAGTGTATCGACCTATTTAAAGTTGGCCAGACGTGATTCTGAGACCACCACGCGAGCCGCTTGCCACGAGGTTACCCCACTATGATGGCTCCCTACATGCAGGTAGGTTTCACGCGGAGGGCCGTCTTGCATTATGGCCTCCAATATGATATGTCGTTACGGAGTAGTGCAGGCTGACGACGGTTGCAGGTGCGGTTTGGGGGTTCAGTTACTTACGTAGTATGTACCGGTTGGATGAGGCTAGCACTGTGTATGTTCAGCGAGTTTCGGACAATTATGGTCCACAGCTTTGCCTCAAAGTTTCCGCAAATACACAAGCTGGAAGAGGTTAGAAGCATACCCTACTGAGCTGAGAGGACAACGCCTACTTTGAACACACAGCTCATCCCAGCAGATTCAGATAGCTGACAATTAGTGTGGTGATGGATTTACACATACTACGTAGATGGCAGCTGACGATTTGGCGCCGCAGTCCGTCAGATTCGATAGTGCCATCTTCATTCCCTGGCGGCTTACGCTCCGTACTGGAGAAATGATCGCCAACTGATCCGACCTTATCTTTCAATTCTCTACTCTCAACAGCTGTGCTGCTTGTTATTATAGTGACAAGTTGCTGTTGTTTTCAAAGCGGGAGTTCTTGCTCCCATTTTGTTACCCTGTATCGTTGGACAGACAGTTGGGTGTCGTGCCGCAGTCAATGTCATCAATTGCAAATTCCAACGTCGCACTCATGCCCGGCACTTGACAACTCCCACCATTATTGGCTACCCCAGACTGTGGTTCCGTGACTGTGGTTCCGTGAATCTGTTCCATGACGACGGGTTGTGCGAGCAAACGATCTCACGTTGTACGAAATTGTCCAGCTCATTGGATTGGAGCTCTCGTATACGAATAAGTACGCAAGGCAGTGCGTTGCTATATACTTTCTCAAGTACCCTATACCACTGAAGTAATTTTATATCACAAAAGCGGTGTCTGAACCCCTCTCCCCAATCAATCACCGTCTGGCAAACTTTGAACACGAAACTTCCTCCAATTCCCCCATCCCATCCGATTTGTTTGCTACCTCTAGTCTCCCTTTTGTCTGCGAACACGAACCTTCTCTTTCCTCGCCTTCTGATTGACATTACCTCACCCCTACTCAATAAGTAGTCAACATTGGCACCGGCAATTGGACAAACTCGGGAGTTTGTCAAAGCAATTGCGAGCCGTTGAAGCTGCCGGCCGAATCCACCTCAGGCGAGTCACGGCGCCGGCTAAGTGAGGTCACATCAAGACGGGCAGTCGTCTTTCGCCCAAGCGTTCTGTCCACTTTATTCCCAATCTGGTATGTATGCCCCGATGCACGTCTTCACCACCCAAACGTATCTTTTGTCTATTGTACTTCTCTGCACCGATGCTCTGCACTGATGCTCTGCACCAATCCCTGATTCCATTAATGCACATTGCACATCTCTCGAAGTCCCTGTCTCTACACCCGCCTCCTACCATCCAACTAGCCAGTCGCCGCTGGTCTTGTTTGGTGCGCGGTCTTTGTTAAAGGGACACGAACTGCCCTTGCCTTGCCTTGCCTTGCCTTGCTTTAGTGGTTGTAGTTAAGGTGACCATAGACCCCCTAGTTCAGCCGACCAACCCCCACTTTAATCAAATATTTATGGGGCGCTCGTGACAAAAGGTCGGCTTTTGTCACCGACCACACTTTTCTTTTTAAATCCGTAGATTTTTCCTAGTAACTCTAGTCCAAATATAATGAAATTATTCTATAATTAGTTCTAAATCGATTCTTAATCGATTCTACTATATTATCTTTACTATAGCTACTACAGATATCTTCCATATTATCTAAAATACCCGCTCTATATTTAGAGGTACGTACTTATAGTTATATATATACTCGTCGGCTGGTGTAGTTGGTCACTTCGCTGGTAGATAAGTCCCGATTTGAGCCTCGCCCACTTGGGTCGGTGACGAGTCGCGGGTTCGAATCCCGCAGCTGACACACAAGGGGGTTTAGTCAACCCTTACGGCGCGCTGCCCACCTTGTTGACTTCGCCTACCTAGCGATAATAGGGAGATTGGTGCAGTTTAGGATTACGAGCATCCTAGCCAGTCGACCGTCAAGCACTACGTCGGCGGAATATAACTCGACAGCCGGTCCAGAATTCGAATCGTTAATCCGACCCCTTATCGGACCTCGCCTTTCCGATAACGCTCGTCGGCGAACCCGTCCCCTCACGATAGAAGGCGCGCAGCACGCCCTCTCGCCGCGATTCTTGCGAGCGTCTGACCACGTTACGGTCTATCCACTTGAGCGTATGGTTGAGATGTATACGCTCGACGAGAACCCCAATTAGCAGATACTACGACTTGTCGCGACAAAAAAAATAGTCGAGCATCTTCTGCACATCAGCAGCATCCCACCCCTGAGGACGAATTTAAGTGCCACATTACCACACTTATCGGTAGTTCAGGCAGGGGTTGTAGCACAGACTTAGGGAGGGACAGGAGGTTTAGTAGTCATTTGGCTACAAGTTTACCTGTATAACCGCCCGACGCGGCTTAAGGGCCCGCTATATCATCTATAGCCCCTTAAGGGAGTACTTGTAGAGGTACCGAGGGTTAACACCTACGGCGTATTTAATATTATTTTATTTTATATATACTACCGGAAGTAGTAGGTATACGGTAATAGAGCTTACTAATAGCTAGTACGACTTTATCTTCCTAGATTATATAGAATTAGTTTAGAATCGATTAAGAACCGATTTAGAAGTACTTACGTCGTTAAACTCGAATAGTAGTATACTAAGTAGCCAGTAGTGTGTGCCGTCGACGTAAATAATACTATCCTTATAGAAGTAATATTAGGGCTAAAAAAGAATTAACTTAAAATCGATTCGAAGTTAATTTAGAAATATACTTACTATATCCTTGTATGACGGTATCGTTACGTAGAACGATTAGCTGAATTACGAGGAAGAAGTAGCGGATAACGGGTTATTACTAGGGAAAGCAGAATTGAATCGAAATCGGAATTCAAATTCAATTCAAATTCGATTCTATGGTCAGCTAGACCCAATTTTCACATATTTTCAACTAATAAGAATAGAGGGATTATCTACCCCACTATGGTCACCTGGACCCAGTATTTCAACATCACGTGAGGTCATGGTCGGCTCAACTGGGGGGGTCTATGGTCACCTTAACTGTAGTCTCTTGCTTTACGCCTACAGATTGCCCGTATTCACTCCCTGTATCTGTATTGGATGATTGACCATCTAGATAATACAGTGAAAATCAATCGTCAATTGATTTCCAAGTCCCATTCTCGATTTCGATTCAGGGCCCCGTCATAGTTGCTGACTCAACTTCACATCCCAACTCACTGCTGTCTGCACGCGAGTGGTGGCCGTCGACTGACCTGCATCCGTTGAGGCGTCAAGCTGTGAGAGAGCCACGAGGTAACCCACCCAGCCCGGTCGGCTTCCACTCGACTCCACCCCTTTGGCTGCTACGGCACAAAAGTGCAATAGCTCCGTTGCCTTCAGCTGCCGATCCGTTATCAAAAGCCCCATACCTGTTCCAGATTTCCCACCCAGAGGAGATGTTAATGGGATCGCTCCTTTACTGTGTCTTCACCTGACCGACTTGCCTCCCCAGACTCGCCCCCCTCGCGGCCTCGCATCGTCAATCCCGCTTGAGCAGATACCCCAAAGGGCTTGAGGACATTTGAGGACAACATTTTTTGAGGCCATGGGCAACAGTCAAGGCAAGCCCGTTGACCTCAACGGCGAAGGTACGTAAAGATGACCTGGCATGTCGCGTTTCTATCTACGGCGTGTCTCAGAGCCCCACAAGCTGCGAGCTCACCCGTTGAAGGCCTGCTCGCGTCGCCACCACCACCACCACCACCCGCCGGACCTGTGTATCCTAGCTAACTCCTACAGTGAACCTCAATCACTTTCGACTGCTTCGGGTCGTCGGCCGCGGTGCCTTCGGCAAGGTTCGCATCGTAGAGAGGAAAGACACAGGGCTGGCGTTTGCCCTGAAATACATTCGCAAAGATGAGGGTTCGTATCGACTACTTGCTGCACCAGCGGAGACGTGTGCATATAGGAAGCTAGACTGATGCTTTCGTTTCCAGTCGTGCGGTCAGAAAGCGTTCGGAACATCATACGAGAACGGCGCATGCTCGAGCATGTGAACCATCCTTTTATCTGCAATCTGCGTTACAGTTTTCAGGATATCGAGTACATGTACGCAACCAACAACATCCAGTAGCCCCAATCAGCTTCTAACCAAGACATGATAGGTACCTCGTCGTTGACCTAATGAGCGGAGGCGATTTAAGATTCCACATTTCGAGGAAGACCTTCACTGAAGAGGCAGTACGGTTTTGGATCGCAGAATTGGGCTGTGCATTGAGATACATACATGGGCAGGGCATCATACACAGAGATGTGAAACCCGACAACGTTCTGTTGGATGCTGATGGCCACGTCCATTTGACCGACTTCGTAAGTTAACACAGGTCCCTGCCATTTGGTTAGAATCCTCGACTGACGATTGCACAATAGAATGTCGCCTCGGATGTCATACCGGGAAGGGTTTTAAGCAGCAAATCAGGCACACTTGCATATCTTGGCCCCGAGGTGTACGCCGGTAAGGGTTATACTGTGACTGCGGATTGGTGGTCTTTGGGTGTGCTATTTTACGAGTGCATATACAACAAGGTGACATGGAGCGGTAATTCATATCGCAATACGAACCGAACGCTGACTATATATCCCAGCGCCCGTTTGAGGGAAACTCTGAATCAAGTTTGACAAACATCATCCTAGCCGCCAACCCCAAATTTCCCATCACATCACCACCCGTCTCGTTACCATGCCTATACGCCATCCGAGAAGCTCTCCGCCCAGATCCCAACGAGCGAATGGGTCACACGTGGGAGAGTTTCACGCAACACGAATTCTTCCAGGTGATCGATTTCGAGGCATTGGAGCGGAAAGAGGTAGCACCCGAATTTATACCGTCAGCGGACAAAACCAACTTTGATGCCACCTACGATCTGGAGGAGCTGTTATTGGAAGAGGCGCCATTGGAAGCAAGAGCTCGGAGACAAAAACCGCGGGAGAGGTTAAAGGACGACGCAACCGATAAAGAGATCCGAGAAGAAGAGCTATACCGAAGCATTGAGCGCGACTTCCAGCCGTTCGATTACACAGTAGCGGCATACCAGAAGTTTGTCACTGAAAATGCTCAATCCCCAGCACTTACTGACCATTTGACAGGATCACCGCAATGCAGCAAGGCGGCACGTATGCTGCGGACCCAAGCCAGATCAATGGCCAAACGAATATAGACACACAGGGCCAGGCTCTTAGTACCAACGAGGCCGTGGCAGCACCATCGACCAATTGCTATAAGCAGGCGACGCATGGCGTGTATCAGCCGGAGCCATTGCAGCGTCAACCGTCCACAGGGTTCGCTCATGCTAATAAAGGCCAGAGGGCACCTGGTCGACCAGCCCCGCTGCCACCGTATCCCAATTCTTACACAAACCGTGGCTCGTTCCCGTCAGGCATGCGAGTCGAATCACCAACCGGCGGCGTACAAGTGACGATCGATGCCGGAGGCAGCTGGTCGCAATTAGCGAGGCAAGATGCCACCCTCCCTACTGATGCCCAGCATCCTAGCGACGATAAGGCGGGAAGTTCTAGCAGTGGCGTATTTGGTTTCTTCGGCCGCAAGAAAGGCAGGGGTCACAGCCCGAAACCGAAAGAGAGAGGAGTGTTGGGCAAAGAGGGAGCCCGAATTGTGATTGGGTGAATGATCTCGGACCTGCAGTATTTTCGACTATAAATGGAAGAAAGGTCGGACTTGATGCAACGTTTTGCACCATTACGATGTCTATATCAGTGCATCCTTGGGAGTCGGCAACGAGGTTAGTCTCCGCGGGACCGTGAATGGACTCAAAACCAGGCTATGCGAGTCTTCCAGGAGCGAATAAGATGCCAGCCACCGTGTGAACAGGTTGGAACTGGTCAAGAGGAAGGGGTTGGGCCAGCAACTACCTTGCATTTCATACAAGCGGCAAAAATACCACGAGGCCATGATACCCGGAATACAGTCACTACTCACCTCAACATCGGAAGACGATAATATTCAAGTTGCCCCCGAATCGACTACATTGAAACGTGGACAGGGGTGATGATTAAATGGGCCGGACTTGGGCGTACAGCGATGGGAATCAGGGGGAGAAGGAAATACCATGTAATGTGCCTATGCCAAATGACTAGATACAATCGATTGGGTGACACTCCACTTTGAAGCTGGTGTTCTTGCAAGGCAATAATCAGTGTGCTTTGTGCTTGGCATTATCGCTGGCTAGTACAGATTCAGGGCAGCTGAGGCAGCTCGTCCTCTACTCTCAAGTATCAACAAGCGATTTCTCTGAGACGCGGGAGTTTTTACCGGTATTTGCGTACCTCACAAAATCTCACCTTGTAAGCTGAGTAAAAGGCATGAGCATGACTACACTGCACAAATGCTGCCTTGGGGTGGGGACAGGAAGCTCGTGGGAGAAATTGGCGACGTTGACCAGCACTAGAAGATGCCAAGCATGCAACAGGGCTTGTAGGATGACCTCGGGCGAACGATCGAGGTGAGTAAAGTCATGCGGCTAACGACGTTCCTCGCGAACATACCAAAGCTCCCGTGTGTACTGAACCACCTGTTCGCTGAGGGATGTGTAAATATTCTTCCCGAATAAGTATCGAAAGTAATACAAGTTTAGATTCCTTCGTGATTGATAGTAAAGATGTAGTGCAATGCTCATTCATTCATTCACAGCATGCGGATACATTGTGTAATAACGCATTGGCTTCAGGTACTCACGAAGCAATGCCTCACCCTTGCACCCCCTAAACGTATACTTAGCGGGATATCCCAGCTACGACTTGACAAAATATCTTCTCCCCTCGTTCAGACCAAGCCCCAGACGTATGTCTGAACTGTTGCTCGAACCCTACTAGCTTACTAAAACCCTCTAAGCCCTGCGCGCACGGGGTTCCACAACAGGAAATGCAGCCCAGGCCCCGAGTCCGGTCACAAAGCAGGCCAAAGCCGTCAGACCGAACCCCCATCCTGCTCCCTCACCACCTCCACCACCGTACCCGACGTATGCTCTTGGGCCTATGCCGTGCCCGGCACTGCTGCTATCAGTTGCCGAAGGCATCCCTGAGGACGTAGTCGGAGATGGTCCACCCAAAGCCGTGATCTCAGCTTTGGCCATAATGTAAATCTCACCTGTCGTGTCAGAGCTCATATACACCCGGCCCAAAGTGTCAATAGCGAGGCCGACGGGGCGGAAGCAGCTGTCTGGGCAGGCGCTATTGTCGGCGTTGGAGAGCATGTCGGCAGTACTTTCCGTCGAGGTGAAGGGCGCGACGGGCTGACCGTTGGCAAATTGGATACTCGAGACTTTGTAGCCGGATGGGTTGTCACGGTCCCCTGGTTATTGTTGGTCGCCATGTTTGTGCTAGGGTATTTCGGACAACTTACAGCTTCCATGAAAAGTGACATATGCTTCAGTTCCGTTCGAGTTGAAGGTCATATCCAGTGGTGCCATATGAGCCTGGAACGTCAGTCGGGGTGCAACTCTGGTCTCGCTACAGGTCGTGTCATTCAGAGTGGCGTTCTGCTCCTGTGAGAATTGGCTGCCGACGCCCATGCTCCCGACATCCGGGATATCGGTATCCCAGAGAGCGTAGCAATCGGGATACCCGTAGTTGCCGCCCTGGTTATCCGTAGACCCATTCAAGAACCCGTGAAAGTTCATCTCCTCACCTGGATTGTCCTGGTGGATATCTGTACCATCGCGGGTGATCTGATCGACCGAGTTCTCCACACTGAAGATGCCTCCAGTGATCGGTTCCTCGGCCACACCGACCGAATTCCGTAGACCCCAGCCTAGCATAGTCCCTTCGGAAGCGTAGTCATAAGGCGTATTGGGGAGATTGCTCATGTTGAAGGCCCGAATCTGGGAAACACCAGTTGAGCGATCTCTGGCGCGGTCATCGACGTTGTCGCCGCTGCCCTTAGATACGAGTAACATGCCAGGTTGCTTTGAGGACATGAGCAGAGTCCTGGTTACATGGCCGTTGCCGTTCACGTTCATGTTTTGAACAACGGTTCGCTGATCACCGAGGGAACCGGATGAGGCATTGTAGGCCCAGGCGTAGACCTTGTCAGTTGAGGAAGCAAACAGCGTCTTGCCGTCATTGGAGAGAGCAATTCCATGGTTGAGCTGTGAGGGGGGTCAGTTAATGTAGCTTCAAGTCGCATGTTCGCGCGGGAATTTACATCTTGAAACTCAGTAACGCTCTTTGTCTCCGCAATCGACAAGCAGGCTTCGTTATCAACCTGGTGGAAAATCAGACGTCGAATTCCGACCCCTCTTTCAACAACCAGCAGGTTGTCGTTGTCATCTGTCGAACTCTTGGTATTAGCAAATATTACTCAAAGCCTATCAAAGCCTATAGTATAAGACCAATATGGACTGGTATGGCGAGGGGAACAGCACAGCAAGAATAACAAGAGGGAGATTCTCACCAAATATGATGCCTCGCGGTTTATTGAGATTGTTCGCAATGAGTTGAGCAACCCATCCGCTTCCCACCACAGGCGGCGGGTACGCCGGCTTCAAGACGTTGTTACAGCTAGCATACTGCTGCGCCCTGGTTCCTGCCGCGTAGAGCAGAACTACAACGATGGCACCGTGTATCCTCGTCCGCCTCATGGCTACAATGGTAATACGACGAGCAAAGATGGGCAATTTATTCTCGTTCCTTGTTAGAATTTCCCAATTGACTTAGATTGTCGTCAGGAATTTGTGGCAGATATATATCTGCAGTATTTTAGGTTGATTGGTAGTCGGCTCTTCGGCTCAGGTGAATGGCGTAATCCAGGTTTCAACATCTAAGACATTCGTCTTCTTGTGTGAGGACCTGTTGGTTCCTTCCAACTTCGAGAAGTTGACCAATATGGGCCCTCCGTCCCTGACAAAACAAATTAGTACCGTCTTGTACAGAGAGGGAGACAGAGGAGAGAAGAGGAAGCGAGCAGCCCGAGTGTAAGTGCAACCCAAGTTAGTGAGTATCTGTGGATGCGTGTAGTTCTCCTCACCCGCACGTAGGCTTCAGGATGGACTTCGTCATCGTCTTGGCCACACCTTCACTTTCCTTAGAAGAAAGACTCGAATCAGAACATTACCACAACTGGGCAAGTTCAACGCTTGGCCTTTTGGTCTTCTTCCCCAAGCTACAGTGTTCAGCCCCGGGGTTAGCATTTGAAACACTGTCTTAGTTGCCGATTGGAGGATCTAGGTAGGCCAAGAACGGATGTACTTGCATTCATTTAGATCTGCATACAACCGTGGACCCGACCACATCATAATAAGTTATGACTGCAGTATGAAACATCTACGTTGATCATTACCCCAGGATTTCAACCGTCGAATTGATTGATGTCGAAACGAACCCAATGACAGGATGCGTTGTGGTGGACCCCGGATCTCCGGATAGATGCGCGCTTGCTCGAGTCTGAGGCTGGCAGTCCCCGGGGGAAGGGCGGTCGGGGTTGGAGGGGAAGACTTGGGAGGGTTGATATCAAGGTCAAGCCTAAAGTGTGGATCTGGGTTTGGACTTCGTACTACCTATAAACCTGACCTAGATGTACCTACATGTAGGGCTAAACAGCTGGACTATTTAGACTTCAATACCATGAAACTATAGCACCGCATCGGCCTCTAGGTTCAATTCATAGCGGTCGACTTATACATGCTTCCTGCAGATCGATTGACGACCAGGGCTGATATAGCAACTGTTTATGGTCATAATATCTCTGTTAGCCCTATGCTCCTATAATCCTACAGTGTCTTGTGCATGCTTTTGGCCAGATTTTAGAAGTCAGTCCCGGCTTTTGATGTCACGTTGAAAAGACGCTTACGGCCCCGAGTCTTCTAATGATGGCTCTAATAAAAAAAGGCGCCTTTAGTGCCCTGAACTCGCAGCCCAAACACCGTAATGTGAGTGACAAAGAGGCCCATGTGTGGTCTAGACAGGGGAGCCCCGAAGCAGGTGTGAATATGCTAGATTCCTGTGTTCATTTATTTTCTGCCCCACCTTTTTGGAGCAGCTATGCTGTCATACTACTTTGACAAATTATTCCTCCATGTTCTTTACACACTCCCACTCGCCTCTTAGGTTCTCCTTCCACAGGGACACCTTGTTGCCGCCGCTAACAGCCAACACGTTGCCGGAAAGACTCCAACTGACTCTCCAAACCACATCGTCAAAGTTAAGCACCTTGCACGCCCATCCTCCCTGACCCGTACTATCACTCGTCCAGATGCGAACCGTCTTGTCTTGCGATGCCGAGGCAATATAGCTCTTTTGTAGCACTGTGGGACTCCAAGCAACGTCTCTGACCCAGTCTGTGTGACCAGTCAATGGTTCCTGCTCTTGCTTGTAACCCTGCGAGGCGTGGTCATATGTCCAGATCTTTAGTAAGTTGTCACATCCGCCCGTCACGAAGCGGCGTTGGCTGGAGGCACCCTGAGCTGGCGGCGACGAAGATATGATGCTACCAGGTGTCGTAGCAGGGGCCCACGAAACCGAGTTCACCCCCAGGCCATGGGCGGCAAATGTGACGTGCTGGAAGTTGTTGTCCTTAAATTCGAGAACGGATACGTGACCGTCAGACGAGGCGCAGGCCAGTAGGCATCCGGATTCGTGCGGTGCCCATGACACCATGTTGACCGAGGCCTTGTGGAGTTCGAAGTTGAAGATCTTCTGCCATTGGTTCGATTGCTCGCGCCAGATGAGCACCTTGCCGTCGTAACCTGCCGAGGCCAGGATATTGCCGTACTTGGGATGCGCCCATGATACGCACCAGACCGCGCCTTCGTGACTGTATGCTACAGTGTCAGTGATGCCGGCCGAGGGCGGGTTGGAGCTCACCGTACGCTTTCAATGTTTCGGTTAGTCGTTGCGTTTCGCCCTCAATCTCGAAGATCTTTATCGTCTTGTCGGAGGAGCAGGTTGCCAAGCGGCGGCCGTAGTAATCAAGTACCGCATCGTGCTGGGGCGCGTCAGTGAAGACTCTCATGATGGGCTCGATTATGGCAGCCAGCCGTTTTGCCTTGGCGTGCGCAACTTGAGGATGATATAAGGATAACTTACGATCATGTCATCGTGGCCGGAATTCGAGATTACCTGCGCCATAATGGATGTGCAGTGGCCGGAAGGTATCTAGGGAGAGAGATCCACGTGTGTCTTTGCCTAATGATTTACGTGGATGTGAGCTCCAACAAGGTGTCCACTGCAACGTCAAGCTGAGGTTGCTACAGCCAAACGTACCTGCAGCCAGCACTGGAAACGCTGCCAACGGAAAAACCCGGAATAATGCTAGTCCGTACCGACGCGGCTCCCAGTGGGATGACAGGGATTTGCTTTACTGCAGACACAAGGCGAGTCAAAACATTTTCAAATTTAAATATTTGAATTATTTTGAAGCTTTCGGCTAGTCAACGTGCTGACACTTACAGAAATTTTTTTAATTGGTACTGAGTCCTACTACTGTGTAGGTTAGAACAGTTCATCAAAGAATTGCTGTTGCCCAAAGGCAGTTACGGCTGCCCAGAAGCCTTCCGCATACAGGTGGGGGCCGTTCCTGCCTGCCCCCTGTACCATGACCGCACTGGGGTCCTTTGTCCATCCCCCGCATGTGATCGGTGTTCGGGCCCCGGCTATTGTAGGCAAGGTGAATATCGTCATCCGAGGGCAATGGGTAATTCGCGATTGCTTCTTTTTAATATCGTGACCATTGTTGTCGCAATGGCCACACTGCCATACGGTAAGTTCGGCATGGATCCAGCATACAGAATACTTGTGTAATATACGTTTTTTTTTAGATACCTCACCTACTTTGTCAAGTTCTTTTTGTTGTTGCGGGACCTGGGCACCTCATGAGTCCGAGGTTGGACCTTCGTTTGAGGTCACCCCAAGATTTGAGCACATAATCCCACGCGCAGCTCTCTTGAACTTCTTCTCACATCCAGAGAATATTGTCAAGCATATTTCTCAATTGTGATATTATTTCTATTCCACCTCAACAAGCAGGCTTCTCGACCGAGCTGAGCAAGCTCCTCCAGGCTTCACCTTTGCCTTACTTCACCACAACACCAAACACATCGTCGATCAACCCTTGAACGACCGGCATCATGGAACAGAACAGCATGTGCGGTCCGTCGAATCCTTCGAAGGATTTGGCGGCGCACCTTCAATCCGGCGGTCGATCGCAAGAGGCTGCGCGCATGTTCAATACGCCCACTGGGCAACAGGTTCGTTGTATTTGCTTGCCCTTACTCGTACGCTGCAGCTGCACTGACTCATGACCTAGGGATTCCGAGAGAACCAATCTTTCCGAGCGGCCAGTGCCACGAACCCTTCGCGGCCCTCATACTACGGTGCTACCAGCGACAGTGACTTCGGTGCATATATGAGCGGCTCCTTCGGCCAGCCAGGTCCCAGTATCGGCCAACAGGGCCACCATGCCCACGATGTTAGCTTGAGCAAATATAGTGTCAGCAATGACCTGGGCGCTGCAGGCTATAATGGCCAGTTTGCCGATTGGCAGGCGCAGAACATGCCTATGAATTACCTTAGTGCCAATTCGCCCCAGCAGCCTGGTGTTGGAGTTCAAGGTCCTGTTCATGGTCAACCTGGTCAACCTGGTCAACCAGGTCAATCTGGAACGCTGAATCATGGTAAGAATCAACATCTCAACGTCACTGTTACGAAATGCGTCGTGTTAGCTAACAGAATACTCACCCAGAAGGAGCCGGCTTTCCTCAGCCAGGCGCATTTGGTCCAATTCAAAGCCCATTCTCGGGTCAACCTGCTCCTCACTTTGGTAAAGTTCTCAACCCCCTTATTGTGCAATGATTCTTCTGGCTCACGCCACATTCAAGCAGGTGGGAATTTTCCTCCGCCCAGCGCATTTGCTCCAGGTCAAATACCAATTCCTGGCCCATATGGTAAGACCCCTAAATACCAACGGAATCTGTGGTTTTGGCTCACATATCACACACAGGAACGTTTCCCCCGCCTGGTTCATTTGCTCCACTTCAAGGCCACTTCCTGGGCCAACCTGGATTTCCAGCCCCTGGTCAATATCGTAGGCTTACAACCCCAATTACGTGAATGGATGCAGTCGGCTCACATTACCATCGCAGAACCTAACCTTCATGGTCAAATGTCTCCCTCGGGACTCTATGATTCCGGTCTTTCCAATCCGCAGGTTTTGAGCGAACTCGTTCAGAATCAACCTTCATCCCAGGAATCGCAGGCAGATCTTTATGCTTCGGGCATCCATCAACAAGCTTCCCCCACCGTTGTGACTGGCCAATCTTCTGAGCATAATGGTCAGAATCAGCTCCCACAGCCCCAGATGGGTTCTGCACCTCAAGGACAGTGTTTAGGCCTTGACACATATCGATATGCCACCTTGGCTCAAGCTGAGGCGGATTTTGATGCCGAGTTGTATGCTTGGATGAACGGGAATGCTGCAACTGAAGAGCCGCAGGCTAACGTACAGGCCGACCGCGGAAGCAACGTGACGGATCCAACAGAACCCATAGGCAGGGACATAGACGGGCTTAAGAAGATCATTGAAGGTGATCGAGATGCTCTCACGGCTGCCAGACGTGACGTGGCGGCTGGAAATCTCACGGGACTCGAAGCGCAAGCTCTAGAGGTCTTTGAACAAAACGCAGAGGCTGAAACGACCGCTGAACGTGACTGGGTGGCTCAAACAATTGCCGAAAGGGACCTTGAAACTCTCCAGCTGGCTCGTCTGAGTCTGTCGGACGATGCCTCCAAGATTGCTGAGAAGGCACTAGCTGGTGCTATGGACGAGTCACTACTGGCTAGTCAAGTTGAACGCGCTCAGGCTACTTCTAAGGGCGATAAAGAGCAGGCTAATGAAGCCGAGCAAGCTCAGACTGACTCTATGCGAGATTCTGAACTTGCTGCTGTTGCCGGACAGCTGCTGGCAAACGTTGAGGATAACACCTCGGAGAAATTCAAGAACTCGAAGTTTCTAGAATTGATGAGACGTCTCCAGAGCCAGGAAGTTGTGGCTCACGACAACGATTTCGTTGAGGCCTCTTCTGTTCCTGCTCTGGCACCGCGCTCTGGACTTGCACCCACGTCCAGTGTTGGATCTCACGTCACTGGCTCGAGAACTGGTCCTCCGCTGACCCTCCAGCAGAACCCCGGACAGCAGGCTTCCTCCCCGGTTACCCCCAAGACCGTCACCGTTAAGGACGTTGATGAGGGCCAGGATGAGAAGTAGTTGTTGGCTATCATACTCGAGGCTCTCTATCAACCAAAGCACTGCTGAGATGCTTTCGGATGGCGGAAATGTGTCGCCGTCACTGTCTATTTTCACCTCAGTACACCTATTCCCTGGTGCTTGCGTTTTTGAACAGGCACACCACCAACACTACTGTACCGACTTCTGGTCTACCTATTCATCACCACGTTCGCCTTACTAGCCCTGATCTCGGGATCCGACTGGTAACCCACCGAAAGACACCTCCGATCATCGCGGTTTAGCATTTGGGTTTCCTGCATTCCGTATTCTGTATTTTGCATGCTGCATATTATATAATGCAGGCAAGGCATTATGGCTAGGACAGCCAGCAGCATTGAGCGTTCCCTGGCGACACCACGGAGACGATTTGCATTTGAGGTCCACCTAGCTCGCCCTCTCCCAGGAAACTTGCGTTGCATGTGGATATAACGATGCCATTTGGACGAATGTTGACAGAGGCATAGGGAGAAAAGAAGAAGAACTCGGTGGCAAGGATATGGCTGGTTATGATACCACTGTTGATTGGTACTCTAATTATACTGATTTTCTGATGTGATATGTGTTCTTGTGTGCTTCCAATCTTGGAAATGATATCCTTGCTGATTTGGAAGTTGAGCACGACGGTTTTGGTAACTTCCTAGAAAACCTTGACATTATTGACCATACTGGCCGTGGATGACAGTTCAGACTTGTTCCTGATACGACACTCTTTGCTTGGGATGACGACATATGGATATCCTCAACTCGGTTATATGTTTCTTGCATGAGCAATGCTTGTGAAGCGTCATTTAATTATTTGATGGCTTGGGCAAAGCCATTGTTGTCTTTGGGTAATACCGGTTGTGCTTGTGGTATTTACGTGTGCCTACCACGGATGTTTGGGACACAATCGCCTGCTTTCTGGGTCTAGTGGCAAGCAACAGTGTGATGAAGCAAAGATGACGGCATGTCCTCCTGTATCTCCAAGTATTTATTCATTTGGATCCACGTAGGCTTGGGGTGAATAGTCAATATTATTAAAAAGCTGGAGTTCCCTCCCTTAGTCATGGTTTGTATGGGATGGTGGTACTTACATAGGTTTCCTTGTGTAATATAAGCAATATGTCCCTGTCTAGTCCTGGAAAATCTTATGAAGGTATCACTAGAAATGCTATATAACGTACTGAACTTGTAGAAGGTGCTCGTCGTCAACCTTCGTATCTTTCGATTTTCTCCTTTGTACCCTCCCCCTTCGCCCAACTCCTACGATTAGCTTGGAGTCTCGTAGATGTTGATACAAGGGAGTACCTCCTCCTGAACCGAATATGAAGCAACTACTCGTCACTGCTAGTGGCCATGCTTAAGGAAAAATTTCCCGTCTCTGGACGAGTTTCTGGAGGAATTTCTCTACAAACCACTTTCCCCCTCAAGATTAGGTACCTAGAGAACCCCCTGTATACCATCTAAGTCTAGACTAGGTTCCTAGACATGCTGCATAATTTCGCCGAGAGAAGACCGGTTGCAGCAGATCAATAGACTCCATTGACTTTCCCAATTGCAATGTTCCAAAGAAAAGCGTGTTGCGCGAAGCCAAAATGATAGGTGACAAGTTCAGTGAAGTAGGCCATATCATTCCATGGAATGTCTAAGGGGCAATCGGTGGGACGACGGAAGTCATTGGAATCTATCTATTTTCGAACAGTCCACAAGTACCTCTGATGCAGGAGTGTTCCTGCCGTTCCTGCCGAGTTCTCGTACTGTGCAGTTCAGCTCTACCATTCGGAGGTGACTTTGAGACGGAGAAAAATGACAGAGAAAAATAGGGAAGAAACCGTCAAATCACAGCTGTCCGTAGCAGCAGTAAGAATTCATCAGGCGATCCGGCTTCAGACTACCTCGATAATAAATCTGGAACTCAGGTCGTAGTCACTCTAGTGTAAAACTAGAACCTCGCCGACTTCCGTGATGGCATTCTAGAGTACTGCGAGGGTATATTCCGGTCGGCGCTTCCCTGTAAAATGGATATTGACTATACCGAGGCGAGTTTTTCCATCAATCAGGGGCCGCGGGAAATATTCTACCACTTACTATGTAGCCGCCGAGTCAATCACAAGCCGAGTTCACTCCCCCCTCTAGTCTTCAGGGGTCTCCACCAGGCTAACCCCACGATAGCGGAATCCACTAGGGTGGGATGCCCCTCCTCATCGTGTTATGAAGGGATGTGCGGTTTGCAGGTGGAATCTCGTTGGAAATTCGTGCTGTATATAATTCATCCGGGTTTACCTGTTTTTTGTTTTCAATTGACTTGTTGAGCTTCTCGGTCTGTTCTTGACTTATAAGACAAACTGCTTTAGACCTGGCATAGGCCTTCAAGTTTGCTGTTTAGTTCTAGTAGAAGTTGCTTGACACAAGCCCAAGATGCCTGAAATCACCATCACAGGCTGGTCGACGCGGGACGTGCGGTTTCCCACGTCTTTGGACAAGACGGGATCTGATGCCATGAACGCGGCAGGTGACTACTCGGCGGCATACTGCATCTTACAGACGGACTCGGATTTCTCGGGCCATGGCATGGTACGTTTTTCTGCTTCTCTGTTGTCTCCTGTCTTGTGTGCTTGGCAAACCTGCGGCTGAAAGCCACACTTCAACTACTTCAGCGGTTATAACTAACATCTCTCCTCTCTCCCATAGACCTTCACCATCGGCCGTGGTAACGACATCGTCTGCGCCGCCATCAACCACCTCGGTGACCGCATCAAAGGCCGGACCCTCTCGTCCCTAACCTCAAACTGGGGTAAGACATGGCGGTATCTAGTTGCCGACTCGCAATTGCGGTGGATCGGCCCAGAAAAGGGCGTTATCCACCTCGCCCTGGGCGCCGTCGTCAACGCCATCTGGGACCTGTGGGCGAAGGTGCTGGGCAAGCCCGTGTGGCGCATTGTGGCCGACATGACGCCCGAGGAGTTTGTGTCGTGCATCGACTTCCGCTACATCACCGATGCTATCACTCCCGACGAGGCCATCGCCATGCTCAAGGAGAGCGAGGGCGGCAAGGCCGACCGTATCCAGGATGCACTTAGAAGCCGAGCCGTGCCGGCGTACACGACTAGTGCCGGGTGGTTGGGTTACGGCGAGGACAAGATGAAGGGGCTGCTGGAGGAAACGCTGAGCGCAGGGTACAAGCACTTCAAGCTGAAAGTCGGGACGAGCCTCGAGGCGGACCGCAAGAGGCTGAGTATTGCTCGGGAGGTCATTGGCTACGACAAAGGCAATGTCCTCATGGTGGACGCGAACCAGGTCTGGAGCGTGCCCGAGGCCATCGAGTACATGAAGAAGCTGGCCGACTTCAAGCCGTGGTTCATCGAGGAGCCCACGTCGCCCGACGATATCCTGGGCCACAAGGCCGTGCGGGATGCCCTGAAGCCCTACGGTATCGGGGTTGCCACGGGCGAGATGTGCCAGAATCGTGTTATTTTCAAGCAGCTGCTCATGTGCGGTGCCATCGATGTCTGCCAGATTGACGCGTGCCGCATGGGTGGTGTAAATGAGGTCTTGGCGGTGCTGTTGATGGCCAAAAAGTACAATGTGCCCATCGTGCCACATTCGGGCGGCGTTGGTCTGCCTGAGTATACTCAACATTTGAGCACCATCGACTATGTTGTCGTGAGTGGAAAGCTGTCGGTGCTGGAGTATGTGGACCATTTACATGAGCATTTCTTGCACCCTTCTGTCATCAAGGATGGGTACTACCAGACCCCGACCGAGGCGGGGTACAGTGTTGAGATGAAGGCCGCCAGCATGGATCAGTTCTCATACCCCGGCGAGGAGGGAGTGAGTTGGTGGAAGAGCGATGAGGCGAAACCCATTTTGGAGGGCGAAAAGTATTAAGTGTGCTGTGTCGGTTGACAATGATGACCATCGAAGAAAGGGGGGTCGGAGTGAAAGGTACGTCCGGCCGGAGGGCAACGTTGGCATCCTCTTAGCACATCGCCCCGGGAGGAGGTTGTTGCTATTCTGTATAAAATATTGTATGGTTCTTGGATAGAGCTTCGGAAAGGGGTCCGATCGAAATTGTCGTGCCGCGGGGAAACGATGGCATCCCGTACGGGCAGAGCTGGAAAAGCCTGCCGTCCACTATTGTACCTTACATACCACGATATCTGAGAATGCGTAAAATGGGGGTCTGGTCCGCTTAAACCAGTCCACAGGACAACGATGGCATCCTGCACAGAAATTAGGCTCTCCCATCATATCATAGAACGAGACCCACGAAGTCCAACTGAAACCTGAAGACCAAGCTGGTGGCGTGTGAGCTTCTTCCAAAAGGTGAAATAACATTTTTATTATTATTAAATACGCCGTAGGCTCGAAGCCCCCGGTACCTCTGCTAGTACTCCCGTATGTCAAACCGTGCCCTAATGGCTGGACTAAATACATACGCTGCGTCGTCCGTTCGCCCTATTGGCGACTGCGTTGCGTCCACTACCATACTACGTTGGTTCTCAACCTACCAACAAAGTCCCCCCTGAGAAGATCGATGCTATCTGGGCCTTGAAGCTGTCCGACCCGTCCCTAGCAGCCACCTTACAATAGTCCCACTAACTACTGGTTCTCCTGTTGCCGTTGCGAGGTCTCTGCGAGAGTATAGTGGCCGTGGTGCGATGGCGGCCCGTAATCGTTCCCTCGGTCCTTCCAACAGCCCGCAAAAGAGGATTACGTGCTCTGCCGTCTCAGGGGCGTCGCCACAGCGGCATAGCGGCGAGTACACGCCAAAAGCCCCTGTCTTGAATAAGAAGGCTGCTAGTCCTATTTTTTCCGTCCTGATCTGGCACAGCATAGACGCCTCCAGTCGGTTCAGGCCGAAATACCTGCCCCCTTTCGGTATCTGCATCGAAGGGCCCTCCGGTTCCTCAGCGATAGCGCGTCGCTGGCGATCGTGATGCTCTGCTCCGGTGAGCCATCTCTTCCTCCAGTGGCCGAGGAGGGCAGCCGGGACCTCCTTTTCCTCACTCATCCACTCGGAGCCCCGGGCCTCCTTCTCCATAGTGTACCCTGCCGGTCGGAGTAGCCGCGACGCCTGCTTCCTCTTCGCCGGCCTATCCTGCCGGAGTATATGTGACGCTTTAGCGCTCGCGCTGCGAAGCAGATTTCTCTTCCCGCTAAGCCGTAGCCGTTCTTCAAACTTAGCAGCCCGGGCACTAAGAGGTGAAATAATAAAATAATATTAAATACGCCGTAGGTGTTAACCCTCGGTACCTCTACAAGTACTCCCTTAAGGGGCTATAGATGATATAGCGGGCCCTTAAGCCGCGTCGGGCGGTTATACAGGTAAACTTGTAGCCAAACGACTACTAAACCTCCTGTCCCTCCCTAAGTCTGTGCTACAACCCCTGCCTGAACTACCGATAAGCGTGGTAATGTGGCACTTAAATTCGTCCTCAGGGGTGGGATGCTGCTGATGTGCAGAAGATGCTCGACTATTTTTTTGTCGCGACAAGTCGTAGTATCTGCTAATTGGGGTTCTCGTCGAGCGTATACATCTCAACCATACGCTCAAGTGGATAGACCGTAACGTGGTCTAGACGCTCGCAAGAATCGCGGCGAGGGGGCGTGCTGCGCGCCTTCTATCGTGAGGGGACGGGTTCGCCGACGAGCGTTATCGGATAGGCGAGGTCCGATAAGGGGTCGGATTAACGATTCGAATTCTGGACCGGCTGTCGAGTTATATTCCGCCGACGTAGTGCTTGACGGTCGACTGGCTAGGATGCTCGTAATCCTAAACTGCACCAATCTCCCTATTATCGCTAGGTAGGCGAAGTCAACAAGGTGGGCAGCGCGCCGTAAGGGTTGACTAAACCCCCTTGTGTGTCAGCTGCGGGATTCGAACCCGCGACTCGTCACCAACCCAAGTGGGCGAGGCTCAAATCGGGACTTATCTACCAGCGAAGTGACCAACTACACCAGCCGACTAGAGGTGAAATAACAAATCATGGAGCGGGTTTATGCTGGTCTCTCAACACCTTCTGCAAATGCGTACATAGCCCCTGAGATTTCTAGTCATCAAATTGTTAGAGAGCGAAAGCTTCAACACAAGTCTTCACAAAGCATAACCACTGCGGGAAGTCTACCAACACCGACCGCGCCGCATGCACATTCAACCACCGTCTCAAATCCTTGGTGCTCTTCCCCTTCGATTTGTCCTGCTGAACAGCCTGGACCTTGCACATGACGGCCGGAACGAACGCAAGTGCGCGACCGCGAACGCCACTCCTGCCAGATACCAACTCCAGGCTGCAGTAGCGTTCGGCTCGCGACGGGAGTACTTGACAAGCCGAAGGCAATGGAGGTGGGGTGCACGGTGAGAATGACCAACAAGCCTCGTTTAAATAGAGCGTTCAAATTGGAGGGCAGAAACTCATTGGACCTTTGGCGTATTTGGGGGCGTAAGAAGAGATTGAGGAAGATATACTGGTCGACTGAGAACATGAGGCCCGCCGTGGACGTTATGACGGGAGCTACCCGCAGTGGGCCATTGGGTCGACGAATTATCTAGACGCCGTTTTTGAAGGATGGAGAGGGTCGATTGGTTTGGTGAGGTCTGGTAAGAATCAATGAAATTCTCATTCAACTTTTTTTGTATTAGTATAGAAGTTTACATTTGGCTTCGTTATGTTGTCATTATGAAATAGCTATTGGAGTTTGAGGTTCAGCGGGTTCGACCCAGACACAGGAGCGGTACAAAACGGAAGGCACAGCCTAGCACAATATCAAACCACGATTTGTTCAACGAAAGAAGCCTTCCAGCTAACAATCCTCCTGCAAGACAAAGGAGCGAAAGAAAACATGGCCATAACTCAACAAAAGCAAGGTACGCGTCAGTTAAGGAAGCCCCATCTATCATCCTTCTCAGTCCCGAGTTAGTTGTACAGTAATCACGACCCGCGAAATGCGCTTCGCCGGGGCGGGTCAATCAATGCCCCCAACGGCTTTGCTGCTTCTTTCTTACCTGCATCTGCATGCCTTACCGCCCTTCGAAGCCGGGGATCGCTGGTCGAAAATCTTTTCTCTACTTCCATGAGACTTCTGCCGACGGCTTGCATTGGCATTATCCACGAGCACAGAGCCACTTTAAAGTCGCAACCGGTCAGTGTTCGGATCATCTGATGAACTCACCTCAGTTCCGTAGTTGACGTGATGGCCTCAAGCTTTCTCGGTCCTACGCTGCTATAAACTATGCGCTGCAAGTCTCGGCCTACTTTGACGATGGGTTACTCCTTCCAAAAGTCGTTGTGTAGCCTTTTCGTGTTGGGGAAGTAAATAACGTCGACTTCAAAAGGTAGGGTAGGGTGAGAACTAGTCACTGCATACTCACAGGGCTGACGTCTACCACATTTTCTCAACATCATCTAGTAACTTGATGATGCCTGTCATCGCAGAGTATGACATCAGCTGAAGTCCGTGATGTTGCATGGCCAGATACCATAGTAAGCCTTCTCCAATGTGAAAACAAGAGGGGCTACCTTGCCTTTTGCGGAGACCGTGGTCTTTTCAGCGGCGCTGAACTCTGCTACGCAATGCAACATTGCTCGTCGAAACACGTTCAGATGATGGGTAGCTCGGCAACATCCCTCGAAATTTTTCAGCAATAGTGTGTAGAGCAGCGCAAGCGCCTCTACCGCCATACTAGCTGTCAGCTCAGAGTTCAACACTGCGGTTTCTTGCACAAGTGTGTCGATTAAGTCTGATATTGCAGTTATCCGAGTCCTCCGAAATATCATTAATTCCAAGTTCTCTAGGCTACAGGACGCCGTTGTAGACCTTCGGCACGGCATCGTCTATCATCCACTCAGGTGGAACGATGGAAAGTTGGATCACCGCTGATCCGGGGCACACCTTTAGATTCTTTGGGTTGCCAGGCTCTTACCCAACTTAAGACCTTGTCAAATTGGCTGTCGCATGGGTCATGTTGATACGCCTGCAGAGGACACTATGTATGTCGGGCGCTCCCTGCACTTGTTATGCCAACCCTGTTTTCGCACTGGCTCATCCTTGGTCGCCACGATATATCCCCACGTCATAGTTACTTGGGATACTGGTGCGTCGCGCCAGATTATAATATCGTAACCGAGTCAAGCACCCAACTTAGTCGCTGGCACTGGCTTGTCATTCTGCCATATAGTATTCATTCTGCGCCACTCATGTATCATTCAAGTTCGAGTTCTTCGACAGTCTACGGACCCAATATTGAAGTATACGACCAATCATGAATGCGTACCAACCCATCGTGAAGCCGGAAGGCAAGAGACTCAGGCGCAAGTTACAGAAAATCGGTAGTCCACATCGCAATTCTCAGGGAACTCCGGAAACCACCCAAAGAAACCAGGCGAATGCTGGGCGCGCGGGAACTCCTTGTCCTTACTCGCGGACGTCAAGATCCAACAATGTCGACGCAGATGGGACGTCACTACAACCACAACTGTTACCGCCTGATCTCAGCGACCCCAAATGGCTTGATTTTGTTCGGAAGAGCGCATACATCGGCAATGAATCCGACACTTTACGTTTGCGGGCCAAAGAGTCGCCTCCGCGGCGGATGGAGGTCATACCGGAGGTGATTCCCGAGCTTGCGCATCTGAGCATCCATAACGAGGATCAATCGCGCAAGTCTTCTGACAATTCCTTCACGGAAACCGTGTATTACTCCTCCAGCTCAACGCCTGTATCTACCATTTCGATGCGACGCTACGCAAAGACGCCCGTCTTTCGTATCGGCCAACTAGAGGACGTTTCGTCACAACGTCCGCTCAAGCCACACAAGGTACCAAGCGTGGAACTCATCGCAGAGTCATACCGGGCATTACTGGATTCGCGTTGCTCTGTATTCTCGGACAAATATATGACACCAAAATCTTATGAAGAGCAGACTAGACCGGACTCGAGGCGACAACGCCGCGGTGATGACGTGACACCAGACGCTGCGCTCGAGGACCCAGCGACACCAAAGTCGAACATGGGATCACCGACATCGTCTGACGACGGCACTTTAATCGGATTTGAGGAGGACGCCATCTACTTCAAGCCATCTCCCTCCTCCTCGCCATTACGGCAGGACTCCCGCCGGTCATCCAGGAGACCCTTGTCCGTCGCCACATTGGACAACCCCGGTCTGGGTATATGCGTCGACCTTCTGACCAGGGAGTTGTCTTCAGCGGTTAGCGGAAATCCACTGCGGCCAAGCGACGAGACGTCCGCGCTGCAAATATGGGTCATGATCGAGGCATATGAGAGGCTGCATGATAAAATTAAAGATATGGGACTCGATGCACCACAGGCCAATTCTATGGAAGCAATGTTTGACACCTGGTTAAGGGGGCTTTACGCGGTTCATGATAAGATGACGGGGAATGATAAGCAGGGGAGTGATAGTGAGAGTGATTATGGGGATGCTCAAAGCTTTAAAAACGAGGTTTTGATACCATGATCTCGTGCCATTTGTTGGAAATAGGATTGGGTTCGTATAGAGCGGCGTTGGGTATTTTGGGAGGAGGTTGGTGGGTAATACGATACCATTGATCAAGGTTTGGGTTGCAAGGAGTTATGATAGGGACCTTATGTCGCAGTCCAGTAATGCTATGGCGATTATTCTGACAATTGTCAAATATTCATTTTCAGGCATATACTATAAAACAAAACTACTGATCAGCAATTTAGTAGACAAACACATCATAGAATAGAAATCCCTGTTCGGCCCCAGTTTATAGCGGCCGTTGATCTCGGGTTGATCCGAGATATATTGCGATCCTTGCAAGCGATGTGACACTATATATCTGTTAGACATATATACTACTAGAGATCAGATTCGACCAGGATGACCGCTTCATCTTCATTCTAAATATCGTAGTCAATTCCCCCACCTTCCCCCCTTCCCCCTCTCTCTGCTCAAAACTCAAATGATTGATTGGTTAAGAGGTCCACCAGTTGCATCCTCGTCTTCATCTTGATGAAAATGTCCAGTGAACTCCGTTATTAGTGATTAAGGAATTTTCTTCTGCCACCTTCCTTTCTTCCCATCATCATCATCCTTGTACTCGATCTCACAAGTTCCGTGCCTCAGGACACCTCAACTCTAGTAAATCCAAGGAAGTATTCTCCACCGGACGATTCTCCGGTACTCATCCCAGTCCTCGCCATACTTCTTCGCGCACATGGCGTCATCCCTCCTTTCACGGTGCATCAACAAGATGGCAAAGTACAGCACGTAAAAGTACGTGAAAAATATACCCCAACCCTTGGCTTCGCTCTGCACCACCTCTCGCCCGTCGAGCATCTTGAATGCGTACGACGTGGCCGCCACACTGCCGGCTGGAAGGATCCTATATCCAGCCAATCCCGTCGGGAGACTAAATGGCGACGCCTGCAGCCAATCACCGAAATAGTTGATGTGTCTTGACAAACCCCACCATCCCGCCGTGAGTAGTTTCGTCCCACGCTTCGTCTGGATATACGACAGCCCCTTCACACTGGGTTCGTCAGGCTTCGTGCGGAACACATGTTTCTGCGTATTAGCAGCACGGAATATGTACAGTCCTATTGCAAACACGGCGCTCACGGCGACGAGCCCAGCCCACCCGAGCTGCAACGGGAAGACGGCAAGGTAGCGGCACTGTGTCGAGTACAGGAACGGGACCCAGACAATGTCGCCGAAGGTGAGCATAAACCCCAGGCCGTCTGTCGTAATATCCATCATATACAGGACGCCAGACTCATGGTACTGCCCGTCGAGGACATAGAAGGCCTGGACAAGGGCAGTGAAGACGATACTATCAGAGACGAAGCCGTAAGAGCGGTATTGCTTAGCAACAAAGGCGAGGTCCAGCAGGATCCAGCCCGTGAGGCCAGGACGCATCTCGCACCAGGTTTTGATGTCGACTTCCCCGAAGAAGGGGAGGACGACGCGAGGGTTGAGCTCCCGGCCGATGTAGAAGTCGTAGATTAGGTTGTCGGTGGTGCCGCTGGCTGCTAGTTCCCGGAGGGATGAGTTGGGGTATTGGGTGGATACGCTGAAGCTATGAATGTAGACGAAGATGGAGAGAGCGTAGGCGATCAGGATGTTGGCTGTCAATAACTGGACGTAGTTGTCCGTGATGTAGGTCCAGACAAAGAAGTCAGCTCCCTGGAGGTATGTCCCCACGGCGCAGATGGCGAGTTGGAAAACAGAAGCCGAGAATGCTGACAACCATTGTGAGATCTTGCCCGCCAGCATCGACACATAAGAAAGGACGCTTACCATTGAGCCGATACATCAGCGGACGACCATGCTGCACCAGCTTTGTCCCGCGGACCTCCTGGGCAGGAAATATTCTGTACAGGATCATACTCAAGGCATAGTAGGCCAAAACGACGCCGGTAACCTCCCAGCTGCCGAGGTCCCAAATGCCGCCTTTGCGCCATCTCATCTCTGACCTTAGTGTTTCCCAGTTCAGGTTTCGAGGATCCAGAAGGGATGGCACCGGACAGCCGGCCACATCGTTGCAGCCGAAGTTGAAGAAGTACAGCAGCACTGGGAGACCAAAGACGATGATAGTGGCACCGAAGCTAGGGAGAGTTAGCGAATTCCCAAACTTCTTGGAAGTGTTATCAATGAAGCCTTACGGGCCGCCAAACTCATATTCGGGTGCTTTGGTATGAGGTGCCATCGTTTATTCCAACAGATGTGATCTCATAGAAGTTTAGTTATTGAATGAATAACACAAAGGGAATTAGAGACAAGCGAAGACGATGATATTGGGAATTTAATAAAACATCAATATCCATTTTCCAAGATGGCACCATGAAGCAATGCGGCTTCCCGAGATCCGGCCTATAGGTGGCTCCACTCTGTCCCACTAGAGGCTTAAAAGCAAGCATGGGGAATATTCCAGGCCACTTGATTTGTCCAGAGGTTAAATAGATAGGTTAAATAAATTTGGTTGCTTTGTCGTGTCGCGACGCGCTTTCCTCCGGCATGGAGATTCTCACCTTGAGAGGACGCCGAACGTCCAATTTAAAACCACTCTTCTTAATATCTAATAGGATCGAAGGCTTCTCTTTTTGACTAACTCGTACCCCTCCAACGGAACTTGCGCAAAATGTCGAGTCGACGCCTGTTCTCCAATGGTAGTCGCCCCCGCGGTCGCCCGAGCGTTGCATCATCTTCGAGCGCCCAACCGAACAACGCGCCCGTCGAGCTGCCAGAGTACGAACCACCATCATGCCCTCTCGATGCTAAGTCGCGGCAGGCCCTCGCAGAACTGTCAAACGACCAGGACACGCGCAAATACTCTGATCATATCGCCAAGTCGTTGGAATTTCTTAAAAAGAGCGTCGGCGCAATCAACGATCGCTATGCGGATCGCAAAGACGATCTCCAGAAAGTGCAATCGAAACGTCGGGAGAAGGGCGACGACGCGGGCGAGAAAACGGATCAGGAGCGCGCTCTGGAAGAGGCTGTCGCGGCGCTGCGAGCTGAGGTCCCCGAGTTAACCACCAACAGTGACATGGCTGTCAGAGAACTCATCGACTGGCAAGGTGATCTCCAGGATGGTAAAAGCGCGATGGAGGAGGTGAAGCGCAAGGTGGAACACGAAAGTGCGAATGCAGTGCTAGCGCAGGCAAGGGCCGTTGACGATGAAGATGAAGAAGCCAATGAATCACCCGATATCACGGGGCCTCTGCGTTTCCTCGCGGAAGAGAAGGAGAAACTGGCGAACGACTACTACGCCAAGACTGCCTACGAACGATATGGACTGCACAACGACTATATAGCCTTCAAGAAGGTCTGGCACGACTCTATCCACGGCAAAGAGGGGAAGCCGTTGCCAAATGCCGCGAGATGGTTCAATGACGACGAAGAAGGGGGTGAGGAAGACGCTGATGAAGATGTCGTGATTTCCGAGGAGGTCGTGGATCTGAGATGTCCCTTGTCCATGCAAATCATGAAGGAGCCGTACACGTCGCGGAATTGCAAGCACACGTACGAGAAGGCCCATATATACGGATACCTCAATCCGCATCCCAACAAAACGACGCAGTGTCCACAGACTGGTTGCAACAAGGTAAGCTCATCTCATGAACACAATCGCCGCTGAGCTTGGAACTAGATGCTAACGTCTGATAGATGGTATCGAAGAGCGACTTATACCTTGATGAGATCATACTTCGGAAGATCAAGAGAGCACAAGCACGAGAGAACGATAGAGATTCGGAAGAGGACGATGATGTCGCTGACGGGGATGGCGATAGCATGCAAGTGACACAAGAGCGGCAAATCAAGTCTGAGAGACGGGAGCGAGGCCGGCGGCAAATAGTGGACGATGCTGAGGACGAATAGGAGGAGCAGGATTGAGTTTGCATTTGATCCAACAGGATTCCTCTCCGAGGTACGAAAGGCTTAGCTTATGGATCGGCTTATGGCGCTTCGTCTAAGTCAATACCAAATGCAGCCACTTTCTCGCCTTCAAATGGCTTTGCCCGCAACAACTTCCAGGCTTTTGCAGCCCCGAGGTCCACCTCCTTATCCTTCGCTTTAAACAGCAGTTCAGTCTTGCCGTCCCCGACATGCGATATGGATTGATTCTGGGAGATGATCAGCGAAGGCATACTTGTAGCTTTCGTTTTAGGGGAGCCTGGCATACTAAACCTAGCGTCAACTTGATCAGACCATCTGCCCAATGAGGGTAATAGGTCCGCTGCGGCGTCTTGCCGTTCACTACATCGAGGACATTGTTGACGACAATGTCGGCCTGCTTGAAGGCTGCGCGAGCGTTTGGGTTCGCGTTCCCAGTGTCAGCTACGTCTCCACAGGCGAATATGTTGGGCAGCATGTCGTCCAAGATTTGTAGTGTTGGTTTAACACGGATATGTCCTGTTTCTGATATTGAGCTCGGGCTGAGCTCTTCGAGAAGTCCGGACGAGGGTCTCTGTCCCGCACAGTTGACCTAGCCAATGTCACGAGTTAGTTCCCAGGTATTCGCTCTCCGTATTCAGGATAAAGTGGAAGGAGATGTACACGCACCAGATAATCACAGTCAATCTTCATTCCACTCTTCAACAGGATAAACCCTGCCTCGGCATCCTCTTCAACCACTCTCTCCCCCACCAGAACGTTTACTCCCAAATCCGTCAAACCCTTCAGAGCCGCATTTCTCAACCCAGGCCCGAACCGGTGCATAACCGCCTCCCGCGAATGCACCAATGTGACGATCTTCTCCGGATATGCCGTCTTAGCATCAGTCGCTAACTCCACGCCTGCCGCTCCTCCCCCAACGACAACCAATCTCCCGGCCTTCTCGATCCTCCTCTGTATAGCCCTCAGCCTTTCCAACCCTTCCGTCCTCCCATCGACCCCGACACGAGATGGCAACGCGTTCTCCGCATCCACGGGACCCCCAGAGCCAGTGGCAATGAGCAGCATCCAGTAGGGTATTTCCCTCCCATCACTTTGCAGCCTGATCTTATCTCTTCCTACCGACGCGACGCGGTCCCGGATCCAACGCACATTGCCCCCGAAGAACTTGTGCGTGTACGGGATAAAAGCTTTGTGCTCCTGTCCTCTGATGACGCAGAACCTCGGTAGCACCCATGTAAAGTGGAAGTGGGAGTGTGGCTCCACGACGACAACCTTGTAGGGACTCTTTGGCGGCAACGATTGGGCTATGCTGCGGGCGGCGAATAGGCCGGCGAAGGAGGCGCCTATGATAATGATATTCAAGGGCTCTTGTGCTGAGCTTGGTGGTGGAGAAAATAACTTTAGGCGGTAAGCCAGGTGGGATAACTGGACGGAGAGGGAGCGGCAGACGTAGGAGAGCAGGAGGGAGGAGATGTGGCCGAAGAGCTTGGCTAGGAGGATGGCTTTGGCGAACATGTTGGGGCAGGAATTGGCGGCTGGTTGCTTCAGACAACTGCGATTACTTCATCCAAGATATCAACCCAAATATAAAATAACAGAAAAAAAATACTTGTCATATAAGAGCTTGCGTTCAGTTGTATATTCAGATCATTGTATAGTTTGCCAGGTAGCAGAAAGAAAGGATTCCCGTGTAAGTCACAGTCATCTGCAGCGGAGCGCCGCCTATTTATCAATCAATCAATCAGATAATGCGGCATTGGATCCGACCTCACTGGAGTCCGATGTCGGGTCCGGGTCCGGGGCTTAGCATCGGGCTCGGGGTTATGTTTCGGTGAATACCCCTGAATGATTCCTCTAATACGCCAGGCGATCCAGTCGGGTAAGACGGACCGGAGTTTTGCAACATCCTTGGTATTCAACTCATTGAAACGGCCAATGGGAGAATGCTTCGGGAATGAATCAAGTTTTCACTTATGACATGTTTTGAAGAGTAGGATTAATTCCATTATTTACTACTTAAAAGAACAAATATGTCTTTCCGTATGTGAACTATGTACGCCCACGCACAGTCACGAGAGATGGGTATCATAATCAGAAGGCACAGCGAATCAGCTGCGATGAGCACAACCTTGATGACAAGAAGAAACTCCTACCACGCAAAGTCAAGCCTCCAGGTCCATCACGTGCCAAGCAAGTATTAAAAGGGAAGTATGCGAAGCAAGGGAAGGGGGTGTTGCGAAAGGGGGGGAAACGTCCGCTAAACGGAATTCGTTGAGCGCCGCCAGATCATGAATGCGGCGAAGCCAGCACAAGCTGTTGCGCCCATGGCAATGTAAAGGCCAGACCTGTCGGGCGGCGGCTCTTCGTTCTTTGGAAACGCCGTGCTGGGATGCGTCGCGGCTTCGGCTAGCGCTACGAAGAGCTCGCTGATGCTATTCCACGTCACACTGACATGAAGAGGCGTGCTCATCATTAGACTCGAGGTGTACTGGTCTGGTTGCAGTTCACTCCGCTGGGTCGTTTTGTCCTTGTCCGCCTTCAACGCCGTGTATATGGACGGTAGCTCGTCTAGTTGCCGAAAGCGTTTCCGCAGGTCGACGATGTGAGAGAATGAATCCGGGTCGGACGAGTCGTATGCATAGCATATGAGATCGCAAGCATCGAGCTTAGCTTGGTTCTCGAGAATTGCGGGCTCAAGCTCGCCAAGCTCTTCGAGAATGAGATAGCACTGTTTGCCACCTTGCAGCTCGACGCTGTTCACAGCTCTGCGGGGCTTAATTGTTGGGTGATAGAGACCGCTGAATGGTCTATTGAGGAAAGAGTCTAGCAGGGAAGATTTACCAGCACCTCCCGCACCGATGATGTAGCATAGCACAACGTTCCGCTCGACACGGCCAGGACGATTCCGCCTCTTACGTGCTTTGGTGATTTTGAGGGCTGAGGTGAGTGAATCTCGGGCGTTGGACGGCTCAAACCCAAGATATGCCAGATACTCGATTGTTGTCTTGGGCTCCAAAAAAGTTGTCATACTCCACTGAGCAAGCCAGCCTTGCAGCGTGATGTGCCCTGCTTCGTTGCGGACTGTCGACGATGGAAACGAAGATTCAACCCACGACTGCGGGAGACCCGGGGTTGGTGCAAAGAGCGCTGCCAGCTCTTGGTCGTTTAGTCCGCCGTCATTGTCCATATCAAAGAGCAAGAAGAGGTCTACGAAAAACCGATAGCCAGCTGGACTCAGTTCTGCCGAGGCATATCCCGGGACGTCGATCTTGGGGTGAATAAAGCTATCCTCCAAGCTGAGACTGTCGGTGTAGTGGTACTTCCTCAGGATGATCCAGATAGTCTCATGACGACCCTTCTCAGCATATATCCTGTTTAGTTGTAGGAAGCCCCTCATATCAATGCCCTTTTCAACGTTGGATCCTGCTACCGATTTCGAAATGGACAATTTGATATTGTCCAGGTCTTCAGCTGTCAAGGGCTTGTCAAAGCATTTGGCTTGGAAGTCATGCATTTCTTGATCGTTCAGATGGCCATCCTGGTCCTTGTCGCAGAGGTAAAATACTCTCTTCAAGGCCGACACACAGGCTGGCTTCAGATTTCCCTCTTTGTAGTCGAAGAGGGGCGCTATGGGATGCGTGACAGCTTTTTGACAGAGGAAGAAGGTTTCGTTAACGTTGTGGTGTTCTCTTGCGCTCGATCGGATGCAGGAATCAATTTCTCTGAATTCGTTCATGACGGGCAACATCTCCTCCTCGACTGCCTGCGGGGTGTTGTTGCCGCCATTCAGATCGGACTTGTTGGCACATAGTACAACAGGAACATTGACACCGAGGGACCGAAAATAAGGCATCCAGAACAGGGCCACTCGTTCATAACTGTAGTGGTCGCTGTAAACAAGAAGGATGACGTTGGACTTTCGGATCTCCTTTCGCAGGGTGGTTCGATCCTGCGGCCGCGCCGACGTATCGACGATGGTGGTTGTGACATTTTCGGGCGTGCTTATGCTCGGCGGTATCGTAATCTGGGGGAGGACGGACTGTATCTTGTTGCTAACGAAGACATCCTTCACGAGGGATGCGATGAGACTGGACTTGCCCGTCCCTTCATCTCCGCAAACGCAGATACGCACTTTACCGAGCCGTTAGGTTAGCACAACGAGAAAAGCGATTGAAAAAGTAACGGCAGGGCAAAATGGGGCATACCAGAAGCCATGCTGATAAGGCGATGCGTTGATGCAAGGGGTTCTGATCACGATGCCATGTCCAGTATCCAGAGCTGCCGAGTCGGGTTCAAGTGATTGCTACACCATCAAGCGAAGACGATAGTTAGGAGTTTGGGAAAAGGCACACAAAAGAAGAATTAGCAACTGCTTCACAACTAGGTTGTGGCAAGAACTCAAGACGGTGACAATAGAAAATGGACAGCTCAGACACGGTGTCTGAGTTCATTCGTTGGCGGCTCCCCGTGTAGGACAGCTTGAAGGCGGATGGATGCACAGCCAAAGTGGCCGGGAAGGAATCTGAACACTGCGGTTGAGTGGATCAATTCCTGCCCACGGCTCCATGCACACCGAGCTATCCCAATTTCATCATCCGACTTGCCCGTACTTTCTACAAGAAGCAAGCCATTGGCACATGAAGCTGGACACTATGACAGTCATCTCATTTTTCTTCCCGTAGTTTGCCCCCTCGTTATTTATCCATCTTATTATCCTCTTGAATTATTGCGGGCTTCTTGCTCCTTATTACAACTAGACGCTATGTACTCCTTATTAGCATGATAGATTTCTCTCTTTTCAGTTACAGGCGGCCGCCGCTTCCCCTCAATCGAATTGGTCCTTGCCAGCCTTGCCCGAATATCGTATTACCCCACATTGCAGCGATGGAAGGAAGCGAAGCTGCGCCCCTGTTGGATCCCAGCCCACTGGCAGGCTGGAAGCTTGACAACAAGCAAGGGCCTTCCAATTACAATGAATCACCAGCAATTCGTCCTGTTCTTGTTAATCCGGGGATCGATCCCTATGTCCATCTCCAACGTTGCCATGCGCCTCCAACGTTATGATTTTGGATCATTGCAATCAGTAACCACAGCTCTTGAGCCTCATCCTCGACCACAGCGTTCTCCGCAGTCTTACGCATCATTTGACACATCAACTACGTGAGCGAACGACGAGCATAGACATCTACCTCACTACTCGCGACCCGTCGTCTTTAGAGCGTCGTAGCACAACAGCCTTGAGCTATTTTGAATAGACAACAAATAATCGTAATATTCGCTCCAACATGTTGTAAGTCGCGCTCCTCTAGACCCAACTCTTCCGCGCCCGGCTTCTTCCATGGGCATCGTTCGTGTCTCGGTTCTTGAATGCGACTACCACCTTCGAGCGACCAAAGCACTGCCCTGCTGTTGCTAATCAGACGGCGACATCAGTGTCCTTCCACCCCCTCCGCGCTACCCAACGCAGGCTGCGTATAATGCCGCAGTCGCTGCTGGCCATGCGACGCCCATGATCGAGACGAACAATATCCTGTCGACTCCGGAGGACCATTTCCTGGCGGGCGAGGGTACATACGTGCTAAAAGAGGACTTGCACCTGGCAACACCCCCGCCGCACCCATCCGAAGCCCCGATTCTGAACCCGAATCCATTGGCGACAAACCCTCAGCCCGCCACGGCAGGAACCCGCGTGTCCTTGATCAGCCTAGATGTGAGGGCACCGCCTCCAGCCTTCTTCCGCCTGACGTCAACAACGACGCTCTCGCCCAGCATCGCAGAACACCCAAGCGAAGGCCGCAGCTCGAATGATGCCAAGTTTAGCAGTGACGGAGAGGGGCGAGGGACGTCTTTGAGTGATGGCGCTCCTCCTACGTCGTCTTTGACGGCCGTCTCGGCGCCCGCGTTTGGCGAGGGCAATACCCTTCTAGCCCCCGAAAAGACCAAGGACGTGAACAAGCGACGCAAGCCGAAGAATAATATGACTAAGAGCAACTCGTCCTTCATCTCGCGCGTCATCATCAACGAGGCCCTCACCAAAAAGCTTTCGGAGCGAGCAACCGACGGCCTGTTCGCTTTTGCCAATATAAACCGGGCTTTTCAATGGTTAGACCTGTCCTCCTCTACCAAGGCTGACTACTTGACGAAGATTCTCTTTACTAAAGCGCACTGTTTGAGCCATGATGTCAACATGCTCACGCGAGGGCCGGGGCACATGGACGTCATCATGGGATTTTCGACAGGCGAGATTATCTGGTGGGAGCCTGTTTCACAGCGGTATACGCGCCTAAACAAGAATGTATGGCTTAAGCTTGTGAGACGTAATATGAAAACCACTGACAAAACCAGGGCGTAATCAACAAGACTCCAGTGTCTCAGATCCGATGGATACCCGGATCCGAGAACCTGTTCCTAGCTGCTCACATGGATGGCTCTCTCGTCGTATACGACAAAGAGAAAGAGGATGCGATTTTCAGTCCCGAGGAAGAGGAAACAAAACCTAATGCCGGGGAGGACGACGGCACGGCCAAGGGAATTGACTTCAAGAAACGGATTCTGGTGTTGAAGTCAGTTCATTCAAAGAATCAGAAAGTCAATCCGGTGGCACTCTGGAAGCTCTCCAATCAACGCATCAACGCATTTGCTTTCTCCCCAGATAACCGGCATCTCGCGGTGGGGTCTGAGGATGGCACTTTGCGAATCATCGACTATCTCAAAGAAGAGTAAGAAATCCGCAGAAACCCCAGCGAGGGCATATTCAGTTTGATGCTGACCAAATTGCTAGATTGTTGAGTTTGTTCTACGCCTACTACGGCGGCTTGACTTGCGTCTGCTGGTCTCCAGACGGAAAATACGTCCTGACAGGAGGACAGGACGATCTGATCTCAATATGGTGCCCATCAGAGGGAGACGGGTCACTCATCGCACGGTGTCAAGGACACATGTCTTGGGTATCGGCGGTTGCTTTTGATCCCTGGAGGTGCGACGAGCGAAATTATCGCTTTGGTAGCGTTGGCGAGGATTGCAGATTATGTCTTTGGGACTTCAATGTTGGAATGCTCCACAGACCGAAAGCCGTAAGTCGCAACATCCTCACTCAAGACTTCTTTTGGGTAAATCCGCTGACGAACAGAAGGTATCTGTTAGACACCGCGGCTCCGTTTCGTCACGGATGACAGCGTTGCAACGTGCCGAGACTTTAGGAACAACTACTTCGGCCACTAGGATACGGTCGAACTCAGCTCTGTCAACCGCAGATGGTGATGATGACGACAAGATCAGCCATCCTGTCGAACCACGGTCGCGGACTGCGATTTTACCGCCTGTGATGACGAAACAAGCTGACAAGGATCCACTTTGCTGGCTCGAGTTCACTGAAGATGCTATTATGACGAGTTGTAACTCTGGTAAGTAGAAGCCGAAGCCCCTGGTAAAGCTTGTACGAAGTAGCTCGTGAAACGAATATGCTGTGCAACAATCTATCCGTGCTTGATCTACTACTAATCATATGCTGCAGGCCATTTGAGAACGTGGAACAGACCGTCAGACTCCTCGGCTCAGGCCGACCAGAGCTCGGAATCATAGAGGCTGAGAATGCTGTGTACGAAGTGTTAAACAACGGTTTCTGGGGCACGCTCGTGGGTGTCTGATATTTAGCGGACCGCACGGTGCGACATGGTGCTTACGGCATCAGGAAACCTACATTGGCCAATGTCGCTCATTTGGAGAACCAACGTAGGATGAAGCCCCCTAGCAGCATAACTACGGATCCTGACTGGAGTGGCTACTTGTCGCAGATCAGTTCATCCGCTGTATCGCGGCTTCTAGCTAGAGGCTCTAAGCTATATACAGCTGATCTATTAATAGCAACCACAACGACCACTGCGTAGTGGTCAAGGTTTGCGGAAAATCCCGAAGGATGAAAAACGTCGTCCGCGTCCACTCTTTTATCGACCGACAACAGCGAAATCCAGGGGTATACGCTACAAGACAACTCCACAAAATTGCCGAGTGCCAGGCATCTCTCGTCGTAGTCGACTAAATAAAACATCGCTAAAACACAAGGCTTGGCCTCTAACAGCTAGCAGTTTTGAGGCCCCTTACGGGCCGGTGTCATAGATCAGGAAATATATCGCAATTGCTGTAGGGCTGGAATAAGACCCGGAACATGTTCGGCCCTGTTCTATCTCGTAATATGTTGCGTTACGTGTCTTTCGCCTCTATTTAGCTTCTCACCTCGCTCGTGGTAAAGGCACGAAGGTGTGATCCCAAGTGGGCTTGGCACAATGCGTGTCATCGTTCGTTCTACAGGATTACGGCAGTTTGTCAGAGTATGTGGCTATAGCAAGCTGACGAGCACTGCTCACCAAGTTCTAACTTGGTCGAGACACCGTATATACCAACTTTTCATCTCATCAGACTCGAGATCATCCAGCTTGCATACGAATGTTCCACCTATCCATTGCATACTCAAGTAGTATCAGTGATGAGGCACGAACCTATGTAACCAGAGAGATGTTATTCATTGCCTTCAAATATTGTATTTAGAGCTGAAAGTGTCAGGCCCGACCTTGCATTCTTTGCCAACTCGAGCTTCATCTGATTATTTCAACTCTTCGTAGGCCTCCATAGCTCTAGCAAGTCCTAGGATAACTAGCCTTTATATCCTATTACAAGTAGAAGTCTGACACAAAGTCAAGTCATCAGAGGCTCTTGGCTACGACGATGCGTTCAAGTCGGCAAACAATCCTTCGGTTGATCGTGATTGTGCTGTCACTTGTCGTACTTATATATAACCAGACGGAGATGCTGGAGCCTTGTGTATAGAGCTTCCCGCAAGCCTCGGTACTTTGCGCCATCGAGTCATTGTTAACAACGCCGAAGTCACATTGATAGACAACAAGGGACTTGAGATGGAGGTAGCGACTCCAGCAGTATTCTGACTCTTTCCAATCAGCATATTGCGTGCGCACAGAGGAACTCGCGTTTTTAGTCATAGTTGACAAGTCGAATCTGGGAGAAAAGGATACTTCAACGGATGGACCCATCATTGTCAACTCCATTATAAGTCGGTATGACAACAACATATTATATAACTCTTCTCATTATTGACACATACCTGGTTAGTACTAATGTGTTGAGCCACAATAGAGAAACACCCACGACTCCGGAAGAGCCTCATCAGAGTTTTGATTCGGCCCTTTCAGCTCGCTGGACTTCGAGGGCTAGAACGGGCCTTTATATATGATCTGACTACGCGGTATGCGCCCTGCTGGTCGATGCGGGTCTCGAAAATCTGATAGACGTGTCACGGTAGACTAGTCACAACCCTAATGTGAGGAATGATAAGTTCCGAGACGCTATTGCTGCTAACGGCCCGAAGATTGAAACAGTTTTTCCAGATGTACTACCACGGCCGCTCCACGTAGGAGGCTGAGATGGTCCGGGATGGTAGATGAAACTGTCGACGCGGTTCCATCGGCAATCCACAGTATATCCACTCAAATCAGGGTCATTAGCCTTGAGCGGATTCTCTGCGTCCCCTAGTCAGCCAGGGCCGCAGGAATACCCACCGACATTAACTCGGGAAAAACCGTGTCGGCACTTCACCGCTGTGATAGGGCCTTGAACACGTGCAGAGCCTGCATGATCTGGTGAATCATTCTTGACCACGAAGAGGATCGTCATGATGAACAGGTTGGTTGGTTGGAGTGCATTCCGGCGTCCGCCCCGCTATACGGCGGAAGCAGGTACTTTAGCGGAGACCATCCAAGGCTTCCCTCTTGTACGTACATATCAACAGAATGTCAACAATGCGGAAAGCGGTCTTCGAGAACAACTGGACCGGTTCATTTTTGCGAATGGCCTTATCATGGTTGTGATGTCACAGACGAGACATCAAGATTTTCCAGGAGTGGATTCCGACAAGGCCTGTCGCGGAACGATGCAGAGCGAGCGGGCTCCCGGTCCTCGGATCGTGAGCGGGTTGCCCCCCTGTATGGCCTTATCGTCGCGGCGGCTGAATCGCGGCCACTTTTATTGGGCCGGGCTTTAAGCCGGACTTTAAGCCGGGCGTGTAGTGGACTCCAAGGACGCCAACATGAGCGATGGGCGGATCATGAAATCGAGCCTCAGGTTTCAAGCTTCAGTGCACTGGATGAAGGTCAATGTGCCTCGGAGAAACTTGGAAGTTGGAAAATGTTTGTCATGGCGGCGTGTCGTTGACGTCAAGATGCGCTCGAGACTCGAGACACAAGACTCAAGTGAAGTATCGGGGCATGTCAAGCCGAGCCATGGGACGATATTAATATGGCATGGACCGATGTTGAATAAACATGAGATGTTGGAGGCTGTCGAGGTGGGAGCCGGGTGATTGATTGTTCTAGGCGTGGAGATACCCGAGTAGGTCTTGACATTAGTGCGATGCTCACTGCACTGCAACCTGAAGCCAAACCTGTCTGGTAATATAATGGTAGGCATAGAGCACCTGGACCCTAGGCTCCCATGCAGGTTCGTAAGTCATGGCATCGTATGTTAGCCTGTGCGAGTTGCAGCTCGGGACGTTTAGCGGTTGTAAGCAGGGTGTTTTATCTTCCGGAGTGGTTCTCGGTTCTGCTCGGTTGTTGCTATACCGATAGTAGGTGAGTATTGTCGAGCGCATCTGAAAGCTGCAGACAGATGCGGGCAGTACTGGACTGTCGAAGGAGTGTGTTTCTTGGCGGCAGAGACCGTGAAGCGACCCAGCTCTCATCGTCGTCGTCTTCGCCGACTACGGAAGGCAGTCATCAATGTAACGAGACCGAATTGGGGGAAAAAATGACCCAGGTCGAGGCCATTACACCCACTCATCTAATAACCCTGCATGGTTCCCGCTGTCGGAAAACGCAGGGCCCACATGGTTGGGAAGAAGGGTCGATCATTGCATGGACCGTGGGCCTTATGATGCGATGGAGCATAAGAGCAGCTTCACAAGAATTTCGACGATGATCATATTTCTATGCGAATTTGAACGTCGATGATGCGCAGTATCAGCTAGAATCGTACTCGCAGACTGTAGTTTGGGATGCACAAACTTCGAGTTGGGAACAAGTATGTGATCACAAGGTTCTAGCTTGACTCGCTGGTCTGCTTCATCGTCATTCCGAGCACATGTGTGGAGACACACCAGTTCGGTCTCAAGTGTGAATGCGCCTGTGTTGCCTCAGTAAAAACAGGCAAGATCTGGACCTTCATAGGTAGACGGAGTGTGGTTTCTCATGCGCCATCAGTCACATTCCACGCTGTGGCCTTGAGTGTGGGGGTACATTGTGGGAATCATAGCGAGCGAGCTGCACAGGGTACATCAGCAGCACATGAAGATGCAGCTAGACGGTTGAGGCATGACATCCACAATTCTGATGGCATCGCCTACTGAAAATAGAGGGCTGATGTAGGTTTAAGTCGACTGTAAAGAACCAATGTGATCTGATGGCTTCGAAACGTTGGGGTGTCGCCCAGCATTTGGGCGTTGAGCCGTCCGATGAAATCATGTTTATCGTCTCGCTAGGAAATTGAATATTGATAAGCGATCAGAGTTTCGAGCGATGCTTCTCTCAGACTTCTGTCGCTTATTAGTGTAAATTAGCCTGAGCCATGCACGTTGGCGAGTCACGCAATAGCCAATCAAGACCTGTCCCACTCGCATCAATTGTGTTCGCTTTCAGAAGTTCCTGAAGTTCGAACAGATAGCCTGAGAGGCCCACGGTATTTTCCTCTAGCGCCTGACTCCACCTGTGTACAATGCCTGGTCAGGCCTGGTGAGCTCCGTCTCGAGCACAACGCCTTGCACGCACCCTTCCGGGCTGCACCGTCCAGCGTCCGTTAGGAAGCTGCCAGGTTGGGTGGAACAGACCCCATTGCGTGGGTGTTAGACCTTGGTTGTCGCATCCATTCTCAAACATTTACTGCAGAAAGAAGATTGAGAGGGAAAAAGAAAAAGTGGCCCCCAGGCGGCAGCGAAAAATCCATTGCGCGCTGACTTGACCTGGCACCCGTTCGGGTTCATGTGTCGCAATTCCATTCAGGGCCCAGGGGTCGGTCGCGTCTGGTTCTTTTCTCGCCTTCAGCAGTGATAAAAATCATATGGTCCCGCTCGGCTTTTCACACGTTTTTCTCTCTCTCGGCTTAATCATCTCTGCTCTCGTTCCTCCACCCTTCCTGGAAGTACAGTTGTTATCTCGCCTCCAAGCGAGTCAACTTCACGACCATCTCTGAAACCGCATTTGGCTGCAGTTTCTAGGCGGGCTGAACGCGGTAGTCGCTGCGACCTACGGCCATCTGACAGCATCAAACCACTCCTCTCCTCCGCATCACCAGTGCATGTTATTTGCCGGCTTTGCGTGCCAAAACCACCCCACCAATGCCGTCATTCAATCCTTTTGTGGCCGGCCGGAATGCTTGTACCCTCTTTCAGATCCGGTAAGTGAATCTGTTGTTGGATAAGACTGGCGCAAACATGATCGCTATACTAAACCTCGGCGCAGTCTTGAAAACGACTTCATCGTTCTCCGTGGAAATGAGTTCGAGGCGTCCGGACAAATGCTCAAAGGTGTTGTGGTTCTGTGTCTTCGAGAATCTCTCAGAGTCGAGGATGTGCATTTGCGATTAACAGGCAGCTGCCGGCTAGCGTGGGTTGAGGGCAAACAGACACCCACGGGGATCCACAATCAGAAGTTCGACAAGACGACGACTATTTTGAAGCATACTTGGCCTCCCTTCATTGGCGGTCACAGTAATCATGGCCAAACTCTCGCTCCAGGAAACTACGAGTGGCCCTTTGAGCTCTTGCTCCCCGGTGACACAGCGGAGAGCGTTGAGGGTTTGCATCACACAAACATCAGTTACTTTTTGAAAGCAACTATCTCCCGCGGAAAACTCTCCAAAAACCCGCATGCCTGGAAGAGACTGCGCATCATCCGCACCTTGGATCCTGCCGCACTCGAGTTCAACCATGCTATGAGCGTGGAGAACATATGGCCGAATAAGATAGAGTACTCCGTCATTATCCCACAAAAGGCCGTCGTGTTCGGGAGCACGGTTCCCCTGGAGATGCGATTCACGCCTCTGCTGAAGGGGCTGGAAATGGGAGACATCACGGTCAAACTCATCGAGATCCAGGAGTTCACCGTGTCGGGGTATACTGCCAGCGCCAGAAGTCACAAAACCGACCGTGACGTATGTACATGGTCGTTCGAGGTCAAGCGGGATGACCACTGGCACGACAACGTGGAGGAAACTGGCCAGGAGGGCTGGGCTATAAACAAAGATCTGCCGCTGCCAAAGCGGTTGGCCAAGTGCATACAGGACTGTAATGTCCACGGCATCAAAATCAGGCACAAGGTGAAGCTGACAGTGGCCCTCAAGAATCCGGATGGCCACATCTCTGAGGTTAGTTCCACTCTATGGGTCGTAATCGATCGACTGCTAACGTTATCCACTAGCTGAGGGCAACTCTGCCTGTCACCATCTTCATCTCGCCCAATATGCCCTTAGACGAAGAGGGCAACCTGGTCTCTCAGCAAGTGACGGAGGTTACTGAACGGGCCCCTGGGCAGACCGAGTCGAGCAACATGGCTCCTCCAGGTTACGGACAACACGTGTTGGACCAACTTTACGAGGATGAGGATTCCCACAGTCACGGCGCCCAGACCCCGGGCGGATTCTACAGCGGTTTGCAGAGTGGCATGCAGAGCGGTATCAACAGTCCATTCTATGCTCAATCGCGAGCTGGGTCGTCGGAGAATCTGGCAGGTCAGCTGGCAGGCAGTTCTGCTGTACACCCTGCGGCGCTATCCTCAAGGCTCCAGAATGTTTCGCTTGACCCTTCAAGCAGGAACACATCATTCACTTCGGCCGGATCTTACTCCGGGGCGGCCACTCCCCATCATCCAAATGAGGGAGAACATACTGCAGAGTCTTCGCAACCCCACTCGACAGAATTATCCCGGCAAACTAGCGTGGAAGATCATTCAGGGCATACTACACCGGAACATCTCGACTTTCCCGACATGGAGGAGCTAAGCAAAGTGCCGAGCTACACGACGGCTACGAGGATGCCGATATCAAGAGGTGCTAGTTACTCGGAATCAGTAGCTCTCCCCGATTACAACACTGCCATGAGTGCGCCGGGCTCGCCAGCAAGGACTCCCATGTATGAAATACATGATCCCTTGACTACTATAACGGAAGGCTTGCAAATTGGCTCCGCGGAACCTGCTGGGAGTCCATCCAGGAGCAACTCATCATCTAGGACAAGTAGCGCCCTGGGCTTCAGCTTTTTGCATTCGCATTCGCACTCGTATTCTGGAGATCGAGACGTAGAACGGAGGTTGAGGCTCCTGCAGTCGAGGGGTAACTGATTCCGCGGATTGGCAGGCGGCGCCACGGACGTTATTTTTGTAGCAGCGTGGGTTTCTCACGCTGCGTTGGATCGGTGTTGGGGTGTTCTGGATCCAGGGGTTGGGAATATGGTCACCATCGGCCAAGGAAGGACATTTAGATCGATTTGGGAATACAGCCACGGGTAGGCGTTTTTGTTTCTGACATTCATCGAGCATGTTTGACGACTTGATGACTATATCTGTTCTAGCATATACCCTTTGTGTTCGTTACGGACTTATAGACCTATAAACGTAGAGCTGCGAAGCTCAATCTACATATGTTACACACATGACCTGGCGCTTCAATTACCTGTTACTCATGATGTCCACTGAAACTAACTGTCGTCTTCACGATCTGCCCATATCTACCCAAATAAATGGCACAAAAGTAAACTTCGTCACGACCATGCATTCTAACCTATTGCGAGCGGCTACTTTGATTTGTTTGTTGGTATGGAGGTGCTAGGAAGTGAGTAGATATCTCAATACTTTAACAACACAATATCGACTCAATAGTGGGATCACAGCCTCCTTGGCCGTTACATTTACTAGATGAAACACAAACGTGGAATATATTTAAGAAAGTGTACACACATAATTGATCCCGCTCCTATGCTTCCAAAGCCACAACGATGAACTCAAACCATAGCCTTCAGGCTAATAATGATAGTTCCCGCCGGTTTGCACTGCCAAATTGCTTCAACAAAAACGACTCGTCGTGAAACTCAACGTCTCTTCGGTCAGTAAGTCTGCTCAAATGTGAAACGAGCGACGCACACCACGCACATTCATCTGATGAGCACAGTCGCGTTATTCCGATCGAGCTGCCGGGCCCTGTCGGCTAGGCTTTCAAGCTTCCAGGGTTGTGCCACCTCAACAGATGGCGCTAACAGCTTGCAGGGGATGGCAGTTCCAAGCCTTTGGACCGCGACAGTCTAGAATCAAATTTTGGCTTTTGGTAATGCTCCAACTAGCTTTCCAGCGAGTATTGTTTGAAATGGAAAATGGGAAGGAACGGTTGAGCTGGGATGGACGAAGGGCCAGAAGTGACATCATACCTCCCATCAAGACAACTGGAAATGACCACTTATGCAGGCCATTTCTCAGCGTCAATTGCGGCTAGATCAATGCCGAGTAAAACGTCCTCGAGGGCCGGCTGAACAGCCCTCATTATGTCGTCTATGACCTCAGTATTTTTTATCGGCCCCTATCGCTTCCATCCGTAGCCAGTCCCTTTCAAGGCCCTAAACCGGTTCAGGGTAGGCCCCGTTCTTGTTCTGGTCCAGAGCCAGTGATCGGCGCAGGGATCCACTTGGCTGAAATTGTTGTGCTTCTTCCCTCGGAGCTAGTCTCCAATGCTCTCTTGCCATGCCACCAGTCCCTCCAGGACGAGACATTGAAATAGTTGGTCACTGCCACCGCCCTGCCATCGCATCATATATTCGCCCTTGACGAGATTGACGGGGAAAGAGAGGATAGACGAAAATCCCTCTTCTTCGCCTGAGCAGCTCACATCTCGATCGACTTGCAATACAGTAGTTATCAGATACCATGAGCGCGGATACGAACATGCCCTTGCGGCAGGGGATCACCATGAGCAGCACGTTTAGCGATGATGCTGTTCCGGACCTCGACCCCGGTACCGTGAGTGTCATGAGCTAGGCAGTGGGAATCAAGTGGCATGACTGATGTAACTGCATACAGACTGCCGGCCTGCTCGCTGAGCGACTTCAGGCATGGAAGCACGCTGTCGCATATCTTGAGGACTACGTGGGATCCGTGGAAAAGATCCACAAGTCCCATGCCAAAGAGTATGAGAAGGTGCTGAAGACCATTTCTCAGCCTCTTAAGGAGGGCAGGCACTTTGACCAGGACCTTGGCGGAGTCGCGGGCTTCTTCGAAAACATGCGTGTCAACACCCAGGCTATGGTCAACTCCAATGCCGAGACCGAGAAGACTATTAAGGGGACTGTTCTTCCAATTCTCGACAGACTGCACAAGGAGATCAAGACCAAGGCCAAGGAGGTCCTCCACGGGGCTCAGAAGAGCGGCAAGGAGGTCGAAAAGGCCAGAAACACCACCCAGAAGCATATTGAGCTCCTCGGACAGCATACAGCGGCATTCGAGTCAACGGGTGCGCGCATGAACCCAGCTGACGACCCCTACATCGTCCAGCGGGGTGTTCATCACAGGCTGAACAAGCAAGTCATCGAGGAGAACAACCACCGAAACGATTTGATTCATGTGCAGGATAGCTTCCAAGCTTTCGAGGCTCACGTTATACAGGTAGTGCAGCAGGCTATGGAGGCATTCACCGCCGTTGTGGGAGGACAGGCCGAGAAGACGCGCGCGCTCTACTCGGACATGCTCGGCGCCGCTCAGCGCATTCCTCCTGATTTTGAATGGAAAGGCTTCCAGCACCGAGAAGGTGACATGTTGGTCAACCCCAACGACCCTCCTCGTAGTGCCGACTCCATCACGTTTCCTAATCAGGATCACGCCTCCACGAAGCCATTGATTGAAGGCAGCCTAGAAAGGAAGTCGCGCAACAAGTTATCATGGGGCACGCAGACGGGCTATTACGTTGTGACCCCGTCAAAGTTTCTCCACGAATTCAAGGACTCGGACAATATCCGTAACGACCCAAAACCAGAACTCTCTATCTATCTACCTGACGCTGTCATCGGCACTCCTAACGGCGACAAGTTCAACGTCAAGGGCAAAGATAGAAGTAAGAGCATCAGCAGCAAGCTGACTGGTTCATCTGAACTTGCGTTTAAGGCTCACACTGCTGCCGATGCGCAGAAGTGGTTCGAGGCCATCAAGGCTGCGGCCGGCTCGACTGGGCCAACTTTTGAGAGCACACCCAACTCGCCTGTTGTTGGTGGGCCTGCTAGCCCGGCCGTGGAAAAGACGGAGTCGGCAGCTCACAAGGAACAAGAAGCGGGCATCACTGGCGGCGACACCGTCACCAGTCCCGCCAATATGTCCCCCGTCAGCCCCTCGCCCATTTCCCCAGCGGCCGCTCCCACTGATAAGAAGGCTGCCTAGAAAAGCTGGTCTCAAATTTCGCGGGGAGGGAACCGGACCATCCAGGGGTTAGACGAAGGCTTCACTCGACGGCGGACACGGTAAATCTTGGAAGCACACTTTGTGCCTGATGGCGAAACCTCGGGTGTGAATGAAGGGCGGGAACGGGAGACGCACACTAATCAGACGAATTCATGTGTGCCTTGGGCGTAAGCATCTGACGGCTTGTCTGTAGGGCGATTGTGCTAGTGTGGTCCTCACGCAAGACGCGATTGCTGTCGAAGCAACGTTTGACCAAGCAATACGCCAGCCGTTAGATATGGCGAAACTGCATGACAGGGGGGGTTTGAAATTCAGCCTTGACTTTTTTCACTTACCTGCCAATTGGATCGGCCTTCATTTCCTTGTGTTTCCCAGTACTTTTTGACGAAGTTTTTGAGTATTATCAATACGCTGAAGATGATCGTGTTCATGGTAGGCTCATGATACCATTGCCTCCTTCGTCCCATCACCAGCAACGTGGGGGATGACAGGTCAGGTCTAGATTTTAGAGGTGGCTGGGTCGGACAGGACCGTCCAAAAGAAGTACGGGATCTATTCAAATTCTCTTACTAGTTCGCATTACTTGACGGGTTCGTTGACGTTGCTGCTCTTGTTCTTTGATGCTCTAAGCCCGTACTTGGTTGCGTCCACATGAGCTGCATGGGATGTTTGCGTTCGTGCTGACGTATGAACCCAACACATAGGTCATCATTCTGATACTCTGGTAAGTATCGTGCGGGATCGATTACTGTAGTCTTTGTTGCTCAGTTGCTGATGAATCCCAACACGACGTCGCTAACTCTCGGTGCCAAGCGATTCTAGGAACGTTAGTTATTCGCAACCACATAAATTCGAAACACGCAGTGGGACGGTCAATTATAGTACGTGGACGGCCACTGATTCCTTTACGTACGGACTACAGTGTTCCATGCCTCCGTACCCCAATTTTGCAGTACTTAGCAAGGCTGCGGCGGTACCTCAACACGAACATGTGGTAAACTCTTCACTATGGCACTAACGTAAGTGCCGTGCGGAACTGCCGCTGCGTCATCTGATCATGGCCCGGCAAAAGAAGGGGTGCGAAAGGACCATTTCTCATGAGTTGAGTGAGCCACATGATGAACGGAAAGACACCCAATTGGTGATGGTCAAAGACGACTTGTTTAGCGACTGTGCAAATTGTGATTTCTGGAAGCGCCCCAAAGAGGGAAAGACCTAGCACGAATGTGTTCGGCTCGAGGATGAAATTCAGTGTATCCGGCGTGGTCTGACGGCAACAAAGTACTGTGCATCGCACCAGCCCAAACCTCGACCAGTAAGACTCCTTTGCAACTCAGCCTTGCCGATCGGTAAGCTGTAAGGAGCCGCACATCCTGGGGAGGAGGGACGGGGTCGGGAGTGGGGGAAAAGAGAATCTGTCAAGGAGCGTAAAGTCGTGGTTGGTAGATACGAGCTTATCATATATTGGAGCATCGAAAGGACAACAGTCGGGACAACTCGATCGCTATACGTACCAAGGGTAGCATTTTCATTGGTTAGTGGGGTAGGCCGATTTCTCCTGTCCTACTCCCGCACCATCTACATCTCTACGGGCTTTAGAAGCGTAGAGCTAATAAAAATAAAAATAGCACTGGAAATGCCCCAGCTGCAGGTTTTTCCATCCTTCGCGTGGCATTATTCCCGGCGAGGCTCTTGTCGCACAGGGACCGTTCGACAGCAGATGGTTTCCCAGGGCTACTACTCGCCTTTACTCTACTAGAAATCCTTCACCGGAATAGCGATCCCATGTACATGGCCACAGCCTGCCGATAGTGATCCGCGCCATGTGCTCAACCCCTGCCTGCTGATCTACTACAGGCAGGCTTGGCCGCATTCAGAGAAGGGAAACCCCAACGAGGCTCTATTCGCCAGTGAATCCTGTCCAAGAAGGCTGGCAAGCGCGATATGACGGCCATATATTACCTCAACATCGAGCTTTTTCTGCCGTAACCTGCTCCACCTCCTTGGAACGAACAAACGAACAGAGAGGCCAGTAACAAGCAACGAAGCAAGTCAGAACGGAAAGTACCATGACCAAACCTTGGGATACTTACGAAGCCACCATCAAGAGCTTGTATACTAAGCATACACTCTCTACCGTTCGGCAGATCATGCTCCAAGAGTACGGATTCAAGGCATCGTATGTATTTTCTTACTTGCCTCCTTGTTTACTTATTTGCACCCCTTTCTGTACGGCTGAGTGTCTCTTGCTAAGATTCAAAAAGCACTCGCGCATATAGGGGCCGACTTGATCGATGGGGCATCTCGAAGTACAAAAAGAACTGCGACGATTCCATGAGTCCCGTCGCGTCTTTTAACCTGGACCGACGCGATTCGTGGCAGCCGCCTCAAGGGGCCGACACTGGGACGGCGCGACACAGTGATGCGATGCCGTGGCCACACCATGGCCACACCATGGCCACAGTGACGGCAATCACCATCAGCAAGGTCTAGCTCAAAGGTCAGCCTTGTCTCCGCTTACAAAGAGATTACCAGACACTGACACCTCGTACTCGTAGTGATTTCAGGACAACGCTTCCATCTCACCAGCATACCCCCGACTATGACCACAACAGTGTGCCATACCGAGATTCCCAGAACCACCAAGCCAATTCTCAGATCGTGGCTTATCCCAATGACAAAAACAACGATGGAGGCATCGTCCAGGCTGAATCAACAACCAACGAGACCACAGGTCCCTACCTTTCATTTGATGGCTATTATGGAGCCTCAGTCACTACTATGCCGGGCGATACTCCCTCGTATGCTTACCCCTTCCAAACTCCAGTTGAGCTGATCGAAACCGAGGCCCTGAAGACCCAAATGCAGGGCCAAGAATGAACATAGTTGGCTTAGACGCAACGACACCGGGACCTGTGAGCCCGAATCACATCTTTTTTTAATGATAGCGGGCATTGATGGGTGGGGTTTCTTTTGCGGAATAATGAACGACTTGGCATGATTCATAATCTTCACGGCCCATCCTTGTAAACCCGTCACTGGCATTAAAAAGGGATAATCCTTGAACTCCATGTAAAGCGTCTTCGCCAGCTAACTCTCTTTTCGAACGAAGAACCAAGCAACGACTCCTGCGGAGCATGTATCCCTTCGAGAGAGCTCATACAAGGGTACACACCTTAGTGACTAGCCCATCATGACATCCAGCTCTTAATGGCAGCATGATTGTCCCGCAGGCTGTTTCAGCGCGGGGGTTTCTGATGTCCAATCAAAATAAGTCGCCTCCAGTGTCCTCCATGAAACTTATTCCCGGCTAAAATCTATAGGACGACAGCTGCCACATCTTTCTGCTTACATCGATAATTTCCGTATCCAGGACAACGCAAATGGTTTGGATCACAAGGGAGCCTCGTACAGTAAGAAGTCGGCCTCCCAAATGTGCTCTCTGACACAAAATCGCACGTTGAGGTAAGCTGTGGGCACAATTCAGGGGCGAGCTGGCCTAAAGCCATTCCTTGCTCAGCGTCTGATTTTTGCAACGCGGCCCCAGGAAATCATGGAGGTATATAGAGAGAGTATTGTTTAAAAGAAGAGGTTTTCATAAACTGGACAGTAAGTCTGTTCACAGTTTGTTCTATTTTCTTAGCGGAGAAACCCCTCAGTATCAGTCAGGATTTATATTTCCAAAGTTTGATAGTTTAAACAACTCGGTCGAACTGAGCGCCTTGTCCAATGATGTCGTAGTCCTGATACTGGCGCACATAGTAGGCATTGCCACTAGCTGTGGCTGGAAGAGATGACTGGGTGTAAAGCCCGGGACCTTGTGAAGCCAGCATCGAAGTATGTGTGTTTGTGTATGCCGTACCGGGACCTGTCCTCGGGTCAACGATGTGGAAGTACTTTGATGTATGGGCATCACATGTTGTAGTTGTGAAGACGAATCTGACATGAGGGTCTTCATGTTGGTCCAAGAAGTGCTCCATGGGCATCTTGACAGAAATGTCACCTTGAACACCCCCATCCGAGGACGAATTCGAGGGGTCGTGGCCCGATGACATATGAAGGGTAGGCTGTGAAATACCGACGCGAGAACGGCTACGACAAAGCGAAGTTTTGATACGGGGCCGGTGGCCGGTAGACTTCTTGGAGTGTTCTCCCGTGTGTGAGTCCGTGGCCTGAGGAGGGTTCATTGTGATACAATGTCGGCTGGAAGGTATGGTGTCGTGGTGATATGTAGGAGTATTGGAGAGTCTGTCTTGTCACTCTGAAGAAGTAAACGAAGTAAACCGAGAGCTTCAGCCAAGGCTAGAGTAGAGCGGCTGATGCTCCAGGAAGAAATCGAGAAGAGAGGCGGAGTAATATAGAAATGCAGACAAGGTGATAGCTTTCGGTAAGTGTGATGGCCTACGTGATTCAAAGAGAACGGTAAATAGGCTAGCGATAAGATGAGGGCATATGTTGCGTCGACAATCAAAGCTAGCCATAGTGAAGACTTTTGGTGTACGAGGATAGAGCAGAAACGAATAGAGAGAGGGAGGCCAAGAGAAAGAACGGAAGAGAATTGCCTACATTTATACGGCAGGTGGACGACGGTAAGACCCCAGTATCGACCGCAAACCACGAATAAATGATGGACTCCTTACTTTGATGAGTATATATGCTGCTGGTAGGATCTTGCTCAAGCTGGATAGTACATGGGCTTTAACTTGGGATGTGCATGTGTGGGATGTGTATGTATGAGGCTTACAGAGGGGTAGATGTAGTGAGTCGTATTGAGGAAAGCTAGTGAAACATGATGTTCGTGTCAACTACCTCTGATAGTATGACGGGCGAATGTAATGATTTGGCAATGATCCTGATGCGTTGATTTGCTAGTTACAGACACCCCTGCCAATCAAGCGCATTAGTTAGTCAGCTCCTAATTCCCCTGATCGCTGCTCATATTGGACGATAACACTGCAAGTGCTTTGCCGAACCGCATTTTTGGCAACACCGTGGGCGTGTATCCAGAGAGGCTCCTAAGCCAAGTAGGTAGCTGTATATGCCCCGCTCTAAGCTGCTAGACATTCGAACTGACCCGCGGTAGTGAAAGTAAAGTCGGTCTTTCAAGGAATACCTGGAAATGGTCGTCCAAGGTGTGGGTGCGATGACGCACTGAAGTTTTGATGCTTCATGATTTCTATAATCATTTCCCCTGAACTCCCATGTCCTCATGAATTCCAGGTAGCCCTTCATTAATCAGTCGTCTTTCATTGCAACCAAGCAATATTGATATGAGATATGGCCGCCACGCCCAATCTGCATTACTACCACTTCATTCTCGGCTTGTGTCTTCACGTTCAACTTGTCAGCATTTTCTTTCAGTGGTGGGCTACTTTTATAACGATAAAATCATAAATAAGGACACAGAAGCTCTACCAAGAAGGCATTTCAGCAAGATGTGGTCTCTTATATGAAATCTGCAATCCGCCAAGGCGGCCATAATTTCAGGCGTGTCGGGCTAGGCCTTGAGGATTTTGCTGTCATCTTCGATTGTAGTTGATATAGTTGGGGGGCGATCTCTTTGCGGCGGTCGCATCTTCGTTTGATTTGGCCGCTTTCGTCGTCTGTAATGTCTTCGTCTACGACGTTATAGTCTTTCGCTTTAATGTTCGTCCGAGCTTGGGGCGATGACGTAGTCGCTTCTGGACTTGCTAAGGACGAGATCTCACGATGTCGCGCTCTGGCGCATTATCAGTGCCCACCAGGACCTTGTACATGGTCTCGTGAAGCGTGGCGTGCGGAGTCTTTGGGAATCTGCCGCCGCCAATCAGTCAGTCTTCGTAAATGTGTTCTCCTTCGTAGTTTAGAAATATGGCCTTAGCTCCCTGCGGAGTGAGCTTCTCGGGCGTGGTACGCAGCTTTCATTAATGGGGACAATAGCCCGTGAGCCGTGGGTTCGGAGGTGTGCGTCATCAGGTTTCCTGCTGCTCCCAGGCTCCAACCCTTCATAGAATGCTTTGTGCGGTGTCATGCTGGCTACCGTGGGCTGGCCGGTCCTGCTGTCCTGCTTATCGTTTCGTAGGTGAAGGACAGGGTGCAGTCCCAGAAGCACATTGGTGTTTTGGTGTGAATACCAGTAGCACGGGCTGCCGTTTGAACGAAGCCAATGCCACACTCTGCCACGCTCTTTTCGTAGCGGTTGTGTGACGTAGAGATGACGGTCTGAATCTTCTCTTTGTTGCAGTAGTCGGTGAGAGCGATCAACTGCCTCAGGAAGTCCTTGGCACCGGTGACTTGTACGGTCTGCAGACGTTTCGGGGGAGTGTGACCATTGATGCCTTCCTGGATAATGCAGACATACGACAACAGGCTTTCGGTAACCAGATCCTTGCTTTTGTAAGTATTAAAGGCGCAGTGCCTCGACGGGTCGTCGGGCTTTAAGTCATAATACTTATTGTTTTCTACCGAAGTGGGATTAATCTCGCCCAGATCGCAGTGAATAACTTCGCCCACATATGTGGCGCGAGGCTGGGGGTCAACAGAGGGGACCTTGGTGCCTTTGTCCTGGTAGCAGGCCAGGCACAGTAGTGTCTTGATTGATCCGTCTGAAGTCCAGATTAATGCCTCTTGAATATCTGATTGTTCAAGCCAGTTGTTCTGCGCTCGGGTAGCAGAGATGACGACGCCAGAGGAGCATCTGCCTCATCACATCGTCCATCTTCAAGGATGGTGCCGTCAGATTAAGTGCTGTCATTCACCGGCATCTTGCAAAAATGCAGTACGTTGACGTGTAAAGGTGTGATGGGGGCCCGCAGATCCGAGAATCAATCCACTGTATATATGCAGGAGTCATCATGCCTGTGAATTGGAATGCACACGAGGATCCTGCGTTCACTGATTGCCTATAGTCGAACCAAATCTTGCCGAGCAAACACAATTTCGAGGTTGCACCAGACTCAATCCTTCGAGTGGATCACATTTGCTGTGGTTTGTTATGTGGGCATTAAACCCCTGAGGACGGCTGAATGTCTAAAAACATACAGCTTTACTTGCTTGATTACATGGCCACTCGCAGTTCTTGTTCTACAGAAAGACAACTTGATGGTGATTGAATCTCTGGCTATTTGAGGAAGCCATGAAGTTTTCTATTTTGTGCAAATGACAACTGATATCGATAATGTCAGAACTCGAAACGCAATGAGGCAGATGCCTCTGCAACTCCAGCTCAAGAAGCCACGGGGCACAGGCCCGCTCAGAACTCTCTATTTCCGCATTTGGTCGAATTATCGTTAAATCCCAGACCCTGCAGGCTGTGATCCATCATTCCCGGTCAGATTACAGTGCTGCGGTTGGCTTTCCCAATCCGCACCTCTCTGCTCACAACTTTTCCTGCGGACTCGATACCCGTGCACTTTGTACATCGAAACCTACTGTGCTACAACCTTTCCTGTGAGTAACAAGGATCAAGTACAACAAGGGGTCGGCTTATATGGAAGCAAAACACGACTTGTAGAAGAGAAGAGGTTGCAGACATCAGATCGGACAGTTCAGTGGGAGAGTGTGTATATATTGGTAAAGAGTAATGTCAAGACGAATAAAACCTCGAAAAAATACTCTCATCCATGTCGTACGAAACATATCCTCTGTTTGCTAGCCCAACCTCAACTAACACAGCCCAAACTATCAAGTCATGAGCTCAAGGCTCCAGGCGAAAAGAAATGAAATGAACCCACAAACCTGCGCAACATCCACATACCCATGGTACTGCTTTGTCCATCTCTGTACCGGACAAGTCAGATCCTCCATACAAGGATCTAGCAAAGACCATCGTTGGGGTCGGAGCTATCGTCTCAGGTTAGCAACTTTTACTTTATTTATTGAGCATCCAAGCTCACATATATCTCCAGTTAGTGTAGCTGCTGTCACCACCCTGTCCGCACCCATTGATCTCCTTCTGGAGCCCATCGTAACAATCAGCAAAGCTGAGGAATTTGTCCCCGCTGCTGATCTTGGAAACCTGGAAGTTGACCTTCTTGTTGGTGTCGATGTTGTAGCAGGCCGCTATGACGGGCGAGGCGGACACATAGGTGCGCTGTCCCAGGGCTGAATTGCAGGCCGACCCCGCCATCTGGAGGGCGAAATCCTTGCTGGAGCCCCAGGACGCGCCGCTGGTGTAGCAGCCGCGCTTCTCGATGTTGCGAGCCACCTCCGATGGGGCGGAGGGAACAGAAGGGAGCGCCATGGCGGTGGTGGCGGCAAGAGCCAGGTTGACGAGGGTAGTGAATTGCATAGTGGCTGCGGAAATGAGAGTCTGAGAACGAAGATGAGTGATGATGGATAGAGGTTTGGACGGGTTGATGATTGGTACTGCTGATGATGCTAACTGGGAGATATATTTCCTTCTGTTTGACCGGCGGGACTGCTCCCTTTAATACTTAATCGTGGAATGTTCGTCGTATAACCGTTTCGCCGCTCGCCTTGCGGTTTTCGTATTTCTTCACGGTATTCCTGGACGAAGAATTTCGCAATTACCGCATACTACCGATATATCCATGATCTAACTGCGTGAGGAATCAGGAATAGCTTTTTGCAAAGGCAGGCTCTATATTTACTTCTTGGCACTTCCTGACTGGTCTCAAATACAGGAGTTAGTGTTGGCCTTCATGAGTATGTAAAAGAACCCTGTCAGGTACGCGCAGGGGATTCCCACTGTACTCGGTTTGTGTGGTAGCTTGACAGGAAACCTTTTAGTCCAGCACTGAGGGATTCCATCCCCTATTGATAACTCTGCGTAGATCCTGTCTTGATTGGTGTATCGCTCTACTGTTCTGTTGGCTGTATGCGTTCCTATTGCCGCTACACCACCTTCGGCCTAGGGCATAACCGTAGCGCTCAATCCCACAAACACTAAGTAAGAGCCCGCATGAATACTCTGGCAGATGTGGAATCGCACTGGTACTGGCATTCGGGCTACATACGAAGGTGAAGAAGGGAAGTATAGGTGGGGGGTCCAAGCCGCACAAGGGCACTAAAGTATCTCGCGTGCATCTCACGTGACTTCGGCCACCAACTCAACAGCAGAAAGTTAATTAATTACCAGGGCCCCTTGTCACATTGTGTATTGGTCTCCTTGTGAGGTTGTAAAAGCATGACATTCTATCTAGTCCTATGGAGCACGAAGGTTGGACCTAGTCCCAAAGGGCTAAGTCACGTGGTAACCTTGGTGGTCTTAGCAAAGCCCACCAAGGTTGCCTAACAGGTTGGATTGTGATATGTGGCCAGGATTGTGGGTGGCCGGAAATGTGGGGTTGTACGTTAGTACACGGGTGTAAGTGAGAAGATGTCGATCGGAGCTAAGATTAGCTTAGCCTCGATAAGCTCGAAAGCTAAGTCAAGAAATAATGGAGCTGTGTGTTAAAGCGCAGCCGAGTTATCGGATGATCATAGGAAATTCAACTCCTTAAAAGGAGTCAGACGCTCAGAACTTAGCGCGCGGCAGTCAGAAGTCTCCTGAACACACCACTTCTTGGAATCGATTTCCGTGACAGCTAAATCGTAATTACCCTGTCAAGTACCGCCAGGCTGCCCGCTGCTTTCACTATAGCCGTAACCACAACAATAACAACGGTGAGTACAAAAATAGACAGTTAAAAAGCAGCAATATATCGTAGCCCTTTTCAGACTTAGTGGCTTGGCGGCACCTACAGGGTAGCGAATTTATTGCCACTTACTGTATTAGGCGACAAAAAGCTTGGCACGGTTCCATCCGTGCCATTGCGGGGCTGACAGGGTTGTCAGCCATTGCTAGCTGGCACCCTTATACTAGTCTATATCTCACGATTCCTTAAGGATTAGCCTTGAACCTCGGTGCAACAACAATCAAGCTACCTGATGCCATACTGCGACCTTGAAAAAGCTCTAGGAATACCTTAGCTACGTACCCGCGGAGGTCTTAACCCTAGCCTCGGGTTTGTTTGGTACATTTCTGGGTAGCCCTCCCACTGAGACCCTATTGTGAGGCTGATGCGAGTGCATATGGGGTGTGAATTGTTGTATTGGGAAAGGATGGCCAGGTCAGCTATTCTGGCCTGGCAAAGCTCTTTTATAGTTCTTATCTTATCTATCTTATCTATCGCGATAGGGTAACCTCCATGGGGTCACGTATCAGGGGGCTATCGTCGGCTGAGGTCGCGATGGATCCAGTGGGTATATTCCAGTTGCAGCGAAGCCTGATTGTATATTGCTAATCGTGAATGACTTCGTATATGCCTTGATATATAGCGAGAGGAAAGTTGACTTTTTAAGTGGAAGAGAACAGTACTCGATCGAGAGAGAGGTCGCTAGCGTACGATAGTACCGCTTTAATAGAGCAAATACGGCGACGTCGAGAGGTTGGAGCCCGTGAGAACACTGTGCTGGCAAAAATAGTAACGATATCTTGTTACAATAGGCTAACCACATGAACTCGACGTTATCGTGAGCGATATGACCATCTAATATCAAGAGCCGCTGCTCGTCGGGATCAACTGGTTGTGTACGAGGTATAAAGATATCACAAAGCCATCGAACGGCGATATCGGTACTGATCCAACCGTTAGACGAATAAGTATATTGCCAATTAGGTATATCGTCGCAATCGTTAAACCATTGGGCTTGGAGGCTCTTGCCAGTATATATTACTGCTGGGGTCAACGAGTTGCCCATCGCCGATATAGCATGTAATATAGTGACCCATTCGCGGTTTTCGTCCCTCCGAACGAATGTTTTACGTTTCTCTGACGATCCGTACACTGTACCCTCGATCCCTTCGCCAATCGCGATGCCTGTTTCGTCCATGTTCCAGACGTTATGTGGAAAGTAGTCGTGAGCTACCATCAAGGCTTCGTACGTCTCGAAGAAATCGTCGATATTCTGCGTCGATAAGCCATCAAATCGCTGACGGTCGAGGCGTCGAGATTGGATACTTCCGACCTCTGGATGGCGTTGAATAAAGCGATGAACCCAATGGCGACCGAGGCCCTCTGATCGACGATCCTGAGGCATCAGAATCAACGCCATCTTAGCGATGAATAGCGCCGACGGGCTACGACCCTCGCGATTTATCTCGAGGATCCATCCAATCAGCGCGTCTTCCTGATCCCTAGATAGCTTCATCGACGCGATTGACGCGTCAGAATGGCTCAGGCCATCGGCGAGTCGTAATTGGAGGGTAGAGCGCGGAACGCCCCATCGGAGGGAAGCCTGGCGCTGGGATATCCCTTGATTGATATCGTTGAGTGCGCCTTGAATTGAATTTTCTGAATATCGAGGCATTGTATAATAATAGCCAATACTGATGATGATCTGTTGTACCGAAGGTTGTTGTAGTTGGCAGAATGGATGGCCAGAATTGTGGGTGGCCGGAAATGTGGGGTTGTACGTTATGTATCATGGATAAGTTTTCAATTGTGTGTTTGTACCGTGCCCCACCTAGGCACGCGCCAACTCTTCGCTACTTGACTTGAAGGGACCTTAATAGCTGTCTTAATATGATTAAGACAAAACGTTGTAGTAGTGTGAATTTCCCTTTCGATATACCACCGCCGAAGTAGAGGGTTCGAATTCGTTAGCGATCCGCTTCTGTAAGGTGTTTAGTCCCAATTGTAGTTGCTAAATACGCGATAATTAGGACGCGTTAACAGCAAGTTGGAATCAGAGGTGGAAGTACCTTTTCGTTAGCATGAGTCCACTGGTACTTGTCAAGGGGGTGAAAACTTTGGCTTGATACCGTAGTACGAATGTCCTTAAGCCTCTTAGCTCTTATCGCTAGTGAATCTAAGGATAACACTACTTGAAGGAAGTGTTTAAGAAAGTAACTCGATATCCTACGAAAGTGCGCCGACACTTGTAAGCGATTTATAGGTGTTAGGCTTAGCGGTAAGTTCTATTACCCCGATTGAATTCACTCTTAGTATATTTTCTAATGCCTGGGATGGACGCGATTTACTCGCCCACTGGACTGGATCGGAGTGTCTAGTATTGGATTGTGGGCAAATGGTCTTGTATTGAAAGTGTCATGATCTCTGGAGAGTCCAGAGAGAAGCAAAGGGCGGCCATAAGGGCCTTATATAGTCAGAAATGACTGATGCCTGCCCCACAGCCAGGACTTGTGTGGTTCAATGGGTAGAGGTCATATTGACCCATACTTCGTACGGTTTGCGGCTTTACTTTTCTCCCTTTGACTTGGCAGTCTTGACGGAGTAGCCTTGAAGGTCCAACATCTAGGTCACGGTGGATAATCTTAACGACGCAGATGACCGTAATCGTCACTCAAAGAGAAGCCAGGACTCACTGGAAATTTGGACAAACCAAGTTCTATCACCCCATAAGCAGTCGAGAATCGTGACGTCGTATAGGAGGAAGCGTTTCAAGAATCAGCTGCCTCTTGGCCTCAGGAACCCGTGCCTCACGAAGCTAAGGTGGACGATAGTTGGTTGGGTTGTATTTTCTACATCCAAGGAAACGAAGGACAAAAAGAAGAAGTAGGTGTGGCCCCTGGTTGAAGCAGACCCAGGAAATGAATTTTAGCCATCGTGTGGGAAGATGAAAGCTGGAGGTGTCAGATACAATGGGCCACGTGTTTTACTAGTAGTATGGTGCTAAGTTTACCAGCCACTTGGACTTAGCCTAGGACCCTTCTGGAGAGAGCACACAACAACAACAATCAATGGGTCCGATCATCTCAAGGTCACAAAGCAAGATACGTGAATATCTGACAAAGTGGGATAGGATTCGTAGACCTGTCGGCAAATGGTTGGCCTTACTTGGACGACTGGATTCGTCGCGTAAGAATAGATCTGCAGAAAGAAGTTTATTCACTACCCGACTTCTTGGAATACAGCGGCGGTCATCCGTTAGTTGTAGTCACCTCCCTTGGCACCCAGCCTTGCATAATCTTAGAAAGTCAATCCGTATTGTGAAATTTACAGAGCGACATATTCGGCTAACATAAGTCATCATTGCGTGGTATCTCAACCAGGTTCGTTTCCATCTCAGCCTGCCCATAACGTTCTAACCCTTTCATTCCCATAATGACATGAGGCATCCCCACACACTCGGTGGCTACCTGACCTGTCCTTCACAAATACTCATAGCACAAGAAATCGCCCTTGATATCCATCACGTCACGGATTGTCCGATTTGGCAGCATCTCGATCATATCCATGTTGTGATTTAGCGTGGTCTCGGTGCCGTTGTCGCCGAAGTAGAGAGACTGGGACTCGGAGACTTCCAACAAGCCCCGGCTCGAGATGTAGTCGGCGGTGGGGACATTGCGGCCGGCAATGTCGTAGAGGCGGCTGGCGGGGTCGACTTGTTGCCACTTTCGCCAGATGCGATCGAGGTTTGCGTGATGTAAAAAGAATATGGGGTCTGGAGCGGGTTAAGTTAGTTTCGTCTCTTCTTTCATTTTTTCTTTCTCTCGCCTGGAACAAATCAAGCGGGGTTGGGTAAGTAATTACCTCCAGGGCTGTTGATGAGATCCGTCATGGTGCCACCAGTACCACCAATGGACGAGTGGCCACCAGTGTGAATAGTGTTACCGAAAAGATCGTACACATCACTGAATTTGCTGTAAGTGAAGAGCGTATCAATGTTGCTCTGACTGCAATTCTGCTGCGCAACCAGCTCATTCACATTCCGTTTTAGGCAGTGGTCGGTATTGGTGTACTTGGGCCCCATGTGAAGCGTAATATTAGCGAGTGGACCGTCGGAGACGCACAAGTCGGCACCGGTCCCGTTGCCGCCGAAGCCGGTAACGGGATCCAGGACGGAGGATCCAAGGATGTTGCCGACGTCGAGCACCGTTTCCCAGTAGGGCTGAGCGCCCTTGTAACCGCACTCCGTCTTGAGCATTTGCTCGTGCAGGTAGACATAGTACCGATGCCACGGGAGCAGACCGCCGACGTTGTGCACGATGTTGGTGTTCACCTTGTGGACGTACGTCAGCTCGTCCCAACGGGTCGTGGCACCTTCCCAGCCCATAGTAGCGGGCTTCGACATGAGGCAGAGCGTGGCGTCGACATAGTCCTTCTTCTCGACATTGGTGAGTTTGTGCCTATGTGAGGTTTAGCAATGCATTGGATGTGAATTGGCAGGAAGGAATGTATGTCTCACCAGGCTTTACGTTGAGTGGGATTGGTACAGGCAGTGGCTTGTTGCCCTTGCTGCTGCTGCTGCCGCAATTGTTGGGGGTTTAAGCCTGGTGCGGCACTGACGAAAGAACTGATACAAAGGACCGAGAGTAGCTGGAAATGAATGGACACCATTTTAGCGGTATTAGGTATTAGCGAGTGACTGGCAAAGAACTTGTTGATCACGATTGGAGATCATCTCTACTCCACGAGAGACGTCCTCCCTTATATATAACTATTCCAGAGCATATTGGTGGCGGTCGAGACCAGGGAGAATCTTTAGGATACGCATTGAGATTGACCCTGGGAAGCTCATACCAGCCGTATAGTAGTAGTAGTAGTAGTAGTAGTATGCGGGTGAGCCACGTCTGCATCTCCACTAACTGCCATTTTATTGCATAGCTTGGCGGCTTGAATTAGACTTAGACCGAGTGCTTGAAAACTTCATGATCCACAAAGCCGGCGCACTGCCCAGTTCCAATACTGGCAGCCGACCCACCCAAGCCGTCCTCAACATGTTGAACATTCAAGTCGCGGGAGGGAGAAGTGGGGTCTTGCAAGTTCTGTACACAATAGACGATCTCCCCGAGTCTCCATGGAACGATATGAGCAAACCCTTCGGTAGATAAGAGACTTACCAGTACTACTGTTGAATGAGGAATGACGCCCGTAAGTTGTGATGTGTGGCCGAGGCAAAGTCCCGTCGGCAAATCACGTGGTCTAAAGCTTGACGGCTTGTCAGACACAGGTCGAATAGCATGCAAAAGCTTAGCACAGGGATTCTACGCGCCGGTAACTCCGTGTGCTAGCACCGAATGGGTCACTCAATATTATTGGACAGCAAATTTAGAGATGGAGACCCGGGCCAGGGGAAGCTATGCGGCTTCATAGACTGCGTATTGCGTACACGTACATCTTCTGATGAAGGGTTTGTTACTAAAATTCATTATTTATTGCATAGAGGATATAACCACCTACCTTTACGTATTTGAAATCTGCTATATCCGATATCAGACATTGACAATACAAGAAAGGCCCAGACAGCAATTTCTCACAAGAAGGCATCACTAAAACAGAGAAAGAAAAAGAGAAAAACGGATGAATAGTGTATGAGTCGCAGGGTGTCTTTCGTTGAGGAGTTCAATGCGGCTTGGTTGCTTGGCTGCCATCGACTAGTGGCTGTGTCTTATCCTATCCTATCTTGGGAAATTGGACCCTTGGCTAATGTGAAGTATCGCATGATGGAAGAGGAAACCACTAACAGAAAGAAGACATCTTCCGGCAGGGGTTGTGTGCATACATTGCCTAACTACATAGAAACTTGGTCTTATCTGATCTCTAGGCGCTCGTAACGTATGTAATTGTAGTATTGCGGCTGGTTGTGCACAACTTAGTGGACGCAGCCAAACTTTTCTGGCACTGGGCAGTGGTACGTAAGCCACTATGTGTATTACAGCTGCGTGGCCGACGACAAGTCGGGAAGCTCCGTAAAAGTTTGACCGAAAAGGAAATACGCAATATCGAGTAGAGCTGTTGCACAATTTGTGAGACACAGGGCTGTGATGCAACATGCAATGGCATAAATTGTTCGCAGATGCCCCAGGCCCAGCAACCAGATTGAAGTCGGCGCGTACCTAGACCTTGTAGAAACAGAAAGCAACGTAGAAATTGGCAACCTCCATTTCTTCGGGAGAGACCAGCAGCGGCCCTCCGCCTCTCTCACGCACGCCCATGCGCTCACTAAGAGGGCCCAGAATGCGATCGTTTTTCTCCGTCTCCCAAACTTCCTTGAAGGTCTGGTGGTACTGTAACTCGAGATTATAGTCTTCGGCCAAAGCTCGGAACGCATGCCAGGGCACCACATATTCCGGCACTTCCTCAACTGCCTCGTCGAGGAAGAAATTGTATTTCCAGCCGAAAGGCGGCCGGAAGATACCGTCCACTGGGGTCTTGCCAGGAAATCTCACTCGGTAGAGATCATTGCCCCACTCTGCTGTCTCCTCGGCTTCTCCTTCTTCGCGATCCTCGTTCGCTGGGGCCTCCTTGCCTTCGATAATACCTTCCTTCTTTGCTGCCATGCGCTCGTTGAATTTGGTGACCTGCTCGCCAATAATATCAGAATTGGGAATACAGCCCAAGAATCTACCACCCTTTTTCAATGCTGATGACACGTTTTGTAGCATCATTCGGGCTTTCTGCTCGGTCTCAAAGGCGTAGTGCATGCAAAACATCATACTGACGATGTCAAACCCGCTCCTTCCCATAGGTGAAGGATCGAAGCCGACTTGCCGTACGATATCAATGTCTCCAAGTGATTCGCCATAGCAGTCCTTGACAAAGAATCGTGAGTCGAAGAGCCGCTGCTGACGTCCTCCTCTGAAGCCGCCTCTACCTCCTCTTCCGCCACCACCGCGACTGCCCATGCTGCGATAGCGCTCTCTAGCCTGCTCAATTGAAATTTCAGCAGGGTCCATACCAACGTACAGTTGAACCGTTTGCGGTGCCTGCTGCCATTTGCCCAAGTCGCCCCCTTTGCCACATCCAATGTCAAGCACCAAGAGCTCATGACTGCCCACTCCAACCATGTCTCGCCCACGCTCATGAGCACCTGGAGTATGATCTTCGTCCGGTGAGAACTTCTGGATGATCGTGCTCTTCACCCAGTTGTTGAACGATCGCAAGCCCTTGATGCGACTTCCAGTCTTTCTCCATTCCCGTCCCCGCTCTGGCACAGAGTTGTAGTGCTGTCTGACCACATCATTGATAGCAGCTCTGGATGGGTCTGCCGCAATGGTGGCACTAGCTTCGGCAGCGGCTCTGTCGCGTTCTTCCTGTCGCCGCCTGATTTGAGCCGCCTCATCATTTGTTATACGAGCGCGTCGGCCGGGCTTCTTCTGTTTCCGTGGTGCATCTCCCGGCGAAGTAGAGCGTTGGTGCTTTTTGGCCGGTTCGAGTTTCTTCGCGTCGAAAGGCTGGGGCAGCTCGTCATTGTCATCTGAGTTGGAGCTGATTTTCTGGCGGCGAGCACTGTAGCTACCACTGCGCTCAGGTGATGCTGAGTGTTTGCGTTTCTTTGCTGATTGGAGGCGGTTTGCGTTGAAGGGTTGAAGCTCCCCTTCCGACTCGTCGCTTGCCATTGCGGGCTGAGGGTAATGAATTGATGGAGGTTTGGATTCTATGCAATGGAGAAAGCAGACTAGAGATGGGTTCTAGAGTTGATGCCAGTAATAAGCCGAGGCAGATGGTTGAAAGAGTAGATTTGTTCTGAAGTTAAGAGGAGTTAGAGGTCGAGATGCAAGTGCTTGCTTGGACATGTGGATCAATATCTGACCGTTGCATGCAACAATGAAGGTACGAAGTACTCCATCCTTTAGTACAAATTCAGGCTCAATGACATCCACCCCCATCATATGATTGGCTGCGCTTATTTGGAGTACGTGAGCGCCTGCCGCCTTGTAGCCCGATTCAGCGCTAGGCCGCGCCTAGACATCGCCTGGCCTTGCTTCACAAACAGCAGCTGTTCTGCTGCACTGGAGCTTCAGATCGACATCTCACTTCATTTGATACACCCACGACGCGAATCGCACGGCCGTACTTTTCTCCCGCCACAATCTTTCCCATTCCGTATTACCATCGATTGCCAGCCCGTCAAACAAACCTATCAAAACATACCACCAACATGGGGTCCGATCCACAATACGCCAAGTGGCCCATGTTGCCTCTGGGCCAACACGTCTTCAACCTCACAAACCCCTATGCCGCTCGTCCTGCTCAACAAGCAGCTGCCAAGAGCCTCCAAGATGCCATCAACGAACACAAGATGGCGCCGCTGTACAAGTACCTGGCACACCCCGTCGAGGGAATCTTGAACACAATCGGTGAAGGGACATCATCAGCACCAGGGAAGTCGGTAAGCCGGAAGCCGAGTACCGTCGGCATGCTGGCAAGCAAGAGCTCGACATCTAGCGCGAACCTGCCCTGGGACGAGGACCTCTACAACAAGCTACAGGCGGAGAACGTTCAGGAGCTTGAGGCCTTCCAGAAGGAGGAAGACGAGGCTGTTGAGAATGCCGGCGACACCGAGGTCATTGCTGCGAGGGGCAAGAGAGCCGAATTATTCGCCAGAATTGGTGACAAGGTCCGTCATATTACAGCCTTGAGCCAGATTTGCCTCCTTCGTGACAATGTTAACACCCGCAACAGGACAAGGCGATAGCAGCATACGAAGACGTCTTCGAGAAGACGGGTATCCTCGGGACCAAGATCGACTTGGTTCTGGCCATAATCCGCATGGGACTCTTCTATGGCGACAAGGCCCTGGTGAAGAAGCACGTCACGCGAGCAAAGGCACTTGTGGAGAGCGGAGGTGATTGGGATCGTCGCAACCGCCTCAAGGCCTACGAGGGCCTGCACCTGCTGACGGTGCGCTCCTATAACCTCGCCGCACCCCTGCTACTCGACTCTCTGTCCACCTTTACTAGCTACGAATTGTGCACATACTCCAACCTGGTCGTCTACTCGGTGCTGGCCGGCTCTGTCTCTCTGAAAAGAGTCGACTTCAAGAGCAAGGTTGTCGACGCCCCCGAGATCAAGGCCATCCTCGGCGCAGACGGCGACGACAAGCTTCTGGCTCTGACTGGTGCCATTTCAGCGGGCCCTGGAGCTGAGGACGCCGAGATGGCTGATGTCAAGGACACCAGCACGCCGAGCGCGCCAACCAAAGGCACCACGGTGGTCAACCTGACCACTCTCGGCACCGGCACTGACCAGCCTGAGTCGGAGATGGCCGTTGACTTTTCGTCACTGGCCCAGCTCGTTAACAGTCTGTACAACGGCAACTACAAGTCGTTCTTCCAGGCTCTTGCATTGGTCGAGGAGCAGTTCCTGACGCAGGACCGCTACCTGCATGAGCACAGGGGCTGGTTCATCCGCGAGATGCGGCTCCGAGCATACCAGCAGTTGCTGCAGAGCTACCGTGTGGTAGGACTTGAGAGCATGGCAAATGACTTTGGCGTCACGGTCGACTTTTTGGATCAGTATGCCATCCTCACTGAACTTGTTCTACCCCGTTTCTTTTTGGTCTATACTAACAAACCCCCAGTGACCTCGCAAAGTTCATTGCCGGTGGTCGCATCCCGTGCACCATCGACCGCGTGACAGGCAAGGGCGTGATCGAGACCAACCGACCAGACGACAAGAACAAGCAATACCAAGATGTCGTCAAGCAGGGTGATCAGCTCATTACTAAGTTGCAGAAGTATGGTCAGGCTGTGCGGTTGCGTGGCAGTGAGAGAGCGTAGTGGCTTTTTTGCTATTGAGTCTAGCTTGCAGATAATAGGTGGATACCCTCTCCAAAGTGGCTACAGCACATCAGTCCTCTATTCGCAGACACTTTGATTCAGGGGAGATCTGGGACAGGAGACGCGGTGGGCCCGATGGGTCTGTGCAGTAGACATATGTACCATAATCAAGATAGACGGCCCGAAGACGCAGGCTTTCAATGCTTATGCGGGGAATGATGCGTTTGGGTCTATCATTTCTTCTGTTGTTCATGATGTCATTTGAATTGATAGGCTCATCCTGGTCTATCTCATCTGATGAAACCCAAGCCAACTGTTTTTCGCCATCCTATGCCCAAACCGGTCGCCGCATCTCAAAGCGACAATCTTATCAGACGAAAACGACGAGGTCTATCTGAACTCGTCCATGAACTCCTTATGGAACTTCTTGATAGAACCAACCCATTCCGTACCAGGCGCCAAGAATGTCGTCCGGAAATGCAGAGTACCCTCCTTCTGCCCAAACCCGCTGCCAGCCACGAGGCACACGCCCGTCGCATCAAGCAGGCGCAGGCAGTAGAATTCATCCGGTGACCTGCCCTCCTTCTTGGCAGCCTCGATAGCCTTAGCCGGTAGGGTGATGGTAGGGAACAGGTACATGCTGCCCTGGGGCTCGCCGCACTTGACTCCCTCCATATCCTTGAATGCATTGTAGAGCGCAAAAGCACGCTCCTTCAGACTATTGAAGATGCCGTTGTACTCCTTGTCGTAGAGCTCGAACGACGGGTCGCCTTCCCGAGGCGGGTTGACCATCAGCTCGACTAGGCACTGGCCGATAACGGGCGCGCAGAGCATGACGGAAACGAACTTGTAGACCTGCTCCTCGACTTCGGGGTCGAATCCGATCAACTCGAAGTAACCGCCGCGGTGGCCACATTCGCCAACCATACCCTTCGAGATAGAGTGCAGCGAGGCGAGCTCCAGTGAATCGTACTTGCCGGGAGCATCCTTCTGCTTCTTGAGGAGCACCTCCCGGAAGGAGTGGAAGGTGCCAAGAAAGACGTTGGTTTGGTACACTTCATCGGCTATGACAACCAACTTTTCTTGCGTGGCAAAGTCGATAATGGAGCCGATGTCGGCCTCAGAGAGCGAGGCACCAGTAGGGTTTCCTGGGTTGATGACCACGATTGCACGCACATCAGTGCCCTCGCTCTTGGCCTTTTCGTAGGACTCCTTGATGGTAGCCAGGGAGGTACCCCAATTCTGTGACTCGTCCAGATAGTAGGGTACACATTTCGCTTGAAGGACGGCGAGTGCGGCGGTGTAGAGAGGATATTGCGGGATAGGAATGAGGATGCCACTGTTCTGGCCGGCACAGATGATGTGCAACAGAGTGTTGACACCGGAAGAGGCGCCACCAGAGAGATAGATGCGCGATGGATCGGCTGGAAAGCCATCTCGTCCTGTGTTTGCCGGTCAGCACGACGATGGCCCATTGTACACTGACAAAATTCACCTAGAGGCACATACTCTCCAAAAACTTGGCAATACTCTCCTTGATCCCCGGGGCTCCTGCACTGGCACTGTATGCGCCCACGCTTCCGACCTGGCTCAGCAGTGTCTTTGCGCGCTCGATGACATCGGTCTTGTACCCCAAAGAGTTGATCAACACGTCCTCATGCTCGAGCAACTTGGGGTTCTCGAGCAAACTCAGAACTTGGCGAAAGAAAGTGATGGGTTTCTGGTCGAGTTGCTGGGGATTTCCAATGTTTGCACTGATGACCTCTTTGAATGGCAGGTCCTTGCCCTCGCCTTTGCGAATCTTGGCGCGGTATACTTCTGACTTGACGGCGAGCTCACCACGGACGGCATACTGAGCCTCAACCACGTGAGGGTTGATGTTCTTGATGTTCAACCTCGCCATTGCATGACTCGTGTTGTGAAAACGCTCTATATGTTGGTAGCCAAAAGGGTTCTGTTGACAAGATGGCGGGGTCACCGGACCAAGTGGTGATGATCGCGGGGTAGTAGTATGTGCTTGAAAATGGATTAGCAAGACTTTTCTGAAATAATTGCCAGATGGTAATTAATAAAGCAACCCAAAGTATTGTGCAGAAACGAGAGGATTTTATAGGCCAAAGACGAGGTGAATTCTAAACCGGAACTAATGCTCTCATGTTCAATCTGCAACGGATAGATGGAAAAGGCAACGAAACAGGTGCGTCAGAAATTTTGAGAAACCACGCATTTTCAGGCGGTTCTCGCAGCAGGCGACCAAAAACTGATACAGGGGTATCATCTGAGTTTGGTCTTGTGCCTCCACAATCCCCACGTCAACCTCGACCCAATGAAATCGCTGGCCCATCAGTGGCAGACCAAGCGACCGGTACGAGGCCCCTGCGGTACACCGTGAGGCGAATCCAGTCACCGATCCCAGCACGAGCCAGCACTAGCCTGCACTAGTCCGCGCCGAAACCGGCAGTTGGGGGCAGATCAGACGCCGAAGCGAAACTACCGTGGAGCTTGGATCCCACTGCAATGAGACTCGAGATGAACTTCCTGTTTGGACGCACACAGGGTAAAATGATGACTGAGAATTCTTAAAACTTACTTGCTGATAGCAGGCGCAGCCCACGCCGTAGTTCGACATCGCCTGATCGAAATGAGCGATTTGAAGCCAGGCGAGAAACGGTAACAGTTTGGCGAGGCACTGCCAGTGCTCCAGCCCTCAAGCTACATGACGAAACTTTGGTCGCCATTCATGCCAATTGGGAGAGCGGCCTTCCTCAGCTAGGCTAGAAGAGGTGAGAAGCGAGGTGTAACAGAAAGCCGCGTTTTTCCTTCACTGACCTTGAAATGAGTAAAGAAGATGAAGAAGGAACGCGGTTTGGTCTTGATGGGAATTCCTCACGGAGAGATAGAGAAACTGATAACGGTTTCACAAGGGAGGGAAGTCCGAATTTTGACTAACAATCGGTCCGTCCAGCTTGCTCACCGTCCCGCTGAAATAGACTCAGCTAGCGAGGTCGGTAAGCCTTCAGTTGTTGGTGGCGGAAATACAATATGTGAAAAAGTGAATAGGGATCGGATCACACCTGAAAGTCGATCCGAAGCGGTTATTAATCGTCATCAGTCAATAAATGAAGTATTGAGACTGTTAATTGAAGAAACATGGAGAGTTGTTAAGGCTATAAAGTAATCCTTAAGCACCGGCAGCAGACCTGCACCGGAGATAAGCGGGGTTAAATATCCAGAAGCTACATAGGGACATCCTACCCTGCTTGTTATAGATAGATGATCTAAAAGACTGAACTTCAGTTAGAATGGATTGAAAATTTTTGACTTTCTACAATCATTCCTTCGAATTTCTGCAAATATCACTCGGTAGAGAGGAATTCCGAATTCCTTGACCCCAAGTAGTAGAAAGTCTCAAAAAAGAAATAGGCAGGAATGCATCCACAGTTCTAAGGAGTAGCAATCCACGGAGGGTCAAGGGTACGTAATGTACTCCTCTCTTACACCCTATATTCACGACATGTGGAAACAAGTACGAAACAGAAAACATGGTTTGTTGCTTAGGTAGACAGACTATGAAATTCAAACTAGTACACAATTTGCCCTATGACATGACCCTGAATTCCAAAGAGACAAATCGGTAGTGACTTGCGCGTCCAACTGGGATCGCAGGGCTGTTGCTGCTGAACCTGTCGCGATAAACGGAATTTACACCTGAAAGGCGTAGTTGCCGTACCTACCCACTTGGGCGCCGGCATGGGTTGCTGCGAGATCATGTAATCTCTGAAACGTAACGTTTTGTGATCGTCTGCTAGGACAAATCATCTGTTATCCGGTGTCCTCCACAAACCAAAACCCTACCCGTGCTGCACCAGCACTCAGGTCCCTGCTGCCGTTCGATTGGGTTTTCAGGGCTGAAACCCAAATGACGGCCAATGGTAAGGGTTGCCCGGTAGAGGTTCCCAATCGTCACAGTTGATGGTCTGATCGGAAAAAGACAAAGTGCCATCAGATAGAGGGGGTGCGCTACTAACGGGTACGAATGGGGGCGCAGGGGACATCGGCGACATGAAATAGTCAGGGTTTGGCAGTGATCCGCTGATCAGGTTGTGCATTTGTTGGTTGAACGTATTAAGCGTCATCGGCAGGTTCCCGTTGACCATTGGCGAAGGAGAGAAGCCGCAAAGCATAGGAGCAGCATTGACTGGATGGATTCCCTGCCCCAATCCCGCCAATTGGTTTGGAGGGTTTGGAATAGAATGCATATCCCAGTCAGACTGGTGCCAAGGCGACTGTGTTAACGGTTGGCCCACTTCTGCACCTGCTTATCTCGACGTCAGTCACTCATTCAGTCTTGACTCCTTGAGATTAACAATGGCGAATTTTTACATACCGACACTCTGGAAGGTCTGAGCGTAAAGTTCTTGCGAGGAACTGTTGCTCAAGCTCCCTTGTTCATCTTGCAATGGGCCCATCTCCGAATACGCTCTGCTCATTCCCCGTTGCTGTTGCTGACTTGGAGACGGCGACGCGGCGAAGAAGTCTCTGGCGAGGTAGACGTATTCCGCTTCAGCGTCTCGTTCGTCCACGTCATGAAGGACTAGAAAAATAATTTCCTTCCAGTTTTGCGGCCAGATCTGAACTCTTAAATTAATCCAACTCCTCATCGGCCTTTTCCCGACGGGTGTCAGGCGGTCGGCGTGTTCTCCTGGCACACATGGTTGTACCATATCCCGCAACTGCAGCCGTTCGACAACAGCAGTGAATATGACGGATTGTTCGGCATGTCGGTCGGGTCTGCTCTTGACCCAACGCCCATCCCTATTCATGATGTTGTCGTTGCCTGCAGATGGATCAAGGATATTCACCACGGGAGGATTTTCGACGGACGGCCAGTTTGCTGGCGCCGAGGATCCAATGGCTTGAGATGGTTCTTGATGGATTGTGATCGTACGTGCGATGCTCTCGTTTTGGTGCACACCGCCGGGGTTCGTGTTGAAGGAGTTGGGAGCCGTGTTTGACGGTGAAGGACGACGGCGATCGCGGGGAGTAAGCCTGCAGGCGGGAACGGGACCGATGTTTCCAACTTTTTTCCTCCTGCGTCCATTCTTGCCCGACTTAATCGTTCTGTTCGCATTCCGCTGCTGCCTTGGTTCTAACACAGCGGTCAGCGATGTCACAAAGGAAGACTGCAGCAGGTCAATGACATAGGAACTGGAAGGCCAGAGCGCAATTATTCTAATACAACTTGGAAGAGTACCAAATGGTTACGGTAGCATGGAGACGCTTATGGTGGGCGATATTTGTTTCCGGATCAATATGGTTCTGTCCATATTGCATAGCATCATGAGATCACAAAGGGTTCAAATGCTTTGGCCAAATAGTTTGCTTTGAAAGAATGTGAGATTATTCTTACCTGGGGTTTTCTGGAAAAACAGTGTCCAAACACGTTTGTGATGTCGAGTAGAAGCGCCGCGTTCGCCCATTTGTGCTGCGGACTGTTCAAAGTCTCGGGTTTCCATTACCCAGAACCTGCGAGAATAAACGTCAAGGTTTTGCGGTTTCGGCGTTATCTTCGTCGCAATCAATGTGTCATATCCTGATGCAGGCAATCCTGTAAGTGAGGAATTTGGAAGGAAACGCCGATTAATGAGAGATGCTATTGCGAGCAGTGCAATGAAGTAGCAAAGAAGAGTGTTATAGGAAACTGTTTATTTGAACTTTCTGCTTTGGGTGTGTGATGTCGAGCAATCCAAAGCACACTATCAATGGGGCTCCCTGGACTCCTAATGAAATTCCGAAACTAGGCTGACTTTCGGTCAGTGGAGAGCTTCGTTTTGGGTTTACAGTCGGAAGGATTCATGTCGGGATTTTCGCTAGGTGAACAGCACAAAGGCAGATGGAGCAAGTGTATTTACAATATTGGTTTCTTAACTTAACCGAATTTTCAGATGCTGCGCACCCGACCACAACATCCGGGGACAGGATAGGTTGACAATGCGACGAGGAAACCTCTGTCTTGAAGACCGACTCCGCGACATCTTGTTAGGCCACAGGTGCAAGATCAAGGCAATTAGAAGTTGAACGTAGCTGAATCGAAATCTTCGAGCAGAACGGGTCTTCTGGGTGCTGAGACAGAGGCCACGGGTGTGCGTTGGCAACAACATATGTAGCAGTGAGGCCTCCTCTCTCTTTCCAAAAACTCGCCATTATAAGCTGCTTTTGCGTCTTGTTTAGGGTTTTGTGAAGGAGTGGCTCAGTGGTCAAAAGACAGACATGCAATGACACCCACCCCTATATTGAGTGCAAATTGAGCTCCCAATCAATTATGCCCGTTGACTTGGACCGCACTCAAGGCTTTTGCGTCATTTGACGTCAGACTTGCAATTTAATCATCTTGATTATTACCAAATGTAGCCGACTTTTGGAATTTCCAACATTGCGATGCTGTGACAAGCCTGCATGAGGCTTGCAGCCCATCCATGTGATTGACACCCCCATCTCGGGGTACGCGATATCAGGATAGCCCCCCTCACTGGGGGCATGTATCAGCCGTTGGCAGCCTCGTCGGATTCATCGAAATTAGAGCCTTCTAGTCAACAAAATGGCATGAGTTTGGCAGCCTTCGACATGGCGAGCTGGTAGTAATCGCATCCTATGCCCTAATCTGATCAAATGCACCTCGAACATACAATTCACACATTCACCAGGGCGACCGGTCCATATTTATACACCACATCTACTAGAACGTGTATAAAACGTGACTGCCAACGCGATAGTCAGAGGAGTGCGATCACAGTCTTGGTGCTAAGTCCCCATCTCCTTAAAGTACCTATTTCAGTCTCAGTTCTTAGCTTGTTGGTCTTGAGTTATCCAAAAGCACCTCATTTCATTATATTTTGTGTTTTTCCATATATATCAAACTTCCACCCACCATCAGTTTCGAACGTTTACAAATTGTGCTGTGGAGAATCTCTCAATGGCGATTTCTCTCAAGTCAAATTGCCGCTACCTCGTACAAGTCACCGTCTTAATCTCCAGAAACTAGTGGTATGAGCCCGATATTGGCCCTCATTACCTTTACTAAACTCGGAATGTCCAGTCAACTCATGCTTAATAAGACAAAATATCAGCATGCTCGTGTTGCCTGGGATAACTCCGTTACGTCGCGGCCCACAAGCGACAAGACCAATTTCATACGTCCTCTGCAATTTCCTATCCGCCCATTGTCTCCCAACCACAAGCACGCAGTCGACATACATAGTTCTGATCGACTTCATATTACTTTCAATACGCATTTTCGTCAAGGGCAATGTGGCAACAAAGTTGCCCAGTCGTCAAGAAACTCTCACTTCTTGGCAGGGGCTCGAGTTTCTGTCCATGGCAAGACCGTGAGAGCCTCGGACCCGCTGGGACGGTACCACAAATATCACCTTCGAGCCCGTCCGTGTCGTATAACTTCGAGACCATTTCGGATTTCCCGAGCAAAAACACAGCCAGGGGAACTAAAGAGCACGGATGGCAGACGAAGAAGCTTAGGTGGTGGAAGTGAAACACCAGTATTACTTCGAGTTGAACGCATGACCGGAGGCTGGGACGCTACAAGTAACTCTATTGGGTCATTTCGCAGCAGTTTTGAGCAATCAGATGACGACTCGGAAGGTACGACGAGCCTGACTTGGGAAGAAAGGATAGCGAATGGTTTAGGAATATGGGACAATCCTGAAAAGAAAAGAAGCAGTCTGAAGGCTCTGAATCCCTCTTCAGAGCATGAAGCGAACCTGGACGCCATGTCTCCAGAGTACTGGCACATCCTTGGAGATGATGTCTCTTGGATAGTGCCACACGAAAATCAAGCCGACGAAGTCTCACCAGAACAGTATTGGACTTGGAGCGTGGACAGACAGCAATGGTTTCATCTTGACGAGGAGAAAAAGGCAGTCGTCTGGGCTCCGAAAGATTTCGGGTAGCATCAAGGGTATCTAAGATATATAACTCACTCTTCCGTACGAAGTCAGTTTAAGGTACGCTATCCCACTGAATAATGACTTCCAACTACTGGGCTACAAGCATAAGTGACAAAGATATAGTTGAAGCACTGATGGAACTCGTACTCCTTAACCATTTTCAAGTACTGTCAGGTTGTATACAGCTCTAGAAGAAATAGTTATTACTTCCAGGAATAATGGGTATACACTTGCGCGTTTCTTTATAAGTATGCGATTACTGTAGGTTTTTGTTTTGGGGGGGTGTTTTGCTTGTCTTTTTGAAATTCTTCTAGTTCAACGAAAAACACGTAGTTTCCTCAACCCCCCAAATAGCTGACAGCATTGGCGACCATTGCTTCTTCTTTGAGTGCGTTAGTAGGTGACGTAGGTTGTACTAACAACTTCTGGCTCGCTGTATACTGGTGAACGAGCCAACACGTCATAAACACCACCGTTAATGCATATGGAACCCTGACTTCAATACTTGACAGCCAGCACGCACATATATATTGGAGAAAACCACGCTCATTTTTATAATCCATACGGATCTTCGACCAACCAACACCTTAATGCAGATTGCGCCCTCAAAGTCTTCAGTCAGAGACTGTACTTTAAAAAGGTCGGGTTATTGCATACTGTAATATGAAAAACAAGTCAACGCCAGTCAGCTTGGCAGATTTATGTATAAGACAGGACATGGATCGTACCTAGTCCTTTGATAGGATATTCCCGCTACATTCTCTGCGCGCAAACACTCAGCCAAGCATTTGGTTGCGGATTTATTGGCCCTTCAATAGTTGCATGCCGGTTGTCCAGTCTCTGACGGTTCAAATATTTGATCAAAGTTGTCCAAATCCTTGCGGACTGAAGAACTGGAATTCCTCCGAGATGTGAGGGCATGCATTCTGGGAATTGTTGTCGTCTGGGTTAGGTCCACTACCACCAACCTCCATATGTGCCGCCGGAAGTTCAGGCGCAGCGATACCTAATAAGTTATGGCTGGCGTCGAGCATTGGGAGATTCCCGAAACTGTACACACTCCGGTATACGCTGTCGTTCGTACAGTCGGGGTAGCTGATCTGACTGACATATTGCGTGTCTGCAGACGCTTGTTGCATGAATACAGCATTGAATGAATCAAACCTGGGATCTTCCCCTATGGATTGGCTTTGATCCACAGATACCCCCTGCGCTGCGGGACTGAAGCCTGATCCGTGAACGGCACAACCAGATGCGGTCCATGTAGCCGCTGGACCCACATCGCTATGATAAGCCAGAGCAAAGCCATCTTTGATTCAATGTCAGTCAACATCTTGAGGGGCATGGATTTTTTGAAGTGGATGAAGAACCTTCTGCTCGAAGTGCGCTACCATATTCCATCTGTTCTCCAGGATCTTCGTTACTTCGTGGGGCTTGGATCCTATCATGACGGTGACCACGCCCTTTTGGATCCCAATAGTTGCTGCCCAAGTAGACGTGAGTGAGTGCAGGTTGGGGTTCATTTGGATCAAGCCCATCGACTATGTGCAAGAGAACCCTGCGTGGCTCCGCACCAAGAGACTTGACCTCTACTTCGGACTTGCGGCTTGGGGTGGAGCGGCCGTAAGGTGTCAAAATCGAATGCTCCCCCGGCTCCATTGGGACGCTTTTGATCCGTAAATGATCTGCGACATTAGAGAACATCATGGAATCCGGAGCTCCAGAGTTGTTGTGGCTCAACAGTGGCTCGCCCTCCAGGTTGACTGGACAGTATGGCAGAGGCCTAGCCCCTTGCGTTGATGGCGGCGTCAGTCTATTACGACCTGGCGATTGTGAGCTGTGTCGAGCTTGCAAATTGTTCATTCTTGTTGAAGAACCGCCGATAGCTGGTTCTATAATTCGTCCCAGCAATGGAATCCGAGATGGGGGATCTATATTCGCGTTGCCACTTTGAAATTGCTGCTTTGAGGGTTGTTTTCGCTTGGGCAACGAGTATTTCGGCGTATTCTGAACCCTCTTTTTCCGAAACCACGAGTTTCGCTTCCTCGAGGAGCTCGCGACCGCTGACTCTGTCCGTCTCCTGACTCTTCCGGTGGATGAGCCTGTCGCCTTTATGTTTGAGGGTGCCCCCACAGCTTGGTTCGTATCTGCTAGATTTACTTAGTCGCTTGTAGTCTTGGAGATTCTACACGCTATACTTGTTTCTGCTGATTGAAAAAACAGCACGATGAACCTTTTTTTATGACAATTCGCCCCAGTCCCCATGACTTGTGCTTTTTCAATAAACTTACGACTAAAGTAGACGAATCGTGACCACCCGCTGGTGTGTTGGTTCCCGTCTGTCGATTAGGTCTGATGGGGCGATAGTCCATTCTATTTTCGAGTAAACGAATGATAGACAATAGTGACAGATTCAAAAGGCACTTAATTCCACGCGAGTTTTTATTGCGGACATAAATATTCTTCTCTATACCGCTCCCATAGAACTGGCAAGGCGACAATTCTGCCTCGTCTATTCCACTGGAGTTGCTGACTAGAGGACGAATCATCATCGCAGCTAGTGACGCTATGTTGAACCTTTCCCGTCGGAAATAGACAGAGAAAGTAAAGTAACTCAGATTTGCAGTGTACCCGGCAGGCTATTTCGCTCCGTATGACGGATTGTATTTTGTCCATGACTTTTCTAGTCGTAGAGGGGGTCGGTGGCCCCGCGAAGAGACGTATGTACTTCCGCAAATTTCATTTGTCATTTCTTCGCGCGGCTGATTTGACTCTATGGCAAACATACATTCTTTAAGGCTATGTTAGTCTCAGTCTCAGGCTTGGGGAAGCATGTGCTGCTATCTTTGTAGACCAACTCGTCTCGTCGCAATATGGGATACTACAGACCATTCAGATCGGTTGGTAACTCCTGGCGCGGGCAAATCAGCTGGCGGACAAGGCTCAACTGTAAAATCACTTATATGATAAAATTGGAAATTGGAGAATTGAGGAAAGGCCCGCCCGGCGCCTGTTGATCAGCTACAGGAGGCTTGCAGCTACCGTTGCAATCTGCTTCCATTGGTGGGTGGTCTGTCAGCCCCTCTCATGGTGTGATATTGCAAACAGAGAACAAAAAGACCAGGTGATCGATGATCTATTATTACGAGGGCGATCTTTGATGTAGGACGTTAGCATGCCGGGCAGATGCTCGTGATGGTTCGGCGCCCACATATGCAAGGCGGAAGCCATACAGTTGGAGAGTAAGCTTGGCTATGTCTTTATCGTTAATGAATGATTTCAGGGAGATAATGCAAATATAACTGAAAGTATTTACTTGAGGCAGTAGTCTATAAAGTCAACCATAAAGGACGAATATGATTCATGTTGCTGTACAGCGATGCCACCTGGCTTTCTCGTGATAATCTTTTACTTGTTGCGCCACGGAATCCTGGGAGTTCGTATGGATTGAAAAACGAAATCACCACCTCTTCTTCATCAATAAAACCTAAAAACCGGGGACGTCTGAAAGGCGGCTGAAAACATGGAAACACTCATCAATGTGTTACAGCTTTCTCTCCATGGCCTCAAGAACTGCTGGGATGACATTCGACACAGTCCAATCACAGCACTGGTGCAATCAACGGAGCACGAGAATCTCATCTCAAGGGTGTTCTTCTGCAAGCTTGCCGGTTTTGATGTAACGGAGCTAGACTCTAGGGAAAGTTTGACGAATCACTGGGTACTCGTTGCCTGGTCCTTTACCCTTGACGATTGTTTTAACCCGATAACGTACAAAACGTGGCACAAATTATCGACATTCTCGGATTGCGATATGAAATTCATGGACACCAATCCCATACAACTGCCGCTTCGCCAGAAGCCAGATACACAACTTCCCCAAGCAGATCAGAAATCGACGGCAAACCCACCTACTCACACTCAGCCGTTGATCAAAGGATTGACCGACGCGCGGGATCGGCATGTGACGAACAAAACGCTATTTGAACCTAAGTCTCGATTTTCAATTGATCGAACGACTCTAAGGGTCTCCAAAGCTCAAGGAAGATGTATAAAATACCGACTGAGGGCACCAGCCTATCCACGACCTTTTCCAACAAATCACCTTCAAGCGTACTCATCCGAAACCAATACACATACCACCCAGAGTCAGAAAACGGCGGGTGAGTCGTCGAAGAGTAACACTGCCACATCGGCCAGCTCCCTACCAGACTCACAAGCCGGTCAAGACAACGGGGTGATGAATTACTGCGAGGCTTCACCTCCGAGTGAAAGCTCCGGCACCCGAAATCAGGTTGAGGAATTGAATGGTGATTGGAGCAGCCGGCTAGTGAAAGGTCGGGGCATCTGGGCGGACCCGGAAGCCAGAAGGCTGTCTTTCAAGCTCCTCAACCCGTCCTCAGAATACGAGGCCAATGCCGACGCTGTTTCTTCAGATTGCCGGGATCTTTTCGAATCACTCTCTTGGAACACAGAGACGCCCCATAAACACCCTCAAGATATTCCCGAGAATTACTGGAAATGGAACGAGGACGAGCAAGCGTGGTTTCATCTCAATGAAGACACGCAGTCGTTAACTCGGTGCCCTATGGACTCGTGATGACTACACAGCACACCAGAACCATCAATACCTCTTGTGGGAACTATAACTATCTATGCTTGGACGTGCAGGTTCACTATTTCTGCTATATAGGTGTATGGGTGAAGTGGTCGTGGTAACACAATTCGATTCAACACGTAACACAGGTGTTCTGAGCAAAGTAGACCGATGTAACTTTTGTATGTATTATGACAGTTTGTTCCATATTGAAACTTACTCGCTCGGAATTATATTCTACACATACGCGCATCTCGTGCCTCTCAAGTATTTTTCCATGTCGCGAGACTTTTTGGTGTGTGTGTTTAACTTACCCCTTGAACCAACGGTAGTTTAATTGAATCCCCCAAACCCCCTGAAAGACTTTGCTAAGGGTATTGTAGCTGTTTAAACACCTCCATATTGTTCGTCTTCGCTGATATGGCTAACTACAAGTAGTTGGGCTATTCCCTTTTCTTCAGCTGCTTGCAAACTGAAACCACGTTAGCTAGGTTTCTTTCAGTAGTGAGCATCCTCCTCAATTGGTTCTGGGCAGGCATGAAACATCCGTATAATCACCGCGACGAGGTCGCCAACCTTTATGGATGGATAGAGAGTGCTAACATAAAATCGAGAAGAATGAACTTCATGACATTCCAGCACGGAAAGTACCCGATGAGTATCATTGGTTACCCAGGGAAAGTACTTTGTGAATAGCGTGTGCTCCGACTTCACTTATGGATACACGAATGGAAAGACCACATCGACACATCGACACATGAGACACAATGTACAAATCTTCGCATCGAGCGCGATTTGGTGAAAAACCCATTGCTTGCTATCATGTACGCAATCGCTATGATATTTTCGTCTCTGAAATGGTAAGACTGGCGGCCCCTGGCACGACAGAACTGACCCTGAGAAACAAATGTCAATTCTGGCCTACCAAGTCGCATTCGGCCACAGGCACATTTCATTGTCCTAGTCAACTGTAACCACCTGCTCAGATCACGCGTAGACCAACACCGAAGGTAGTACCGTAATAACCTCGTAGATTGTAACTCTCCGTCCAACATAATGTAAACTACTGTGCACGACAACTCGCTTGGCAATCCCTGCGTCGATTTTTCAGGACGTGAGAGCAGTGATTGGGCTCTTCCTGTCGGTCTCAACTGGCGTGGTAAGTCTTCCAAAGCAGTTCAGTGGTATCTCCTACGTGCGCAAAGTTCTCGAAATAAGCACCCACGACAAACTTAAATGCTGCCCAATGCCTCGCCCCGTCTTCCGCTGAATAAGTCAAGCGCCATTCTCCCAAAGCATCGCAAGACAATGGATGCCCCAGTATCCCTCGATTCCAAGTACGCATCATAGAGGCGTTATTCATCCTTCCTTCATTTTAACATAGTTGCTAGGGAATATGCCGTGTCTCGTTCCAATCATACCGGTCCTGTCAGAAAGGTTAACATCATTCGAGTTTAGGTGAAGTGACAACGAGGCGGGTAAAGGATAGGCGCATATATTGTCACTTGCTTGGGGCTAAACACATACCACCAGTCGTTCTCACTCTCGGTCTTCTTTAGCACCGTAATAACCTCTCCCTTCTTAAAACCAAGATCACCAGGCTGGTCCGCCTCGAATGTGAAGAGTGCTACTGCTTCGTTCTTCTTCAGGAGAGCCTGCTTGCTTGCAAAGTTTGGTTTCGGCGCGGCGGGCCTGCCTGGCCCAACCTTCTTCTGATCGCTGAATCCCGTGTTCGTTGTGGGTGACTGACGGTCCCTGTAGACGTAGTCGTCAGGTGCGACACCACCCGTGTTGGTACGACTCACGCCACTTATAGGCCTGTCGTAGACATCGTCTTGCCACTACATGGACTCAAGTCAATACATGATTCGATCTACTGCATATATACTGAAACCACTTACGGTACTCGCCCGCTTGGGGCGGCCGAACTCTTCAGGTGGTTGTTGTTGACCATAACTGCTGTTTCGTTGCTGTGGGCTGTTCCAGTTGGCGTCGTTGTGCTGGTCGTCGTACGCTGGGGTGTTGTACATGTTGTCGTCCACACTACCGGAGCGCATACCGCTAAAGACGCGCGTGTTCAGGATGGCCATCAACGGTGCCGCTTGCGGTGGTGGTCGGATAGAGCCGGTGAGGAGTTGCAGGGCGGTAAGCCGTTGACCGTACATCTTCTCGTTCGCGTCTCTTCTTTCTATGATAGCGGATCCTTCTAGTGAGACGCCGGCGAACAGCCCCTTGGTCTTGCTGTAGCTGAAAATGCCCGCTACGCTCTTCAGCGATGCAGCGCCGGCTGCTTCTGCATTTCGTCCAACGGGGCCCGCGGCGATAGACACATTGCCGCCGAGGGTGAGGGATCCTGCTTGAGCGAATGTCTTGACTGCGCCGGCGTCGTTGAGAATGAAGACAAAGTCTGTGAGCTCGAACCCGATCTGTCCTCCGAATCCACCGCCCGCCGTCATGATGGCACTAGGAGCCGACCATGATCCATCGGGTAGTCGCGCGACCACGAGACCGGAACCGAACCGTGCGGAGCCCAGGAAACCAGCTTTGATGACTGTGAGGATGGCGAGGCCCTTGGCGTTGGCGAGGACCTGGGGAGGAATGACCTTTTCGGGGCCAAATGCTTGACGTGGGTCAACGAACGAGGTCAGGATCTTTCCACATTTCTTGCATTCCGCTGATTGGGGCAGAGGAAGTCAGTAAAAGAAGCAACATTGAATCATGGTGGATCGCGAGGCGGGCGCGGGACCAGCACGGAAGCAGAGGCGGGGGGGGGTAGCATGACTCGAAGTGGTACAAGCTTTGGATTGACTTACACGCCATAGACGACGGAAGAGGGTTATTGATACCCATGGCGGCTGATCTGTCACGGTCGCCCACGAGTGCTTGGTCCAACGAGTGTTTTCTGAAGATGTCGCGAGCTTTCTCGAGTCGAGGTGCGAATTCTTAGTACAGCGTAGATGACGAAGTGGGGTATACTATGTCAGCTCCTGCGGGGCTTAGGCGTTGCTATCGCCGGATAGCCGGATTGACAAAGGCGAAGCAACAATGATGTTTCTTTGGTTGACGTGAATATGGATAGGGAACTCTAGGAAGTTATAGTAATTCGCAATACAAGGCAGGGAGGGACACACCGTCCCGAGATATCCATCAAGTCGATTTAGTGTTTGGACGTGGGCAGCCGTTAGCTTGCCTTCTTACGCCACTCTGCATTCGTGCAGCTGACGAGTGACGCTCAGCCTGCCGAGGTGCACCAAATCATCTTGCTGTCGCAAACATGCCCGCTTCCCAGTCCGTGGTTGTCATGTGGCTGTGTTCAAGTCCAGCCACTATTCCATCTCTCGAGCCTGCGTCATCGTCTTGCCCCTTTCTCTTGGTGGAACACGAATGCAACCCCCAAAGGCGCCGAGAAGCCGATGTAGAGTATTGAGGTCCACCCGCGAACACGGCCTCTGTCGTTTTGCAGTCTATTTACTTTGTACAAACCACGATCTCATGATCCCGGGCTAAGAGACGACGAGTTCCGGCTCCAGAAAGTATCCCGAATCCGACGTCTTATCCGGAGCACCTGACAAACCCCAGACCGTGCCCCACTGAAACGCATTTGATCCATCCCCAAAGCGCCCGCCACCACCAACTTTCAGTAAATCCAGACCGACCTAGGCCAAGTCATTGGGACGTACATCACAAGGACCTCTTTTCCGACTCCAAATTCAACCTTCAACCTCACTCAACTCTTCCCCGTAATAGTCGAGAACCGAAGAATCCATTACCACCAGCCTCATAATGTCTGAAGCCTACGAGCGCGAGCGCCAGAACAATGCGCGCCTGGAAGAATTGTCGGCCAAAGTATCGTCGCTGCGTGGCGTGACGGTAGACATTTACGACAACGCGCGCTCGCAAGATGTCATTGACACCACTGTACGGTCGCCCTACTCCTCTAGACAGGTCCATCTGGACAGCATAAACAAAGAATCCACAACTAACTCTGTCTCTCTTGATTAGACCGATACATTCTCGTCCATGTCATCACAGCTCAAAGGATCCGCCGGCCGACTGGGTCGCATGGCCGCTTCCGGAAACAAGGTCGCTATACTCAAGCTCTCGGGCATCATCATCGGTGTGTTCTTGGTGTTCTATTACATGTGGAAGCTGTTCTTCTGAGTCGCGGATATGGGAGAGCATACGATTGTGCATGTGTGGTTTCCGAACACCTGTCTCTGCAGACTAGCAACAAACCACTACGCTCGTGTGCTTTAAGACAATACGAGAATAGATGGATACGGGGTTGGAAGAGAGATTTCCTTGGCCACTCAGGAGTTGGCAGACTAAGGGGGAAACCCCCGGTTTCGGATTCGAGATCATCTCCATTGCAGCCAACATAACATGGAAGGCAAAACCGCTTGACCCATCATCTCCATCGAAGTAAGGACTATGGATGGGCATCAGGTTTCAGCAGTCGGTACGTTGTGCAGCAATTCAGGGCTGGCGCATCAAAAGGAGGCGGTGGAATTCCAGTTTAGCATAGCATTGGCGTTTTGGTTTTGGTAGGCTGCGGTCTGATACAGGGTCGCGTAGGCCTTTTTTGCACATAGTAATTCAAGAGGTAGTTGGAAAGATCGGATTGTCTCAATTGTCCTACTGCTGAGAAGGCTTAAACCTAGCGTGCAATTTTGACCAATCATGGCTTCCCAATTTCGCAACCAGGAGTCTAATAGAGCTTTGTCTCTCGGTGAGTGTAAGGCGGCAGGTATGTTATTTGTTCTATCCCTCCATTTACTGCCACACATTCGAGAACAGATCATCGTTTCCAAATCCGCTGGCGGGCTTAGCAGTAGCGCTGGCGGTAGTGCCCGTGTTTCCACCCGTGCTGCTAGTCCAACCACCGAATTCTTCATCAGCTGCTACTTTGGGTGCCGTGCTGAATCCTCCGGACTGCCCCGGAACAATAGCCGTGTTGGCAAATGACCCGCCCGAACTTCCCCAACCAAAGCCGCTGCCCCCAAGTGGCGATGGCTTGCTCACTCCAGGGCTCTTGTAAACTGGCGTTGCTGGGGCAGCAGCAGCTGCTGCAGGTTCGCCCCATGCATTGCCCCATACATCCGAATTATTCCAAGTCGCCGTACCGGCTACTGGCGCTGGCTGAGGTGTGGGCTTTGGAGATGACAGGTTGAAAACCGAATCCAATCCTGAGGAAGGTGCCGACGGCTTCGGGGGAGATAGAGGTGCTTTGGGTTGGGAAACAGGTACCGGGCTGGACAGGTCAAATAGGTCACCAAAGGAGGATGAAGCTGGTTGAGCTGGTTTAGCAGAAGCCGCGGTTGAAGGTGAGCCCCATCCTCCAAAACTGTCAGACGACGCCATGGATGGCTGCTGTTGAAGTGCTGCTGGTTTGGCTGGTTTGGAGTCAAAGAAGCTGCCACCGCTCAAATTCGGAAAGGCAGGGTTGGATTGGGGAGTTGGTTTGTTGCTTGCCATATTTGCAAGCCCTGCAAAGGCATCATTCGGCGGGCTCTTGGGTGATGCCACATTTCCAAATCTTAGTCCGGCAAAGGCATCGTCAAGTCCACCACCGGTTGACTTCTGGGCTTGATGCCCGAATGTCGGCGATTGCAGAGGTGGGGAATTCATCCCTCCATACCCACCGAATGAGCCTTGTGAAGCATGAGAAGGTTGTGGTTGTGCCTGCGGTCGCGGTGCTGCAGCGTATAGAGACAGGATGGATTGCTTGAGGTCTGGCCGTGACTGGCTACCGCCCATACCTGCACTACCCGTGGTGCTAGCTGGGCGGGGAGGAGCAGCAGGCGCGTCACTGAGGAAATCCAGTCCAAATAATGAGTCCTTGGTCGTCGTCGCTTTTGGAGGTGCGGGCGCAGCCTTGGGCGTTGCTTGGGTAGACCGCGGCCCGGCAGTACTGGCTCGCGGAGGTAGATCATCACTGCCAATCAGATCGGCTTGAGGTGCTGCTGCCACATGTCGGGGTGCAGCGGATTGACCAACGGACCCTTTCCGGATTGACTCCTTTTTGTCGATGTTTTGCTTCTCTTTGACGATGCTCAAGGGGATGTCGTCATCGCCCTCAACATCTAAACTGGCAGGGTCCGGGATCGGGCCATCCATAACCCATCTCTTGAGCTCGTACTTTGTTCTAATGAAGTTTTCGATCTTAGCTTCGGATGGCACATGTCCTGAAGCCAGTTTGGCCTCCCAGTACTTGTTGGCTCGCGCGTTGCCCCAGCTGAGGATGCTCTGAAGTTGTTCGTCGGTCCATGAATCAAGATCAACTGATTTCACGCGGGAGATGTGAGTTCCCATGCCTCGATGAATTCCTGAGCATCGAATGCATATAAAGACTCCTAAGTTCCAGCTGGCCCATCGTGGATCTGTAGTCGAAATAAGCTAATGGACAGTGGTGCAGTGCCGCAGTGCCAGCTTTCAGGACGAACTCACGCTTGTTCTTCTTGCAATCGGCGCATATCTTGTTGCTTTCCAGCTTTAACAGGCTCTTGATTGTCGCCTGGTTCTGCGCTGCTCGTTCCGCAGCCGGATTCGGAGCAGCTCGTCTCGACATAGTGGGTTGCAATGGGAATCGTCAAGTCGCCGCGGTGGCGGAAAGTCAGCTGGAAGTAATCAAAAACGTAGTTGTTGTCGTGTGATTGTTGGTTGGCGTTCGTCTGGTAGCAATCCGGAACTCGTTTGGGCATACAATCTGACAGGGTGCAGTAAGTGTGGCTTATTTGAATGCTGCCGTCTATCAATTCACTGCCAGCACCGGATAGCAGCCGCCAAAGCGACATTGTGGTCAATTTGAGATCTGGTCGCGCTAACGGAGATCGCTGCATTCAATGATCCGAGTGTCTTGGCACTTCTGATTGATAATAGGTGGGCGAAGTGGGGTCGGGCGGTCCGCCACCTTTAGTCATTGTTGCAGAGCTAGAATCACTGACGCCATTACAAGCTTTAGCTTAACCTCTGGAAGCCCTTATAAGCTAAACGGAATGGTGATTCCAAATCAACCAGAATCCTGCAACAACCTAACGCCATCAAACAGCTTACTTTCATATCTATAAATCTCGACCATCTCCTCAGACACAACTTGATTTGTCTTGGGGCAGACAGAATCCATGCGATTGTACTCATTTCCAAGTTTGCTCCGCACCTTCTTTACTTTCTCGGCTTTCACCAGAGCTCGTGTTACGGCCAGAGTTGATCAGTCACTTCATTCAAACCCAAACTTCAAATCCATGCCATCCATCCCCTTCCTCGGAAGCTTGTTTGGATCTAACTCTGGCCAAATGTCTTATCCCGATCAAAGGAGCGACGATGAGTGGCGGGCGGTGTTGAACAAAGGTAAGTAAACCGCTTCTCCGGGTATCTGTATGTATTATTTGGCCAGCCGAGGCGGGACCAGGTGGATGTCATAGCCCAAACTTCCACCGCTCTGCTAGGTCACGGATACAGATTGGGCGAAGACTGTTACAGTTCCTCTTTGCCCTCCATGGAGTTCAGTAATGTTCTTGATTTTGTTGAAATCATTAAATTCCCGGTGCCCCCTACCATCAACTAGCCGACTATTATGAATATCAAACAGACTTCTAACAAGAGTACAGAACAGTTCAATATTCTGAGGAAGAAGGCGACGGAAGCTCCATTTACTGGCAAATACAACAACTTCCATGAGACCGGGGTCTATACATGTGCCGGATGCGATGCGCCTCTGTACAAGTCTAACCACAAGTTCTCATCCCACTGCGGATGGCCTGCGTATTTCGACAGTATCCCGGGCGCTGTAACCCGCCATGAGGATCGCTCTTATGGTCTTCGAACTGAAATCGTTTGCTCCAACTGTGGTGGACATCTTGGTCACGTTTTCAAGGGCGAAGGCTACCCAACTCCGACCGACGAGAGACATTGTGTCAACAGTATCAGTTTAAACTTTTCGGCAGAGAGCAAGTCGGCTCAAGAGGATAAGCCGGCTCAGGGATAATCATAGCTTGTAGAAGGAAAAATCACCTTCGTTGAGTAATCTTACATGGTGGCGAGTTGACATAGCTGGGGAAGTCACAAGCTGTATAAATTAATATGTCAAGCTGGATCTGTGAATGTAGTATGCTTGTAACAGTGTAGCAACTTGATCCACCGTTACTTGAGAGTTAACGAACCACTGCGAACTAGTGTGACCAAATTTCAGTGGGGGGGAATTATGACACAGGATATGTTTGGGTGCGTGGTAAGTGCCAGAATTTCTGTGGCACAAAATACCAGATGCGGCGTATGACTCAGCCTTTGCTTCTGTGAATATCTCACTACTTATAGCCTAAATCTAATAATATGGGCCAACCCGTAGCTATGATATCCAAGTAGCTATCACGACAGGATGACTTGGGTTCAAGGAACTGTAAGGAAATAATAGCATCGTAATCTTCAAACAATGCAATCAGCTTGAAATGGCCTGGCTTCTTCTATATGCATTACACGATTTGACCACATGGATTGTGGTCGCTGCTAGTATGTCATATAGCTCGTGGAGGCCTACCACTGACCCTTGCGTTTTCAAGTGGAGACTTATCCCTGATTCCAAACTTTATACTTTATTCCTACAACACCCATCCATCATTTTCCATCTCGCCTGTGTCCAGACAAGCGCTGGTGTTCCATAATAGGCGTATTCTTGATACGCGTACATGGTATCGTATAGTCGTCGTAAATAGTGTATGACCTGATATGCTTCCTTCATGCCGCCAGTGAGGGGACTGATACAGGTCACTTTCGGTACCAAACCAAAAAAGGGTATGTATAGTGTGACTGATTTCCACCACATTCTTCCCCAAACTAAATTGAAGTAGAGGATAAAAACCCGTACCGTGAACCCAACATCGAAAGTTTTGAGTTGAAAAGCTTTCCCGAAGAACGCCACAGAGGGCCGGGAGCGAAGTTTTTGAGAATTTCCCGAACAGTCGGTTCAGGACTGAGCATCCCGAGTCACAATCGTCCGCCTATCTCCTTGAGGGGAATCTATCAAAGTTCCAGGTACTTCGTATTCTTAGGGGAAATGAGGATCGGGGCGTCGAGGTCTTAGTCAATTGTGGCATCCTCATCGTTCAGGTATTCGAAGGTGATGTTTCGGTGTAAATCTAACTCCCAACAGTATAGACTTTTCTGGTCTCAGTATCGTGGATAAGAGACCATTTGCGGAGCATCATAGGTGTTCCTGATCTTACCGACGGCCAAAACCAGTGCCGAATTATTTTGCTCTCGTTGTGCTTAGTCGATGCGTTTCTGACCTTGGCGTGCTCCTTGTCGCTGGTTGAACGAGTTGTTGTCGAATAGTCTCGTCTAGGTTTTCTTCAGCCCAAGCACCAAAAGGCCTGATGCAGTTCCTTCTGCTTCGGAGTTTTGGAAAAGCCTTGGCTCGGTTCACTGGGGCCCATTCCAACAAGCTTGATGCTGATCGGGTTCTGTGTCGTCTCCGGCTGAGTTGGGCGTTTCTGCTGTTGAGTTGTTTTGTCTCTGCTCTCTAAAGCCCAGGGACCGATGAATTCGACATAGGGCCGTTTATCCGGCGTGTAAAGCTTGATTGGGAATTGCCTCTCTGTCGGCGGAGACTAGGGATCAGTTTGGATGACTCCTCTCCAGAGTCGACGGTCTCTGACTATATCGTGCAGTTGCCATGATGAATGTTGAAAAGCAAGTGTTGCTATGCTGTTGAGTACCAATTATTTACTGGGGGAATAGAGAAATGGGAGAATTATGTGAAGGGAAGTGTAAACTAAATAGTTATTGCTGCGACGAGGATCTTACGACCAAGTAGCCATCGGTAGTGTAACGGGCTGAGTGGTATGGGCCATCCCGCGACCCATAGTCACCCGCAAATCTTATTCCATACCTAGTCCTTCTTGATATAAGTCACATATTCAAGGTGGGGCCAATCCATCTTCGTAGTTGTGATACGATACGGGTAGAAGCGACCGGAGAGGCTCGTCGGGATTATCGTTCCCCTCGCCTTCTAGAAGCTGAACGAAAAAGGAGGTGGCTAAGTAATAATAAGTTAGTACGGTTCGACGGTTCTACGCATGGACGAGAAAGAGGTATTTAGGTCCTTTGTCGCTCCATGGCCACAGTCTCGATCCCGTCTGACATCTCCTCAAGCCCATGATGACGCGTGGCAGCCTATACTGCTGGATCAGTCTAGCCGACTTAGAACTCGTTCGACGGAAGACTATCTTTCTCACCGAGTTCGACTTTATAATTTGCAGATGACCAGCTATTGTTTGTGCTGCGTTGAAGTATTGCATCCTTCTCATCGCTTGAATCCTCCAAGTTGCAGCGAGTCGAACGTGGCTGGTACTGTAATGATATAACCGTTGACACCGCCGCATATAGGACAGCGAAATCGCGAGCATTAAGAATCGTTTACTACGTTTCTAATCCTTCGTCTTAAACCTCGACTCTGACCCCTGACTTCCAGCTCTATCGGCGGCTGAGGTAACAGAGTTTACCGCGACAATTCTATTTTCTCTCTGTCGTAGATGGCCTCTGGAGGGCCAAAACCAAACAGGACACCAATTCGCGCGTCCCGAATGTTAAATTAGACAGTATATTGAAACTAGCACAGATAGCTTGGAATCAACAGCCGCTCGAGGTTCTGAATCTCCGGCCAAGCGATGCAGCTAGTCAGGAAATTGAGGTTGAGTATGTCTTGTTTGTCCTAAACGGCCTTCTAAGCTAACTAATCCCTATATCATTGTTGCCGTCCACAGCCTCGGAGCGAAGGTGGATTGGTCGTGGACCTAGAAAGATGGAGAAAAACATGTCCGCTGGCTGAAATACTCTGAGATGCTTCCTTCCGTAATGCTAAACGCACGAATCGTAGCCTACAGTTATGGGTCAAGACAGCACGTGAATGCCCTAAGACTCGTCTTGAACTCTGTAGCGAAGATTTGGTGAGGAGCCTGCACAGCTCTCGCACTACTGTCCTAGACCGTCCGGTTATCTTTATCGGACAAAGCCTTGGCGGTTTGGTTATGTTATATGTGGGTTTACAAGATCTGTGCATATTTCTTGCCTGATAATAGATAGTTATCATCTGTGTATGTCTAATAAGGCCTGCTATGCGCTGAACGCAACGAAGAATTCAGGTACCTACCGGCACGGACGGTCGGTAGTGTAAGAACTTCTATAACTTGGCCGTATATAGGTAGTAGAAGAGGAATCTACTCGTATCTCCGGCCGGGGTCGGGAACCCCTGTTAATGGACCACTTCAGTCTGAACAAGTTCTCAAGCCCAAATTAACGTTATTTAAGACCTCAACACATATTATCAATATTTGCACAAACGAGTAAGTCTGGAGTTTTTGGGGCACAAGCCAATCTAAGAAAACTCCTATGTACCGCAACGTTACTTCATGGATCCGTTTGGGCGAAACGACAATTTCGTCGGGCGTGAAAATGTCCTGAAGTAGCTTGAGACAATCACCCCGGGTGCGAACCAGTATGAATGCCAGAGGAGCGCCAAAGAGGGCCTTGGAGGCGTCGGCAAACCCCAGGTAGCCCTCGAGGCCGCCTACCTGGTCTTAGATACCCATGAGGACTGCTCTGTCTTCTGGGTCCCGAACGTGGACATCACCAGCTTTGAGAACATCTATCTCAGGACCAGTCAAACACTCGGCGTCAAAGGGCTCGAGGATGATAAGGCAGACGTCAAAGCTGCTTGTGAAGAACGCCCTGTAAGACAAAAGGGCTGGCAGCTGGCTCTTGATCATCGATAATGCGATGATCTAAATTTGGTAACAGCACTCTCCGACTCTCTTCTATTCAACCGGAAAGGCTAAATCCTATCTGCGACTAGAAACCATACTGCGGTATCAAAACTTCACATCTAGCCGGAAAATGTTAAAAGGGTTGGAGAAATGAGCCGTGAGGAATCAGGCCCTTAAGGTGCTAAAAAGTAACGTGGGGGGACGCTAGTGCCGCGACTCTGTAAGTACGGTAAAGTTACTCGGCTACCTTACGGATTTGCCTCTTACTAATAGACAAGCGTCTACATATATGTTATAGAGATGAGATATCAACTAATTAGTATCTTCATTACTAACAGTTAAGTGATAATACTATATTAACTGCTAAGCCGACATTTACGGGATCGCCGCCGCTACGAGGCTTAGAAGAACCCAGTAGGCGCGACTTGGCTAATTTCGGCGACTATATTACACGAGATTAACCACTTGCTGCAGATTACCTAAGGTTAATATATTTCCTCTCAGAGAAGGATATCCTGGCATCCTTACTTCTCTTAGAAGAGGATGATTTTGAAGATGAACTAATTAACACTTTAAAAGGTTATACGTTTATTATCTAGCGGGGCGACTCCGACTTGTTCGACTAGCTGCACGTAACTAGCTACAGGTTGAGAATAGCCTACGAATATCATACAGCACCTATTAAAGGTGTAACCCTTCCCTAAGCACGAGAACAGGGAGATCTGGATAAGTTATTTACCGCATAGGCAGTCGGTACTAGACTTTCGAGAGGACCGTTCTAACCAGATATATAAGGCTCTTCTATTCAATCTTGGGGAAAGTTGAAAATTACTTAGGAAGTACGAGAAGGCCGGGCGGATACATCGGCAAACCCTCGAGCTGAAGAGACGGCGCTAAGCCGCGAGCATCCACGCACACTTGATAGCATGAAAAACCCCGTACTCGTCCTAGATATCCAGGGGAAGTACGAGAAGACCGACAGAACTATATAAACATAGTTGTAGTGATTCGCCAGCACCATTCCCAAGGTCGCAAATCATGGCTCCCTATGATATCCAATTTATTTCCACCTATCAAGACAGTTTCTAGTATCTAGTTATAAGGCTTCTTACGATACCTCGCTGAATCCTGGTCACTATCCGCTTCCCTAGTCTTAAGAATCTATTCACGCACCTTGGCGATAATATCTACGAACATTCCGCCATCTACGTTCAGCCCTGTCCATCTCCTATAGACCCTAAACGCTTCATCCTCGCTCCTCCCATTTCGGTTGCTTCGAGTATCTTCCAGCAAGAAGAGGGGGGTGGCTAGGATAATTGTTACGAACCGTTGGCTCTAACCTGGCCAAAACCAACCCGACAGGCCCTACAATAGGCCATGACGGAACCCCGCAGGAACAAAGCCCCATAAGGACGGAAAGGAACAACTAGGCCCTCGACTGGAGGAAGAGGTCACGTGATAGGGATCACGCTTGGCAGAGTGATCCCCTACTTGGGATCACCAGGAGCGACGTGATCCAAGTGATCCAACGAGATCAGTGAAGGAGAGATGGATATATAAGGGACAGGACTCCCAGGCATTTCATAGATAGACCGTCTCTACTTCAGTGATCAATCTAAGCATCAATCTAACCCATTGGTGAGGCAAACTGCCTTAACGACTCTATTCCCGATTACACTACTTGAATACTTCAGTTACCCAAAGCACTATACTCCATACGTCAGACCCCGATATTATTGCTTGAGGACTCCGCAGCAGGACTTACTTACTAGCACAAACCCTTACAGACTCTTTAGTGGTTTACGCAGCTAGACTATTAGAGGTTTCGTTACAATAATAGCTTGGGATTATTCCCATCACAGGTCTTTCTTCTTTTTTCCCGCGCACTTCAAACCACATATCCACGTGTTTCTGACCCATGACCATCGGGCTTGGTTCTTGGTTCACAGTTTCAATGAGAAAAAGGGGGACCTACACAATGTCCAGCCCACCCTACTCAACAAGTGTCCAACTCGACTTCAAGACCTCAATGAGAACAGATCGAGCCAATTTAACGCGCTTTAGAATTGTGAAGAAGAGGGAGTTCCTACACCTGAAGACGAATGATAACATCTGCATGACCCAGTCTATAGGCGACATATTCGCTCTACAGATGTGGAGGACTGGTTTTTTATCGGCCCAGATGCCGGTAGATTTGAGATTCTTACCAAAGACCTTAAAAGTGACGCTTTTGTCAACGAAAGAGAGACGCCTCGTTCAGGCTTACCGTAGCAAAGTATGGATACGCGCAATCTTCAGAGCACCTACAATAATGCTGGACTGTTTCGAGCATCCAACGCTTGCTACAAGAGGGAGCGCAACACCGGAAAATCCGTAACCGAATATTTCTGTTGGGCCTACTAATCTGCATCGCGAAGTGGATGGCAGCGACAGATTACTTGAGTGCCTTTGTAAGTACTTGATTGAGGGCCTCCCGTCCGAGCGAAGCGGTTGAGAGTGGATACTCATCATGAGCCTTACAAGTGGGTCGAGGTGAGGGCTATCACTAACCACGATTGGGGTGGTGCAGGGAGTCGGGGTTTACATAGTAGATCTGCTGTAAATCCGTGTCACATGATGAAACCAACGTCACATCTGACAAATTCAGGACAGACAACAGTTGATTTGTTCGCTTGCATAAATGAGATATCTGGTACGAAGAAAGCATGCCTCTAGCCAGTGCGAGACGCCAGCAACAATCGGGGACCCGAAATTGCGGATATGCAGGCAATAGCAATTCGAAGATGAAAGCGAAGGAGAAGGCAACCAAGGTAAAGAGTGGATGCCGAACTTGCAAGTGAGCCAGCCTCTCTAAAGTCAATCCACCTCTCCTTTTCAGAAATTCACGTCAATTTGCTCATCATGCTGGAGGACTCGGAAAGTGAAGTGTGACGAGGGAAGACCGGCCTGTGCGAGATGCCTGTCGAGTGGCCGGGTTTGTCAGGGTTATGGAATTTGGGGAGGAGGGAACACCTCCCTCGATCTTGTTCGTTCCGGCCCAATCAAGCATGTACTCAGCACCATTACCCCAGAGAGTAAGGATGAGCTTTGCTGTCTGGAATGGTTTCGGGGTCGGACCGCCGTGAAGTTACAGGGGCCGTTTGGATCCTCCTTCTGGGGCTCGCTGGTTATCCGAGCAAGCTTGGAAGAGCCGTCCATCTTCTGCGCCATGCAAGCCCTCAGATCTGTTCACAAGAGAGTCACCGTTGGCGTGGCTGGATTGGGGTCGGAGGGGGATCCTGACCGACTGGAACAATTCACTCTGCGCCAATATAGCAAGGCCATAAACCACCTCCTTCAGCCTCAATTCGTTTCCGGGGATAAGGCGTCGCTTCGTGTCGCTCTTATCTCCTGCATGTTATTATCTGTCGCCATCTCTAAGGTCAGGTACCAGTTACTATATCTGTACCATCTCATAACCAATATTATAGCTGACGCATGTCTTTGGCCGGATAACGAGATGACTTTCGAGACTCACTGCCACGGCTTCTCCTCTATCATCATCCATGCAATTAAATTTTTGGAAGCTGTTCGAGCCATTCATAACTCGAACAACCCCGTTTTCCGATCAGGCTCGGAGCTGTCTCTCTTCAATGCCGATATTGGCTGGACCCCCTCTGTATTATACGACCCTCCACTGCCGGGTTCACTGTATTAGACTCGGAGCCATCAAACTCCTGCGCGCACTTCCCAGCAAGGAGGGCATTTGGAATGCAATTTTTGTAGCCTCGGTGGCAGAAGAGATTATGCAGATTGAAGAAGGGGACTATTACAAGGATACCCCAGTTGACGACGACTTTCCTTTGAAAAGCCCGCCCCAGGACCAGGACCTGAGTTTACCAACGCTGCCAGCGTCGCGCAGGGTACATGACGTTCAAGTTGTCTTGCCTGACAGCCCGTCAGGAAAAGCGGTGTTGAACTGCAAACGGAATAAGAGTGAGGGCGGCTACGAAGTCATAACGAAAGAATACGTTCTCGGTCCGCCAACTGGAATCGCAAAGGAAGAGTGTAATGAAGATAGAGTTCTAACAGAAGCCTTCGGGGCCACGGGTCTGGCTTTTAACCGTTAAGAAGACAAGAAATTCTGGCCAATTGGTCTGTGAGTCAAAGGTCTCACGACGGAGAGTCGGATTCGAGCCTCTCAGATTTACTGCCCTTTCAGTTCCTTCTGAGTCCACTCCCAGACATTCTTCGCCAGCTCCGTGTCGAGTATGAGACTAGAGGGTCATACACTCCAACAGGCTCATAGTGCAGGCCACTCGCCACCCCTTCGGCCGTCGCCGCCCACAACTGGTTCTTAACGCCCTCTTCAACAGGTCGGACGAGTTTCGGCGCCAACTCAGTCTGCAGGTGCAACACCTGCTCATCGCCAGGCTCCCGCGAGAATAGCTGCGTTGACACCACGCCCGGGTCAATCGAGACTATGGTCAACTCCGGGTGGTGTTTGGTGAACTCCTGCGGGTACAGCATGATGGCGATCTTGCTCTGCACGTAACGGTTCAAAGGTGTGACACCCTCAAGGGACTTGAGCGTTTCAAATTGGATCTTCTCGGGACCGGCGTACTTCCGGGCGGCTGAGGCGAGGCTGACGACGCGCACGGGGCGAGAACTGGCTGTCTTGACCATTAGAGGCGTAAGGAGCTTCAGAAGGAGGGCGTGACCAAGGTGGTTGGTGCCCATCTGGATTTCGTAGCCGTCCTTGGTCAGCTTAGGGGGGGCAGCCGAAGACTAGCGGCGGGAGTTGCTCAGCATGCTGTGAGAGGGAAATCCGGGAGAATAGAAAAGGGGGACTACTTACGTCCAACATTGAGGTACAGAATGTCCAGTCGGGGCGAAGACTCGAGCACCGCCTTGGCGGCACTCTTAATTGAGTCGAAGGAGCAGAGGTCTAGCTCTAGGAAGGTGGCATTCGCACCCGGTATTTGGCTTTCAATATCGGCAACGGCTTCATTGCCCTTTTCAGGGCTACGAGCGGCCATCCAGATGTGTGCCAGCTTGTGCTTGGCGAGTTGTAGAGCAGATTGCTTCCCCATTCCACTGTTGGCACTGGTGATGAGGATGACCTTACCCTCTAGGGAAGGGATATCGGTGTCTGGGTTGAAAGATGCGCCTTGAGTGGGCATTTTGAGATGCTGAGGGAGAATATTGTAAGAGAAGTTTTATGTTAATTTGGGATGCTGATAGGGGCTGAGGTAAAGACTGGCCCGCTGGCTACTTATTACCCGCAGTTGTTTCGGTGCTCGGGAGGTTGGCTTCCCAGTCCGTAGAGTAATGTGTTGTTTCACAGAATTTGGAGCTAGGATATCTCGCACGGCATGCATCCTTCAACAGAAGTACCTCTTACGACTCTCCTATCTGTAGGAAACGCTGTATGTCAAGACATGATAAATCGGGCCAATTAAAGCCTATAGTTTCCAAGCCAATGGCCGTAAACCATATATAATATTGTACACATGGGAAAGGGTGGAGATCCCAGACTTAACTACCAACCTACTTCTATGCTCGGAAATGCAACGCTATGATTGGCGTTGGTCCCAGCAAGCCTAGAAGGCTGGATACAAGCCCCGCGCCTCGAGTAGTTTCCCGGTTCCAGTTTCCAGCCAACAGGCTGACGAAGGCCACCCTGCCATTGGTGATCCACCTTGGAAAGGCATTTAGTACGTGAAACCTGGTTTCGACAAGACGGAGTGTGTTGTGCCCTTGGAGAAGATGCCCGGGGCTGACTCCTGTATTCTAATAGCGGTATCAGGCTCCAAATGAAACCTAGTTTTCTCTATTGCTAGTGATAAAAAAGAAATCTAGTCGAAAGGTTATTATTATGACAAGCCCACTCCCTCCCTAATCCTTCCCAAAAGTCCCCCAAACCAGTACAGACGGCGGAAAACACGGTAGAGAATACGGAATCCAAATCTTAGAGGTATGGTCTAACTTGGTCCTCGGTCCACTCCCAGAACTTCCGCGTTCCTCCCGTTCCACCCTCGGCCTCCGACTTGATCGCCTTGTTCAGATCTTCTCTGATGGGTATACACGACCAAATGGAACAACTAGCGGGTGGTTATAGTCAGCCAACTAAGGTCCTTGTTGTTTTCGGGGTCGGGAGGGTTAGGCAAACTGAGCAAACACTTACCCCAGCACCCAGTCTTCTGAATAGTGATATCTGGCGAAAGGCCAGCATAAAGCTCCGTGTACGCTCCGTTGACAGGCGGATACATAATCAGTTTTGTGACAATCCTCATTCCGATACCCTGGTCACGGTACAGGGCTGACTGCAAATTCCCCGGGTTCACGGGGACACTGATGACGCCGTCGGCCTTGTGGCGTAGAGCGTACTCGACGCCGTGGGACCAATTGCCTACCTTGCTGAACCAGTACCGCTCGTTACCGGACTTCTTGGCGAGGACCTCGGTTTGCATCATGTCCCCTGTGGCGCCGATATTTTTCTCGCCGAACATCTCGGCCGCGGAAGAGGCGAGCCAGACGACTCGAACTATGTTTGGCGGTGCCCTGGATCCGTGAGAATCAGCTCCTGGGTCAAGTTTCTGTATATATTGGGTGATTTGGGGGCAAAAGAGCGCGATCCGAAGAACCTCCCTGTTTCGACAGGCTGCTGCATATTCAGCCAGACAAAAGCAAGGCGAGAAAACTTACGTTTTGGCAGTTCCAACCAAAATGGGTGTGAGCAGCCGCGCGAGCAAAAAGCCGCCCAAAACGTTGATCCCAACGTGCTGCTCGTAGCCCTGGGGTGTCGTGGTGAGCTTCTTTTCAGACGACATAATGCCGGCGTTGTTGAAAAACACATGGAGCTGACCTTCCATGGCGAGGAAACGCTCCACGGTGGCCTTGATGGAGCTCAAGTCGGCGAGATCCAGGCGCAGGAAGGTCATGGCTCCCTTAGAGGCTGGCACGGCCTTCTTGATGTCGGCTATGGCTTTGTTTGTTTTATCGGCTGAGCGAGCGAGCATGTAGACTCTGCCATTCTTGGAATAGAGCATGCGTGCGAGTTCCTTCCCTGTTACGGATTACAACTGAGTCAGCTCGGTTCAGTGGTAATCAGATGGAGTGCGAGAGAGCGACTTTTTGCGTGAGAATAGATGTAATAATTCTTTGCCGACACCTGTGTTGGAACCCGTCACGATGTAGACTTTCCCGGAAAGATCTGGCACCTGCGACTCGGTGAAGCGAGGTTTCGGCGGGAAGGCCTGCGTCAAAGAACTCTTCAGCGACATTTTGGACTGTAGACGAATATTGGCGGCGATAGATGGTGGATTAAATATCAAAGTTCTGTCTCTTCTCGAAAGACGCAGGTGATCGTATTTTTACATCACCGGAAATGCAAGAAAGAGAAGGAGTCCTGGGAAGAAAAACACGCATAGAGAAGCAAGTTCCTGTATTGCTTCAAACTGAAGCCAATCACAGCGTTGCCATTCCGAGAAAATAGCTAGCCCTCTTTGATACCAGGTTGCATCGAAACAGTACTCATCCTGGACCAATGACATCTGTGTGAGTCCGAGGTGCCCGTGGAGGAATGGGCCAATCGGGACGGGCCAATTCTCCAACTGAGTTAAGGCATGCCGATGCCTATAAGGGAGTTAATAAGCTTACATCTGCGAAGGAATTGACCTAGAGTCTATTGTCTGCATATAGTCTAGCTTGGATTATTATCCGTCATACAAAACGACTCCTTCGGGGAGTTTAGAGCCAATCAGGCACTCCGGTTTCCGAAAGGATTCATTTTTATGGTGGCACATTTCTTGGATGCCACTCACCACCGAGCCTTCTGCCTTATACTAAGAGCACTTAAGCAATATGTAAGTAAGGGTGTGACCAATGCAGGCTAGGGAGGGGAGACTATAGGAAGTGCCTACGACTTATAGAATCTTGTAAGAAGTAACTTGAAGCTGCAGTGGTACCCTACCGATCATAGCAAACCCAGGTGGATGCTAGCTTTTCTCTCGCGTCCTCTCTCTCCCGACTCTCCCATTAGCAAGATGCCTTTTTATGGGCCAGGCTCAGCCAGTGATGCTGTAAGCAGGCTGGAAATCTAATTCATGCTGTAGGCTGGCGCGTGTCTACACAACTATGGACCACTTATCCCTATAATATACACTTTTCCAAATGCAGGTTTACAGGCGCTCCTACCAATATAACACGCTCCCCCAGTATCGTAGCGAAAACAGCTTTGCTTCAGCAAACCTAGATGTGAACTGACTGGCATTTCGTACTGCCAATAGCACTTGAATACTACAACGACCCCCACACTATGATCTAGGATCCCCGCCCTGCGTTAGTGCCCCGCTACGTCGTGTAAGTGATCTGCGCTAACATGCAGAAATTGTACAACTGCCGAGGCCTCGACTTTAAGTCTGCTGGCTACTCTAAGCAAGGAATTGAAAACTAGCACAGTTTTAGTGCTGGAATCTAAATAATATCTGAGAAAAGCTATTGAAGTAGCTTTGATCCTGATACCGGGCTGTCTATTGTTAGAGTCGCTTATCTCCAAGATGCACTAAGATCTAGAAGACTGACTACAGAAGCAATATCAGCTGAAAGAGGCTGTTTGGAACAACACTCGGGTCGAATTCCGAGGATGAGTGGATGATTGTGCTTATATTGTTATTAGGAACGAGGGAACCACAGAAGTGGTCTATTCTTTGATAGTCTAGTGAATTCTTCGGAACGCTGAGTATAGAAAACCATGCTACCTGTAAGCTCATTTGTTCTGGGACTCGTGCTCATGGATATAGATATTATTGTGGTAGCAAGGCCTGATTCAGAAGGTTTATTCATTCATAAATTAATGTAGCCCAGTTACCATGCTCTAGGAAAGTGTGGCTCTTTAGGCCCTATGTTACACAGCCTCAAATATATGACGAATCCGAGGTCGCTTGTCTTTTTTAGATCTCATAGCCACCAGGATTTGATTTTGGGCGGTGATAGGCGCAAGGAAAATAATTTTACTGCGCGTGACTGTGTGTGGGTGGGTGCGTGGGCGAGGATGAGAATGCATAGTCCTGAGAGGTGCTGGTGTTACTTCCGCAACGTGAAGGCCCCGAAGGAATCCGAGCAACCGTATAGGCAATCCGGTCGGTGCCCCTGAGGTATATTCAGGGCTATGTACTCAACCACGAGATCTTGATCGTGTCATCAACATGCGTAGGGGGATGACTAGCTGCCACACACGACCCAGGAACCAGATTCTACGAACTGGGTAACCACGCCGACTACGCAATCGAACGTTTCATCAGCCGACGATATCGTTGCCGGTCTCCAGTTTGCCAAACAGCACAACGTCCGCCTCGTCGTCAACAACACTGGACATGAGTGAGTTAATGATCTCCTCAAATCACCGTTACTCGTAGCTAAATTTTCTCTAGTTATGCAGGAAGCTCCACCGACAAGGGAGCTCTCGCCCTGTGGACACACAATTTACAAGGCCATGAAGTTATCCAGAACTACGAGAGCAGCAACTATACCGGCCCAGCTGTGAAGCTTGCAGCGGGTACGCAAGGCTACCAAGCCATGGAGTACATGCGCGCAGTCGGGTACCGAATGGTGGGAGGAGAGTGCCCAACGGTGGGAATCGCCGGTGGCCACACGTTGCTCAACAGCAAGCACGGCATGGCAGCCGACTCATTAATCGAGTGGGAAGTTGTGACACCCCAAGGTTAACTGGTGACGGCGAGTCCCGATGGCGAATATGCGGATCTATTCTGGGCTATAAACGGCGACGGAGGCACCTGAGGAGTCGCTGTCAGCATGGCTACCAGGACTTACCCCGAGGGCATCGTTGCAGGCGGCCGCTTTTCCTTCGATATTAGCGGCGTGTGGACTGAAACGTACTGGTATGCCACAGCGAGGCTTTACAACTTCATGCTCAATTGCACTGATAATGGCAACACTCTGACTTGGGCCCAGACTAATACTACCTTTACGGCCCTCTCCGTCAGTGTGGGCCCCCTTGCTACAGGATTTCGGCGACATGAGCGTCACTTACACATTGGAAACTCGCACCGACGAATCCTGTGAGTAAATCTCGGAGCCCCTATCTTCCATGCCTGGAGTGTCTCAGGGGGTGATAGAATCTGTGCTGTGCAACGGAGTCTTACCTATCAAGACATGGCTTCGCCCTCTCTTCTGAGAAAAGATACAAATAGTAGTTACTGACGCCTGGGATTTAACAGACTATAGCCATTAGGAACCAGATTACGGCCCGCTCCCTTACGGCAACGAGATGGCTGCCACCTCCATTTTCACAAGCCGCATCCTGCCACGATCCCTCTTCACCAACCCCTCAAGCCCCGAGTCCCAACGCGTTATGGACGTGCTCAAATGCATCACCAACGCACGGGACGGCCGCTTCACCTTCGGCTACCACGCCATCAGCGTCGGCAATTGGAGTGGCAGCGACAACGCCGTGCTCTCGATCTGGCGCGATGCCATGGCCCTCTGCGTCATTATCAGTCTCTGGGACCGCAGCGTCCCCTTCGATGACATGCTGGGGCTTAAGGAGTTCACTGTTGACGATTTGGTGCCTGCGCTTGAGGAAGCCACCCCCAGCGGTGGTATCTACATGAACGAGATTGACCCCTTGTATCGCGGGAACTGGAAGATGACGGGATTTGGAGACGACAAGTATGACCCTCTTCTTGAGATTAGGAACAAGTACGATCCCGACCACATTCTTTGGAGCCCCATGTCTGTTGGTGGTGACGAGCACACCACAGATGCTGCGGGCAGAGTTTGCAAGGCTTAGTTGGCTCACCGCTGGTTGCTACCTGCTGGTAGCTAGATTTGATTGTATTTGTTTTGTTGAACTTGTTTCTGGGCAGGGGCCCGGAGAGATGGGGCTTTTCTTTTGTTTCCTCCCTTCCCGGAGGTAAGAGGGGATGGAGGGGGTATCTGTTCTTCTTTTTCTTTAATCTGCTACAATCAATACTATTGCTAGATTTGGTATTAGGTTTTTCTGTTATCCTTGCGGTCTGTTTTTGGGTTCTTTGTTTCTTGTTTGTCCTTCGTCGCCGTTTTCGACATGTATTTTAGGACGGACGTCTTCTTTCTCCACTTAACAGACCAAGAGCCACGGGGTACACGCCGCAAGGGTAGCTAGCTGCAATAGAGACATATTTGAAGAGAGCCCCCACTGGCCTGTTATGTGTTTATCTGAACTAAGACACTGCGTTGTACATCTTACCAGGTATGCATATCGATCGGTACTAACCTATTACATTCCTATAATGGGCTCACACACTCGATTTCCCTTGCCCCTTGGGTCATAATACCCTTGTTGTAAGGAATGGATACTTGATGTCTCAAACAACTTGAGAAGTAATATTTGTGAATCAGCTACTTTGCGCAATGCGAGTGAAGAGCCTGTATTAGTGGTGCGGATGGAGAAGACATAAAAAAACCTGCAGCAGCGGATGCCTCGCTGGCATTAGGCTCAGTAAGCCTACGCAATATCTTCTCAATATGTAGCTATTGCATTGGGCACACTAAGAATTTGCATGTCTGAAAAGATGTACCTTTGCCCCACGTGCAGTGTGGGACGCACTATGATCGCAAGACGCTGAGTTGCTAATATGCGGATGAGTCCGCATCATGCCACGATTCGGATGGCAAACCAATTCTCCCAGTGTGACTGCATGATGATATCTGTGTTAAGAATGCCAGCGGCATTTCTTGCGCCGGATGGCGGATACCCGACCATGCATATTATACATGACAGTTGGCCCCTTCGATCACAAGGAAGCCAAGTGGGGGAGTATGAGAGTGGCATATTTGGGTAATACGAAATCTGAGTCGATGAAGAGCAAGTGAAATGTCTTGAAAACCACGCAGTTTGTAGACAGGAGCAGTCCATTATACATCGCCCTTTGACCCAAAGACGCAATCACAGCAACATGGCCCTAAAGACCCAAACAGCAGTTGTTATTCAGGGGAGCAGCAACAAGGGCGAGCTCCCCTTAACCGTATCCCACTCGGTCCCGGTGCCGGGCTTGGTCTCGCCCTACCATGTGCTGGTCCGTGTTCTGGCCGTGGCTCTGAACCCCAACGACCACAAGATGATGATGCACTTCCCCATAGATGGCACCACGGCTGGATGCGACTTTTGCGGCATTATCGACACGGTTGGCGACCCCGCTGAGCACCCTGTTGGGACTCGCGTTTGCGGTGCTGCATTCCCCTACAAGCTTGGCGACACGGGTGGCTCTTTCGCCCACTATCTGGCTGTCGACTCGAGGTTGTTGGTCTGCGTACCCCCCACCTGGACCGATCTGCAGGGAGCTGCATTGGGTGGTGTTGGCTGGTCGACCTTGAGTATGGCCTTCTCTGACTCGAACGCACTCGCATTATCAGGATTGCCTAGCAAGCCAACGGAAAAGCGACAACCAGTGCTCGCGTACGGAGGAGCCACAGCCACTGGTACCTTAGCATGTAAGTGGGGGGTCCACTGTCACTAGCCCATATTGGACTCATCCTTCAATTCTTTAGTTTTTCACGACCTTCCCCTGCGCTGCATTCTCAAGATAGCATAAACACTAATCAATCCAATCGCCAGGAGCGGCTACAATGCCATTGCAGTTACATCGGCGGCATCGGCAGGGCTTGCCGTCAAGTATGGCGCTGTCAGTGTGGCTTCTTACAACACGCCATCCTCACCCTGCGTTGACCAAATCCGTTCGCTGGTGCGGGGTGTACCGATCCGCTATGCACTAGACTGCATTACCGACGCTGATTCCGACGCCATCTGCTTCGAGGCCCTGGGGCGCACCGGCGGGCGCTATGCTTGCCTGGAGCAGTTCCACGACGGTTGGCGGACCCGGCGCGCCGTCAAGGTCAAGGAAGTCATGGGCTTTGAGGTACTAGGGGTTGATGTCGACCTCTAAAATAAGTACTTGAAATACTTAGGTATTCCAGTACGTTGTCAAGAGAGTCGACCATGTAGCACAACAGCTCCAGAGCTTGCTCAACATGTGAGGCTCTGCAAGAATTCTGTAGAACTTGTAGTGGAATATATGCGGTAAAACTGCCCCTTTGCCAGTGGATCTACCGGCATATGGATTAGAGATTTCCCTGACACTGCAATCAGGGTAAGTAAGTAGGTCTGTCTGTAGGGATCTGGATTGGCTATTGGACTGCACCTACACTTGAAAATAAGCAGATATATACGCAGTACTAGTTTGAGGATGTTACAGAAATCAGAAGCTACTCGCTCGTCTTTCTGTTCTAGGTGCCATCGTCACTTTCTTGTTGACTTGCACTTCCAAGTGCGCTTCTATACTAATTGCAGCCCAGGCTGACAGACAGGCCCTTCGAGTCAATTGGAACGCCGCTTGTCATGTTGTTCATGAGCCTCTCGCTAACCAAGTAGATCTACAAATGCCTGTGATAGATGCCGCAGAAACAAGCTGCGGTGCCCACCCCTCGACAACACTTCCCCACCCTGCGGCCGATGTCTGGCCCTGGGCTCGCTATGCAGCACAACCCTCCCAGGCCGCAAAGGCAGTTTATCGACCACTACGCCCGGTAGCCTGAATACGGGAGCCATTCGACCTAAAAAGCAAGCATCACTCTCTCCCCAGGCTCCTTGCGACACGCTCATGTCCTCGTCATCATTAGGCACCGAATTCCCCGTCACACTCTCTGTCGTTTCCAACACAGTCTCCCAAGGTTGGCCATGGTCCACCCCGGACACCAACATGGGTAGATCATTTTGCTCCCCGAGGACCCGATTTGGGACCATGCATTGTCCATGTTCAAATCCGAACTCAACGGACCCGAGGACACGACTTTATTGAAAGGGTTGCACTTGCAAAATAGCCATGAGCAGGACTTGGCCACTCTGAATCGTGGTGGCATGGGCATCGTCCAATTCCATAAGCTCTACTCGAGCAATAGGGGCTGAGTTGGACTTTGGTCTAGGCTCGACGGTGGAGAATGCTCAGCTGTCGACCGGCGAGTGCAACTCTCGCCTCTACCGCCTCCGTCTGGACCTTAGCAATGCGTTGCAGCAGTGTCTGGAGGATTCGGCTGGCTTCTGGGATGGAGTTATGTCAGACTTGGGTTCGTCCCGGGATGTGATGGAACAGGAAATTGCGCGAAACCCGTCCGGCGAGACATTAGCACCAGTTCAAGACACTCGAAAAGGTGCTGCCACTGCTAGGCGAGCTACGTGTGTCCAAGCGCCGCGAACCCTGCTCGGGTGGCCTGTTTGGCCGCCACCAGATGACTCGGGTTTTAGTCGACGGCTTCTTGGCCTCGAGTACGCAATGTCTCGAGGTACATGACAGCCTCAGAGCGAACATCGACAAGGTAAAGAGACTTTTGGATATAAATTCGAAATCGACCAAAGGGGTTGGAAGCGAGCCACATGCAGAACAGAACTGGGGTCCAAGAGGCGATGAAAGAGGGATTACTCCTTCTGAAGCGTGGTAGACAATAGAGGTAGATGGAGTGGATTGATTCGAGGCAAGCAAGATAGGCCGCCGCTACACAGAGATTTGGTGCTATACCCGAGTGGGATAGTCACGGTATTTGAGTCTGTTACACTGGAATATCAGGTTACCCATATTATTGCACCCTTCGTTGCGCCGGTCATTTGCCACCTACTTGCCTGAATCCCATGGAGTTGGTGATGTCGTTGCTAGTGGTTGCCGAAATCCTCCTAGCGGATATTACTAGCCTTACCGGAATGCGCAACCGTGCAGCGCAGACCCGTTGAAATTGTCGTACCGTTTGGCGCCAGTTCGCACGGCCAGGTACTTTGTTTATGTAGAGCATGTTCATGGTCTGGCGTGTCACGCCGTTTTAGCTTATTTCAACGACTGTCCGCAGAAAGGCACAACCGGGCTAAATAGTTTCTTCCCGCCTAGAACATTTGTCTAAAGCATAACTTCAAGCGCGACTCTGCCAGATAGACCTAGACTTGCGGTATTTATTCGATATCCCGGCTGCATTTGAGGTCTTGCAGCAACTCTGCCCGCCCCTCTTACGTCAGGTCGCAATCACTCAGCTATTTGGCCTATGCTCCTCCGAGAAAGAGACCCGGCAAACTATCCAATGGCGATGATTAACGCACTCGGACGCAGGGTCCCGCTTGGAGCTGCAACATCGGGGCTGCAACGGAGGCCGGAAGCTCTCTGATTGATTCCGGCTTCCGTCTGTGCCTCTGAGAGCAGTCTCATTGACAACACCAGCTGTCTGAAACGCGTTTATGGAGTATGTGATCATGAATTGTCGGCAACCAGAAGGGAGCGCTTAACATGCGCTCATTTGTACACGTAGGGGGCTCGAGACCGTCAAATAATATATTACGTGACTTACATGTTTCCCAAGACACCAATTTGACACCCATGCCTTGAAGCTTCTTCGTCTGGACAAGCAACTTTGACAATTTCCAAAACTTCATAGGGCGCCCACGACTTCAACACAAACATGGCTCCAATATTGAACGAGCCTATCGCCATCGTAGGCAGTGCCTGCCGCTTTGCTGGCGATGCTACATCACCCTCGAAGCTCTGGGAGCTCCTGCGCGAGCCCAAGGATGTACGGCGAGAGATTCCCGACGAGAGGTTCAGTGCCAAAGGCTTCTACCATGTCAACAATGCGCACCACGGCCATACCAACGTGCGTCATGCCTACATGATCAACGAGGACGTCGCCAAGTTTGACACGGAGTTCTTCGGGATCAAGCCCGTAGAAGCGCGGGCCATTGATCCTCAGCAACGACTTCTCATGGAGACTGTCTACGAGGGCTTGGAGGATGCCGGTCTTGCTATGAATGGCCTGCGTGGCTCGGATACCAGCGTCTATGTAGGTGTCATGCGTAACGACTATGAGGATTTGTTGTTGCGCGAACTGCAATCCGCGCCAACCTACCATTCCACTGGCATCGGTCGCAGCATCTTGTCCAACCGGTGGGTAGATCCCGTCATACGCCTTGCTATCCTAACTGACCCTTCTCACCAGCATATCTTACTTCTTCGATTGGCACGGGCCTTCTATTACCATGGACACAGCTTGCTCGTCCAGTTTGGTAGCCGTTCACATGGCCGTACAAGCCCTGCGCTCTGGCGAGTCGCGCGTTTCGGTGGCCTGCGGCTCGAACCTGCTTCTCGGCCCTGAAAACTTCATCTTCGAGAGCAAGCTGAAAATGCTTTCCCCTGATGGCCGCAGCAAGATGTGGGACCGTGATGCGAACGGATATGCTCGTGGCGATGGCGTTGCAGTCGTCGTCATGAAGACGCTTAGCCAGGCAATCGCTGATGGCGACAGCATCGACTGCATTATCCGAGAAACAAGCCTTAACCAGGATGGTGCTACAACCGGTATCACGATGCCCAGTGCCGTAGCACGAAAAGCCCTGATCCGCGCCACATATGAAAAAGCCGGCCTGGATATCCAGGCTGAGACAGATCGCCCGCAATACTTCGAGGCGCATGGTACAGGTAAGTCTCAAATCGTGACCATGATCTCGAGACCTTTTATCTTACGCTTTCCCCCTTTCTCCTTTATCAGGGACCCCAGCCGGTGACCCGATCGAGGCTGAAGCGATTGCCAAGGCCTTTTACGGAGACAAAATGGAATCTCGACATGGAGCCCACCCTCTGTACGTGGGTTCCATCAAGACTGTGCTCGGTCACACCGAGGGGACGGCTGGTATAGCGGCTATATTGAAGGCGTCGCTGGCGTTGCAGAACTCTCTCATCCCGCCGAATCTTTTGTTCCACAACCTGAGCGATGGCGTGAAGCCTTTCTACGACAACCTCGAAATCCCGACTGCGGCTAGGCCATGGCCTGCTGCAAAGGGAGGGCTCCGGCGTGCCAGCGTGAATAGCTTTGGGTTCGGGGGAGCAAAGTAAGTTTATCATATCAACAACGGCTTATTTGCCATTTACTGAAATTCTTTTCCCAGCGCCCACGCGATCCTCGAAAGTTACGACGGACCCAGTCCAGCTTCTCCTGATGACTCAAACACCACTCTCTTCACCCCTTTCGTCTTTTCGGCGTTGTCGGAACAGTCTTTGCGCATGGGACTCTCAGACTATTCAGCTTTCCTCGAGTCCAATCACGGCGTGGATGCCAAGAATCTAGCCTACACCTTGCGCCATCGCCGCTCTGTCTTTCCGTACCGTGTCTCATTCACTGCCAGCTCAACCGAGGACTTGAGGTCCAAGATGGCGGGTGTGCTGAACGATGAGAGTTCACCTGTTGGTGTCAGAGCCCTGCCCGCTTCTGCCAGGGCGGCTCCCAAGATATTGGGCGTCTTTACTGGCCAAGGTGCGCAATATGCTCGTATGGGCGCCGAGTTGCTGGAGTATTCAACCATGGCTCGACGTATAATCCAAGACCTTGAGTCCTACCTTGAGCCACTTCCCGATCGTCCCACCTGGTCTCTGCAAGCTGAGTTACTTGCTAGTTCTAAGACTTCCCGCGTTGGAGAGGCGAATGTGAAGTTGGATGCAGTTGTGGGCCATTCATCGGGTGAAATCGCCGCGGCTTACGCATCCGGATTCTTGACTGCGCGCGACGCCATGGTCGTGGCCTACTACCGTGGCCTACACGCCCAGCTCGCAGCGAGCCCTACTGGTGCCAAGGGCGCTATGTTGGCTGTCGGTACCTCGATGGAAGACGCTGAAGTGCTTTGTAATGATGAGGAGTTTATTGGCCGCATAAACGTGGCTGCAAGCAACTCGTCCTCGAGCGTAACTATCTCGGGGGATGAGGATGCCGTCGACGACCTTCTGATCATTCTCCAAGATGAGAACAAGTTCAGCCGCAAACTTCGAGTCGATAAAGCCTACCATTCCAGACACATGTTTCCGGCTTTTGATCCCTATGTACAGTCCGTCCGTGCATCTGGAGTGAAGGCACGGAAGCCTACTGAAGACAACAAGTGCGTCTGGTTCTCGAGTGTGTATAACAAACCAGTGTACTTGGGAACAGAATTCGATTTCCAGTTGAGCGATACATACTGGGCCGAGAACATGACAAAACCTGTGCTTTTCTCCCAGGCTCTGAGCACTGCCTTAGCCTCTGGTACCGAATACGATATCGCCATCGAGATTGGCCCCCATCCGGCACTCAAAGGACCCGCAAGCCAGACCATACAAGAGGTCTTGGAGAAGGAGATTCCGTACATTGGCACTTTGGTCCGAGCCACCGACGCCGTTGCTAGTCTGTCCACAGGCCTTGGATCCCTTTGGACCCGTCTTGACAAGAACTCGATCGACCTGGACCGGTTTGACAACGCTGTGAGTGGCAACAGCAAGCGGTCATACAGTGTTGTGAAGGGTTTGCCTACATATCCTTGGAACCACGGCGTTTCGCATTGGCATGAATCTCGAAGGTCGCTTAAGCTACGGACAAGGAAAGATGCGCCCCACCCCCTTCTCGGTGACGTGTCTCCTGACAGCGCTCCGCATTCCCTGGAATGGCATAACCTACTACGTGCTAGCGAGCTTCCTTGGTTGGATGGGCATCGTGTACAGAGTCAGACTGTTTTCCCAGCAGCTGGTTACGCATCAACGGCTTTCGAAGCCGCCAAGTCTCTTGCCGAGGGGAAGTCGATCCGGCTGCTCGAGCTGAACAACCTCAATATCCGCCAAGCCGTGGATTTTAGCGACGAGGAGGCTGGTGTGGAAGTCGTCATCAGGTTGACCGGGATAGATCACGCTTCATCGCATCATATCAAGGCTGAGTTCAGCTTCTCGGCCGATCTAGGATCAAACGAACTGACTCTTGCTGCCACTGGTGATTTGGATGTATTCCTTGGTGAGCCCTCGCCTTTCATCTTTCCCGAACGGGCCGCCACTCCTCCGCATACCATTGCTGTCGAAACAGAGCGTTTCTACCGTTCCCTGGCAGACCTGGGCTACAACTTCAGCGGGCGTTTCCAGTCACTATCTGGCCTGCGCAGAAAGCATGGGCTCTCGACGTGCCACATCAACATGGTGGCACACGAAACGGGAGAAGAGGCATTGTTCGTGCACCCTGCCAAGCTAGACGCCTCATTCCAAAGCATCATTCTGGCCTATGCGTACCCATACGACGAGCAGTTACGCATCATGCACCTCCCAACCAGCATTTCACGCATCAGAGTGAATCCAGCGCTTTGCGGACAGCGAGACAGCGACGAGCAATCACATGTTGATGCATGGCTCCGCCCAATCGCCGATGGACAGGGGTTTACCGGAGACTGCACCATATATTCCAAACATAGCGCCAGCGCAGCCATTCGTGTGGAAGGCGTGACGCTCCGACCTCTCGGCAGCATGACTGCTTCTGATGATAGGAAGGTCTTCTCGAAAATGCACTGGTTCCCTAGCGAGCCGGACATGGGCGATGCCTCTGCTGACACGACTGTCACTGAGGAGGACAGGCAGGTCCTGAGAATGCTTGAACGCATGTCAACATACTACTTGCGTGAGTTCGACAAGCAGATTCCAGCGGACGCTCTCGCCAGGCGCGAGCGTCCCAACAGCTGCTATTTGAATTATGCTCAGCACATGACAGCTCTTGTGGCCAGAGGTGAAAATCCGTGGGTCGAAAAGGAATGGCAGCAAGATACGCTGGCGGATGTCTACAAAGCCACCGACCCATACGAGGATCTGATTCCCGACGTGAAGATCATGCATCTGGTCGGCCAGCAGATGCCCCGTGTCTTCCGGGGAGAGACCACCATGCTTGCAGAGTTCCGCGAGTCTGGTCTCCTCGATGACTACTACACAGTCGGCTTCGGATTCAAGCAGGTTTGCAAGTGGCTGAGCCGAGTGCTTGTCCAGATCTGCAACCGGTACCCACACATGAACATTCTGGAGATCGGCGCTGGGACGGGTGGTGCTACCAAGAGCATCCTCCCAGCTTTGGACCGAAACTTCCTTAGCTACACCTTTACCGACGTTTCAGCCGGCTTCTTCGACAATGCCGCTACCCTCTTCTCCGACTACAAGGACCAAATGCGCTTCAAGGTGTTTGATCTTGAAAAAGACCCGCTTGATCAGGGGTATGCTGAGGGCTCGTATGATGTCATCGTTGGATCTCTGGTTGTCCACGCTACTGCCGAGCTGGAAAAGACTATGCACTATCTGCGAAGGCTCCTGAAGCCAGGCGGCCTTCTGGTCATTGGAGAAGGCTGCCGCAATTGCACGACTGGCGGCTTTATATTCGGGCCTCTGGCTGGGTGGTGGCTCGGTGTTGATGAGGGCAGGGCCTTGACTCCTTTCGTCAGTGGCGAGGAGTGGGATCGGATCCTGAAGGCAACTGGCTTTTCAGGCGTCGATACGGCCACGCCAAAGGAACAAGAGGATGTCTACGGCGTTACTGTCTGGGTCGCTCAGGCAACCAACGACGAGGTCCATTTCATTCGAGAGCCCCTATCTTCGCCGCCCGAGGCTCATCGGATCGAGAAGCTTGCCATCGTTGGTGGCAAGACCGCCAAGACGGCCCACCTCGTGGAGGCTCTGCAGTTAATTCTTATGCCCTATGCTGCCGATAAAATCCGTGTCTTCAAGACCCTGGCCGATGTTGATTATGACTTTGCCGATGCGACTTCCACGGTGGTCAGTCTGGCAGACCTTGACGGGGCAGTATTCGACGACATCCAACCAAGTGAGTGGCATGACCTCAAACGAATGTTTGAAGTGGGAAAGACACTTCTGTGGTTGACCAGTGGCCGAGAATCGGACCAGCCGTATGCAAATATGATGGTTGGCTTCGGCCGCACGGCTCATCTTGAGACGCCGGGCCTCCGGCTACAATTCCTGGATGTACCAGACGCGACCAAGCTTGATGCTAGGAAGATCGCAGAGGCTCTTCTGCGGCTTCAGGTTGAGGTTCCAGAGGACAGGACTGACATACTGTGGACCGTGGAATCGGAAATTGTCCTGGATGCCTCGGACCATCATTTCATCTCGCGGCTTCGCGCCATGCCTGAGGCGAATGACCGGTATAACTCTGCCTTCCGCCCGATCCAGCATGAGGTAGACATCGGCCAGTCTGCGGTCCAACTGCAGCGGGAACCCGCTGGTTATGTTCTCAAGGAATTGTCCCATTATGGCACGTCAGAGAGCTCAGAGACGACGGTTGCGTTGCGCATAACTCATTCGCTTCTATACGCACTCGGGACCCCTGTGGGCCCAAAGTTCCTAGTGCTGGGTGAGAGCACTGGAACCAAATACATGGCCCTTGTTCCATCCTTGACATCCGTTCTCAATATTCCTGCTAAGGCGATAGTCTCTTGTGAGCTGGGTGGTCTCCCCGAAGCCACTATTCTTTCACTAGCAGCCGCCTATTTGGTCGCGGCAGCGATTTGCGATCCTCTTGTTGCTGGTGAGACGCTGGCTGTACATAATGCACCGAGCCTACTCCATCAGGCGATCAGTGCTGAGGCCCTGGAGAAGAATCTGGGAGTTGTATTTACCACCGACTCCGCAGAAGAAGCAGAAGCTGATTCAGCCCTGCCGATCCCTCCCTACCTCAGCAGAGCAGAAGCCAGCCGTTTTTTGCCTGAAGGCACCCGGGCTTTCGTTGGGCTCTCCAACCACACCATTCGACGATCCGACAATGAGCTCACAATGCTGGCGGCTCTCTCTCGGCATGTTCGCAAGGAGACAGTGGAGACGTTGTATTCTGCCGATGCGACTCCCGCTGTTGCTTCATCAGCTGGATTATTGAACAGCTTAGCTCAGAGGGCATTCAAATATGCTCAATCATACTCAGGCAGCGCGCAGGCTTCCAATACCACCTCCACCGTCCTTGCCCTCGAGGACCTCGTTGGAAAACAGATCCCAGTCGAGCTCTCGACGATTGTAGATTGGTCAAAGTCTCCCAAACAGCTAGCCAATGTGTCTAGGCTAGACTCCAGGCCTATGTTCAAGGCTGATAAGACCTACTGGATGGTGGGGTTGTCTGGAGCGCTTGGAATATCGCTTTGTGACTGGATGATCGAATGCGGTACTCGCTATCTTGTTTTGACGAGTCGCAACCCTAATATTGCACCCGAGTGGGTACGAGCCCACGACCGCAAGGGGGTCAAGGTGACCATCATTCCATGGTAAGATAAGGATTTGCATGCCTTCTCCCCTCTCCTCCTCCTGCCCAGAGCTGATGTATCCAGCGATGTCACCGATGAGCCGCGCCTTCGCTCGGTACACAAGACCATCTGTGATACACTTCCGCCCATCGCCGGTGTACTAAATGGCGCCATGGTTTTGCGAGATGTCTCGATCCTCAACATGACGTACGAACAGTTCATGGGTGTAGCTCGGCCAAAAGTTCTTGGAAGCGTGTATCTCGATCGAATTTTCGATCACCAACCCCTCGATTTCTTCATCTTCTTTTCGTCCATTAACGGTGTCGTTGGTAATCTGGGACAGGCTAATTACACCGCGGCCAACATGTTCATGTGTGCCATGGCAGCGAACCGGAGAAAGCGTGGCCTGACGGCCTGCGCTTTGGACGTGGGCGCCATCGTTGGGGCCGGGTATATGGAGAGAGAATCCAGCAAGGCTCTCGACTTAACCGTCTCTAAAATGGCCTTGATGCATCTGTCGGAGGAGGACTTCCACCAGCTGTTTGCTGAAGGCATCGAAGCCGGTCTTCCCAATTCTAGGGATGGACCCGAAGTCTCGACTGGTCTCTTGGACGTCGCGGCGAACGCTGATGAGCGGCCCAGGTGGTGCAAAGACCCCAAATTCTTGCACTTCATCAACCACCGAACAGGCTCCAGCGGCGAAAAGTCTAGACAGGCGGCCTCTCTATCCATAGCAGACATGCTGAAAGGCTGCAAGACCGAAGGCGAGCTTCTCAAGGTCATTCAAGGTATGTGGCCTTTCTCCAATTCATGTTTTAGTGGGTAGGATCTTTTCTGACGTAACTACCAGACACGTTCGCAGCACAGCTTCGAAATATCCTCCAGATGACCACGCCCGACAAGCACCTCATGACTATGCGAAGTAGCGAGATTGGCCTGGACTCTCTTATCTCCGTCGACGTTCGGTCTTGGTTCCTGAAGAACTTCCACGTCCGCATACCCGTGCTCAAGATCATGGGAAATGACACGATGGCGAATCTCGCCAAGCATGTAGCCGAAAACGTGCCGCCTGAGCTGATCCCCCAGATAGGTGCAGGCAAAAGTCAGGATGTTCCTGCTCACCCTCCAGCTACTAGCTCGGTCCCACCGAGCAAGGGCCCTGCTTCCACCGACGAGCGTAAAGCAGCGAAAACTCACCCGTTGATTCAAAGACGCTAACTCCAGATGGTCAGCAGTCTTTGGCTGCCACCACTGTCGATCAGTCTCGGTCTCCTTCACCGCCAGGTGATGAGTTGATGTTGGTGGATCTACTGGCAAGATTGACTATGATGCGGAATCCACGCCTCCTTGCAGACTTCGCCGACCTCGCGCTCCAAGCTGGGAATTCTCCTGCTGCAAAGTCGCAACCAGAAGTTGTTCTTCTTACAGGAGTGAGCGGCTTGCTTGGAAATCACCTGCTGAACCATCTGCTCGAGGAGAACCAAGTCGAGAAAGTCATATGTGTGGCTGTACGCCAACTGTCGGAGCGTCTCGTGTCTAAACAACTTCCCCAGCACGAACGAGTGTCGTATTTCAAAGGTGACTTGCGTTCTGTGCGTCTCGGACTCTCCATGGAAGACGCTGCCGCTATTTTCAGCGAAGTTGACGTCATCCATGATGGAGCTGATACCTCGCACCTCGAATACTACCCTTCCATCAAGAGCGCGAACGTCGACTCAACTCTCTGGCTAACACGCATGTGCTTGCCGCACCAAATCCCCATGCACTACGTATCGTCAGTGGGCTGCTAGGGCCACCGCTGTGGGCTTGCACCCTACTGTGGCGGCGCTGATTGAGGAGATGGATGCGCCTGGTACTTCATACCCGAGGATGCTTAGAGGATGAGTAGTGTTGCTGAAAAGGGGGATACATTTCGTCGCGGAAATACCGGATCTGGGTCTATTGTGTGATTGTATAAACAATCAGCAACTTATCAATCAACTTTTTATCTCTCACATAATGATTTCTTGCGAAATAGATTCAGCATGAGGCCTTGGGTGACGTGGACGTGTTCAATCAGTTCATCTACAAATGCAATATGAATTTAAACATCAGTCCGCGGTGGCGCCCAGGATCCGTACAGCGCTGCTGACTTGCCAAAATCTTCTGGTCATCCACACAGAGTGGTCAGCTGCCCACTATGCAGCTCAGGGAAGTTACGGATAATGGCAATGGAAGCAACGAGAGCAAGTATGCAGACCTCAGGGGCCACGTTGCCACCAAGGCCATCCTCTTCCAAACTCAGAAGCCGCTGCCCTCTGCGCTTCCCCTCTACCACACTAATTAGCACAGCGAGGGTCTGCCGCGTGAGCAGGGAGGTACAGCAGGGTTTTCTGGTCTTAGTGAGCGTACGATGCCACAGGTGAATTAGTTATTGGTCTATTTGCAGATGGTGAATATGCCCGGCCAACCCTCTCTAACAATGACCGCAGATAATCATTGGCTGACGCCCAATGCTGAATAGGGTTTCTCCATGTACCAAACGGTGACCGAGAAGAGTAATCAAGACCTGCTCTTGCTAAAGAAGCGGATCGACCGCACGTCGGCTAAGAGAGGTGTGTTGAACAAGGGTGGACAGAAGGCAGCCGAGGAGGGACCTGATCACTGGTGCTACGTCGCTGAGCCCATTGATGACTTTGAGGTCGTGGCCAAGGACGAGGCTGAGAGTGGGTTCTAGAGATGTATTTCATTGTGAGTGCCAGATGACTGCAGATTAACTGTCTGTTGTTTGGGGCGATGCCAATACTTTGTCCGAGCATGGCTGCAAATCTGGACTGGGAACTATCCATAGCAGATGATGCCAGTGATGGACGAGAGTCCATACACTTGTTGATGGGCTCAGAATTAGCCACTTCATGTGAAAAGCACTAGACAACAACGATGGTTGACGGGCAAATCCCATGCTCTTCGCGTATCGTGTATACTGCTCGACTGACACGGTCGGCAATTAAGGAGAAGCAAGTGCTGCGAACATAGGATAATGGATCCAGCCGAATGACTTCAAAGTCGACTTCCTTGTCAACACCATAAGGAGAGCAGACAATGACCAACTCGATATGCTACCAGGACGAAAACCACCTCATCGTATGAGTATTGGACTCAATAACACGCATAATGTCAGGTCCCTCTCTGACAGCAGAATGAGCCGCAATCCACCTCATCAAGCATGCAATTTGACTTGATCATCCGACATTTGCGTCTCTTGTTGAAGTCAACTCTAGTGAGGGGCAGTTACACACTCGATGTTTAAAGGCTCCGAAACGCGTTGGAAGACCTAATTGGAAATTGCGAGTGGGGAATAGTTTTGCCGGGCCGTTGAAATTTCCAAAGTTCGTAGTCTAGGTCGGCTTGATCCCACCTTCGACAGCAGCACAAGGCAGAAGGAAGCACTAGACAGCTCAAGAACACCACATCACAGGATCGAAATTGCCCGAAACGTCGCCGACTGACCGTTTGACACCACCACAAGCCACCGAAGCTCAAAAGAGCTGTGAAAACCGTCAAGATGGCAATGAGTACGCCCGCCCGATTACCCCACCATGCAGTCTTTGGTTGCTAATATGGAGCCCCAGATCTCGACCTTTCGAATGGTATGCGCATTCGCAACGACGGAACGTCTCAGACGCTGATGTGGTTATATAGCTTCTGTAATGAAGGATGAGCAGGGACGACCCTTCATTATCGTCCGAGAGTACGTTTTGTTCACCCTCGCCCCGCCTGGATCGGGCCAAGTCCTGACCGTTACTTAACAGTCAGGGCAAGAAGAAGCGCCAGTACGGCAACGAAGCTGTCAAGTCACACATTTTGGCAGCCCGCACTGTCGCAAACATTGTCAAGACCTCTCTGGGTCCCCGTGGGCTCGACAAGATCCTTATTTCTCCCGATGGCGACATCACCGTAACCAATGATGGCGCAACTATCCTACAACAGATGGAGATTTCCAACCATGTGGCGAAGCTGCTCGTTGAGCTTTCCAAGTCACAAGATGACGAGATTGGTGACGGAACAACTGGTGTAGTGGTGCTGGCAGGCGCTCTCCTCGAGCAGGCTGCCGAGCTTATTGACAAGGGCATCCACCCCATCCGAATCGCCGACGGGTACGACCAAGCGTGTGATATTGCAGTGGCAGAGCTGGATCGCATATCAGACACCATTGAATTCAACCAAACAAACACACAGAACCTCCTCAAGGTCGCACGGACGAGTTTAGGCAGCAAGATCGTTTCCAAGGCACATGACCAGTTCGCCAAGATCGCCGTTGATGCTGTTTTATCAGTTGCCGATCTAGAGCGGAAAGACGTCGACTTCGAGCTCATCAAGGTTGACGGAAAGGTGGGCGGCGCGCTGGAGGATTCCCTATTGGTAAAGGGCGTCATCGTCGACAAGGACTTCTCACATCCCCAGATGCCCTCTGAGGTCAAGGATGCCAAGATTGCCATCTTAACATGCGCTTTCGAGCCTCCTAAGCCCAAGACCAAGCACAGACTTGATGTCACGTCAGTGGAGGAGTTTAAGAAGCTGCAGAACTACGAGCGTGAGAAGTTCATTGAGATGATCCAGCAGATCAAGGACACGGGTGCCAACTTGGTAATTTGCCAGTGGGGTTTCGATGACGAGGCAAACCATTTGCTGCTACAGAACGATCTGCCTGCGGTAAGGTGGGTTGGTGGTCCGGAGATCGAGCTCATTGCTATTGCGACAAACGGCAGAATAGTACCGCGGTTCGAAGACCTGAAGGCGGAGAAGCTCGGCAAGGCTGGTATCGTGCGAGAGATGACTTTTGGTACGACGAGGGAGAAAATGCTGGTGATTGAGGAATGCGCAAACACTAGGGCTGTTACCGTCTTCGTTAGAGGCAGCAACAAGATGGTAAGTCCTGACAACTCTAAACTCACCCCATCACTAGCTGACAGGTCAATAGATCATCGACGAAGCCAAGCGCTCCCTGCACGATGCCTTGTGTGTGGTGCGAAATCTGGTGCGCGACAACCGCGTTGTCTACGGTGGAGGTGCCGCAGAGATTGCCTGCTCACTGGCTGTTGAGGACGAGGCAGTCAAGACACCCGGCCTGGAGCAGTACGCTATGCGTGCCTTCGCCGAGGCTCTTGATGCTGTCCCCATGGCTCTCGCAGAGAACAGCGGTCTAAATCCCATCGCAACTCTTGCTGAAGTCAAGTCACAACAAGTCAAGGGTGGAGAATCGAGCCGCGGCAAATTGGGTGTTGACTGCATGGCTAGTGGAAGCAACGACATGAAGGAGGCGTTTGTGATTGATCCATTGATCGGCAAACGGCAACAACTAATGTTGGCTACACAACTGTGCCGCATGGTGCTGAAAGTCAACAACGTCATTGTAAGCGGTTCAGGGGAGGACGATTTCTAGATGCCCAAGTTTGTTGTTAGGAAACCAAAAAGGCGCAGCCAAAGGAAGGCTTGTACCGTGCATGGATGAGCTACATAGACTATTGCAAAGGTCATGATACCTGAATTATAGATGAAGCACATATCTGAACCTCGCCTTTACTAGGAATAAATCTGTCGCTAGCCGCGAGAGTGTGAATGACGCGAGGAGACGGGGCAGAGTGATCCGACCAAGCTAGCCGGCGTTGTGGCGCTGCGACAATCAAAGCCGCTGGTATTAAATACTGATCTCATCCTGTATCCTACCATGGGGTTTAATTAGGGCCACCAGCTTAGACGTGTTGATACGGGTCTCGGCCAAGCATTTCAGGTTACTCAAGACCAAGATTGACTTCACATCGATTGGGTAGAGTTCACCTAGTCGGCTGCGATGCCTATATAATGGCCAAAATCAATACATCCTACACGCTCGAGCTAGAAACGCAGCTATATACTCTATAAACGCTGGGAGGTCGAAAGGACGGAAGGCAACCTAGCCACCAAGGCGCAGTACTGAGATGCCTGTCTTCCTCATGCCGTCTACCACTTTTTTGTAACGCTCTATGCAAACCCAAACCCCTGCGCATTCTCTAGTGCCATAGCGAGCCTCTCCCTTAACACCTCTTTATCCCTATACTCAGGCAGGAGCAGCGTCCCATAACACGTATAAGCCGTAGGCAAATGCCCGTCCTCGCCTTCCTCCTCGCCGTTCTTCTGGACAACAAACTGGACATTCCGCATACCGCCAACGGGGACGCGGTCGCTGGCGGTGACGAACTCTAGCAGCTTGCGCTTCATGCGGTCGTCGTAGCGCTTGACGATGCTCCAGAAATCGCGGACGGTGCGGTGGTTGGCATCCCAGCTGACGTAGCGCGTGGCGCGGCGCAGGTCCGCGATATCGATCTCCTGCGTGCCTTCAACGATGGACTGCAGGAGGGAAGGGGTCAGGAGCCGAAGGGACTTGGGGCGCAGACAGGTGCGGAAGCCGCGGGCGAAAGCGGCGAATTGAGGGGCGATGCTGATGTCGGTTAAATATCGGATGTAGTCGCTGACGTATGCGTTGCGGTTGTCGCCCGTGACGAGGGGTGCGTCGTCTGGATTGGAGGATGCCAGAGAGTCTGCAGCCGGATGACGGGAGAATTGAGGCCATGGCGTGCCTTTGGAGCCTTCCATTTGGCGGGATACGGGTTGGCCAAACATGGAGATGGAGAATTCGTACGTGCGCGCAAAAACGTCTTCTACGGCACCGTCTTTTTCGTCCCATTCAAGAAGGGTTGTGAGGCCGTTGGCCAAGTCCGGCCATCCGTCAGCAATGTGATGCAGCTCGGTGACGGGCTCGCCGAGCAGTTTCTGGTACAGAGCTTTAGGGAATGTGATGGGGAGAGTGAGACCATTGTAGACGGCCAAAGAAATGAGCAACCCGATGAGCTCGAACTTCCACTCGGGCTGGAGCGAGCCGGGCTGAAACCACGTCATCCTCGTTCTTTCGTCAATCGTAAAGGCGCCGTAGTCGGGGTTCAACGCTTCTGCGATGGCCAGTCTGAAAAACTCCTGCTGAACGCCCCCGGAATCAAAGCCTTCCTCCCCGCTGTCTTCGCCCAGGTGGACTTTGAGCGGCCTCATGAGCTCACGTTTTTCCCGCCTCCAGAGCTGATCGAAAGCATCCCTGATGACAGTCTTACGGCCGATGTCGAGGATTAGGAATTTAGCTGATGGAGTCTTGAGAAGATCTTGTAGGACACTCTTTTGATGCAGATCTGTGACAAGACTCTCGGGTTCGATAATAGCCCTAATCCGGCTCTGTAGCGAACTCGATTCCTCGTACGATCGGCTCATCCGAGAGAAATTGATCGCTCTAAAGTATGAAACTAAGGATGACGGGTGAAATATGTAGGGGTAGTCTAAGAGGTGCACTTTCCGCCTAGTAGAGTTGAATGCCAACCACGACACCGGTACCTCAATGGGGTCGAGCCGGTCACCGAAATACTCGGCGCGAAAGGCAACATCTGCTAGCAAAAGAGAATTCTTTTTTCGATCTGCGGCATCAATCAGTATAAACTATGCAACGTTGAATGGCTAAGCCATGTTGACTCACGCATGGCCGCAATCAGGCAGAGGGCACCACCAAAGGAGCCATCACCGGACACATCAGGCCTTCCCTCCCAGTCATTCAGCATTACAGCTCGCGCCCAGTCAAGCATCAAAATTGGGATCCGCTTTTCATGCATCTCTCGCTCGGCGTGAGAGAAGTTGAGAGAAGGTGTTGTCTCAGTTGGCGGGGAGTATTCAAGATGGTCGAGAAGAGTATCCAGAACATCTGGCTCTGCGGAACCTTCTTCATCATTAGAGTCGAGATCGTGCTCTATTAGCTCGTCGAAATATCGGCGTGTGGGGATCGCAGCAAGTAGTCTCCTAGCCAGTCTCAACGCCATGTCATCTGAGAAAGCATCTTGATAAAGAAGACACAATCTTGAAGATTGTCTGGCAACGCCACCGGATTCTGCGAGTATCAACCCTCGAGACCTTATACGTGACATGTCCAAGAGTTGTCTAGAGTCAGTCACGAAGGGTGCTGCAGCAACCAGCGCATGGAAGCAAACTGCAAGAATAAAACCCGCCTCTTTGTTTGTGAGGGACCTCCCTTGTGTGGGGAAAACCTTTGCTGTAGGCGACCTTGATGACTGCAATGCCTTGGGAGGGGCGAAGAGACTTGCTGAAGCGACCCACAAGCTGTCGAACACCACGCTCGGCGCGACTCTCGTCATTCGTAGCATACAATACCACAAGGACTGTGAATCAACTAATCCCCTGTGGCTTGTAAAGGAATCCAAAATAGCCTGTGGGTCGCTGAGCACATTGAAAATGCTCTGCTCGACGAACAGTTTCCATTCGAGCTTTAAGTTGCGAGGGTACGGACGCTCAACTTTTCTCTGCCGTTTCCAAGGTTTCGATTTCATCGGCGAACGCTTTAAAATCCCAGACACAGTTGGTGACTCGAACAGGTGGTTCTCCGCCGTGCCGTCTTCTTGGAGTATATCGCAGAGGAGATTGATGGCTGGGAAACTCAGGCGGCATAATGATTGTGGCAGCAGGTCGTCCAGCTCAGGGGTTGAACTTGAAGCTTGGTTGTCTAAGTTGGATGCACCCAACTCGTTCGGTGTGTAGACTGACGGTAAAGTCTCGCCGACACTGGATGCATCTCCGCCGTTAACACCATCTAGCTCGTGTTTCTGGTCGTCTGCGTTCAAGGCTTCGTCGGCCTCAACAGGCTGCTCGCCAGAGACAATCTTGGGCAGTTTGTCATCCGATGATCGGCGAGACACGTTCGAGGAAGACCTGCTCATGAGGCTCTTGGTGGCCTGCTCGAGTAGTGATATACGGGGCGAAATGAGTCGGGCATCGTCTGGATGTGCATCCGAAAAGTGCTCCTTAGGCACTTTGATCTGTGGCTTTGATATGGAAGATGTTCGCAGGCGGTTGCTAGAATGTTTCCTCGTGTGTCCTGGCCGAATTTCAACGCTCGGGTCGGAGGTTGAATTATCAAATCCTCGGTCGGGACTCTTCCCAATACCGTCAACATCTGGCCCTTGGTTTGGTGTCTCACTTGGGGATCGTTCAGGCCTTATTGAGCTGTCGGGGGTGTTCTCTTGCTCATTGTCAACCGAAGAGGGAGCGGATGTTGCACTTGGCAGGAACAAGCTATCTTCCGCATCATCCGCATCCGAGTCAACTATTTCTTGCTGATGTGCAGCTTTATAAGCGTCATTTGAAATGGCTTCCATGTTGTTCGGGGTGAGCCATTCAAGCATCTTGAAAGCCACGGTCCCAAATACATTGGCAGCAAATGATCGATAGTCCTTGCTCGCAGGCCGTTCTCTGATAGATATTTGCGGTGCCAAGCTTGACAGTGAGGAGGGCTGGCTATCTCGAGAAATAGCACTGTTGTTTCTATTGTGGGCTTCGCTGGCATCCTTATTACCAGCACGCGAAACGCGAGGCTTGACCCGCGGCGCATCTTTCTGCCCCGGTGATCCGCTGCGGGCATGTCCATTAACTTGCTTGAATGCATGGCCTTCTCTCGGTTCTTTAGTTACCCGGCCGGATGGTCCAAATATCAGAGGTTTGATGGCATCGCTCGGCCCTTGTGGGGTCTGCAAGTATGGGCACATCCGACTTTCTGCATTGTCTTGGCTCGCCATGTATATTGCCAACGTTCTCGCACTCGATGGACTGTACCGTCGGATGGGGGCCTTTCCAGCCAGTCGCTTTCGACATTTGAAGCACGAGGGTGTCGGACAGCTATCGTAGTCGCAGCCATATCGGAGCTGAAGTATGAACCTGCAATGGCAGCCGTAGTTAGCAACCCAAATCCATCATCGCATTATTTCGACATTTTGCAAAATAGAGCGCAACCTACTTCTCAACCAATAGCTGGAAATTGTGGCGCCGGCTTGCACGGTGGACTTGGTAGACCCTCTTGGGATTCTCTACTTCAACCACCAGCTCCTTCAGCTCGGCTGGCGCATCGAAAGGCAATCGCGGGAAGGGCACCTCCTCCCAAAGAGCAGCGACGAGATCCGCTTCCGGGTTGGTATGGCTGTGGCCAACATCGGCCTGCCGGGCTGCATCTCGCGTCATGTCATACGGGTAAAGTCGATGCGCTTCGGTATTCGCAGGGATTCCAAGAATGAGTCGGTAATTCAGTGGTATGCAGGGTTCTTCGAAGGGTCAGATTGACAAGGCTAGGATATTCGATGATGGCGGAATCGCGTGGCTTCTGGGTGCTGTCGATCCCAAGGCTAGTGTTGGGCCGGGGGATGCAGGAAATAAAGACCAACTTGAACTGATGGATTACTTGGAGGACTCTGTGGTCTTCTACGTAAGTAGTGTCGGGTGCTTGTGATACACACTCCGCGACAGCCTAATGACTTTTCGAGGTGAAAGGCTGTAGCCTCACCATGGTATTGATGCATACAACGCATATCCCGGCATGGCAACCTATGTCACATCATGGGATACCGGCGCGCCGGCGCTTCCAGCGCTTCTTGATACGTATGTTGCCATGGCGGCTGCGTTAGTGGAGCCTCGGCATCCCGCACCATCTTGGCAACAGACATCGTGTTTGATTGCAGCTACCAAGTTCCCACAACTTTTAGAACACACATGGGGTCCGAATTCTCAGGAACTTGATGTTGATGTCATATTTAATTCCTCAGGACACAAGTTTGTGTTAGAAGTTTCTAGGCTTTCTCAAGTAAAGGATACTAGAAAATGGTAGGTAGTATTAATTTGATTACAAGGCAGGTGCAAACTCCCAGGTTTTCCATTGTACAGAAACAATTCTGATACAATTACACTGTAAGGCACTTAATTACTTTTACTATTTGTTTGCATGTCTGTTCATTGGAAGGGGGTCATCTGAAGTCCCGGAAGGCTTCAAGCACTGTAACGAAGACATGTTCACTGCAAGTTGACCCATAATATGGGACATACCACTTGACATAGCATGCTGTTATCTATTTATTTATTTTAGATCTTCACTAATAGTGTTAATTCGTACTTAACACATGTTTTTTGTAGGATTCTGAGCTGTGGCCGGTGAATCTAGAAGTCACGGTCACCTATGAGCAGAGTATGAAGTACAGTGCTTGAAAATATATGCACGGTCGGTATCGCGGCCAAGATTTGACAAGCCCGGCGTACCTGACCTCAAGAATTTTCCGGATTTTTCATATCGATATTTCAATCCCCCACTACGCCACCAAAACCCTGGATGTATTGGCCATTTCGTCAATATTTCCCCTCCATTCAAAGGGGGTTTAGACTACCGACGCCCGTCATCAACCTCCTCCGAACCTAAACTCTGCGATCGCATTGTCGCAAAATCATACCCCTTTCGTCTCTTTTGCTTTAGTAATCCTAGCATCCATCCCACGGTCAAAAGACCGCCACCTTCATCTCGGGTTTCGCCACGACAGTGCGCTCTGGCACTACGCTCAGTCACCTTCATCACCACAATCCATTCTGCTGTTGCCATCTGAAATTACTGGCTGGAACGCAGATTACTGGTCTCTATTCATCGTTGTTGTTGACTCCGGCCAACGCGCTGGTTTCAGGAGACTCGTCCCCACAGCCAACTGTACAGCCAACCATATATCACTTTCTGGACAAATTGCTGCATTCACAACAATCTAGACAAGATGGCTACGATTGTTGGAAACAGAACAACGGCTGCTAGCTTAGCAGCCAAACCTGGTACTGCTCCATCGTCTCACCAATATACTTGCAACACCTGTCAGGTCGCATTTCGATTCGCGGACACTCAGAAGGGCCATATGAAGAGTGATTGGCAGTAAGTGCCTGATCGCATCCAATATGCTGGAAATCTTCGACTCTAACCACTGCCTGAATTACAGCCGATATAACCTCAAGCGCCGGGTTGCATCCCTACCTCCGATATCTTCTGAAGTTTTTACTGAGAAGGTTGTCCAAGCCCGTGCTGCTACCACGGCCGAAGCGGACAAGGCCGGCTTCCAACAAATCTGTAATGTCTGCCAGCGCACCTACTTCAGCGAAAATTCGTATCAAAACCACATTGGCAGTCAGAAGCACAAGGCCAAGGAGGCGGCAATGCAGCGTAGAGGGCCTGCAAGCGTTCCGGATGACGAAGCTAGCTCCGTCATGAGCTCGACTTTTTCACTTGGTGATCCCCTGCCTAGCGAGAAGGGCGAGGTCGACTCCGATGCTGAGGATGAATTCAGCGATGTTGTCGAGGGGCTCAAGAAAACAAATTTGAGTGATCGTCCCGTCGAGCGTTCCTCGCCGGTGAAGCGTCCCACAAACCCTCAACCTTCGGCAGAGGGCCAGTACAAACCGGACCAAACAGTATCAGAGGCATCGAGTGAAGCTGTTTCGACTTCCACGACTCCCGTCGCTGTTGTCACCCTCAAATCGTGTCTATTCTGCAACTACGAGTCACCGACTGTACCGTTGAGCGTCGTCCATATGGAGAGAATTCATGGCATGTTCATCCCCGAGAAGCAATATTTGGTCAACTTGGATGGCTTGATTGGCGCCTTGCAGCAACGCATTCAAGAGCTCTACGAGTGTTTATACTGTGGCAAGATGAAAAACAATGCATTTGCCGTGCAAACTCACATGCGTGACAAGGGACATTGCAAAATTCCCTACACTACGGAATATGAGCAACTGGAGATTGGAGAGTTTTATGACTTCCGAAGCACCTATTCAGATGATGAGTCAGATGACGAGGAGGATGGTGGCGAGAACCAAAACGGAGGCGTCAAGCTGGGAGCTAGACGAGTGGCCACGACGGTCGGAGATGCTGGTGATGAGTTCACGGGCGAGGAAGAGGGATGGGAGACTGACAGCTCGGCCTCATCTTGTGACTCGGACGATCTGACTTCCATTCCGGTTGATCAGCATTATCACCAGTATGAACGCCTTGACAAACATCCACACCACACGTCTCACGACCCTCGCCACCATCATCAGCTGGACGGATGGCACTCACATGCCCACAAACACCGTGCTATATTCTATGATGATACTCAGCTACACCTGCCCTCTGGTCGCGCGGTTGGACATCGTTCCTTGAATAAATATTACCGTCAAAACCTGCACAGCCATCCTTCGCCCGAAGAGCGTGCTGAGCGTCTGGCCATTGCTGCTGGATCGAGTCCAGATGCCATGGAGGTTGATGGCGATGGTAATCAAGTCGCTGAACATGAGGGTCGTGGGCGCACTCGAGCCATTGTGAGCCGCCCCGACGGCTTGCAAGGCGTGACAGACGAGAAGAAGAAGGAGGTCCGACGCGCAGCTCAGAGAGCCCGGAAGGTGGAAAACAACGCCCAGAAGCGCAACCAATGGAAGGTCAACAAGGAGCACAACCACCAGAAGTACTATAATTACCAAATATTGTGACCGGAAGGTTCGGTACGGGTTGTTCTCGCCAGTGCTAGGGGCGAAGAACTCCGAAGTATAGAAGCCTATCTTCGTGGCAGCAGTTCATGTTGTTGCTGCCGAAACGAAGATGGTAGTGGGAAATATTCAAGGGATGATCAGATCAGACATTTGATTCCGCAGTCTCAAACCCTGAGAGCCAAGGAGTGCATGGTGAGTAGAGCACTGTGAGGGGCTTTATATATAGGTTGCAAAAGGAGACCTTGCCACGGGTTGTCATGTGCCGAGCGTTAAAGTACATAAACCATTGTTAACAGGCCAATGACTCATGAGTATTTAACATAGATGGCGTTGAGGCCAGCGCACCGCCACAAATGTGTATTAGTCAACACTGAAGTTGGTAGTGCTGAAGTAACTTGTTGTGCGTCTGAATGTTTGGCACCATGACCATACGGAATATACAATGTTAAAATTATCGTCTGGCATCCTTGGTGGTTGGTGGCAAGGGATAAGAACTTCGCGGTGGCATGTGACTGGTCACTGAGGACGTATGGTTCGAGGCTGTATGGTGGCTTCCAACCGGGTTCAAACAGTAATGTTGCGTTGTGAGTTCGACATTTAATATAACGAATCATACCCTTCGTGAAGCTATCATTGACATCATGGGGGATTCCTGTGCTTTTATTTGTTCCGATCAAGCCAAGCTGGTTGCTGTCTAAGTTATGGAGTGCTGGCCTAGTCGGTATCTCCAATGGGGAATGGCTGATGCTGGTTATTACGGGTGGTTTGAGAATACCTGACATGGGCATATGCTAAGGCGAAATCATCTCGGCTTCAGGTTCATTACCAAGTAAATGAAATGAGTTGCTGGTTAACCTTGTCATACTATCAGGGCTCACTCCTCTGCAGACCATTACCTTCACCCATTGTCACGGTAAGCTTCACAAGACAGTTTGTGCACTGGGTTTCCTAGAGGGTCCGACCGGTAGCATTTTGCCTGGATTATCTTCAGTCCAGATGCTAAAGAATAAGCCTATCAAGCTTGCTGCAACACAATCCCAGCTCGATCGAGCATTTCCGGGCGAAGTGGCTCTTGCCTCTTTTCCTGAAGTTTATGAGCTCACAGTACTGGTTTGCGGGTCGATATCCCGGGGCGCAATGGTGAAGTTCTCGGGTGCTCGGCGGAGAGCCCAGTCTTTCAGGACATACGCGGTGAGATTCCAGCGTGACGACGACCTGCTATTCAGTCAAAACAGTTCAAAGGTTCTCAACGTGTCTCTACGAAAAACGGATGCTCTTACCCATCATTAAACAAAAAGCTTATTGCGATATGAACAAGCGCACAACTGTTGTCGGGGTAGATTCTTGCAGCAACGACGCTGTCATCTTGCCCGATATCCTTCTCCATGACACAATACGTGAAGTCGGAAGATACTGGAAAGCCGCTGCCGAACCCCTCGCAATAGGCTTCAAATGGCGGTACGTTGATCTCGCATCCTCCCTCCTGATCGCATCCAGTTCCTCCCAAGTTGAATACTCAAAACACCAATCAGCAATAATTCTTAAGTCGTAAGAAGGAAGATTGACGTACCATATACACTGTTCTTAGAACTGTTCGTGTTTCCATGCAACAGACTCATCTGCCAATTGACAACAGACCAGTTGTAGTTGGACGACAGTTCCACCTCGGCTGCCGCAACCGCATTCACCTGCCTGGGTACATAGTACAGCAGAACGGCAGCAAGTCACATTACCATCATGGGATTTTTTGGAAAAAAAAACTTAAGACAAATGGTGATACAAGCAATCACATTCGAATTGAGTGCTGCCTCTTCTTTTTGCATGTGGCAGTGTGCTATGTTGTCTCTTTATATATGTTGAGCACATTTTCTCTGTTATACCTTGGCTGCAATGACTATAGGCAGCACCGCCAGCTGAGCGTCGATTAATTTATGTTGAGCGCATAATCTCCCCGTCATATTCTGGCTAATTGGCTGTAGGCAGCGCCGCCGGGTTGGACTGCAACCTTAACCCCATTGAGCGGTTGGGACGACCAACCCAACCCCTACTACCAAGGGGTATCGATGGCTAAGACCACATTGCGATGGACCTCGACAGGTGATGTGAAGATGAAACTCGGGTTTGTCCTTAGAGAGGTTCGGGTAGTGACAGTTTAAACGGGTCACTTTATTATCTAGCGCTGACTGTGAGACAATGTAGATAGGGCAAGAGCTTTGTACGTGATGGGTTTCAGCGGACTTTTTTTCTAATTAATAGATGCAACTGGTGTAATATTTCTAGCGAAGAAGGCTGTCTTCGTGCGTTCTGAAATAACATTCTTCACGGAGTGCAAGAGTGATGGAGCCGGTGTTCGCTTACGGGATATGGCAATGGGGATGATATCGAGTCTACCAATGGTGAAACACTGCGGGGCAGGTTCTGAAGAGGTATTTAGGGCGCAAGTCTTGCCGTTGTCAATTGGAATAAGCTTTCCACGACCGTCTCGAGGTGGCTTGAAACTATACATGAACAGTCAGGCGTTCCACACGGGTACCAGAGAGGTTCACCCAAACGTTCGCGTGTACTATTGCCTGAATTACAAAGTAACAAGATGCTGTCAAGCATTTATTGGCTAAATGGTTAGACGGGACAGAGACAAAGGATATATATAACTTTTCGGTTCTCAAGCAGATTAGACAGAGGGTTCTGGGTGATCGCTGCGAATCCAATTATACTTCACGAAACGGCTTCTCGTTGATAGCCTTCTCTGCGTATCTAGCTTGAGGTACACTAGCTAATGTGTGCATTAGTCTGAAGCTCCTCAATGGCACCATTCCCAGATGCAGGGTCTTACAGGCGTCGTAATGCGAGCAGGTTCAACAGTGCTGGCTGTGACCTAGCTTTTGGCCAGAAGCTCACACTATCCTCTCGACGTCAATGGTGAAGCAAGAGGGGACGTAAACACTTACACCAACTTCAGCATTCTCTCATCCTCAAACAACCACTCTGCCTCACTCACCGTCGCCCTTCCCGCCGAGCCACCGTTTTTTGGTCTCGTCTCGAGAATCACCAGATTTACCAAGTGACTCCATGTTTTCACCGAAGTTAGTTGTCGACGACGACGACACGGATCGGTCCAGTTGTCGATCTTCGACACCTCCGACGAAATCATCCCCACGCTCTAGCATCTGTTTCGAGAAACCACCCTACGAAAAGCCTCCGGGCCAATACCATGTCTTCAGTCTGGGAAAAAAGAGGCGATGTATCTACATCATATCACTCGCGGGCCTCTTCTCCCCGCTGTCGAGTAACATATACTTCCCTGCAATTGGAGCCATCTCCAGAGTGGGTTGTTCTCATTCGATTCGCCGTATGTGTATCTCTGGATCTGACAAATGTGAAAGGACCTCGACGTCAAAGTGTCCTTGATCGCATTAACCATCACCATCTACATGGTCATTCAAGGCATATCACCCTCATTCTGGGGACCGCTCTCCGACACGAGAGGACGAAGACTCACCTTCATAGGCACTTTTGCCATCTTTCTAATATCGAATATTGGCCTGGCTTTGACAGAAAATTTCGCGACTCTGATGGTGTTTAGAGGTATTCAAGCGGCTGGCAGCGCTGCTACCATCTCTGTTGGTCAGTTGCTGTTTGTGTTCAGGGACTGTATATGAGCTAATTCGACAAAGGCTCTGGAGTCATTGGAGACATCTCATCCCCCAAAGAACGAGGTGGATTTGTTGGAATTCATGGTGGACGTAAGCGGTCTTCGGTGATCAAGCTTATGAGACGGAAAACTAACAGGTGTTTCAGTGAGACAGACAGGTCAATCAATTGTACGCAACCCCTGAATCCGAACACAACCTTTCAAAATATTGCGGTTAATGGTCAATTTAATCCGTTGGGTTTATCATGAGGACTTGCATGACTTACTGCTTTCATAAAGGGCCCTGTATTCGGCGGTCTCATCACCCACGTCCTCGGCTTCCGGGCCATATTCTGGGTCCTCTTCGTCATGGGCTCCATCACCCTCCTCCTCATCATAAGCTTCCTCCCCGAAACCCTGCGCAGCATCGCGGGCGACGGCACAGTCCGATTGCATGGAATCCACAAGCCTCTCCTCTACACCCTCAAGGGCCAACCGTTCGTCGTCGACGACCAAGAAGTCCCCTCGCAACCGAAGCTCACCCTCTCCTCGGTGGTGGCTCCCTTCTGTTTCCTCTTTGAGAAGGACATCTTCGTGACGCTCTTCTACGGTGCCATCGTCTACACGGTGCACAGCATGGTGACCTCATCCACAACGGCCATGCTGCAGCCCCACTTCAAACTCACCGACCTGCAGGTCGGCCTCGTCTTCCTCCCCAACGGCGCCGGTGTTATTCTGGGATCCTTCTTCACGGGCTTGCTCATGGACCGCGACTTCAGGCTCTACGAGCGCAGATACCGCGCCAAGCGCCACATTCCGGCGGAAACAAAAACCAGCAAGTACCAGGATGACTTCCCCATCGAGCATACACGTTTGCGCCAGTGTGGATGGATCGTCGCCCTGTTCGTTGTCGCAACGGGCTTGTATGGGTACTCGCTTGCGCTGAACAATCTGGTTGCGCCGCTGGTGCTGCAGTTCCTTATTGCCTACACGGCGACCGCGGTGTTCACGTCTAATTCGGCGCTAATTCTGGACTTGTACACGGGGGCGGCGGCGAGCGCCACTGCAGTGAACAATTTGGTGCGCTGCTCCATTGGGGCGGGGGGCGTGGCCTGTGTCCAGTTCATCGTTGACGCCATTGGAGCGGGCCCGACGTACATCGGGTGTGCGGTTCTGGCCGCGGCGTTCAGTCCATTACTAGTGCTGGAGTGGAAGTTTGGTGGTCAATGGAGAGTGGAGAGGACGAAGAAGTTGGCGAACAAGGGAGATAAGGGTAGACAAGTGGTCTGAAATAGGAAAATTCCAAGGGGCAACTGCAGAATGTAGAAATGTGGATAGAGAGGGCTTCAGTTCTGAAGTGAAATCTCCGACAGAAATGCCCAAGGTTGGTCATGATGTCGATTAGTTAGTGTACGAGATACTTATCCACATGTTCCAGACGATATGAGTTTGCTTTTGATAGGATGTAAAATATTATGTGCATGGCATTAATTCTGGAAGAAGATGAATTGCAATCCGATAGTAGAGTACGGTAAATGTGCACGAGAATATCCCCTTATGAGTGCTTTAGTACTTTTGATCATAGTATTTCTGTCTCATATGTCCCGGGTTGAATTGCCTGATGTATCTCAAGCCTGGATATCTTGTTCTAGTTTTGAAAAGGGACACAAAGCATTATAGAAAAGCTGTCAGGACTAATGCTCATAGCAACTTGGTCCAGTGCACAAGCTCAAGCCGCAGTACATTAACTACTTACGATCCCCTTGATGATCGTTTTTCCTATATTAGATTGGATTCAATTGGCAATATTGAAATGATTATCCAGGATGCGTACTTGAGGAGTTTGTTTTATGGTAAAGTGGATATACGTTATGAGCTGGGGAGAGGCAGACATATTTACAAGTACTTACTTATGTGGAATGAAGCGAGGTGAGTAGATAGTGGTGCAAGATATGAGCAACTTGGGATCCCACGCCGCACGCGAATGGTCAAAAGTCTCTATAATCACACATAGTTACACTTAAATCGTGTCTTTAGCAATAGGGACATTGTTGACCGCCACGCAGAGCGCAGCCTCGGTTCAACTGCCAGAGGTTTCCCCCGGCTCCCAACACGTGAGAGTGGCTGACGTTCAACTGTGACGCAAGCAGCAAAAATTGTATTGTCTGCAGCGTCGTGTCCGTATGCCATAGCCACGCACACTTCAACACAAATGGCCTATTATGTTGTTGGGAAACGTGTTGGAGTTCAAGCAGTCAGAAATTGGAGGAAACTGCACGTTCCAGGATACCCGCATTCCCCAAAACGTCAAGGTCAGCTGGAAAGAAGCTGGCCTGCGTCCATCAGCAACCAACATGACGTCGTCAGTACTTAGATATGCCTTGCGCTCAACCGACTGTTACAAGTTTGTTAATTAAGCCACCTGCTTCCGCCATGCTCAACGAATCATTTATGTGTCTCCTAACCCCATCGATTTCTTCAAATCAAGCTGCGAGAGACCACACGGCAGTGCCCCTCTGACATCATCCAACAGCAGCTTCCGAAGCTCCGCCATTGTGGATCAACTCCAGCGCTCGCGCGTGTCGAGCTATTTCATCTTTGTGATCCCAGGCGTCTTGTTGTTTATCAGCATCATCCTCACCAAATTTGACAACATGTTGCTACCGTCGCAGTACGAAGGCATCGTGCCACTGCACATGGTGCAAAACCCGCCCTTCTCCGTACAAGCCCCAGGAGAGCTGGCAAAGCCGGGCGAGACAGCCCCCTATCGACACTTCAAGGCCAAGGATGGCCTGATAGACCGACCTGAATCGAACGCTAGCACCATCTTCGAGCTCCTCAAGGACAGCGCAGTGAAATACGCAGACAAAAACGTCATGGGCAGTCGCAAGCTCATCAAAACTCACTCCGAGGTCAAGAAGGTGCCCAAAGTCGTCGACGGCGTCACAAAAGAGGTGGACAAGGAATGGACCTACTTTGAGCTCTCAGGCTATTCCTTCACAACATACGCCGAGTACGAGAAGAGGGTTCTGCAGGTTGGGGCCGGCCTGAGGAAACTCGGCTTGGAAGCCGGCGACAAGGTGCACATATTCGCGTCAACTAGCCCCAACTGGTTCTGCATGTCACACGCATGTTCGTCGCAGTCTATGACCATCGCGACAGCCTACGATACCCTCGGTCCAGATGGAGTCGAGCACTCACTTGTTCAGACCAAGGCCAAGGCCATGTACACCGACCCGCATCTGCTGAAGACGGCAGCAGGTCCTCTCCAGGCGGCTGAGCATGTGAGATATGTCATCTACAACGACGCAACCAACGTGCCTATCAAAGATGAAGAGCTTGACTTGTTCAAGCAGAACCATCCCCATCTTAAGGTCCTCTCATGTTCCGAGCTCCGAGAACTTGGTGAAGCAAACCCAGTTGCCCCTGTCCCGCCTAAGCCGACGGATCTCTACTGCATTATGTACACTTCGGGTTCTACTGGACCCCCCAAGGGTGTGCCCATGTCACACGAGGGCATCGTAGCTGGTATTACTGGTCTATACTCCATCATGGCCGAAGTCGTGTCGCATCGTGATTCGGTGCTGGCATACCTTCCACTGGCCCACATCTTCGAACTCTGTGTCGAGAACCTCGTCATCCTCGTCGGTGGTACCCTCGGCTATGGCTCACCGCGCACCTTGTCTGATTCAAGTATGCGCCATTGTGCCGGTGATATACGTGAGCTGCGGCCCACCGTCATGGTTGGAGTTCCCCAAATTTGGGAGACAATCAAGAAGGGTGTGGAAGCCCGCGTCAATTCATCCCCTGCTATCATGAAAGCTCTCTTCTGGGGCGCCTACAACGTGAAATCCGCCCTTGTTTCCAACGGTCTCCCTTGCGCCTCCATATTCGATGGCGTCGTGTTTGGCAAGGTGCGGGAGATGACAGGTGGCCGATTACGCTTCATCTTCAATGGTGCCAGTGGAATTTCAGACTCTACTCGGCATTTCATGTCTATGGTTGTCGCTCCGATGATTTCCGGGTACGGCCTCACTGAAACTTGCGCGGTAGGCCACTTCTCCCATCGTTTCCTCTCTTGTAGAAGCAATTACTGATAGCGGAATCTCAGAATGGTGCCCTGGGATGCCCATTGCAGTGGACACCAGATGCCATCGGACCTGTGCCAGCCAGTGTAGAGCTCAAACTAGTATCGCTTCCCGAACTCAACTACAGCACGGATGCCACACCTCCCCAAGGCGAGATTCTGCTTCGTGGCAAGCCTGTACTGAAAGAGTATTACGAAAATCCCGAAGAGACGGCCAATGCCATCACCTCAGACGGTTGGTTCAAGACCGGCGACATTGGAGAGATGAACAGCGTCGGACATATTAAGGTGATTGATCGTGTCAAAAACTTGATAAAAATGCAAGGCGGCGAGTACATCGCGCTTGAGAAGGTGGAGTCGGTGTACCGTGGCTGCCAATATGTCCACAACATCATGGTTCATGGTGACAGCAGCCATCCGCGGGCGATCGCTATTGTGAGCCCCAATGAGAAGACTGTATCTGGACTGGCCAAGAGTTTAGGCGTCGAACAGAGCCATATGTATCACGATAAGAAGGTCAGCAATGCCGTACTGAAGGAGCTTGTCTCAGTGGGCAAACAAGGTAGTCTCGGTGGCCTCGAGACGGTCACCGGCGTTGTTCTGGTGGATGGTGAATGGACTCCTGCAAATGTGAGTATTTGCTTGCCTGTTCTTCAAACGGACAAATCAGCAATGGAGATATACAAATTACTAACCCGCCATCTTAGGGTTTGGTCACTGCGACCCACAAGGTTAACCGAAGGGCACTGAAGGCGAAGTACAGCAAGGAGATCGAACAGGCCTTTGAGGGCTCGTGAATTGTTTACTCTTACCGGATACCCTGGTTTGTTGGCAGAACCACGGCTGGATGCATGGCGTAAAGCGGGATTTCAGGCGGAAGCGGGAGTTCGGAAAGTTCGGTCGGTCCGCTTGGAGTATTCTTTGAAGTATTGTTAGACAGTATCGATTTTGGTAATCGACATTTGTAAGGTGCATTTCCGCCAGTGTCCTAAAGAAACTGTATGAGTTGGTGCTGTGATAGTAGACACCCTTTGGGTGAAAGTGCTGACTAAAGGTTGAGAAAAAGCCTAGGTACATTTCATGTATGACCTGTGAGTTTCTCTAGTGGTATATGTTTCTTTCTACACGGTAGTGAGCTGTAACACAAACGTCTGTAGATTGGACGTTATTTAACCATTGAGCTTCTACAAGATCTCCTCATTATTTCATATCCTGGTGGAGGACCATGCTGTTTATTGCCTGGTGTGTGTGGCGTGTTAAGAAGTTATATGCTCTTTAGAAATGGCTGTGGGGAACACATTTTCACCCAGAAGCTTTTTGGTCATAGCTTCTTATACACTAACTACTATATTGTTTGCACCTATGTAGCATTAGGCTGATGGAATTCACTTCGCAGGATATTTGTGGGCTAATATATTAGCTTTCTTTTCTTTCTCCATAAAATGATACTGTCAGGTTTGGCCCGACGTCTGATGGATGAGCTGTTCCTCCCAAGCCCCCTTATCCGATGATTCAAATCCAACGCCCCGTCGATAAATGCTGCCATTCCCGGCCCGAAATAAGGGATCTACCGTTCGTGTGCTCGAGGAACCTTGCACCCGAGTTCCTGCATGCTATGCGCCGTTGATGATGCCCATGGCCTTCCTTCCTCTCAACTCATCCTCATGGGCGTCTCGGTTCAGCAGCCGGACTCCATCAGCTTGGATATACCTCCCCCAAATCACAAACCCACTATGATCCCCACTGTTGTTCGATCTAAAATCGAGTCCCTGCTCACTTCTTCTGTGTGTAGGCCAATTTCAAGTCCGCATCCTTCCGCTTGTAAAACAACATATACGGCGTCATACCTCGTTGGTTATTCGGCGTGGTGTTATTTGTCCACAGCTCTCGAACATCTGATGAGACCTCACTTACGTATTGGTCGTTGCAGAACCACCATTTGTCACTGTCTCCTTCTCGGACATACGATGTATAGTGCCCAGAGTTCGGGTTAGACCCTGCGTGACAGATCACCGCGTAGAGCTTGTAGCGATAACCGGTGCCGAATCCATCTATCTTGTCCGCCTCTTCTCGGAATGACGATGCTTGGTCAACCGCCAACTCGGACAAATCCATATCGTTTATGGGAAACGTGATATTACGTTCCGTTTTCCGAGATGTTCCGTCAAGGGATTGGAAACGCTTCAGTTGGATGTAAAGAAGCGGAGCGTGTCGTGCGAATCTGCTCCTTTTCTCTTTCTTCTTGTTTGAGCACAGGCTGCAATTGTGGTCGACCATTTCGACCTTTGGAAATTCTATTGGCAAGAGATCTGTCATGAAATCAAGGGTCCCGGTAGGTTTCTTTGATGTATCAGCCGTAATCATCAGATGGCCGTGGGAAACCACGTCCTCGGTGGCGTCTCCGGCCTTCCTACATTGCGTGCATCGAAACTTGGCGATAACGTTGGACGTCCAATAATGCTGGATAATCGAGTCATTCGCAGAGCACTCCATCTTCCACGACTCGACAGCAAGGTCTAAAGACGTCATTGCAGGCAATCTTGGGTCGCCTTGTAGCGCATCGCGCGGCTTTTGCGCATTTCCATGGCTTGTTTGTCCTTGCTTGAGGTTAGTTTCCTTCCCCAATTGTTCAAAAATGAAGAGCCAGAATTCCGCGGCATCATGTTGCTGGTTATCTCCGAAACGGAAGTGCGCCGAGAATCCACCCAGCGTGTAGCCTGTGTGGATCGATTTACAGTAGTTCTGTTGGATTGTTAGAAGCAGGTATCCATCGGCATGCCCTTAAAAGCAGCTTACCAGAAGCGTCGCGGCTTTCAATGTGTCCAGCTCCCTTCTGCCCAGCCACTGGATCAAATTCCCCAAGATCTTGGACATTAGTTGCGGGTCCTTTTTATCGCCCGAGAGGTACTTTGTGGGCCAGTTTGGTTGCGTCATCTCAAACGCAAAACCAGGAGATGCCAGAATTGCTTGAATCGTTGAATTGGCGTAACAATGCATGCCGGGGTTGGCCAGCCCTGTGGGGGGACGGGAAGAGTCAGAACCTGCTATTTGTGCTGATTTGGCATACATAAAGTCAGGAGCAGGTTCCCTGCTTGACAGACCACTATAACTAGTGCGTGGAAGGGCGGGCGCCGGGCGGGCAGGCGGCGCTGGTGGTAGCTCGGGTTGAAAGAATGCATTGTCTTCAAGGACTCTACTGAGCTTCGGCATACGTGGACTATCCGGGGACGTCATCGACTCTTGGATCTCCGACGCCGAAGGGTAACGGCGGAGGAAGTCCTCGGTTGATCTGACGAACTCTCGTGGGGAATTGACGGCTGCTTCTTCCTCCCTGATCGATTCTTCAAACATCTTGATTTCTTCTGGTCGCAGAGACTTTGTCTGGGTTTTGGCCCTGCGCCTGTTGTCTAGCCACGGCCGGGCAAGCCCGTTGATACGCTGGGGCCGAGATTGTCCATCCCTGACAGCCACGGCTGTTTGGGATTCTTGCAGTGAATGCGGCCCAAAAACATCAACCCAGGATTCTAACCCGCCAGCAAGCAGCTTCGGTGGGTTACTTAATTCCGCATCATAGTTGAAGGTGACAAGAGCTTGGTACAGCGCGAAAAGGGTGTTTTCTTGGGGACGCTGGGAGCCTCGAGATGGTGTTGAGATGCTATCCTGATCATAGAAGACTAAAAGGTCGCACTTCCCGCGATTTCGGAAAGCCTGGAGTTCTTCATCCGGGGCAATGTTCATGCTCTCTTCGATCTCCTCGGCGGTGATATTCTCGCGAGCCAGTACGGCAGGCTCGACGCATATGGTGGCTTGGGACATGATGTGTCCTTCGTCAAAATCTTCCCGACTGCGTACGTCAATGATTAATAGACGAACGGCAGCTGCCCCCTGTTGCATGTATTCCTGAAGCTGCTGGGGGGTTATGGAGTCTCCATCAGGTATGTGAATGCGCGGAGAACGTGGCCACGGTGAAGAGCCATTGCCAAAGGATTGAGCGGTGACGAATTGCTCAACGCCGGTGGGCCGGGAAGCCCCGTCCATGGAATTCCTGGCAGAAGAACAAGAGGCAGAGACAATCGAGTTCGTCCGGCTGAACATGCCGCGCGGGGTGCTCGAAGGGAGGTTTGCAACCTCGCTGGTGACGGTACCCCTGGCGGGACTGTAGATTGCATCAGGTAGCTTCGGCATGGTCGGCACGGAGCTATCGACAGTAGGACGGCTTCGGGCTTGAGTTCGCATATCTCGGGGCCCCGCAGGTTTCGGCACTGTGGCCGTTGAGCTTGTCGATTCCTGAGCTCGCAGCTTAGCAAACCGATTTGCCAAATCCAGAGCGACCTGGTTGGTGTTTGGCTTTATGGTGTTGCCATGAAGCGCGTGCGGTTTGGGTTGGACTGCTGGCTTTGGCGTATGGTTCGTACCGTTTGCCCTTTCATTACCATTTGAGTGCGTCTGTTGCATTCCATTGCCTTTTGTCGCGTTAGATTCACTCGTCGTCTCTGAATTGAGACGATGAGGTGATGCCGATGGCGCACTTGGCAGGTACAGAGGAGCGTACTCGGCCGACCTCTTGGACAGCACTCCGCTTTTCCTGTTGTCCTCCTTGATGTCCTCCTTTACTTTGTCGAATAAGGCTCCGTTGGTAGTGATCTTCAGCTTGAGGGCATTGTACTGCTGGCCTAAATCGCCTCGGTCGGTCTTTAGCGATGGATAATCTTTGTGCTTCGGAATTTTATCGACAGCAATGGTAAAAGCCTTGATATACTCCTGCAGGGCCGAGTCGGGACGGCGAAAGTCTTTGAAGGTGATGGCTTGGTTCATGTGACGGTTACCCAACTCGAGCACCTTCCGCAGCGGCGTGTGGGGGTCGAGGTCGACGGAGACGGAGGTCAAGTCATCGATGTGCGGGAAAGGCGCCTTTCGACCGGCCGCGCCTGCGGTAGAGGTCGGGAAGCCATTGGCAACTGGGGCCATGGGCGCGGCGGTCGTGGTAGATATCGGATGTGCAACGGAACTCATATCTTAGCCGGTTGGGTACCGACTGTCGTGCTATGACCGGTCTGGCCTGTTGGTCGCAAGTTCCGATGGCAGCGGCACAAGGGTTGGTGGCTTTTCTAGAAGCAGAGGGCCGCAGGCGGGGACGCTAAGTATCAGTATCGCCGTGGTCGTGAAGTCGGGCATTGGAATGAGACAGCATTCTCTGAACGAGACACTAGGAGCGGCTGCGAGCGACTATGAGTGGCCTTATTCTCCGCCTATGTGGAAATGTGTTAGTCACTCAAGGAATGTAAGGCCGCGAGCGGATCGAGTTAACTGATGTAGTGATTGTTTCGAAGCCTCTTTCCTCAGCAGATTGCGGAAGCCATCGAAGCACAGCAAATGGTGTTGCAGCTGCAAGTGGACGGTTGACGTTGTCTGCCGTCTGATGCCGTTGCGTCAATCAGTTCTCGGTTGCGCAGCCTTGCCGCCAACGAGGCGTTACCTAGTTGTCTATTTGGCCATTAAAATCATAGAAGTTGATTGGGCTCTCAGCGGTATCCCCAGGTACTTAAGTGGCACTTGCACTAATAACAAAATTGCCTATCAGCTCGAGGTATTGCTCCACACATGGATGCACTAAACTTACATGCTTAGAGCTTCATCGATTGCGGCTGCCTGTGCAACTCTAGTCTAGAACTGCCGCGCAACCCATCGTCACGACTTAAGGTTCTACTCACAACATCATCAAAACCACTTGGCTGCAGCGCGTTGAAAATATCAGTAGACTCCCATCATCCACAACGAGCGCATCTCGAGTGCACCTTTTCCGAGCAGACCGATACCGAAAACGATCGCCACGACGCACTCTGGGCCCCTCCAGCAACTTCAAAAGCTTCAAAATGATGGGCGGTTGGTGGACGAGCTCGGCCAACAGCGCCCTTGATGAGCAGATTGACAAGGCGACTGGCAGCAGCTTGTAGGGCTATTGTAACGCTTTGATTCGATAGTTGACACTAACGCTGGCGCTTCAGAGAGGACATCCCGCTGAACCTGGAGATTTCTGATGTCATAAGATCCAAGACGGTGCAGCCCAAGGAGGCCATGCGCTCCTTGAAGCGCCGCATCGGCAACAAGAACCCAAACACACAGCTCAGCGCCCTAAATGTGCGACATGCCCCTCACCGCAAGTTGCGCTCTCGCCGAGATGATGACTAACAAGCTGGCCAGTTGACGGATACATGTGTTAAGAATGGCGGCTCCCATTTCCTCGTGGAAATCGCTTCGCGCGAGTTCATGGACAACCTCGTTTCGCTTCTTCACGCGGTAGGCCCAGCGGCTGTCAACCCCGAAGTGCGTGGCAAGATCCTCGAGCTTATCCAGTCCTGGGCTGCTGCAACTGAGAACCGCTACGAACTCAAGTACATCGACGAGACTTATAAGTCGCTGCAAAAAGAAGGATACCAGTTCCCCCCAAGAGTCACCGTGGCTAGCAGCATGATTGACAGTAGCGCCCCTCCTGAATGGATCGACTCCGATGTCTGCATGCGGTGCCGGACGTCGTTCACTTTCACAAACCGTAAACACCACTGCCGCAACTGCGGGAACTGTTTCGACCAACAGTGCTCCACCAATACGCTTCCTCTGCCTCACTTGGGCATTATGCAACCCGTCCGAGTTGATGATGGATGCTATGCGAAGCTAACAGACAAAGTATCCAAGAGCTTAGTCGATGGCCTCGAGCATATCAAACATACTAGGACGGAGCCTTCACCGACGAGCTCTTCGTTTCCCCACAAGAACCGGAGTACGTCAGCCATGCAGCCTCGTAATGCGCGCGTCGATGATGCTTTTGATGAGGATCTTAAGAAGGCCCTGGCCATGAGCCTGGAAGAGGTACAGAGCCATTCGACGGGCCGAGGCTACGTTCCCAATACCACCAATGCACCTGCAAAGACCAATGGCCACTCACCATCAAAGGTCAAGGCTGCTGAAGAAGAGGATGACGACCTTAAGGCCGCGATTGCCGCGTCGCTTGCGGACATGGAGGAGCAAAAAAAGCAGCATGCCGCAGCTCTCAAGGAGCAAACGAGCAGTAGCCAGCCAACCTCTACCGCTACTCCGTTTGTCTTTCCCAAGAACGACTACGAACTTTCTCCCGTCGAGGCCGAGAATATCAATCTCTTCGCGACTCTAGTTGATCGCCTTCAATCGCAGCCCCCTGGCACAATTCTACGAGAACCGCAGATCCAAGAGCTCTACGACTCGATCGGTACTTTACGACCTAAATTAGCGCGGACGTATGGAGAGACAATGAGCAAGCACGGTACGGTCCTTACGACTGATTCCAACGCCTCCCTGCTGACATAATTTTAGATACGCTACTAGATTTGCACGCCAAGTTGTCGACTGTGGTTCGGTACTATGACCGCATGTTGGAAGAGAGACTATCGAAAACGTATAGTCAACACAGCCTTGGCGGCTATAATCTCCCGCCCTCACGCCAACCTGATGCTCCATACCCTTCGATGCACCCAGCTGCACCCAGCAATTCTGGCCCAGCAGAGAGTTTCTATACGGGAGAACAGCAGACGGATTACAGCAGGGGGCCGCCTACGCATAGCTATCCACAACAACACGTACAGACACCGCAGCCGCAGTTCGTCAACTACGACAAGCGCGCATCTATCTCTGCGCCGCAGCCGAGTCCATACCCTCAACAGCATGTTCAGAGAACCGAAAGCTGGCAGAACCAAATTCCTTCTGCACCAGCACCATACCCCGGCCCTGGGTATGCTCCCAGTGAACCTACACCTCAAACTAGTCACGCACCACACGCGCCGTCCCAACCACAGCTCAATAGAGCGCCAGAGGCGGGAAGTGCGCCACCGGCAGACCCAGGTGCTGGTTTCTATTACAACAATACACAACAAACCACGGGCCGACAGACCCCCAGCGTAGCTGCTGAGCCTGTCGCATCGCCGTATCCCAACTTACAACAACAGCAGCAGCAGCAGATGAACTACCACAGGCAATCTGTGCCTCCGACACCTGCTTCAGTGCTGGTGCAGCCCTCCCAAACCCCACAGCAGTATCATGGGGCGGGCCCTGTGCCCCAGCAACAACAGGCGTATTGGCAACAGCCCCAGCAGGATGCTGCAGGGTCAGGCCCCCAAGCTTATCCATCGGCGAATGCTGGCTACCCCGGGTTCACGCAGGAGTCATTTCCCTCAGCTCCACAACATGCGCCACAGCAGCCAGTTGTTGAAGAGAGTTTGATTGACCTTTGAAGTATGTTAAGTAGCAAGTTTGGCGTTGAAGGTCGGGTCATCCATGATAGGCGCACATCAGGGTCGCTGTTTGAATCAACATTGGCTCACATCGAGATTGGCAGTCAGTCAATGAACTCTGTAGGCTGGTGTCCGCGGTCTTTCGTGGTGCTGAGTTGGATTAGCGCAGACATGGCCTTATACCCGCCCATGTATCATTCTGTGGCAGGACGATGCCCAATACCACAGTTAAGTAAGGGTTTGGTAGAACGACCAGCTTCACAGTTCCTCCGAGTGCTAGGAGTGTTGAGTATCTTCTCTGTTGAATGTGTCGGTTGTGGTAATATAAGTTATGCGAGCCTTTAACCAAATATTGTCCATGAGGCGTTCTACTATTTAAGAATTATTGGGAACTCGAGCACGGCTTCGAATCCGGGGTTAAAATGGAGTGTACAAAGTCTCCAAATCCCATCTACTTTGAAACATCCTAGCCAAGGCGGGTGATAGTGGACCCCTTGTCTCCGACCGGGCACTGATAGATAGGTAAGTACGTCATCATTGGATCATTTATCCCAGTCGACCTCCAGGACCCATCAAGTCGCGAAGAACAAAAGCTGTGCTTGCCCCGCCATCAACAACCCCGCCAACCGTCAAGTATCACTTCTGGAGGCTTTTTTTTTTTTTTTTTGTTGCCAACGCTCCATTTCGCCAGCCGATATGTCTCGACACCAGGCGTACCGTAACTACGATTACGAGAACGATCTTGAGGAGTACGATGGCGGTAACTACTCAGACGAAGAAGAATTGAGTCCCGAGGATGAAGGTTCGTAATGTGGTCTAAAGAGGTTTGTTCGGTGACTCGACATTTCGCTAACCTCTAACAGCGCAGATGAAAGCCGCAACAGCCGAAGTGTCTACCGCACTCGGAAACGAAGCGCACAAAGTCTCAACAGCCCAGATCCAGCAGTCCCTCTGGCACACCTATTACGATGTCGATAAAACCGTTGCTTACCTGCTGAATAAATTCATTGCGCCCCCCACGACGAAGCCGCCCAAGAACAAGGAAGCAGGTCAGTTTTATTTTGTTGTCGAACCCTACATGTAACTTGTGTATGGCGAAGTCGTCAGAGGAGCAGACCCATGGAGCACAGAGCATATGCTATCTGATTGCCCATATTCAGGTGTGTTTACACGCTTATCATGTCCAACCGTCCTACCTGGCTCAGCTGACGACTGTGGTAGAAATGACGCGTCATGTGCATCAGCGATACTTCACTTTCGCCACCTTTTTCCACGACATGCCGTGGATGAATGTCCCAAAAGACCGGCAGACTAATTTTATTGAGCCGCTATACCCGCGTGGCGGCCTGCTGGGAGGATCTGGTACCCCTGCCAAAATGTCGAAACTTCAGCAACTGGCTCTGGCGCGCAAGAAGAAGGCCGATGAACAGAAGTCCGAGGAGCATGAGAAAGACTTCACGAAAACGACGCAGCAAATGCGCCAGTTGTCCGTCACTCAGCACGATCAACGCACAAATGTCCAGCCGGAAATAGGACGAGGAGCGCCCACACGACCACTGGAATCTCATACTTCTCCGGAAATTCGAAAAAGGAAGACCAGTGTTTTAGTCCAAGTGGACGGCCCACCTTTCTCTGTCCTGAGGTCTGGGGATGCATCGCCATCTAGTTCCACGGAGGAACCTCAGTTATCTGAGCCAGCTGCGCCGTCCCCTTTCGCGCAAGCTCTCCTAGGATCTGCTCCAAATTCGTATATTCCTCTTTCAAGAAGCTCTTATACACTCCCGTACATGGCCTTCACATCATCGGTAAATGAAGCCTTTTCAGAGCCGAGTCCGGATGATGTGGTGCTCGCAGCACAGTCCAAAGGTTCGCTCTTCGGAGCTAAGTAGGCAGAACAGTGAACAGTGTACTAACTAAGTCACCTAGCGAGTAACAAGAAACTTGCGAGTTCAACAAAGAAGAAGGGCGGATCCGACGAAAAAACAGATCAAGCTGCAGACGGTGTGAAAGCCCTCAAGATCAACGACACACCCTTGCCGAAGAGCAAAAACTTGGACGTTCTGAGTGAATTCGAAAAAAGCAAGAGCAAGAAGAGTGCGAGTTTTGTTGTTGTTGGTCATGTCGACGCAGGGAAGAGTACTTTAATGGGCAGATTACTGTTGGACCTGAATTTCGTTGACCAAAGGACGATCGAAAGATATCGTAAAGAGGCTGAGAGTATGGGGAAGTCGTCTTTCGCACTCGCATGGGTCTTGGACCAAAGAACAGAAGAGCGATCCCGAGGAATCACAATCGATATTGCAACAAATAAGTTTGAGACGGCTACGACATCATTTACCATACTCGATGCACCTGGCCATCGGGACTTCATACCCAACATGATTGCAGGAGCAAGTCAAGCTGATTTCGCCATTTTGGTAGTGGATGCCGCTACAGGTGCCTTTGAATCAGGGCTCAAAGGCCAAACCCGTGAACACGCACTTCTCATCCGAAGCATGGGCGTTTCGAGGGTCCTGGTTGCTGTGAACAAGCTTGACACCGTCGGGTGGTCTCAAGAACGGTTCGACGAAATAGAGCAACAAGTCTCTGGGTTTCTGTCCGCGACGGGCTTTCAATTAACAAATGTCAGCTTCGTACCGGTGTCTGGCCTTCTTGGTGACAACCTAGTCAACAGGTCTCAAGACCCAGCTGCAAGCTGGTTCACTGGCGAGACGTTAGTGAAGGAGCTGGAGAATTCGGAGCCAATGGTACGTGCGTTGGACAAGCCGCTACGCATGACAATATCCGAGGTTTTCAGATCAACACAGAGTCCGCTTACGATTTCGGGGAGGATCGATGCCGGATCTTTGCAAGCAGGAGATGCGCTCCTCATTCAGCCCAGTGGGGAAAAAGCGTATATCAAATCTCTTGAACTGGACTCAGAACCGGTCGACTGGGCAGTTGCAGGCCAGAATGTCGTCATCCATTTGAGCAACATCGATCCTATACATGTGCGAGTCGGCGACATCGTGTGTGATCCCAAATCACCAATCGGCTGTATCGATACATTTACAGTCAAGGTATTGGCGTTCGATATTTTGATGCCAGGACAAGTAGATGTGCATCGAGGGAGATTGCACGCTTCCGGGCAGATCATGGAAATGCCAGCACTTCTGGACAAGGTCAAGGGCACGGTAGTGAAGAAGAACCCCAAGATCGTCAAACCGGCCAGTGTGGCTAGAATTAGGATCAAGATGGGCAGTAAGGTGCCACTAGAGGCTGGGCAGAGGGTCGTACTTAGAAGCAATGGGGAGACTATAGCTGCTGGCTTGCTAGAATGATTCACAGACAACGGTTGACGACGGATTCGGTTTGAACGTTTGATGGAACCTTGGCCGTGGTCGCTAGGTAGTTGGAATGGAAGTGAGACGGCGCCCTTTTCATGCCATGTTCCAGCGCATCAATAAGATCATGAAATAGCTGTCAAAGTGTGAATATAAGATAAGGATATGCCACAAAACGAGGCTCATAAATGTTGGAGTGGAATCAAGAGGTACTTGATCTGCCAATGCCACCAAGACGACGACATTTTAAGCTATTGGGGAATTTCGGCCGCACTATATTTAGATTCTACCCCTGGAAAGCCAGATCTAACTTTCCTGCTTGCAATCCTGAATGATGCCGGCCCATCGGTGCCGACATCAAGAGCCGTTTCCCAAGCTGGTTTGGTTACTTGATTACAAGAGAAGTAGCCTCAAGTCGTGTCACGGAAACTGCAGGTCTTGAGACATAATTCTGGATCACGACACTTGTCCCTACTATTTGTGGTTGGGCATGTGGTCACAAGCAAGGGTCGCCCCGCGTCTGAGCAGAAGTCACTTTTAAGGTTGTGAAGACAGATATTTGACAAAACCCACATAGAAACAACATGAAGTGTTAAAGAAAGATGGATAACAACAGCTAGTAAACCCAGATTAATATCAATTTCAAACTTGTTGAACCGAAGGCAGAATCGGATTTGACAGATGATCTAATGTAATGCCTGAGCCCTGGATCTGTCCTCTTCGCAGGTTTTCTTATAAGTGGCAATGGCTAGTTGTTGCAAGCTGGCAATTGCAGGGCTGATCGGCTGGCTGGAGTGAGCAAATAGGGGACCATGGTATTCGCATGGTAGCTTCTAGAGTGAATACAGCGGCGCAGTACGGCGTGAATACTTCCATTAGGGACCCAATCATGGTCCGTGCACTCTATTGTGGACACATCTCTAAAGGACAGCTATTCAAAAGAAGGCTTGATTGTCCGCCAACCGTCACGTACTTAAGAAATCTCTAGAAGCGCCCACTCGACTTCTTCTTCTCCCCATCTTCAACTGCACCTTTCTTTTGTGGTGACAGCTTGACACAGAACAAAGCTTCACGGCGCGTGATCACCGGCGTTTATCCTCATTCCGCGACTTCTTTCGCATAGCCACATTTAACACCCCACCTATCGCTACTTCGATCGTTGGCGATTTCGCACAACGCTTTCGCCATGTCGAGAAGCTCTCAGAGCTCCTGGGCCTTGGGCCTGGGCCTGATCGCATGGATCTGCCTTCTTTTCTCGCCGCTTGCCTTTGTCCAGACTGTGCAAGCTTCTGATCCCTCGGAATACGGCACCGTCATTGGTATTGTAAGTTGCTCTACCCGCGACTAGCTTACACCACTCTAGCATACCCACACGGCGTCCCAAAGGTTGCTGACTCGAGATCAAATAGGATTTGGGTACCACATACTCTTGTGTCGGTGTGATGCAGAATGGCAAGGTCGAGATTCTCGTCAATGACCAAGGAAACCGAATTACCCCATCATATGTCGCATACACTGATGAAGAGCGACTGGTTGGAGATGCCGCCAAGCAACAAGCTGCTAGCAACCCGTACAACACCATTTACGATGTCAAGTTAGTTCTTACCCGTCATTGCTCCGTCGCAGACATGTTGCTAACAACTTCTCTTATAGGCGGTTCATTGGCCGCAAGTTCGACGACAAGGATGTCCAGACAGATCTCAAGCATTTCCCTTACAAGGTTTCCAAGAAGGATGGCAAGCCCGTGGTTCAAGTTGAGGTTGCCGGGTCTGAGAAGACTTTTACTCCTGAAGAAGTCTCAGCCGTTATTCTTAGCAAGATGAAGGAGGTTGCCGAGTCCTACTTGGGCAAGAAGGTCACCCACGCCGTCGTCACCGTCCCTGCCTATTTCAATGACAACCAGAGACAGGCTACCAAGGATGCTGGCACCATCGCCGGTCTTAACGTCCTCCGTATTGTCAACGAGCCCACGGCGGCTGCCATTGCCTACGGTCTGGACAAGACCGGTGGTGAGCGCCATATCATTGTCTACGATCTTGGTGGTGGTACTTTCGATGTGTCCCTTCTGTCTATCGAGGATGGTGTATTCGAGGTCCTGGCAACTGCTGGTGACACCCATCTCGGTGGTGAGGATTTTGACCAGCGCATCATCAACCACCTGGCCAAGTCGTACAACAAGAAGAACAGTGTTGACATCACCAAGGATGCTAAGGCCATGGGTAAACTGAAGCGCGAGGCCGAAAAGGCCAAGCGAACCCTCTCTTCGCAGATGTCCACCCGCATCGAAATCGAGGCCTTCTGGGAGGGCAAGGACTTTTCCGAGACCCTTACCCGGGCCAAGTTTGAGGAGCTCAACATTGATCTTTTCAAGCGCACCCTGAAGCCTGTTAAGCAGGTTCTCGATGACGCCAAGCTCAAGAAGGACGAGATTGATGATATCGTCTTGGTCGGTGGCTCTACTCGTATCCCCAAGGTTCAGGCTCTTCTGGAGGAGTTCTTCAGTGGTAAGAAGGCCAGCAAGGGTATCAACCCTGACGAGGCTGTCGCATTCGGTGCCGCTGTTCAGGCTGGTGTTCTTGCTGGTGAGGAGGGTACTGGCGACGTCGTCCTGATGGATGTCAACCCGTTGACCCTCGGTATCGAGACCACTGGTGGAGTTATGACCAAGCTCATCAACCGCAACACTCCCATTCCCACGCGTAAGAGCCAGATCTTCTCTACCGCTGCCGATAACCAGCCCGTCGTCTTGATCCAGGTCTACGAGGGTGAGCGCACCATGACCAAGGACAACAACCTGCTTGGCAAGTTCGAGCTTACTGGCATTCCTCCGGCACCCCGTGGGCAGCCTCAAATCGAAGTCTCGTTCGAGCTGGATGCCAACGGCATTCTCAAGGTCTCGGCCCACGACAAGGGAACCGGCAAGAAGGAAGAGATCACCATCACCAACGACAAGGGTCGCCTTACTCAGGAAGAGATTGACCGCATGGTTACCGAAGCCGAGAAGTACGCTGAGGAGGACAAGGCTACTCGTGAGCGCATTGAGGCCCGTAACGGTCTCGAGAACTACGCCTTCAGCTTGAAGAACCAGGTCAACGACGAGGAGGGTCTTGGTGGCAAGATTGACGACGAGGACAAGGAGAGCGTAAGTGAAACCACAACTACCCGAGAAAAGTTGGACCCCGCGCTAACTCTTTTCACAGATTCTGGATGCTGTCAAGGAGGCCACCGACTGGTTGGAGGAGAACGGTTCTACTGCAGCCGCAGAGGACTTCGAAGAGCAGAAGGAGAAGCTCTCAAATGTAGCATATCCAATCACATCCAAGCTGTACAGCGGAGGTGCTGGCGGCGAGGATGATGAGCCCGTTGACCACGATGAGTTGTAGATGGAGAGCCGTGATATTGCATTCCTAGGTTTCATTCTATAGCATACCTCTGGACCAAAAAAATAAAGAAAGTTAATAGCAGATGACTTGTAATTGGATAGCCTACCGTGAAATTCTGTTTTACGGCATCTTCACTCCAACGGCCGGAGATAGAACCAGAATTCCTGTGGCCGATGACCATATCATAAAAACATTCGGGGAGACAAGATATTTGCACAAGAACTCCCTGGGACTCAGTTGGTGACGGTGATTCTCCATTATTCACAGTGCGATGGGTGTGGGAAGCTTAGGGCCAAAACCTGGAGGATGTTACCTATATATCCGTGAGATCGTGGACCGTCGGCCACATAAGCTACACAAAAGCAAGATCTTGCATGCACACCAACAAGGAACTATAGTTGTTTTTAGAAATGCTATGTGTATCCTTTGTTTTCAATACGCCTCCGGGATCTGAACCAAGCTGTTGCACCGCACCAAACTTGGTCTCAGTAAATAAAGGTCGACAGCTATGGCATACAGTCAGCCACCCCACACCGGTACAGATAAATTAGCCAACTAGTATGTGAAAGTCAACTTCACTAATACGCAATGAAATAGCTAACCCATCAACTCATAAATTATATATACCAGTCGGCTGGTGTAGTTGGTCACTTCGCTGGTAGATAAGTCCCGATTTGAGCCTCGCCCACTTGGGTTGGTGACGAGTCGCGGGTTCGAATCCCGCAGCTGACACACAAGGGGGTTTAGTCAACCCTTACGGCGCGCTGCCCACCTTGTTGACTTCGCCTACCTAGCGATAATAGGGAGATTGGTGCAGTTTAGGATTACGAGCATCCTAGCCAGTCGACCGTCAAGCACTACGTCGGCGGAATATAACTCGACAGCCGGTCCAGAATTCGAATCGTTAATCCGACCCCTTATCGGACCTCGCCTATCCGATAACGCTCGTCGGCGAACCCGTCCCCTCACGATAGAAGGCGCGCAGCACGCCCCCTCGCCGCGATTCTTGCGAGCGTCTAGACCACGTTACGGTCTATCCACTTGAGCGTATGGTTGAGATGTATACGCTCGACGAGAACCCCAATTAGCAGATACTACGACTTGTCGCGACAAAAAAATAGTCGAGCATCTTCTGCACATCAGCAGCATCCCACCCCTGAGGACGAATTTAAGTGCCACATTACCACGCTTATCGGTAGTTCAGGCAGGGGTTGTAGCACAGACTTAGGGAGGGACAGGAGGTTTAGTAGTCGTTTGGCTACAAGTTTACCTGTATAACCGCCCGACGCGGCTTAAGGGCCCGCTATATCATCTATAGCCCCTTAAGGGAGTACTTGTAGAGGTACCGAGGGTTAACACCTACGGCGTATTTAATATTATTTTTATATATACCATTACATATCAAATTGACTGAAGATTCTGATTATCTAGTTGTCTAGATGTGCAGGGGTTCGGACGGCTCTTCCAGCGCAAGTGACCATCGTGCGCGGCAAGTCGATTTCAGCCCCTCACATAGTGTCTGATGTATATCGACTTGGGCATCGTCGCCATGGCATCGCCGATTTCATGAATCGCGCATTCGGATTTTTCAACCTTCTTAAGCTTCTAAGGGCGTATACGTTCGTTCTCTGCTTCCAGAGGTAGCACGGCTACTTTACATTAATAACTGCTCTAACTTATGATTTAATACCTTAGCTATCTTACGAAATATTACCTTAGTCGCCGGTGACTTTCTAAGTACCATGTGTATAATCGGACAGCCATTAATTAATGTACGGACTCACTATAATCTGTGAGCTTCTAATCACCAGAATAGTGCATTGGAGAGGATTGTACTTATCACAGTCTATCGACCGGTATGTAGCCTCTGCAATGCCTTTGGTTAAGATTCTCACAGAAGATTCTTGATAATCTACACCACAGTGGAGCTCTCACGAATAATTAGTCCGGGAGGATTAAAACATAGAGTGAGGGATCTATCTTACTATACCTGAAGCTCTTCTTCAGTCCTCTTTATACATTTATTGTCGTATAATAGGCGAGGCTACTTGTGAGTATATCGCTCTTAACTCTTGCAGCATATTAGTTTCTTATATACCTTTATAGTTGCCATAGAGCTTCTGTCGGGTTCCGAGTATTAGGAGCTGTATTGGTGTTACGAAGGTGTGTGAGGGGCTAATCTAAGTTAGCCCCGAGTCGCTAAATACTATAATCCGTGCCTGCCTGCCTCATAACCCTCCATATATGAGGTCAGAGACTCAGTGCGATCTTATTACAGATGACGGAAGTTCAGGTACCGGGCGGCAGTTAATAAACGAAGCTGGAGTTGGAAAGAACACGAGGTCTCATTTCCCCGCATGTACGAAATATGGACCTTCATCTTTTGCTGCGTGGTCTTCGAGAAATCCGGGTAATAAACGTGGAGAAAGGGCGCTTCTTGCTTACTCTGTCAGAATGAGGAAGCTCGGTTGGATGACCGGTGTGCTCCGTCTGCATATAATAAGTCTTTGGGAGAAAATGCGACTCATTGAAGTACAATATAACACGATGTAACCACGCTATGGCAATCTAAGTTTTTGGGTGCTGAGGAGGTAATATGGGCGATATATTGCTGTGCCGTTTCTTGAGTGATGGAGAGGATCGGTAGTAGATCCACGCGGTTGCTGGGGCTCCGTGACGGGCCGAGGATTTGATTTTGGAAGTAACCCATGAATGTGATGAGAGGGGGGGAGATATATATATGTCTAGATGATGGTCGTTTTTCTACTGCAATAAAGTTAGTTTAGCTGCATCGAGGGTTCATTTTCCATTAGTCCTTGATCGAATTGCTTATTTTGGCGTCAATCGTCTTTACTTTTATACAGCGGCAGCGTCCACTCAGCTATACCCAAACTCTGTATACTACCAAAATGCTCCCCCTGCTCTCAAATTACATGGTCCTCCCCCTCCTATCCCTCGCCTCCCTAGCCACCTCCAACTCTCTCCCTATCACGGGCGCAGACTTTGACCTGAACGACCTCGTCTCCCGCGCGGCCACCAACATCTACCTAGCGGGCGACAGCACCATGTCCTCCTACAGTAGCGGCGCCATCCAAGGCTGGGGGCAATACGTGCAATACTCCTTTCCTTCCTCGACCTACAAGGTCCAAAACAAAGCCATTGGCGGCCGCTCCGCCCGAAGCTTCACACGCGAGTCGCGGTTCCAAGCCATCGCCGACTCCGTCGTCCCAGGGGACTGGGTTATCATAGAGTTCGGACACAATGACGGCGGCAGCTTGGGATCGGGTACCGACAACGGGCGGACTGACTGTTTTGGCGACGGGGAGCAGACGTGCGCAACTACGTACGACAACGTGGCGGAGACTGTGCATACGTTTCCGTGGTACTTGAAGGCGGCGGCGAAGTTGTATCTAGCCAAGGGGGCGAAAGTGGTGTTGAGCACGGCGACGCCTAATAATGTTTGGGAGAGTGGGAGGTGGAGTTGGGGGCCGGATCGGTTTTATTACTATAATTGGCATGTTGCTCTCGTCACGTCTTGAAATGAAATTTTATTGACAGTCCATGGACAGGCTCGCTGCACAACAGCTAGGCGGCCCTGAGGCAGGCGTCTACTTTGTCCCTCACGGCGAATACGCTGCGCAGGCTATGAATAATCTGGGTGCCTCTGTCGTCAACGCCAACTACCCCAACGACCACACACACACAGCCCCGTACCTCGCGGATATCATGGCTGGGTCGTTTGTACTCGGCTTGAAGTGTGGGACGAGTGACCTGGGTGCTGCAGTGCTCAACTCAACTAGTTCGTTGACGAGCACAGTTCTGGGGCCATGTATTTCGCACAACAATACTTTGAATGCCTTGGGGAGGCGAGAAGCTTGGGGTTGGGGTGAGGTAGTGTCATGATTTAAGTGGAACAAGTTCGCTGCTGTGATAAGGGGCAAAGGCAGAGAAAGGAGGCGGCGCTGGGCGTGAGAGGGGATGAGCGATAAGACTTGTACATAGCCAGGAGTTCTCGTACGTACATCTGAAAGTATGTGCGTAGCATAGTTTGTGTGAATATTGAGCGTACTATACTACATCACTATCCAACTTCAGGGGTATCATGTCCGCATTCTTTCCAACAGATCAAGTTGACACTAGACTTGAAGTGCTTGTGCATCTCAGTTGAGCGTCTTGACAGGGGTTGACCTCTCCTCCACGACGGCAGGCACTCCATTCTCGATATTGCTAAGTACCTCTCCTTTTCGCAAGCCAAGTTGGCGGATGTCCCAGCCGTTGCTCTCGAGGAACTCGCGGAATTGGATGTCCTCCTTCGTGATGGTGTCCTGGCCAATATGGGGAAGGCAGAACAGCACCAGGGCGGCAGAGAGAATGCACAGGCAGGAAGAAACATAGAAAGGATACTGCACCGAGGCGATACCATCACCACCTGCCGCCATGATGTACGGGAAGACCCAGGTTCCGACGAATGCGCCAATCTTGCCGATGGCCGCCGCGATGCCGTAGTACTGTCCGCGAACCCCCGTGGCGCAGGTTTTGGAGGCAAGGAGACCAATGTTGTTGCCGGGTCCCAGCTCGCCGAATGATAGGAAAATGCCGTAGACGACAGCGAACGCACCCACGACACTAGGCTGCGAAAGTTTGGCATAACATCCTGCCATGATGAATCCCGTGATGGACTGGAGGGTAACACCTAGGGCGAGCGCGTAACGCGGGCCGATCTTGTCACTGAGTGGCGCACCGAGCATCGTTCCTGGAAGGTAAAAGATGTTGATGACCGTATTCCAACCGAACACTGTCGTTAGGGGAGCTTGCTCATCGCCGTAGATGTTGGCCAGGATGGTGGAGGAGTAAAGGCCGAAGGAGTACACCGAGAAGTCGTAGAGGAACCATACCAGGCTGACGATGAAGAGTCGGAACCCGTAGTATCGAAGCACGAGGCCGTAGGGGGTTTTGGCATACTTCATCGAGTTGCGGCTGAACTCTTCGGGTTCTTTGAGCTTTAGGCGCAGAACGAATAGGATCAAGGGAAACACGACACCAATGCCGAGACTGGTACGCCAGATGGTGCTATAGTACATGTTCTTTGCCGCGGCGGCAACAACATCTGTTTACTATTAGCAAGGGTTTCATATTGCGAGTAGCCTGGGTCGCACGTACACGGTACAAAGGCCCCAATGACGAAACCCCAGTCAATCATGGAGTTGGTGAACAAGATGAACCACATGTTGCGAGTTCCGCTCTTCAGTTCACCCGACGATTCGGCGCAAGCGACACTGCCTGCTGGATATTCGCCTGTGCATGTCATCAGCCTTGTTTTTCACGATTTGCGCGGGGCACCACACCTCCAATGCCAATTCCCACGAAGAATCGCCAGGCAGCCAGAATATTGAACATGCCAACTGGCTCGCCGTGCCAGTACGAGCCAGCTGCCAGGGCGGTGAAGATGATCAAAATGATGGTAGACAGTAAAAGCGAGTTCGTTCGAGACCATCTATCAGCGAGATAACCGAAGACGAGCTGCCCAACGACCTGGGACCGTGTAAGTTCTCATGCTGAGGAACTAAGTAGCGCGAAGTTGACTTACAGTACCAGCAAAAGCGATATCCGACACGTACGTTTTGGCGTTGGAGTTGCTGTAAGTGTCGCCATATTCATAGAGGAGCACGGTTGACACAGAGCCAATGACCTAGCGAGGGCACCGAGTTAGTTGTTGGAGTGTAGACAAGCAGAAATTGAGGATTGTAGTTACGCACATTGTTGATGTAGCCGTCAGAAAAGAGGCCAGCACCGCAAGCCAGAACAGGCCAAATAGCTTGCCAGAAAGGCTTCTGGTCAATCGCGGGCGCTGCCTCGATGTTGGTATCCTGAGCAACGGGCTCCTCCTCCTCCTCCTCCTTCTTCTTGCGCCCAAACATTACGGCAGGTATGCGCTATTCAATCGCGAGGATAGGTATCGTCGGCAAAAACAAGGATTAAGAAATTGAGGACATTTAGCAAAAGCGGCAGAGATAGGAGATGATAAGGAGTCTGCTTCTTCTGGGAAGCTTTAGGTAAAACCTAAGCATGAGAAGGTGTATGAAAGCCAGGTACGACAAAAGGTTTAGTAGACCAAGAGGCGTGAACAAACAAAACAACGACCAAAGAGAAGCGATAAATAGCATGCAGGCGGCGCCGGGCAGCCTTAAGAAGGCCACGACCAGTAGAAAAGCGAACCATGTGTTTTGGATGGCATCCTTGCAACGGTTACAAGGCTAGCTCTGCGGCAGGAAGCTGTAGATATCGCGTCCTCGGTAGCTATGCAGAGTCAGGTGCTATCTAGATTCTAGCCCTGCACCTCGGCCGCACCTTGCTGCAACCAGGTGCATGTTCCGGGCTTATTGGCATCTTGTAAGGGTCTCATCTTGTAAGGGTGTCAAATAGAAGCTGCTGATTGCTTACCGTTTATTCCTTGTTCCCCAAAGTAGCTGTCGGCGATATGGGCAGTGAACGATAACTGCTGCTCCACCATAATACGCTTGGGGGTATACGACCGCTGGCTGGTGGGTGCGCGTAGATAGGCACGCGCGAGCTCGAGCAATAAAATGGAGGGACCTATCATGAATTGCTCAGCTCCCCCGTGCCAAGCTAGGTTGGTTTGGCAAAAATGCTTGTAAATGCTTGTTCTATCTAGTGCGAGCAGCGGGCTATTGGTCCAAGCCTTCGCTGTGACTGGCTTGCTGACGTCGTTTGACGGCAAAACCGAAGCTTGGGCTAGGGCCGAAAGAAGCGCCACGGTTACTACCTCACGGCGTGCTTGGAAGATTGGCTGCAGCAATCAACAGCGCAATCCTCGAGAGTGCATGTGCCTTACCAATGTTGAGAGCAACAGAGGACTTTCCGAGGACTTTCCAGGTGTCTGGCTCAAGAGAAGATGAGCGGTGGCAGGGGGCCTCCTGGCTTACGTGGGTTTGGGACGAGAGATGATTCGAGAATCAAATGTACTATAGTGCATAGAACAGATGCTAAGAAACATTCGAGTTGTCCAATTGACAATGGGGAATATGAAGGCTGTCGGAGTTGCAACGTCAGGGCCGAGTCTGAATCAGTGATGGTATCATCTTGGATCGGGCATCCCGACTTTCGACTTCAGTACCTTTCCGCTCTAGAGGTAACCTGTAGCATCACAGCGTGATGCTTCAGAGCTCTCTTCTAGGCCTCACTGTAGTGATAGTGAGGCTGGTGGTGTAATATTTGCGCTTGTACCCTGGTTGCTGAAAGTGAGGAATTTCAATGTTGGCTTGAGTGACATGGAAACCAGCATTCTCAAAACCCTCACACTCCCCGCTGGTTCCACTGAAAACGTCCCCTGGGGGATGGGGCAAAGGAGGGGTTCACAGTTTGAAGGTTCGAAAGCATACCACTGAACGCGGGACAATAAGGCACGTGTAGCGTTTCTATTACATAAATCCTCCCCAGTTGTAATTCTAATGGAATCCACTCGATTCTGAACCTTGTCACGGTATTTTGGTCGGGGTTGCAATACTCGGTCTGTTCATACGCTGAATGGAGGCTGTTTTGAGCCCTGATCACTTGCTGGGGAATTGATCTTGCGTACACGGCCGAATGACGTGGAATCGATTGTTTAGAGGACAACAATACCATGCCACCCAACTCCTCAGTCACACAGACCAGGCGTCTATGTTCACAGATGATCTGATGGTACTATTTGAACCACACGATTCCGTGATGCGCGATGATATAACTCAAGAGACACCATTCAGCTCATTCTGCACCGCAATCGCATCACCCACGCTGATCCAGTCGAGCTGATTGTCTCGTTAACGTACGCTTCCTCAAGTGACATTTCTCAGATAAGTACTACTCACAATGATGAAATTGGGGTTCCGTCTATATAGGCCAGCGCAAAGATTCGCCTGCGCTAGGATCGACGAGGCCGAGTTGGTTGTAGCGGCTGCTGCGGCGTTCGGAATGTCGATGCCGAAAATCTCAGTGTCAAGATAGTGGTTGACGAGGTACATGCGACCACTGGCAGATGCCCCGGACGGTCGGTCGATGCTGCATTGCGGGAAGGAGGCATCTGTTGTGCTATTGTGAGATGAGATCAGTGGTGAGTTCACAACAGATGCTGGAGACCCGTTGAGAAGTCGGCACTGGCCAGACCCATTGGTTGCAGAGGCTCAAGACGAAATCCTCGAAATTACGCTACACCACGGGCTGACCAGAAACTGGGACACGTACTCGTAGGGTATCTCACTATTTCCGTCAGTCAGTTTCATTTATCACGTCTAAATGGTATTTACGATCAACAAAGCCAGCACTTACAAGATATACGAACTGAACTCGTCTAGGATATAGCTTACTGCGTCATCTGCTGGATAATCTGAAGAGAGTGTCAGCATTCAGACCAGACCACTTTAGATGCTTTGAACAAACCCATGAAGACAACTAGTCTCGTCCCAGCACTAATGAGCTCTCCCAAAGTCGGCCACTCAGCCAAAGCAAGATTGCTGCCCGGAGAATAAGCATATGAATCAATCCCAGCAGCCTCAAAGACCCCTGCAAAGTCGGCTCCAGCGATGCCATCCCCATTCGTCAACAGCAGTGTCACCACCTCGTCCGCATTGCTGTCCAAGAAGGTCTTGACCATCACTAGGTAGCCCTCCAAAGATCCGGCATCTTCTTCCAGGCACGACGTATGACAGAGCTCGACCGTCCCATCCTTATCGTGTGTTTGTGCTTGCAGGAATCGTACGCCCTGGCTTAGTTGATCTGCGACAGAGGTAAATTGGTTGTCGACAGGCAGGTAGCCCACGAAAGCACTGTTATGAGACCCGACAAAGGTGATGTTGCTGTATTGCCTGTCGCAGAGCTCGTCATGTCCGTTACAGGTCGCCGCGGTGGTGAACTGGGTAAGCAGGCCAAGTATGGTGATGAGAGACCGCATCTTAGTTGATGTTCGAGGATAAGTCTCAGGTTCATTGCCAAGGACCAAGTCGTTGCATGGCTGGGCCTGCGAGTCTATTTATTCATTCTGGGATTGTTGAACATTGTAGGACAACCTGGCATCGTATAACTCTTATTGGAGGACATACTGCAATTGCTATTAACCATGCTCGCCGTTCCATGACATGCGTGCCGGCGCAGACACATATGGCTGGTCCGTCTTGGCAGGATCTCCGTTGACTAGGAAGACGACCTGATGGAATCCAGTTGCCTCATTGGACGAATCGTTCATGCGAAGGCCGAAGTGTTTCCAGAAGGGGCCTATAAGTCCGGGCCGATCCAACCTCAGTGATGGGGGTTGGTATGCCTACCAGCCTGCGCCAGTCATTCCGACTCTCACCAAATCAGTCGGTACATCCACACCTTCATCGTTATGCTGCCCTTGTTTTGTGCACGGAATTCATTGGGACCGAATCTATGGCTCGAGGAGTCTGGGTAGTTCTGAGTAGCACTGGGGCCACCACCTGGTCACCGATATGTGGGAAGATATCGGCATCACCTGAAACATAATTCTGAGCATATATTTCCTGGATACGTCGATGCTCATGTTCTCTTGTTGGTTCTTGGTAAAACACGTAAGTCCCTCTACATGCCATAAGGCGTGTTGTACCCATCAATGCGACATGGTTTCGTTATTATGCTTGCAGATTACAAACCTCGAAAAGGCTGAAAAAGTCGTTCACCTGCTCATAGTACGAGCATCCACATACAATACTGAACAATAGTGTGATTTTCAACAACAACAGGCACACTATCATCGACTATTCATTACATTTAAACACTTCACTTCATTCAAAGTGTCGAAAAAATTCATACTCCAGACCATCATTCTCAGGTAGGGCAGAAAGGGGTTATACAAAGTATGCGCGATCGTGCATACACCGAGGAAGAGACCGCTCGCTCACTCTCGCTGGGCACCGGTCCCATATGCGCCGTGGCACTTGTCGCATGATACGGGTGTTGTGGGTACCTTCCTTCACACCGATCTCATCGCACGTCTCCTCACGCAGTCTTCTTCCACTGGGAGTAGATTCCAATCAAACTACTCATGGTACCGGCCAAGCCCACAAAGCCGTCGTCAAATCCAACCCAGCCCAATGCACTCGTAGGGACCGTCAAATCGCAGAGGTCGGAAAGCAGTTGAAGTTGGCTGGCACTTCGCTCACTGTTACTCTGGTTAGCACTCTCTCAACCTGAGAAGGCATCATCAGCAGTTCCACTTACATAGCAATCCGCTTCGCCTCCACGACCCCCTCGCCCTCCTTCTTATCCACCTTGGCCTCCCGCTCCTTCAATTGATAAAGCGTGTACAGCTGCGCGACCACACTGCACGCCAACCCCATAGCCCAGAACCGGTACGCCTCCCGTCCGGCCCTAGTAGCGCCCTGCCATTTCTTAATGCCCGCAGCGTCCAACACCGTCGCCAGGTCGAACGTCAGGTATCCCGCGTAACCCAGCTGGCGGCCCACGGCGGCGTACCGCAAAACGGGGTCCATGGTCTTGGAGTCGGCGGCCGTGGCGGCGGCCTTGAAGTGCTCGATGTTCTTGCCGACGCGCATCAGCTTGCGCGTGAGACCGAACTGTTTCTTCATCGCCTCGAACGGCGCAATTTCGGCTTTGGTGCCATTCGTGCGCAGGAGGTACCACGCGTAGAAGCGCGAGAAGTATTGCAGCGTGCGCAGGAGCTTGTCGCGACCGACAGTCGTCGCGACAAATTTGAGGTAGTGCGACACGCTCGGGTGATAGATGAGGGCGTCGGCGACCATTTTGGCGGTTGCGTCACAACAGGTCTATCAGTAAAGGCTTGGGTCGCGGAGATTGATGGATGGAGTATAGGAGAGTTGCTGTCGAGAGGAAGTAAGAAAGGTCGCCGTGACTCATAAAAGGGGTGATGGATGAAGAGATGTTGGATGTTGGGGCAATCGCCAACGGCTGCGATAGCACCGTCAGCCGAACATTTGGGAATGAGACGATTCCAATCGAGCACATGCCGAGGTCCGCCGAGGCAGCGTGACGGCATGTATGCCGCAATGCGACCCCGGATTGTATCTAGGCGTGTATTGACCACCGTAGCATCCGTGCTCAAATGGCCTAGTTCCTGACGACCACTTGCATCTTCACATGATAGAGCAGTGGCTTTATAACAACTAAGTAGCGTCTTCTTCAACAATGCCTAACATGTGGTGACCATAAGAGCCTCTTCACCGCATTTCTGTAAAATGATGTATCACCAGCAGATTACTTGATTACTCGACGGAGATCCTTTCGCAAAGTCATCTTACGTTGACAAGACCAAGAGTTCAAGATGCGGATGACGGAACCCAGACATCGATCGCAGCCCTTCCGAGTTCTCACGCTTTTTAGTGATTTACAGATCTCGCGTTAGACTTGTCTAGAAGCCGACCATTATTGCACTAGATCAAGTTAAATCAAGCGCTACTTTCAGATATGCGAGGGCCAAAGAGTGGTTTCCAAGCTACGGAATATAAAGCCCTAGGATTGATCAGAGACAGGGCCAACTCTTACCGCTTGCACACACCTTTTCCTGCAAATGTTCAATTTAATCATAGAATCCGAATTATAACTAATGATGAGCGGCACGATGAAGCCGATTTTACAAGCACCAGGTCTTGCCCCGGTGCGTACACCATAGTACACGTTGTTGTCGGCATGGTTTATGTACCGTTGTTGCTGGCACTGGTGGTATGGCTTTTACCGCTTGACGGGCTCTTTAGTTTGCCGTCTGCTTCATTATTAGCCAGGAGCTTCCAGTCCTCAATACCCATGGCATACATGGTCTCGAGAACGAAGGAGAAAACGCAATTGACTATCACCCAGTTCGCCGTGATCAAAAGGCCATACCATCATATGTTGCCCCCGAATTGTTCCACGTAAATCGTTGCGGTGAGTATGGCACCGTCTCGGTGCCTCAAACGAAAAGGCAGAAGATGTGGGTGCCGGTTCCATGAACAGTATTGAGTACCTTAGCATCAGGTCAATCACTTTAATCAGCTGTCCGGGCTGCATGGATATCACTCTAGGTACGATCCATTCCATGCTGAATGCTGCTAGGACCGCGGAATCCGAGTACAATCCTGGCTCGGCATATATGACATGTCCTGACATGACGTGAAATGAAAGTCGCAAATCAAAGCATCCTCGGGATACCTACGAGGAGTCATTTCGAGGACAGAATTGGAATTTTGAGGCTCGAAGAATTATACCAAGGTAAACACCTCTCTGTGTTCTTGACGGGATCCCATGTTTGAGTTGGCAAGCATCACACTCGGCCGACGATAGTCCATTTCGGCATGCTTCAATTCAACCTCACGAGGGTCAATTCAAGTTCGATTGGGAAACAGAAAAATACGCGTGTTGCTACCTATCCAAACTTCCTCCTTCTAGCCCACGCCAGCCAAATGCAATCTTCGAACGCAAATGCGACAAAGTAGATGATTCAACACCTCTCTTCGTCGGAATCGGGAGGGCAATTGCGTCGCAGTTCCCAATCCTCACACCACCACGGCAACCTTTTCTTTCTGTGCTCCTAGTAACTTCACTTTATCTCCTCAGCACATCTCATCGTACTCTATACCATTTCTGCTTGGCCGGGACTTCGTTCTTCCCGACCTGGGGTTTAATAAAACTGGGCACTGCAGTTGAATCACAACCGTGCTTCCACTGCCTGCTTCGTGGCTGGCTGGCCCTTTCACATAAAATTCAACTTATTCATCTTCCAGACGGGGCGTTGCTCGGCAATTACTACCAACTTCTGCCAATCGAAACACGCCATCTGCACGGCATTTCAACTTCGCCAAATCTTGCCTAGTTTAATCTATGAGCAGGTTGGCCCACGTTCAGCTCAGAATTTCTGCATCGAGACCTTTGCCGATGAGCGATCCTGGCTTCTAGTCATCACCATTTCACCATAGAGTTATTGCTCGACTGATTCTCCACTTGTATACAAGAAGAGCGCTGGCAAGCTCATTGCCATTTTGGAAATGCCCAAAGGGGACTTTGAACCGCTCTGTTGCGGCGGCAGTAGCGACTCTTCGCCGCTCTGATCTTGGATCCTAAAATTTTGACATAAAAGTCACCGAACCGCTTTCTTACCTCAGAGCTGATCTGGTAATCGTCACCTTGAAGCAGAGAGAATAGCTGAGCTACCGTGGGAAAGGAGCAGATCAAAAGGTCAAGATCCCCGATCCCCCAGTTATATATGGCTTGCCAGACGATATCCGAGAGATTGCCAAGACTATATCTAAGATGTTGGCGCGTGAGCGGATGCAAAATAAGGAAGGTGTTGAATACCCTCTAAAAACTAGAGTAGTAGCCAAGGTCGTGGCGGGCGGGCGGAAGAAAGATCGGCGATCTGTTTCAACTGCTGCCACAACATGTACTAGACAATCATGATGAGGATGACAAGAATTAACGCTACCGCATGCAGACGAACGAGATTTCGCTGGAGGGTCAAGTGTAAGTGGCCAGTCTCAAACCTACCTTCGTCCGCACTCAATACCGAGCGGTGAATCAAGTTGCGTGAACCTACGGTAGAGCCGCCTACAGTGTTCAAGGTCAGATGGTTGGACTCATCAGCCATTTTTCAGCAGGTCTACAGCACCATCCCCTGGTTCAAGACATAGGGATCACAATATCACAAAACATGATCAAAAAGCATACGTGGTCTTCTTTTGATATTCCCTCAGCCGTCGAGCTTAGAGGCCGGGGACACTCCAAATTGTGCACGCAATATGCAACCTGAGCCTTGAGAATTATCCAAGCAACAGTGCAGCATCTTGCGGGCATCAAATCTCAGCATACTCGAAAGTACCTGGAAATTGAGGACGTATCCCTCGAAATGGTGGTAAAGATCCAGGGCATGGAATGCGATATATTCATAGTTGACACCGTAGCCGTTCGCCGTCCGGGCTTCCTCAACAACAAGCGTTTGGATGTGCTGTTTTCACCAGCTAGGGACGGTCTCTATACCATGGACAGCTATCACTGCTGGCAAAAGATTCCGCTGCTAATAGATGAGTCACTTACAGATTCTGAGTTAGTACAGTTCGGAAAGATCCGCAACACGAACGATCTTATGTCATTATCCGAGTTCCTCAATCGCGCATCGATACCTGCGTACACATGGCATGATGATGACTAGACAAGAAACCAGACACGACATTTGGGCCATATTTCTGATATAGCCCGGGCACCAAAAGAAACAACTATACGGTACAGCATGCAGCGAAACGATATTTGCCAACTTTCTCATAAGGCTGGAACTATTAATTGATAGGGAGTGGCTACTCACAGAAGCACAGAACTTGCACTTGCTTGACAACAGCCACGGTTTCCATCGATCTCCCAACTCTGCCCAAAGAACCATTGTCTCTTATGACAAGTCCTGGATGTGTCTCTCGATTTGGAAATATGACTTCTGTGTCGACGTTGGCATCTCTTATCGTAGAAGCGGCAGCCCTTACTCATGTAGTAATCGAAACTGGATACATCATTGGGCATTTATTGCCAGACCTAATATTGCTCATGGCAAAAAAACATCCAGGAATCCACCACTCGGCCATATCGGCGATCATACATAGATTGAATCTTATGGTCTTTGCATTTCTATCCCGAGCATTGATAGACAGAAATATTTCTGGACTTCATGGCCCGAATGTGCCCAGTACCTCTTTGCCTGCGAAGCTTTATCACCTGACCATCAGCTGCTTCAATCTATCCGCCATTCCTCCCCCATCTTATATTTTCTTGACGTTTCAAATTTCGGATTTCTTGAGAAATTTCGAGAACAATGACGAACAATCTGGTCTATCCCAGAGGTTGAAGGGCGGAAAAGCAAGGTTTCGAAGCCAACCCTAAAGTGTCGAGTTGCGAAGCCTCGCATTGTGGTAAAGTTCAGTTAACACCTCTAGTAAGAGTAGAAAAGGCTAAGGCTTATTACATGCACATAGATCTACGCTACGATCCAATCCAACGGCAGCCCAAGTAGGAGTTGTATGTGACGGCTAGCAACGAGATCATGGTTGATACTCATGGCGACTAGTATCGGGTGTTTATCCGGATCATTGACTTATTTATCAATCGACACCACGACCATCCGAGCTATTTAGTCTTCCCCTTTGAATAACGTAGCTAAATTTACGACAATAGAAGACAGCGCTGGTAGACTGATGAAGGTTTTATTACTTCCCCCTTGCCATTATGGGGACATGAGTGACTGGATAAGCTAGTCGGAATCTGAACCCGTGTAAGGGACCTTTGTTCTGGCTTCATTACAATCACCAGCTTATCTGGGCTGGTTCTCTAATTCGTCTTACATACATTAAAAGTAAATATATACTCTAGCTCTGCAAGTCTTGCGCAATGATGTTACGACGCATAGCTCCTCTTGATGTATGATCTATCCCCTTTCTCAACCGTGCGGAGACCATGCCACTCGTTTAGCCATGCTGGAATAGGCTGCTCAAGGATTCTCCATGGTGAATTCGTCGTATAGCTTCAGCAAAGATGGGAGCTACATCCAGGACTTGCAACTTCGAACAAATCACCTGGTTTCTCTCCTGCGGTACCGAGTTGGTCACGATGATCTTGTCGATTGCAGAAACATTAATACGAGTGAGGGCGTCTCCACTGAAGATGCCGTGAGACAAGAGGCAGTAGATAGCCGCAGCACCTTCGCGTTTCAGCAGCTTCGCTGCGCGGGTGATGGTGTTTGCCGTATCAGCCAAGTCATCAATCAATATGCACTGTGGTAACAGGAGTCAGTGACCAACTCTACTAGCATTGTTCGTGGTGACTCGAGTCATGGGCCAATTTCTAAAGAGAGTCCTTCTATACCAGGCTCGACTATGGAGCTGGCTTGTCTTACGTGTGGAGAAAAGGGATAGCCGAATTATAAAGGGACGTACCACGCGATTTTTAACTTCTCCCACCAGCATCATGGTCGCATTTTGACGATCGGTGATCTTTACTGGGCGGCGTTCCTTGTGAATCAGGGCAAAGTCCATCTCTAGGCTATCAGCGATGGCAGTTGCTCTCTTCGCGCCTCCAGCATCAGGACTGACAATGACAGCATTTTTGTAGTCAGGGATGTTCTTCTGTATGTATTTCTTCAGTAATGGGCGTCCATACAGATTGTCCATGGGTATGTCGAAGAAGCCCTGATACTGTGCATCATGAAGATCAAGCGCAACGACGCTGTGGCCCCAGTCAGCCCATCACCAACACAAAGTGCTCATTGTCCTGTCCAAATGGGGATTTTTTGGGAGATGACTTACTGATCGGCACCAGCGCAAGTCAGCAGGTCGGCTACCAGAGTTCCAGCTTGGGCAACCCATCGTTTGTAGCCTGGCTTTGCCTCGAAGGTGTTGACAACTGATGGATCAACGTTCACGTAATCGTGAGTGGTGAAGTTCGCAGTCTCTGATGTTGTAGAGCGCGAATGCTGTATGCTGTTGGTCCCAGTCGTATCTCCAAGGTCGCCATTTGTGCGTGGGATTCCAAGGACAGTCTTGCTCAACATCCTGCTGAGGTCGGTACCGTTACTAAGGCCGGCGCTCTTAGGTATGCCGGGACCTGGAGTAGGAGGCACGCTCTCGAATGTGTACTTATCCTTGGGAACGGTCCGAGACAGTGGGGATCCCGTTTTCTTGTACGGCAGGTCCGGTTGACGCGAGTAGGGAAACAGCGGAGTCACCACAGTTACCCTCTTCGCAGAACCCGTCTTGCAGGCAGATATCATGACACACGCATCGACAAAATGGTCGTTTGCCGCGCCACCTCCGGTCTGAATGATGAAGACATCCTTGCCACGGACCGAGTCTTGAATTTCACATCGACTCTCTCCAGCCGAGAACTTGGTCAAGATGCGATTTGATGGTGCAATGCCTAAAAAGTTGCATATGTCCTCTGCGAGTTGTGGGTGGGAGTTTCCGGCGAGAACGACTATGCCGCGGACCATTCTGGAAGTCTATTTAAACTGATGGTCTAAGAAAATGTGTTGGAGCAGCGGCAGCGTCTTTTCTCAACAGGGGCTTGCTGTCTTCGAGAACAATGTAAACCATGCGCTTGAAGAGGCGAGACCGACGGTAGTAACGGGGCGGGTGCCAGACAGAGGAGGTAGTGAGCCGAGAAGCACTACCAATGGTTGTTGAGATGTCCGGGATGATCCAAACAGTAATCGCACCTGGAATTGACGTTGAGATTCAACTTGACAAACTTGGCGACGCGAGGGTGCAGCAAAAGAAAGCTGGATTCAAGTGAAGCGGAGCACTAAGAAACAATGCGATGCAAGGATCTACCAGCATGATGACCCACCAGTGGTCCGCTTAAGAGCTTGGACCAAGTGAAAGTCAGCGGGTGCGATTGCCTAATGACGGGCTGAACAACCGTAATGAAGGCGTCGAGCCCCTGAGACTTCCGGCTCCTACGGGTATTTTTGGTTGAAGTGTACGGAAACCTGATCATGCAGATTATCCGTACTAGTTTCTCCCAAATCCTGCCACCATCACCATGCCTGAGATCGCTGAAGGTAAGAAACAATTCCCTCAAATTCTGATTGCTCTCAAGTACAAGTTGCTCATTATGTAATCATCCAGTGGCAAGGGTTACACATTTTCTTCGCCTGCATCTTGTCGGCAAGAAGATTGTCAAGGCTTTGGCCCCAGATGACATTAATGTCTTCGGAAAGGTCGGCACAAGTGGCCATGCATTCCAGAAAGCCGTTACTGGCAAGAAGGTAGTTGGAGCCGGGAGCCAAGGCAAATACTTTTGGATACTGTTGGAGAGCCCACCTCACCCGGTGATGCACTTGGGCATGACAGGTATGTTCAGAGCCTTCCGGACTCATTTCAAGTGGCTCACCGAACTAGGTTGGATACACATTCGAGGAGAGCAGACTGGTTATACACGCTACCTGGAGAAGATCAAAGGTGCCGAGGAGCAGTGGCCCCCAAGATTTTGGAAATTTCAGCTAGAAACCGACAGCAATCCTCAGGTTGAAGTAGCGTTCACTGACTCTCGGCGATTTGGCCGAATCAGACTGGTGGACTGTCCTGGAGAAGACATACGGAAATACTCGCCATTAGTCGAAAACGGACCTGATCCCGTCGTCGACAAGAACTTATTTACCGAGGATTACCTCAAGCAGAAGATGAGGAGCCGCCATGTGCCTATTAAGGCCCTCCTCCTGGATCAAGCCGTGATCAGTGGCATTGGAAACTGGGTGGGCGACGAAATCATGTATCAGGCCAAACTACACCCAGAAGTGTATTGTGATGAGTTTGATGACGAGGATATTTCGACACTGTACAAGGCAACAAAATATGTCTGCGACACAGCTGTGGAGCACCTGGGCGATTCGGAGAAGTTCCCCGAGCACTGGTTATTCAATCATCGCTGGGGCAAGGGGAAGAAAAACTCAGCTACAACATTGCCGAACGGCGAGAAGATCGCATTCCTCACTGTAGGTGGGCGCACGAGCTGCATCGTCCCTAGTGTACAGAAGATAAAGGGTAAAGCTACAGATTTGGATGTCGAGGAAGAAACTGAAGCCCCTGAGAAGAGGACAGAGAGCAAGTTTTTCGAGGCAAAGAGCAAGATGCAAGATGCGGCGAGTGGAAACAGAGGAAAGGCAGCGAGCAAGAAAGCAGGGTCGTCGGTGCAGGAGACTATCAAGAAGGAAGTGGAAGATGATGACACTGTTGTGAGCACAAAAGTCAAGTCATCGAGACGGGTGGTTGTCAAGGAGGAGGGCAATGAAACCGGCAAAAGTACTACGACAGGGTCGACGAAGCGAAAAGCTGCCGAAGAAGAAGCCGAAACTGGCACCGAATCTAAGCTCAATGGAAGAAAGAAATTGAGGCAGAGCAAAGGGGACGAACCAGCACAGCCAGGACCAGCCAGAGTGACGAAGAAGCGAGTGGCTGTCAAGAATGCGGAAGGAAAACCTGCTGCCAATGGAACAAAGAAAACCAAGCAGATTAAAGATAAAATGAAGGAACCGCCAAAGCCTGTGCAAAACCACGGGGCAAGGCGATCCGGAAGACTCAGCGGCAAGACCGTTGAATGACTGTTGTACCTGTACAATATAGACACGGCTACAATAACCCCCAAATGATCTCCAGAACTGTTCGGTCGAGCACCTCTAATATAATGAGTCAACATCTATGAGATTCTAATCATCAGAATAGCTCGTTGGAGTGGAGCGACAAATTGAAGCTTACTGCTAATCCTAAGAATAAGTCAACAGAGTTGATATAGAGTTTCCTCCGCGTTTCAGGACCGAGAGTAACAGCAAATATGGTGCCCAACAAACTCAAACAATTGCTGACAAAAACTTTGAATATGAGTTTCTCAGCCGATTCGCACCTAAATTTAAATATATTCGGAATTAAATCGGACTATAAGCGGGTGTAAGGAGTAGCTGCCGGTAAGCTCTGCATTCCCTTACATATACTTAAGATAATCACCTTGCGTTTAAGCTCTCCATATATTATTCTAGGGTATTGAAGGCATAATTCAACTAGATGTCTATTATCTCTAGCGCTTAACCGTCTCGGGGTAGCTGTCCGCGTCTTCGTACGTATAGTATCGCTATTTTAGCCGTCTGACGATATTAGTAATAGTTTGGGGCCTTGACGTGGTGAACGGGTCTACCACCTCCTTCCGGCTTTTATTACTTGCTCTAGCGGCCAGTAGCGGCCGTAGTTTCTAGACCGAGTTCGTAACTCGCGCCGCGATTGCCGCTTTTTTCCTAGTAAAATCTCGAAAACCCATTGCGAATTAGGATTGTAGCAGCTGGTTGAAACCCAGAGGCTGATTTTGTTATTTTGATTACCAAATTGGGGTGCCCGGAGAGTGATTAGTGTACACAGTAGCACGAACAAAGGGCATGCCTCCATTGCCACTGCGAATGTACTGAAACATGCATGGCCTTCAGCACAGATACGAGCCCTCATCATCGTCCCTAGATCGACAACTCGTGAATACTCCCTCTTCATGGCTCCGAATCAACATCTGGGGGAAACGTGCCAAAAAGCTCCATGATATGATTCGTCTGCTCCGGAGTGAGCCTCTTGCCTTCACTTGTCACCTTGCTCATCATGCGGAAGTCTATATATGCAGTCAGTCTGTTGGCAAAACACATGAATAGCAAGGTTCAGCTAGAGTTCCATGTTGTCGGCGCCAAATCGACCCTTGACTTACAGTCCATATAGTATCCTATATCTCATTAGCCTGACAAATCACACTTCATTTGATCTAATCGAGAGGTAAAAAACTCACCAGGGGTAGCAGTCATAAAAAACTCAGCCTCCTCTTCCTGACTAGCATTCTGAAAGGTATGAATGGCCCTGGGCGGCACCGTCATCATCTCGCCGACGCCACAATCCACATTTCCCTCGGGCGTCACGAACGTGACGACCCCTTTCGCCACGAAGAAACACTCATCGTGAAACCGGTGCCAGTGCATGGGTGGGCCTGATGCCCCCGCGGGCAGCTCCAGCAGAATACACCCAATGCGGTTGTCGGTGCGCGAACCGTCCTCGAAGATATAGATGGTGATTGGCCCGACTTGCAACTTTTCGCTGTTGGCACGGGTGCAGTGGTTGACTGAGACTGGACCGCGGAGGGGCATTTTGGGAAGTGATGTGAAAGGATGGTTAGGAGAAGTTCAGATTGGGATTTGATTGTGGTGAGGGGTAGAGGTGATGTGCTTACTCACTTCTGTATAGATGTTAGGTTAAGTATAGACGACAAGGACTGATTGAGGATAGGTATCGAGACCTTTACGAAACATACGTGGGTCAAGCTATAAAAAAGCTTTTCGGTGTATCTTGAAAGACCCCAAGTCGCGTTCGGCCCCGAAGAAGGCACTCAACACCGGCACCCGGCTTCTAGATGCAGTACTATAGGCTATGAAGTACCTAGGTTAGGCAGGTAGCGTGCAGACGGCGGGATTAGTAACGCCAAACTCAAGCCATTTGCCGTGACATGCCTAGCGGAACCTTCCGTAACTCAGGTTTTACTTTGGAAGAACGCTTTGCATATGTGAAGAGAGAAAGCACTAAATATTAGGGCAATATGTACACATTATTCATGAGGCGTATAGTGTCTGTAATACCCAAGTAGATGATGGTTGGTCCTCTAATTTATGTTACCCATCGAAAATGCAGAAGAGCTCTAATGGTCGGTAAATGCTATCGCGCGAACAATGCTAGTTCGTAAAACTCCTATTCTCCCATCCGGCCGTGGCCAACTCCCGATACAGTACGGGTGGCATGGCGTGGCATGTTAACTTGATGCCGAAAATTCCCAGAGTACGGTCGATTATTCAATGCTCATTCGCATCAGCCCGTCGTTAGTATCCACCATTCCCTGAAAGCCGACGCGACCCTTCGCTCCGTTGATTGGTCGCCCGCCGTTCGCCCCTCCGCTGTTGTTGCCGCCAGAGCTGCCGTTCTCGCTCGGAGTGCCGGACGCCTTGTCCCCACCGTGGTTGCTACCCGGACGAGATCCCCAAGGCGCCAGGTCTCTTTGCAGGGGGCTCTGCATGATGGGCGAGTTGTGGACACTCATGCCTGGACTGACTGCTCTTCGTTTGAAGCTGCCAGGGTCGAAATCATCGTCACGCCGACGCTTGTTGTTGATGCGCCGTGTTATCTCCTCCGCAGTGGGGGGGATCCTACCCCCTTGGGAGGGCGGTGCTGGGGCGCCGGGTTGCGGCGTGTCGGATCGTTGACCATCGCTGCCGCTTCCAAGCAAGGTGAAATTGGAACTGATTCCAAACATCGCATTGCCAGATGCCGCGGTGAGGGAAGGCGAGTCCATATTAACATCCTCGCTGATACCCGACGAAGACCCGCGTGGTAAGAATACTGGAGGGGGTGGAGTGGTCCGGCCGCCGGTAACGCTACTGCTCTCCGAGAACGTATCCCAAAAGACCTTTCCCTTAGAATTCTTGAGGGCTTGTTGCTTGAAGCTGCTGGATAAAACCACTTCGCCCATCATTTCATCCTCGGCTATCTCGTCGAGGGACTCGGTGTTGAGATTGGGTGATTGTGCCGTTGCGATGTCTAGGGGAGGTGGATGCCAGGGGGGCGGCGCCCGAGGCTCGAGGTCCACATCGCTTTCATACACCTGGCGAACAACTTCGGCTTCGCGACGGACTTCGGAATCAATGGGTGTGTTCTCTTCCGCAAGCGCAGCTCGAATGCGAGCAAATCCTTTAGTCTTGGGCTTGGGCAAAATCAGCATATTGCATCAGCCAGAGACGGGAAGTGAGAATAGCACATACCAGAAGATTGCCCCGCCTCGTTACGACACGCCGTATCACCCCTCTCTGGCCATCTCTCGAAGGCGTAGTCGCTTCTGGGGAGTCGGTCGTTCTCTCCTCGGCCTCGCTCCCCGATATGTGCAGTTGGTTGGCAGCCCAACTGATGCTCTCGCGGCGGGAATGGGAATTAGAAGCGTCCTTCATCTCCTTGGCCATGTTATTGGGAGGCGACTTGGACAGGCCCGCGGGCAAGCCCAGCATACTTCGAAGCTTCTTGCTCGGTTGTTTCCGCGGCCGAGTGCGAAAACTGGAGAGGCTGTTCACGGCGGGGGAATTGCCAGGCATCCACGGAGTACCAGCATGGACGCCAAGGCCTGGGTGCATCGCACTGCTCTTAGCAGCTTGGGGGGTACACATGATGGCGTCTTCCATGTCCTCATCCATGAGGTCCTCGTTGTCAGAGCTGGACGAGCTGTCGGAGCCGAGCATGTTGGTGCTGCCCAGCGAACTTGAGATATGCATGCGCTCCTGGTTGCCCATCATGGACCACAGCGAGTTTGTCGATTGTTCGATCCCATAGTCTGCAATCTTGCGGCCGGGAATATTCATAGCTCTGCCGCCGGCAGTTGGGGAAGAGTCGGGCGACGACTGCTCAGCGAGGGTGGAATGGTGCAGGCTGGTGGCGGCTCGCGAAAAGTCCAGACCACGCGACCTGCGCGGTAGAATATTTGTCGGTGAAGCATAGATTTGCGAATGGTCGAGTTTGGGGGACAGAGGAGTCGGTTTGATGGCGGAGGACAAGGTCGCGTCGCGCCGGGGCATCTGCAAAGAAAGCCCTCGGATGGGGAAGTCGGGTCGACGTGGTGTCACCGGTGTAGGCGTCGCCGTTGTGGTGGTAGCGGTTGTCGTCATCGAGTCTCGTAGAGAGCTGTCGTCCTTGGAAGCCCTCCTCGATGCCTCAACTATCTGTGGGGATGGCGAGAGCTGTGTGCCGCCACCATCAGATAAACTTCGTGTTTTCGAAAGAGGCGACCTTTCAAATCGGTTGTTGGTGCCGCAGCCTCGAGTCCCACCTGCCAACCCCTCGCCATCTTTCAAATCATCCATTACTGCTATCTCATCATACTCGATTGCGGCCATTCAAGCAGCGCATTCAATTACACACCGCCAAACACTACTGTAACAGAGTGGGGAGCCGATATTATGCTACGTCTGGTGATAGTTGCTCCTCCGCGTTGGCGCTCGGATAGCCTGTCGCGTGTTGCCGCTCGTTCCAGGCTGTTTCGTATTCGGTCGTATCAAGAGCCGCCCAGTCGTGTTGGCAGGCTCGTAATTATTTTCAGAGTGCAATACAAGTTACTGAAGATTGATGCAGTTGTCTTTTGAGAGCTTCGACATGTCAATTGCTTGTGAATATGGTAGATGGCAAAGATAACTGTGACGTCGAGGTTTCACAAGGCTCCTTTTTGGGGATAGAACCGCTGGGATCCAGCAGCAAAGCCAGGGAGCTAAAATAAAATAGTGTGGTACCCTGGCGCCGATCCGCCATTATGGACCCCTGTCTTGTTCCACTGTCAAGCTGTTTCTAGCGGTGAGGCTATACTCAAATCACAGTTATGGAGGGTCTTCCAGCCTTAATCGAACTTCATGGTGCAGTTTTCACACTGAGAGTTATGTAGGAAATCACCGGATGAGTGAGCCATACTAGGTGCCGCTTAAGGTGACAGGCAAGGGTAAGTTTGTTATCGAACCCGCCGCCCCTTGCAATCAACGTCCTCCAAAATAAGTGAATATGGTTGCCACAGACCGTGATGGTTACATAACCGCTTAAACGGTCAGCCTGGATAAATTATGATCTTAGGTACAAACATGGTTCTGGCTTCGTAGTAAACTACGCAATGTCAAGCCTGGCCCTCAATAGATTTTTACGATCCACTCTCTCAAGTTGATCAATTTCCATGAAGGCATTCATGCAGCCTGCCAGTTTAAATTGGGTGAACGAGTACTCTGATGACTTTTTGAATGTGAGCCAGCCAAATGTGGCTTGACGTCATGAGGGGAAACAGATCCTCTTAGCGGTATATTGTCCTGCGTGACGATGAGGTTCGTAGTAAATATTGATTTTGCAATTACGATACACTGAGTTAGGCGAGCTTTGTGAAACTCAAATTTGTTTAGGGGTCGTGTGCTCTGGTTACTCCAAATGTAGCATACCACCGAATGGGTCTCGTTACAATAGTCGTATTCACATTATACCACCTATAACGACCATCTCCTAGGGGAAACCCCCACCCTTGCCCCCACACCCCCCCGCCGGGCAAATAAATGTACTCTACCTCTAGTAGTTGTGGTACGAATGTTGACTTCATATGGACCTTGACGGATGTTATGATTATTATTATTATTAAATACGCCGTAGGCTCGAAGCCCCCGGTACCTCTACTAGTACTCCCGTATGTCAAACCGTGCCCTAATGGCTGGACTAAATACATACGCTGCGTCGTCGGTTCGCCCTATTGGCGACTGCGTTGCGTTCACTACCATACTACGTTGGTTCTCAACCTACCAACAAAGTCCCCCCTGAGAAGATCGATGCTATCTGGGCCTTGAAGCTGTCCGACCCGTCCCTAGCAGCCATCTTACAATAGTCCCACTAACTACTGGTTCTCCTGTTGCCGTTGCGAGGTCTCTGCGAGAGTATAGTGGCCGTGGTGCGATGGCGGCCCGTAATCGTTCCCTCGGTCCTTCCAACAGCCCGCAAAAGAGGATTACGTGCTCTGCCGTCTCAGGGGCGTCGCCACAGCGGCATAGCGGCGAGTACACGCCAAAAGCCCCTGTCTTGAATAAGAAGGCTGCTAATCCTATTTTTTCCGTCCTGATCTGGCACAGCGTAGACGCCTCCAGTCGGTTCAGGCCGAAATACTTGCCCCCTTTCGGTATCTGCATCGAAGGGCCCTCCGGTTCCTCAGCGATAGCGCGTCGCTGGGATGTTATGATGACAGCTGTAAGCCCATCCAAGCCAACATCGCAAACTCAGAACGGTATTCTGCATTTTGTCAAGAGACTCTAAACATAAGGTGTGCCCGTGAGGTCATTTCACAGGCTAGTCTGACTTGCACTATTCGCTGTACGCTGTAGTTCTGATTCCAGCCAAACCGTGAACAACTTGCCACTCCTGAGTGATATGACCGCATCATCTTCACCGTCAAGTAATTTCCAAAGAAACTAGAGCATGTGGCATCGCTTCATACGATACATCAGTTCATTCAGTATGCTATTCTGAGTCATCTAACCCTATTTTCGGTGAGCTTTGCAATCCACATTGCCAAGCTAGAGTTGCCCATAACGCCGTTGATGCATCCGAATGCCGCGCCTCGAAATAGCCCCAGCTATGCGCCCTCTCCCAGAAGTAGACTTCCAGCAGCACAAAAAACCCTTACACGTTAAGCTGGGCAGTGCCCGCCTTCTTGATATAGTCTCTGTAAGGCATCAACTTCTTCTCCAGGACGCCGCCCTTGCCGCAGAATCGATCAACAATCTCCGGCGAGCGACCAATGTAGAGTTTGGGCTCGAGGGCAGCATCGACTTCGTCCCAGACGGGCTTGAAGTACTCCGTGGACTTGATGCGCTCGATGAGGTCGTTCTTTCCACCTATTTCACATATATCAGTATGCCGTTAGCGTCAAAAGCAGGGCTTGGAATCACCTTGGTTCTTGACGACGTCACTGGCCTGGTGTGACAGAACGCGGATCTGTTAATTATGTCAGTAACCACAGTGGTAAATTAACTGCGGGAAAGTCGGTTGTAAGACTACGTTTAAAGAGCCATAATCGCCGTAAATGGGCTCGCACAGGAAAGATGCCATACGCCTCGAAAGGGTCTGAAAGAGAATGAAAGAGAAACAGATACTGACCTCCTCGTGGGCTTCTTGGCGGGAGCCTCCCTTGGCTACCAGCTTCATGATGAGATTCTCCGTAGCCATGAACGGAAGCTCCTCTCGGTTGTGTGCCTGTGTATGTAAGCTTAGGTCGTTGCGGTCATGGGACCACGAGACTTACATCAATACGTTTAGGGTAGAGCACAAGTCCGTCGCTGACATTGTCCATGCCAATGAGAACGGCATCAGCCAGAAGGAACACTGTGCATAGGTTAGCCAGGAGACTTAAGCAAACAAAACAATGGCACGATCCCCGGAAACACGCAGTTATTCCAGATCATTTCGCTGGCTTATTGCCTTCAACATGGTCCAACTCACTCTCGGGGATGTCGATTCTGCGGATCGCTGTATTTCACAGGGTTAGCATCCTGCAAACCATTATTCTATCCATTATACCACTGACCGCTATCGTCGAGGGATCTCTCCATCCTGTACATCAATTTAGGTCAGCGACTGCTGCATCCTGGAGGGACAAGGGGTGGGTAGCGTTCTGAATCATGTCCCGGAAGCACAAGGTTCAGAATTTTGGTCGTTTATCTTTGACTCCGAGATAGACTAAGATGAGCACCGGGGGGCCTGAAGAATTACGAACCATTGCGAGGAGAATGTGCTAGAGAAGTTCACAGGTAACGAAGCAAGCTTTCGTCCGAGACTTGCAATTCTCTCCGAGCGCATTGGATCTTGGCCACTAGAGTTAGCTCAGTTCTTTCCAAGAAACGGGATTTGGACTTACTGCGCTTGTAAGCCTATGGAATTCTGTTAGCCGGCAACATAGCAGATTTATTCAGGCGTAACTTACCATTGCCGACGAGCCAATTTGATCCTTATCTGTCTTGCATTAGTAAACACTGCACATAGCTCGTCTTGCAAGGATTGAGAGAATCGGAGCATCTGTCACTCCTAAGACAGACAAGAATCTATACTTGGGTTCCAAGAGGGGCTCACCAAATGGCTCCTCCATCTCCTTCATATTTGCAAGATGACGGATGTCTGAGGTAATGCGGATTACAGTGGCGCCGAGTCCAGCAATTGCATTGGCCACATTCACTACAACAACAGCGTCAGTTTTACCACTTCACGGTATCCAACAATGTTTCGGGGTGCTGTGTTTCCAAAGCATAAACCGCATAAGTAGGGCCGTTCCAAGATTTACTTTTGGAGACATGCCACAGAAGGGGAGTGACCCTGAGAAAATCACGTACGGTCGACTTTTCGGGTGTAAGTCTGGGTGCTCACATCGTAGCTAGGTACTCATCAGCTCAAGTCTCACAGAGGAATTTGAGTGCATTTACCAAGCAGGGAAACCGGCCTTCTCGCAGAGGAGCTCGTTCAGTCGATCAATCTTGGCAGTGTCGTCATGGAAAATCTCCATGAACGAAGCTTGAGTGCCTGTGGTACCTTGTGCACCTCGGAACTTGAGCTCCTTTCGGACATGTTCAATATTTTCAAGGTCCATCATGAGTTCCTGGGCCCACTCTGCAACGCGTTTGCCTACAGTAATCACTATCGATGGAGGTTAGTAAACTGAAAAGTGAGTCGAAGATGAAAGCCTCAGATTCCTCACTCTGTGCCGGTTGATAGTGCGTGTAGCCGAGGGTTGGCTCGCTCTTCCACTTCAGGGCAAACTGAGCCAAGTTGTCGATAACCTTTGCCAGCTTAGGCAGCAACAGATCCATGCCATCTCGCATGAGTATCAACTCACTACAACAGAAAAACTTAGTAATGACTACTTTAGAATACTTCTTGATTGACAGGAAGCCCCGAGTCCTGTTCCAAGAGCAATGCCCTAATCCAAGCTTGCTTGGGCCTTGTTCTCTCCCTGGGCAGACCAGAAAGATGTGAAAGATGTGGAAGTCTTACGCGTTATCAGTAACTACACAAATAAGTCAGTACACATCTGAGCCGTGAATCTCTCGAGATACTAGTGCTCATACCATAACACCTATGATTGAGAGTTAGTGATTGTGTCTTATTTTCCAGTCAATATTCAACAGAGTATACTCACGAAGTTGCCCCGTAGTGGATGATGCCGGCAGCGGCAGGTGCGACAGCACCAAATGCATGGACGTGAGCCATCTAGATAGTATCCGGTTAGCAGTAATATATATTTCTAACGTCTTATGCTAGTCAGGTCACTTACGACGTCATGCTTGCGGCGCTTTTCCTCAACAGCAGCCGTCTTGAAATCCTCATCGGTGAGAGTCAAGTGTGCTTGCATCTGCGAAATAGCCTCATCGGTAATTGAATCAATACCGAGCTCCTTTTGGGCCTCGGCAAGATAAATCCAAAGCTTTCTGTTCAAGTCTCAGTGTCAGCAACTGCTACTTGTATCCGGTACTGAAGTGTGCGTGGGTTATGTGCTAGGAGAGGCTGCTCTCTATAGATCTAACCACCCTCATTTATAAGAAGGAAGGAGTTTTAGAGTTGCTCACCTCCAAGTTCCATGACGCGAGCGCTGGGAGAACAGCGCTTTCATCTCAGCGCCTGTGAAAACATGATTAGTCGTTTCCCAAGACCAAAGCAGATCTTGCATCCAACAGGATAACCTGCGAAGCTGCTGCTACTGCTACCCAAATTAATCCTTGTATCCTGTATTGGATCATGACAATAAGGGGTAACAGCAACCGTAATCCAAGATTATCCTGTGGCAGGTCAATGCCATCAGCAGCGACTCACTAGAATAGCGCGAGTCCAAGGGCGTCTTGTACGTATCAAAGCCAGACATTGTCGCAGTTCAGGTTCAGTGTAAATACCTGCAAGATTGATCAGTTGGGAAAGACGTTTTGCACCAAGTCGCACAAGCAAGGTTTGTGAAGTAAGTATGCAATGACTGGTGATAGTCTGGAGTCAAAAAACAACGTGAAATGATTGATGTCCATGACGGAAACAACCATTCCAGCCGTGCCAATCGAATAATGAACAAAAGCAAGCCGTGATCCCAGGTATCCCACCTTGCCCAGGCCACTTTTACACTATGTGGAGGTTTGTTGCATAATAGTAGTATGCGGTACGCTCTGGTGGGGTCATACTACTTACTGAGATAGATGTGGTCAAAATAAGTTCTCGATGGGTCCTTGATCGGGAATGGCGAGAAGGTTGACGATGTGATTATTGATAGATTGATCCAAAATATTGAATGCTTCGAGTCATGGAGCCAAGCATCAAATGCGTGACCAAATAAGTTTTGTGTAGCCGATGGCGGGGGAAGCTTCAGAAAATTTGGAGGGGTCACGAACTTAAGTAGCTGTTGATTGGACAATGGCAGGCCCGCCTGGATTATGCTATTGGCAATCTTCCACCAAGATTGGTGAATGAACTGTTCAAAGACAGAAAGAGCATAATTGGTTTCTTACCAGGTGACACATAAGCCAGAGCCGTGCAATGTACAGGCGTTAGCAGGAGCCTCGCGATATACATTCACCAATGGAGAAAGCCACCAAAGCTTGGTTAACAGGAACCAAGTTAGGACCAATGTTAACCCTTAAGCAATCGCATCTGCTACCTTACGTAGTTGCCGAGATTCAGAATCTTTCATAATTTGGGTATCTCAACGCCTTTCAAGTCCAAACACAGTACTCCATTGTTCCCCTCACAGTAAGCACAACTCACTGGGTATCAGGGGGCGGCATATCCCAACTCCTCATCGGCTTTCCCTCATGCTTCCTCTTTCCCAGAACTGGACCACCACCCACAAAGTTCGACACCCATTCCCGGACCTTTCTTGCTTTCAGCAGCTGTGGGTGAGAACCTTTCGTCGATGCGAGGTCTTTTGCAGTGTAGAAACCGCCAGTATCATCCTCGCTTAGTTTTCTCCGGTATATGAGATCAATCTTCGTAAGGCCTTTTCTGAGACTATGCCCGTGGACCTTATTCTTGTACTCGCTCAAAGCCACATTTCGGAGTAGCACTACGTCTTGCCTTCGAAGTTCTCTGATAGTGTGTTCCGGTGACTTGGCTGGACCGGCCGTGAATGCCTCAACTGACAACCAGAACGTTATGCTGAATCCGGACTTGGTATCGTCTCCCACGATCAGCTCGACCAGAGACTTTGTCGTCCCCCATCGTGTCTTGATAGTGCGAGGCTCGGCAATTGAGATAATGCCAGCAATTATATTGACTGTCATCGTTTGGGGGGAGATCGAGCGCAAATAGAAAGCGTTGGGCAAGTCTTCGAGATCGCTCAAGTGAGCGGATCCAAGCCCCATGGTGCGATCTCCTACAGAGAGAGACGCCGTGATTTCTGAATCATCGTAACTCCAATTACCAGTGGTATCGATTGATGAATCATCTGTGCTGGTGCTCTGGGATGGCAATTGGGATGACGGTATATCATCATGGATAGCCAGTGAATGGTCGTAGAACTCGTCGTGTATCGTCGAATTTCGTTGGTCTTGAGATGAGGTATGTGTGTCTTGGGATGATGCAGCGGTGGCAGCGAAGAAATTGCTGTCGCCCATATACTCGGCTTCAAACTGGTGTACTTGGGAGAAGCCAGTCGCGAGGCGGGTCTTTACCAAGGGAATCGATCTCCAGACCGCGGTATCCAATACTGGAGAAGATTCTATCTGTGATGAACCAGGTGGCGGAGATTTATATAAGCCGGCAAATCGTGCGACGGGTTCCAAGAAGCTGTCCAGAAGCCCTTGGGGGCTCCAATCAAGCGAAGAGCTTTCAGGAGCTCCAGTAAGGATTATGACCTTTGGCGCCATGTTGATATGTGAGGCGCATCGCTGGGACTATTGCAGAGCTGTTTGCAGACCGAAGCAGAAGCAAATGCCAATATGTCTTGGCGAAACAGACGGGCCAAAACGGAGCAAGCTGAAAACTTTTGTGAAATTGGCGAACTTGACGTTGGGAGATCAATGGAAAGTTGGCACCACTTGCAGGCAGATGCGTGTTGCAGATGCGTATTGAAGGTCAATTGCATCAATACGCATCTGTCAAAATGCTTGGCATTTACGACCTGGAGCTGCATGTGGGGGTTTGGACATAGTGGGGGGTGGGCGGGACCAACGATCAACACTTGACCAATCAGAGGCATGGGTCGCTTGTTTACGCCTGCCGTCCTAGCAACATCAATGAAGGAAACGACGAATGCGACGCGCAACAGTTTGCCGGCAACTGGAGGGGATTTGCTGGATCAATCAATCAGTTAATCGCAAACATATTTTAACGCCATTCGCATTAGTCGTTAGTTGCGCAAGTATCAGCACCCTCTTATCGACGGTACCACACACACGACACCTCTATTTGCACTATGTCCCAGGAGACAGGTCTTTGGAGCGTCCGAAGACCTCGAGAGGTACGTTAAGATCGCAGGCTGCGACAAGCCGAGTGTCACTTACTGACCAGATGCGCGAAGCAGACCCTCGGCGGCATCAACCTCAACTCTGCCCTCCCACAGTCAGCATCCGCAATGAAGAGATCGCACTCGATCAGCGGAAACGCCGGCTTCTCCAACAGCCATGCGCGCTCAATGTCGGGATCTAGGCAATCCCTGGCCATGAGCAGGCCGGCGCAGCCTATGTTCTCGCGCTCCTCGTCGGGCACCAACCTCGCGGATCTCGGAATGCAATCCGTGAAGCGGTCTTCCTTCCAGAACAACCCCAACTCGGGCATCAAGAGCTATGCTTCAGCCAGCATGGCAGGACGCAATTCCGAAGGGGAGCAACGGCGGAGCAGTGTGTACCGCTCGCGGCCTTCAACCAACGGGCCCATGAGCCACCAGAGCTTCTTCCAGCAAGCGCCGCAAGCAGCAGGTGTACCCCGCGATCCGCGACCGTTGAGGGACCGATCATTCCAAGCACGCATCGGTCAGGAGTTATTGGATTACCTCGTGCAGCACAACTTCGAGATGGAAATGAAACATACCCTATCGCAAAACCTAATCAAATCGCCCACTCAGAAGGATTTCAACTACATGTTCCAGTGGCTGTACCACCGTATCGATCCCAGCTACCGCTTCCAGAAGAACATTGATCAGGAAGTCCCGCCTATCTTGAAGCAGCTTCGGTATCCCTACGAGAAGAGCATAACGAAGTCACAGATCGCTGCTGTCGGAGGCCAGAATTGGAGCACATTCCTGGGTTTGCTACATTGGATGATGCAGCTGGCGCAGATGCTCGAGGGCTTTGCAATGAACCGATACGACGAAGCCTGCGCCGAAGCTGGAATTGATGTCAGTGGTGATCACATCATCTTTGACTTTTTAAGCACGGCATACCGCGGCTGGCTGGACATGGACGAAGATGCGGACGATGAAGATGCTAAGAGGATCCTCGGTCCCCTCGTGGAAGGAATGGCAAATGCATTTGAAAGATCAAACTCGAAGTATCTATCCGAGCTTGAGATGCTGGAAGCCGAGAATGCCCGTCTCGTCAAGGAGATGGAAGACCTCGAGAAATCGACGCCAGATCCCCGGGTGCTCGATGACCACTTCAAGATCATGGAGGAGGATAAAGTCAAATTTGAGGAGTATAATGCGCTTGCGATGCAACGATCCGAAAAATACGAAAGCCGTATTGCAGTATTACAAGAGGAATTGGACAAACTGCTCGAGGAGCTGAGAGAGGCAGATGATGAACGCCGCGGGCTGCAAAACGAAGTCGATAGCCAAGGGATTAGCATGCAGGATATTGACCGCATGACCTCAGAACGTGAACGATTGCAGAAAGGCATTGAGTCGGCTGCACTGCGACTCGAAGACGTCAAGAAGAAGGTGGCCGACAAAGAACTGGAAGCGAGCCGGAAACTTGAAGAATTGGAACGCTTGGTCGACAAGTACAACACGGTCGCTTATCAGATCGGGCTCATCCCTTCCACGGCTGTCAATGCCAGAGGGGATCAATATGAGCTAGCCGTGACAGTCAACGAGTCAAACTTCACGGGCTCCATCATGAAAGGCTCCTACAGTGGTGCAACGGAGACCGAACGACTACTAGCTGATCCAGTCACTGGTTATCAACCAGCTCACGTTCTCAACCTGGACCTCCGCGGGCATGTTAAAAACAGCTTTGTGGCGCTCCGGAAAGAGATATCTGACCGTCGTGGTGAGGCTATGGACGCCATGATGAAGGACCACGACCTCCTCGATGGCATTAAGGAGGCGATCGAGGACAAGAAGAACGAGGTCGAAGCTCTAGAGCACAGGGTGAGGGCCGCTGAGGAGGAGTACGAAAAGACTAAGGAGGTCACTACGACGCAGAAGCTGGCGAGTGACGCTCAAATTGAGAAGATGGAGAAGGAGCTTGCCAAGATGAGGGCCCAGCTTACCGAGTCTGTGCAGCTGATGGAGCAACGCGAGATGAACACGAATATTGAGTGAGTTGAATCACCATAACGGGGTACTGGGGTGTAAATACTGACAAAGTTGCAGGTATGAACAGCTCACGCTGCGCGCAAATTCTCTACGAGAGGAGTTGCACACTGAGATTGAGAAGATGCTCAATGACATCATCAAGTTCAAGGTGCACATCCAGAAGAACCTTGAAGATTACGAGGGCTTCGTGGCCGATGAGCTTGAGAAGGAGTTGGGGAGTGACGAGGTTAGAGATGATACCCAGGGTGTTGACATGTAAGCCGTGATTGGATCATGCGTGCGGTTGACTACCTGCACGTTTGGGTTTCTGTGGATATTGCGTGGAGTTGGGGCTGTCATGATAATGCCACTGGCGTTGGTTAGGGTTGTACATGCACGTTGTTCGAGTCACAATGTTTTGTACCCAGGATAAGTCGAAGATTGTGTTTATGAGAGACACCATATTCATGTGCTGACTCGAGTGACCTATGTTTATCCCAGCTCTTGACTCTATCCAGGGTGTCTGGCATATGACATGGATAGACTACCAAGTAATGCCGAACGGTACGTATATCTAAACAGGCCCTTCCATGTCTTCGTTGCCGGCTGTTTCCGCTACCGTTCTGGAGGACGGTAGCGGCCTGCCTTGCTATGTTCACAATAGCAACTATAAGGGTTCATCAAAATTGCTCCAGCCCAGCTGAAACATACGCTTGAGATCGCCATCTTTCAACAACTTGCCGTTATCCTTGTGGCCCTTCTCCTTCCAGCCGGTGACTTGACAATTCTTAATCCCAACCCGGATTAGATCACAGACTAAATCTTGAGAAACGATAAGGGGAATAATTAGTAACTCACCTTCGAGCGCACTTCTGCAATGCGTCCTCTTTCTTCTTCTTCTCGCAGCCATGTCACGTTCGGAGGCCATCAGGCAGACCTGAGTACTTGCTCATCCGGTCACTCAACTCAAACAAGGGGTTGGGCCGGTAAGAAAATATCTGCAACGATTCAATTCAGCCCTTTGCTTCCGCCTCGACAACTCACGCGCATGCGCGTTCTGTCCAACTCTCCTTGACAGTCTAGATCTCCTCCTGACAAATCCCCATCGTCATGTCCAAGAACCGGTGCCAAATGGGGAACACGATGGTGATGGTGCGTCCAGGCTGACGCGTGGGGTGCGGCAGTTCCATGCCCCGGTCTTTGGTGTAGAAGGAAACGGCCAGGAGGGCGCCGGCCACGTCTTGAACCGTCAGTGTCAGCCGGAAGAGTGACATGATGTTGGTGATTTCGGCGAATAGACACCAGGATTGGCTGGCTTGAGGTCTTGCTCGTTGAATGGGAGGAAGGTGGGCATGGAGGAGACACGTTCGTTGAGGTCGTTGGCAAAGGATGGGAAGGTCTTTTCGTCACGGAAGTTGGCGTATTTGGTAATGCCCGTTGTTGCCATGGTATTACTTGTTGCTTCGAAGATTTTGCTTCTCGAATATGGGCTCATGATGGCAACATCGAACTGCTCTTATGCTGAACATACAACTTGGAGACCTCAGTGCAGTGGCCGGCAGTCTGCGCAAACCAGCCCCGAGGCGCAAGAGCATCTTACAAGGTTGGCTGCTTCTCTGAAGTCTACAGTTTGACCCAAGATTTTTCTTCATATCTAATCAAAGCTGGTCCACTTCTTGCACCGTTGATGGATATGAACAAGCTTTGGGCCTATATATCTGCAAGTAGGCAGCAGGACAAAGGGAAACTGAGCTGAATTACATGAATTTATTGAAACTAAGAGAAGCAACCTCTGACCCCACGAACTATACTGTTAGTGTTCGTCCTGCAGTAATGGTGACACTAAGTGGTGTCCATGGCTTTCTTTGCCATTCGATTCACTCCGTCACAAGTCTTTATTCGTTGTACAATGTATTAACATAGAAACAGCTTCTACCCGGAATCAGGCTCTGTTTCCTCCATATTCAAAGATACGTTTGGAATGTACAACACCGGCAGGGCTGACAGGACTTGGAACAGCCTGGAGCACTCAGTGGAAGGTTCTACAGTCAAACACTTTATCATTCTCTGATATGAGAGCTGCGAATACCGTGCCACCGGGAATCTGTACCTTGGTTTTAAAGCTTCAACTCAACAGCTCAAAGGCTGATATTGGAGTAAGGAGTAAGTTGGGTTGGCCATGACTTTTCAAGGAAACAGCTTCCTATTCAGGTTCTTACCTAGTTGTGTTGATGCCTCATTATAAGTCCTCAAGTAATCGAGCCGACAAACACTCTAACTCTACTTCATTGGAGTTCCCAAGACCATAATGGGGCAAGTGCTTAATGGTGCCTAGCTTCTTCGGTGAACCACGACGGCAGAGCGTAATTCATAGCTACTATCAACCTGATCCATGATTTGACAGACATATCATCTCCTGGACGCTATAAGAATCGGCATATCATCTACGAGTATGGCCCGAGACGACCTCGTTCCCCGATGAATTGACATCTTTTGGAGTATGAAGGTCGGTGATCTTGTCAGATGGAGCTCTGGGTCAGCCGCGCAACGAAACACAAGTTTGCCGAAGTATGCATCTGAGTATACCTCTAATTGGTTACAAAATTCCCAGGTTGATATTGCTTGGTGCCGTCTGCACATGGTACTTATTTTGGACACTGGGCACGCTCAGCTATGCTAGTGAGGCGTGCTTGACTACTTCAAGAAATTCCCTACCGCATCATTGAGTTGACTAACATGAAACAGCAAATAGCTTTCGACATCCGTGCAGCCCTTTTTTGTAAAGCAACAATAATAGCTAGCTTCGTATGCATGGACGCCGAGGCCACCGGACTTTCGGTTCCTCCCTGTTATTTTTTTCACGGTCTAAACCAATTGTCTCTGAATACCGTCTGATGTTTTGACAGAGAAGAAAATGATCTTCATTGGAGGATACCTAGTATCAGATATAGATTCCTTCTTTCGGGACCGCAACATGGCGCTGTGCTATAGAGCTAGTCACAATTAGACTGTGACAACTCACGATAGTTGAAAATCGATACCGCATACTGACAGCCAGTAGATGATGTTGGATCGCCGAGCTGAGGCGTATGTGAATTATAATCGACGCTAATGCAACAAGTCAGCATAAGCCATAACGCATACCCATGCCATCTGAACTGTTGTGCTCGTCAGCCAGTTAACGTCAGCTATTCTGCCAAATCCAGGACTGGGGCTAGCGGTGTTCAGACGGACTTCTGGCATGAATATCTCTCATCGTCAGGATTTCGCGAGATGAGTCCACTAGAAAGGTACTGAAACGGGGTCAGGCGGTCAGTAGGCTATACCCACCACCTAACAGACTGATAAGACGGCTCTAGCACTAACAGATCCCATCTGTTAGTCTAATCAGACGAATATCGTGGTGCTGGTTGCAGGAGCTTCGCTAATGCAGGTATTTTGCGCAAGTTGGTCGGATATGTCTCTATAACTAGCGACGGGACAAATCTTAGAGTAGGACGCCTGGGAGTCGAATTGAAGCTGTCACTAGTACTAGATTAGTCTGATTAAGACAAGATAAAGCGCCCTGTGGTTGTCAATATGTATGAAAAATGAGTAAACTTAAGATTAACTGGCTAGCTAGAAACGAAAATTGAGAAGATGATTAAGGTGAAGGTATCGAAGGGAAGGTAGTGATCAGCCTCTGTACGTCTTGAAGCGAAGAAAATGGAGTCCTCCCTGCCCCCTGTTACCTATTTTCCCTGATGTCCGGCCTGGCCCTACTATATTCCTCCCTTAGGATCGTCTCTCTGTCCTCAGAGACTGTCGAACCTGCATAAATAAATAAAAACTCCTTCACCTAGAGATCGTAGCGTTAGGCTCTCTTCCTTGTAGAAGCTACTCGCTTATCTATTTGAGATTGCGACGGTCCTCTAGTGTTTCGTCCGTTGTCGGTTATCTAGGCCTCGTAGTCTTCCTAGTCCTTCTATCGATTCGATTCCACCAAGGCCGAGAGAAAGAGAGAAAGAGAGAGAAAAAATCGGGGGAGGGAGAGTCTGATCAGACGACTCGTGTCCGAATCCTATGTCCTACGCACTGTAGTCTTCCTCGCGTAGCCTTGTTATCATATTGGAATACTCTGTCCCTAGTTCACTCTCCTCCCTAGTACATACTGTAGATTACGCTTCGTTCTACTTATCTTCCTACTAGTCAAAGTTACTAGACGGAATAATAAGGTCCTTAGGGTTCACCTTTCTTCATTCTACCTAGCTATCCGATACTTTCCTCGTTCTTTTTAGTAGGTTTCGAATTTTCTTGCTTAACAAGTTCCTTCGAGATGTATCGTTTACTTCTAGACCGAATAGTAGGACTATTAGACTTCTCGTATTATCTTCTTAGTGTCGTTAGTAGTCCTCTCGGGGTCGGTACTCTTCTCACTATTAGTAGTCTCGTTCCTCTTCGTCTAATCAGACGGCTGCAAAGACGATTTAGCTTTCGTACTATCCAATCTTCGACCATCAACCTAGTGAGGATCTTAGTAACTAGAATACCGGCTAATCGCGCCTCGGGACTAATGAAGGAGTTCGTCTTCACTATCTCTAGCGGTACTGGTCCTAGCTTCGGAGGTCGAGTATCCTGTGCTTAAATCGGGAGAGAGTTCACAGCAGGGTCGTTCGTCGTAACGCCAAAGTCTCGTCTAAGATAATCGAGGAGGTCGTTTGATACAACCCAGTCGCATACCTCTCGTAGGACAGACTTACCGTCTTACGTCGCCTTTCTCTCGATACTTGTCAGCACCTGAATCGTAGTCTTTCTCTAGTAGTCTCCTCCGAGGAAGTAGGCTCTGTACATTAGGTCCTATCGAAGAAAGCCGTCACGGTTCAAGTCTTCAAGCTGTCACAGCGCTGGTGATTACAGAGCCACAGAGTGCTGTATATAGCAGTTAGTGGGACCAAATGTCAGTAACACTGACATTTCTAGATTTTTTGGTCTATTGGCCTAGGGGCTTGGTCCTCCTCTTGTGACACAAGCAGACCATACTATGAGACAAGATAGTCAGGCATAGTACAGAAGAAACAGTTACCGGTTATCCTGCTCTATCGATTCGGATATAAACGACACCATCCAGTCTCGTGGTCGTACAGCTATCCTTAACGAGGGATACCTTAAGTCATAACCGTATTTCCTTAGGCCTGGTGTTAGTAGCCGGTATACTGATTCCTATCCTACCATGCGAGTGGCTAATTGTCACAAGAGGAGGACCAAGCCCCTAGACCAATAGACCAAAAGATCTAGAAATGTCAGTGTTACTGACATTTGGTCCCACTAACTGCTATATACAGCACTATGTGGCTCTGTAATCGCCAGCGCTGTGACACTAATAGCTCGAAGGCCACTACGGCGGGTACGCAGTCCTCAAGTCGCCCATTTAGTATCTCTGATCAGACGATCCTAATTAGCTTAGTCGTATCATCAAGGTCCTAATATGCTCTATAAGGGTATTCACATCTATCTAGCTTTTCTCTTGTCCATCTCTCTCAGGTTGCTTAAAAGCTACTATACTACCCTAATCAGACCAAAAAGATCTGTCCGCTCGCTTAGTATAGTTATCTAGATTAATTTTAGTCCTCGCCTTTCCTCGAACTAATTCCTAGGCTAGGTAAAACTCTATCTTAAAGAGCTCTTCGTACGTATTCTCAGCTTTACTTACCATATCTTCAAGACTATAGCTGATGCGTGCACCTAGAGGGGGGGGATGCTATAATGCAGCAGTGCGCAACGTTATAGTATCTAATTGAATGGGATTCACCTAACCAGTGGGTCCCCCTACCTTTTCGTATCAAATGGTAGCATCTCTTCCGTTGTTTGGTCAAACGGTCGCATGGTCGATTTGGTAGGGTTTAGGACTCATGGCCACCAAGTCCGCACCGCATCCGGCGAATGGCTGTCGCGCCCTGACGAACAGACCACTATAGGGGTAGTACCGGGTTCAATTCCCGGCGGAAGCACCAAACCACTTGGGGAGGATTACGGACCTACTCTGGCAATAAGACCTGTGAGCGATAAGCCCATTGAGGACAATGGTTTCAATTGACCAGACCCCGGCACTTGATGCGTGCACCTAGGGGGGAGGATGCTATAATGCAGCAGTGCGCAACGTTATAGTATCTAATTGAATGGGATTCACCTAACCAGTGGGTCCCCCTGCCTTTTCGTATCAATAGCTATACATTCCCTCAAACAAGCCTCGAGTGTAGTTAAGGTCGCTTAGGACTCGTAGAGTATCCTTCGTCTCATTAACCCGGACCTCGTGATCAAGACAATATATATAGATCTTCGACGGATTCGACAGCGGGGGCTGGTTTAGAGGCCTTTAAGGCGATCATAAGCACTTTGAAGTCGTCTAGGGTCTCCGATTACAAGGGTGCTTTTCAAACCTTAACCGCTGTGACAGGCTGTGCCTGATATGGGATCCGGAGCTGCAAGGACCGTGCGTCCGGATCCACCAAAGGAACCATCGAGGGCACACAAAACATGTCCGTGTTCCCGGGACAACTCGCATATTTTACTCTCCTCCTCAGTTAGATAATTAACAGTATTTGGCCATGTTGAGCTGTATAGCTTCGCAGTGAGCCCGTCACAACCGCGGTATTCCAGTTATTAAATAGATTGACGACTGCCTTCACCCTTTCTTAATATAATTTGTCCTTAGTCCAATACTAGGTTTCAGCAATCTTTTAATCATCACTAAGTCGAGCTCTCTCGAAAAGACGAGCGACCTATTCAATCCAGTCGGATACGTAATCCCCGTCAAAGCAAGGTATAGGTATTACGCTACATCGGGGAAGACATATACCATAGCGAAAGCTTAATCTATCTCGATCGGCTTCTGGGCTGTCGTAACTACTTTCGGGACGATCTTAACGGGAGCGATCTGGACGGGAGTAGTCTAATCAGGCCTAGACGAATGACGGATTTCATAGTCGAGGATATTATCGTCGGTTAATATAGTATTACGAAAGGTTAGTCCGTCTTACGTATTCTCTTCTAATCTTCGCTATACGATCTCTCTATCGGTTCTGGAAAACTATTCTTCCACGGGTCTAATCCCGTCGGTCGTATCTCTATATCTAAGTCTCAATATTTTCTTCTTCAGAAAAGGAGTACTAAAGCCATTGTCAGACCTTATAACTACCAAAAATACCTCATTCTACAACCAGTGGGTCCCTCGTCTTTTGACGGTCAATTTGGTCCAACAGCCATAGCGTCCGGGTCCACTCCCGTACTACTCTTACTTCCTTTTTCTCCTTCTTCTGTTCCTCTTATTCCTCGGTCTGATACCGTCCGTCGTATCTCTATATCTTAATCTCTCTTATTTCTTCAGAAAAGGAGTGTTAAAGCTGTTGCACGCACTGGTGGTCGAATATTTGTGAAGTTGTAAAAGCATGTCATTCTATCTAATGCTATCGATGTCAGAGAACAGAATGCCATAGGCACCGGTGGGACACCGGTGGGGCTCTGGTGTAGGAATGTGCGAGTCATGACACGATATGGAAGTCTTGGTTTGCGGAACAATCGGGGAAACTAGTGCTCCGCGGCTCCGACGTCGGGTTCTAGCTATCTATGTAAGGGGCGGAGGCCCGGGAAGAAGATAGAGGGAGAGTAGAGATCAATGCATCACCGTGGGCACCCCTACCTGAGACCGCCAGTGACCACCCGGTATTACGTAGGAGGGACGCCCGTTACTCCCCATCACTCTGTACTATCGCCTTCGGCCTAGCCGTACCCTGACAATCGAGCACGAAGGTTGGACTTAGTCCCAAAGGGCTCAGCCACGTGGTAACCTTGGTGGACTTGGCAAAGCCCACAAAGGTTGCCAAACAAAAGCCATAGTATCCGGGTCTGATTGTCACAAGGGAGGACCAAGCCCCTAGGCCAATAGACCAAAAGATCTAGAATGCCAGTGGTTCACTAACATTTTGGTCCCACTAACTGCTATATATAGCACTCTGTGGCTCTATAATCGCCAGCGCGGTGACAATAATCCCGTACTAATCTTGCTTCCTTTTTCTCCTTCTTCTATATTAGGCAACCTTTGTGGGCTTTGCCAAGACCACCAAGGTTACCACGTGGTTGAGCCCTTTGGGACTAAGTCCAACCTTCGTGCTCGATAGCATTAGATAGAATGACATGCTTTTACAACTCTCAAATATTCGACCACCATTGCGTGAAACATTCTATTCCGCTTATTCCTCGGTCCAATACCGTCCGTCGTATTTCTATATCTTCTTATCTTCCAAATAAGAGCTTAAGAGCTTAAGAGCTCTATACTAAGTCTCAACACTTTAATAGAAGCCAAACTTGGTCTACAAAGTTGATACGTGACTCCATGGGGGCTTTACCCTGTAGCTAGAGATAAGATGATAAGATAAGTGCTATAAAAGAGCTCTGCCAGGCCAGAATAACTGACCTGGCTAACCTTTCCAAATACGACAATCCATACCCCATATGCACTCGCATCAAAATTTTACGGCTAATTTCGACTATTACTTTCCAGACCTTATGATTCGTGAAAATCCAAATATCGTATTAATAGACTCCAATCATGTCTCAGCCTCAAAATCCCAAGCTCGTTAGTCTAATCACCGCAACATTATGTCGGTAGTCTTGGAGATCTACATTTGCTCTTCGAATTCCCACATTCGCTGTCCAGGTTATCTTCTTATAGCTAAAAACGTCGAGGCCCCGCCTTCCTAAGTTCGCTAGTCGTAGCTCCATTCCCGAAGCTTCCGTGTCCTTAGCAGCTAGAAGCATTTAGGGGTCCCCACCATGCCTTCTTGGCGACTAATCTGCTCGGTCCTACTTTCTTCCATAATCGCGATAGGACAAGAGAGACTCAGTACCGTGAAGTATCTGAATTATACCTCTCTCTGATCACCAATAAAACGGGGTCAAGCGGTCAGTAGGATATACCCACCACCTAACACACTGATAAGACGGCTCCAGCAGGTATTGTACGCAAGTTGGTCGGATATGTCTCTATAACTAGTGACGGGACAGTTCTTAGAATAGGACGCCTAGGAGTCGAATTAAAGCTATTACTAGCACTAAGATTAGACTAATTCAAGACAAGATGAAGCGCCCTGTAGTTGTCAAGGCTAAAATAAGGGCAAAATAGTGGATTATTAAAAGCTACGTCTAAATACGTGTATATATAAAATGAATAAACTCAAGATTAACTAGCTAGCTAGAAAGTAAGGTCCAGAAGAAGATAACAAAAGGATGATCAATGGTAAGATATCGAAGGGAAGGTGGTGATCAGTCTCTGTGTACGTCTTCAAGCGAAGAAGAGGGAGTCCTCGCTGCCCCCTGTCACCCGTTTTCCCGGATGTCCGGCCTGGCCCCACTACAGTACTGGAGGATTATGTTCCTAAGCTCTGGGCGGCGTATCTCGTATTGCTAGCAGGTACTGAGGCTATGGAGCTGGATGTTGACGAGAGTTGGTATAAAAGTGATGCTTTCGCCATTAGTTCTGCCCGATGGCAAATAAAAGAAGTAGTGATATGAGTAATACTGACATCGAGTAAAGATGAGGCTCATTCGTTTGTCAGTTGCCCTTGCGACCTTGTTGACCTTCGCTCTGGCGGCACCGAAACCCAGACAGAATGGCGGGTGTATAAATAAAACGGCTCGAAAGCCTTGGTAACTATTTCCCACAGAGAAGTCATGAACTTAATAGTGGGCTAACTTGCATATACAGGCAGATGCTGAAACCCCAGGAGAAATCTGATTACATCAAGGCGGAGCTGTGCTTAATGTCTTCGCCTCCCAAGCTCAATATCCCAGGAGCCCAGAACCGATGGGACGAGCTGCAATGGAATCACGTAATCCAGACCAATTTCGTGCACGACGTTGTAGGTTCCCTCTCCTGAACGTATCTCCATCCTCAACTTCGGACTGGCTAACCCTGTCCTCGTCAGGGCGCATTCCTCCCCTGGCATCGATACTACGTCACAGTTCATGCCAATCTACTGAGGGACGAATGCGGTTACCATGGTCCCATCCCGTGAGTTACCCCCTGCCTTCCCTTCCTCACTATGTGGTGACGACGAGTTACTAAATAGTATCAGGTACTGGGATGAGACCGGCGACGCGGACGCATTCGGCGATACGGACGCATTCAGCAATGCTGCCATTTTCAAACCAGACGCCTTCGGGGGCAACGGCGTAGGCAACGGCACGAAGAACTGCATCGCAAACGGTCCCTTCGTCGACACGACGCTTCACCTTCCGAAACTCCACCAGGAACCAGTGGACTACTGCATCTACCGCAAATTCAACAGCACGAGCATCCAAAGGGCGAAACAAATAAACATCGACAAATGCTTTGCTATCCAGGACTACACCAGTGCTTGGGAGTGCTGGCATAAAGACCCCCACAACGGAGGTCACTCAGCCATTGGCGGACTGATGATGGATGTCGTGCTTTCTCCTGGTGACCCTTTATTCTTTTTGCATCACTGCTGGGTTGATGCCATGTGGCATAAATGGCAGTTGATGGACCTTGAGAACCGGCTAACCGATATGGGCGGGCGCAACATCCTAACTCCCGAATACATGAAGAGGTTCGACTTCACGTACCCTGGGCCTGAGTTCACAGATTACAGTGGCGATCCGGGCAACGTCACGACATTGAACCATGTGTTATATATGGCGGATCTCGCACCCAACGTGACCATCGGAGATGTCATGGATGTTGGGGGGGAGACTATATGTGCTGAATACTTTTATAATGAGTAATGTTGCGTGTAAAGAGACGGGACACGGTTAGGAATGAATAAGGCGGTATAGGGATGGGGTTAAAAGAAGGTTTAACGGCGCCCCATGTTTGTGAAACACGGTGGAAAATATCGTGATAATTGTTTCAGATAATTTGGATAAGAACGCACCATCTCATAGCATCTTGAACAGAACTTTATATACATAGGACGCTTTGTGTCTCGATAGCAATTGCATTTACTTCCAACTTAGTCATAAATATAAGCCTAAGCCTACATCTCTACCCATCATGGTCCTCAAAGGCATCTCCCCCGTCATCTCCCCCGATCTACTCAAGATCCTGTGCGAGATGGGCCACGGCGACGAGATTGTCCTCGCCGATGCACACTTCCCCTCTCATTCCATTTGTCCGGCCAACATCCCCGTCGTTCGAGCGGACGGTGCGTCTCCTTGCCTTAGGCTTCAGTACACCCAATTCATGACTAACCCGACCCAGGCATCACCGTCTCCAAACTCCTAGCAGGTATCTCGCCTCTCTTCGAGCTGGACAACTACGGCGTCGTCCCAGTCATCATGATGGAAGTCGTCAAGGGCGACACTGCTGATGCGAGTGTGGAAAGCGACTTCAGGGCAGCGCTTGAGTACGATGGCAAGATCGAGAAGCTCGAGAGGTTTGCGTTCTATGAGAGAGCGAAGGGGGTCTTTGCGGTTGTTGCTACTGGCGAGACGAGGAAGTATGGGAATGTTATACTGAAGAAGGGGGTTATTCCGATTGCATAGATGGGTCGAATAGAATGAGTTGCGTTTCGTTGGAAGTTGCATTGCTTTTTATGAGTGATTATTCCGATCGGGCTTCAGAGGTTTATTGCCCACTTGATGGAATTACTCCAAGCCCATATGAGTCTCCACTAACCCGGAAAATACCACTAGATCACAACAAATTAATAGTGTTTTGTCCAGGCTAAGATATCAGCGTTGGCCAGTATCAGCATGAATCTTAACATGAGAATGGTTTCCTTGCAGCCTCCAAGGTGAATAGCTACGTATAAGTTCAAATAAGTTGTCTTATCATCTGACCTATACGTATAAGACAACATGAACATGTAGCTGGGATTGTGTAGCGGGCAGCTTGGCAAACGCCACTTCAGTTTCAGTTATCTCTCCAGTATGCACATATAGAATGAAATAGAACTATGTGAGAGTCTGCATATTTCTTAGTCTTTGTTGGATCTATCGGGTCGCTAAAATAATAGCAAGGTAAAGGGGGCGTGGGTTGCATCTATCATAGCTATTATATGGTAATTATCAGTAAAAGCGGAATGTCTGATCCTACTTACTGTTTCTACAGAGTTTACTTTGGGTGTTTCACTAGCAACTGCAAACTGTCTACTAATTTGTGCAGTTACTCATGATGTCCTATTTGGCTTGCCTGTTTTCTCGTGCTATCTGCCTTCTTGTCCTAGCTAGTGCTATCTGAGATCACCACTGTCACCGAGTTTCTTATGGCAAGCGGAGATATCCCGAATTGAGTGCTTCCTCATCTGACATGTAGTTCGACGTGGTGGTCTTATCAGACTCCAATTCGGCCAGCTCGGTATTTTGTTGGGCGCCTGGTTCGTCAAACATTCCTCTCGCAGCCTCGGAAATGGATCCAGGAGACTCGGTCTCGTCCTCAGATCTAAGCTCGATCGGATCAGGGACATAATCTGATTCTTCTTCAGAGACATTCTCGGTCTCTCCACCTTTATACAAAGTCTTGTCGAGCATTTTAAGAATAATAAAAGTAGAGACGGGCTCGCGCTGAAACAAACGTCGGCGGAGGTCGTCGATTTCATCGCCGGCAGCTCGCTAGACCCCAGGCTCAATTATACCTAAGAGTACCAGCCAATATATCTGTAGAAAACTAACTAGAGGCGGTCCTGCACTGAAAGTATTCGAGGCGGGTGATGAGTGTACGGTGGCGGTGGCAGCGTGGGTACTGGTCTAAACTGCGAATACGTCTCAAGATTTCCACCAGCCAAAAGGGGGGAAAGCTCGAGATGATAAGCGTATCTGGGACTATGAGCATAAAATATTCGCAGCTGTGAATGTATGAGTATTGTGGCTGTTTGGTCTGATGACTGGAGATGCGATGGCTAGGCCTGGTTTATATATACAGCACAGCTGTTGACCTGGCCATTTTTATGTTTCAGAACAATCACTGAACTTTCGAGTTGTATAAGGCCTATGGTTTAGATCATTCTAGCATCCTTTGATGTAACTTGTATTGTTCCAAAAAGGTGAGCTGACTACAATAATAGAACATGAATTCTGACTAGCCAACCAGGAAGATACACAGCACTCAAGCACTGCTGCAACGGTCCCGCAGTTCTAGCAGATTTACGACCCAGACAAGGGCGCAAATATTTTCTTGGGAGTAAAGTTACCCAATCAGTTGTGACGGCGGATAATGTGTTTCCCGGGTCCCATATTCGTGACTAGTTATTGTTTGACTTTACTCTTGATCGATGTGGTGGATGTAATGAATCCTTTGGCAGTGATTGCTTCCACGATATTCGGTGCCCACCAAGCAAAACATATAAAATATATTGCTATGAGACCCCGTGTACAGGTTTTCACCACAAGACTGCGTTGCATTACCCTTCATCTTTTCAAACTGAAACCTGATTCTGATCCTGTATACTCCATGAGCTCACACCTATCAACACCTGAAGGGAAGCCGCTATGGGACTACGTTATCGTCGGGGCGGCATCGCCAGTATTGCCGTCTTCAACCAACTTTCAACCATGAGACACCCCTCAAGTTACTCCTAGTGTCCCAGTGGAGGCGGGCTACGATACAAGCAAGCGCATCGGTATCTTGTGTGCCCAATCGATCAACCTCATTGGGGGGTCACTTCGATTGAAAATAATAATCGGTGCCGCAGGGCAACTAAGACGGCCTTCAAGTCAACCTGCCTGTCGGTCGATGCAATGAAGAAAGTCCACAATCAATTCATGTCCTTCCACACCTTCGATAGCTGGGGTTTTACTACACTGGCACAGAAGGTTGGCTGGTTCCGTGCCTGTCAGGCAGACTACAATGACTGGGGTCATGTTGTCGACGACCATCATTGGGGATACGATGCCACGTTGCCCTACTTCAAGAAGACAGACTGATGGTTTAACAGAAACAACCCGTTGATGACATCCACTTCCTGACTGAAACACTCGTGGAATAGGTCCTGGTTCAGAAGAGACACAGCGCTCGCACTGTTGGTTTCAGGCTAACCAAGGGTACTTAGTATCATTCCAAGGAAGTCATTCTGTCCGCCGGAGCGTATCGCACACCCTGAACACTCATAGAGTCCGGGATTGGTCCCAACCCCACCGAAGTTCTCTCCAAGCACGGCATTGAGCAGAAGGTCAACGCCCCTGAAGTCGGGAAAAGCCTCGTGAACCATATTCAGTTCAATACACTCTGAAAATTCCGCGACCCTTTCCCGGGGTACACTATCAGCTCCTCAGACCCCCTCTTCTTCGAACCTTAGTATTCCCTTGTCCACCCTATTTACTTCACTGGATCCACCCCCATGTCTCGCGAGGGCCTCATAGCTGCCATCTTCAAAGACAAAGGTGACTATGCTTCGAAAGACCACTACCTGCTCAAGGATACCCACGCCTCGATGGAAAACAAATTCGTCTGGGTTGGAGCTTCGGTCGATCCGCCGGTGGTTCCTGGTGAGAGCCACATCACCATATCCATGATCGGCATGAAGCCCAATGCGCGTGGTTTGGTGTCCATTGCCTCCAAGTACCCGGCTGATGCGCTGCTCTTGGGTCAAAATTACCTGCTTCGATACTGGTGTTGATAGGTACATTTGGCAGACTGTGTTTCGTAATTAAGTGCGACGGGCAATACCGCGTTTGGGCGAGGAGTATCTGGATTCGAGAAGGATAAATAGAACATTCCAAAGTCTGCAGTACCTGCCATTCATCTTTCAGGTGTGCTCCGGATTGGGTCCGCATTCGGGACGTTAGAATATGCCGCTACATTCACAAATGAAGTCAACCGTTGGCGAATCTCCGGCCAAGCTACCCAGGAACAGCCCTGAGCTGTCTGCATTGGCCTAGTAACGGTGCATGCGGTGCGGTTGAGGCAGCTGAGTTCAAGTGCACCAAAAACGGTGACGATCATTAATGTAAAGTTAAATGATAATCCTCCATAATCACGTATCTACTAAAACAAACTTACCATGAAAGCAGGAAACTTCTATCCTGACTTTTGCCCGAACGAACTTGCACCTAAACAGCACCGTTACGATAGAATATCACTTAGCTCTAGGCGGAGCGGGGGCCCTGAGAAGATCCACTTCTGGCGCGGGGCCAAGATCTACTACCCCACCATACCATCGCATTCAGAGCTTCGAACCTTAGCTTGACCTCCAACCTCCAGCAACCACTTCGTCATATTTCAAGCCACTCGTTCATCGCATACCCAAAGAAGTCTGACGTTCCTAACCTCCCTACCGCCCTCCATCCACTACTGACAAAATGGAGCCCCCGACTCCTCCCTTCGACTTCCCCCGCGAATACTACTTCCCCGCCTTCTTTACCCGCCAAGTAAACCTGACCTCCCTACGCGCACAGCACGAAAAATGGTCCTCTCTAATCCTATCCTACTGCGCACACCACCGACTCTTCAAGCTGTCTTTATCCTCCCCCGCGACCGAAGACCTGTTCCACAACCGCAAGCTGAACAAGCGACTCAGCACTGCCGACGCGCGCGAGGTGCTCGACTTTATGCGTAAGGACGGGCTCGTCGAAGATGTGGGAGGCGGGAGCAGCGGCGGAAAGTCGGGTGAGGCGGGGGGAGATGTCGTTTGGGTTTATTGGAAGACGCCGGAGGAGTGGGCGCGCGCTCTAGAGGAGTGGGTTGATGAGACGGCGCAGAAGGGGACGGTGTTGACGTTGTATGAATTGACTGAGGGAGAGGGGACGAGGGGTACGGGTGAGTACTGCCTATTTGTCTTGTTGACAATTCTCTTGTGGAGTTTTGCGTCGCTGATATGGTGGGTGCTAGAATTCCACGGCATGGATCCGGAAATGATGCAAAAAGCGCTGCAAGTCCTCGTCAATCGGGGCAAGGCGCAAATATTCGGACAGGAAGACCAACAAGGCGTCAAGTTCTTCTAGGTGTTGCCAAATGGGGATACAGCAAGGCTTGGGTATTGTTCTCTGAGCTATGCTACAACAGTCTGCATGGCTCTGAATGATTGACCTCGGATGGTTGACACTTGGCGAGCTAAGGCCGCTGTTCAAGCAGTGTCAATATTGAGACGTCGAACACCATACTCCACAACCGGAGTTCCAGAGTGGGAGGATACACAATGTCCTTCGCCACAGGAACTAACCGAAGAAATTCGTTACCAGATACTTCTCATCGAAGCTCAGCTCCTGCTTCATCACAACGTCCAGCAACCAATCCGACGCAACCACTCGGGGCTCCATGTTACCCTGCCGTGCCATGTCCTCAAATCTCTTCCACAGCTTCTTCTCTTCAGGAGACGCCGTACTGAGCAGATACACTGGCTCTGGCCCAACCTCGTCTTCTTCGGGATTGGTTGGTTTGATCGTGGTCCCACTTCTTGCCGCATACACCAGGAAGATAGCGCCGTTGGCCTCAGCAATGGCCTTGTAGCTGTCAGTACCATTTTTTATGCTGGCCGTGCAATAGATTGGGATGTTCCATAGCAGTTTGCCGCCGTTCTTCGCCGCTCTGTTGACTGACGTCTGGAGCTTCAACCCAAACTTTTTCTCGTTCTCCTTGTCCACGAGCAGGTAATCTTCTGGAGGAGGGACCTCCCCTTCATCCAGGCACTTCTCAATCCAAGTTGACGATAGAACAACCGCACCCTTGGACAGATTGCGAAGGAACTTGACAGTGCGCACCATTTGTGGAGCGACAAGATAGTCACACGGTTGACCATCAGTCACAACGGCGACGCCGAGTCCGCGCAGCTTTTTCTGCGCAAGGGTTAGCCACTATAAGCCAAGTATCAAATAAAAACTTACGCGATCAGCGTCTTCCTTGTGTTTATCATTGACCCAGCGCTTGAATCCCGTGAGAATTACCCGCATCTCAACCTCTTTGACAGCAGGTCTCGCCTTCTTCGCGGGACGCTTCGACATGATGGCTGCTCCATCGTCATCCTCCCTGGCGCTAGCTGGACTCGAGACGCTTCTGCGATTCAAGTGCTCACGATCAATGAGGTCGGCGGCTCGCTTTCCGCCCCATGGGCCCCCGTCCTTGGGTATTCGCTTCTTCTCCTTCTCATACAATTGGATATCGGACTTGAGATCAGACAACCTGCGCAGAGCACTACTCTTTGCACTACGACCCGTTGATGACACAGTGGATGGCGTTTCGTTCTCCTTACCCACACGAATGTGGCGAGCTCGCGCCGGAGTCGTCAACTGGCCTGCACGTCTCTTAGCGGCAGAAACACCAAAATCTTCTGTTGTCTTCTCTGCGTAATCAGCGTCGTTGTCTTTCATGACATCGAACTCCTTTCGAGCTTGACGACTTATCGCGACTTCTTCAGCTGGATCATCAGAAGATAAGTTCTCCTGAGTCACGTCCAGGATCTTACGCTTTCGCTTCGCAGCCGCAGCCGCAGCGGGAGCGGGTTGTTTGGGGCCGCCTGGGAAGTACAGTTCTTTCAGCTTTGTTTCGTCCAAGAAGGTCTGGCCAATAACCTCGCCGAGGTTCGTTCGCGGAGGAAAGTGTGTGTACTTGGATGTGGAGATACTTAGAAGTTCGCACTTGGCATAACTCTCCTCTATCCAGAGATGATTGATCATGTCAATATTCCAATCTCGGGCGGCCTCGCACTTCTCGCTGTTGTCCCGTGCCGTGATTAGGTGCGTGTTGTCTGCCTTCATTGTCTTAGTGTACGTCGCTCCCGAAGCATTAATCAGGTTCTCGAGATAGATTCGAGCTTCGCCACCGTAGTTGGAAACGGTAATTCTCAAGTCTTTGAATCCAGGAATGCCGTTCTTTGGTGTCGGGTAGTGAAGCAGGCGACGCATAGGCGAAGTCCATTCGTCGTGAACGATGAGGTGGTATAACCAAGACAGGTTGCCTACAACCTTGCGTTCATGTGACGCATGAACGTACTGACTACCCTCGCGATATTGGCAAATGAACCAGTCGCACTCATCCACTTCGTCTGTCATATCACCTCCATTCTCGAGAATCAGGCCCTGGACAATGCCCTTCAGTCGGTCGCTTATAGACAAATCCCCGCAAAGCATAATCTTCCTTCCACGGAACACGTTCAGCTTCGGGCGACCTGCGACTGAACCGTTGCCTGGAGGTGGTAAATAATCCGGACATGCGGACGTCGCACCCTGGAGGTGTTGGCTAGTAGGCACTGCTATGTCGTCCTCTGGCCGGGCGCGCAGTATCTCCGGGTCAGGCAGTAGATAGGGTCCTTCATCGATCCGTTTTCCAAGCTTGAAGCAGTCATCAAACCTCGATTGAATTAGACACGAGACGAATGTAGACTGAAATGACCTGTCACTTACCAATGAGGAAGGACAATCTTGCATTTCAGCTTTTTCTCGATGACAGTCTGGCATTTCGGATGGTCCATCGACAACGCACATATGTGTGTAACGAGCCTCGTGATATTCTCCGAGTCGACTCCACCCATGGCCATGGTGGCGCCAATTATGGCATCTTTATCTCTACTGGGAATGTCGGCACACGACAGGACCACGTCGGAGAAGATCATCCTAGGGTCGGGCGAGTATGGGCGAATCTGGACCTGCTTGTTCTTAGCCAGCGACGCAGCGATCCAGTCGGACTTGACGACTGGTATCATCATGGCCGATGCTTCGTTGTATTCGGGAAAGTCGATCGTGTTGGATATTATATGGGTGACCGCGTTAAGCACAAGAGAGTCGTCACGCTTAGGTTGGATAACTGAGCCGCCATACTTGACAACACTCTGTGATAGCTTCAATTGATCACATAAGTTAGTGACGCACCAAAATACACGGAAATATGCGCATTACCTCACTAATGAGACTTTGGCTCAGTTCTTTACTCGGGAAAAAGGTGAATACGCACGAGCTGAACAATCGTCCAGCCGAGCCGTCAGGGTCAGCCATTGAAGTGCTGTTTTGCGCAGATTGATTTTGCTATTCCAGGCAATGAATCACAACTAGGATTGGGGAGCTCGGAGATCAATACGACTCGGTGTAGTTGCGTCGCAAATCGAGGCTGCCTAAGGGTGGTAGTGACGTTACTAACTTGCAATAGTGGTCGCGTCGAAAAAGGTGGGTGGCCTGCCTTGATGCGGGATGTTTTCGTGGAATAACGCGTCTTAAGACTTGCATTAAACGCGACTTTTTGTCGGTAGTAGCGATGCGCCATCACATGACGGGTATTTCGCGTAGGTTCCTTTCGTTTCAGCTCTAAAAGTCTCCCTAGATACTTTACACAAGAGTGCATGGGCTTTTCTGTCTAATTGCATAGCGTAAAGGAGTGTATATAACGAGGTTGATCATACCAGAAAGCACAAATAGTAAGGAAGCTATCCATTAAGGCCTAACAGATACACTTCTGATTTCCAAATGAGCTCTATACCTGCTTCACCATACTGTCGTCTAAATTTTAGGCGTGCGTTCAAATATAACAGTACTACTCGGTTCAAACACCACTTGTTATTGGTGTATCACTTTGCGTGGGCAATACAGGCAAGAGAGCTGTATTGGTGATGATGATTATGATGGGACTAGCTCTCTTATCGCTCGTTGAGGTTTCATCGATTTTGCTACTGCGAGACTGCTGACGTGTACCCATATGAAATTAATCTAATCTAGTTCATCGTCAAGGACGGCGTCGGACGTGCCCAATCAACATGTGCTTTCGCCTGTTTGCTCAACTGTGCCACTAATTTCCTCATTGATATTCCAACATGGCATTCAATGACAGTCTCAATCACATCATGGAGCTGGAGATGAGCGACAAGGACGGCGGCCTCTGTACAACCATAATAAATGCGACTTCTAAGGCTTTCAAGACGAGCTACTGCATCTTGAATATATCAGGAACGCAAGAAATTTCCGATCGGCATTAGCTCGAGACGTAGAAGCTTACACCATGAGAGGCGTTTCGTGAACTCGTTAAAAACTGGTAATCTGGCAGGCATGGTATTTCTTATTGGTTAATTTTTGCTCACTTTGTCCCTATAGAGATGCTATCATCGAGAGCAACCGTATCGCTGAGGAAGATGACAATGATCATCATGAGGGTGACGAAGGATATTACCACGTCGATATTGGTGCAGATGATCCCCACTCTGTTTCTGGTTCCATAGACGATGGTTCGAGTCACACTGATGGTGGTAGTGCTGGTGAGGAATGAGGGTAGTCTCAAAATCTCACCCCGAGCACCACGGTCATTGTGGCAGCACAATCGGAAACGACACAGCAGCAGCAGACCAACCATCATCTGTGCAGCAAGCAGGCTACCCAGCCATAGTGCATGGCGACTCTGATCGGGAGGGCGAAATAGGCACCTCGAGGGATGACACGTACAGTAGGACACCCAATCTAGCGCACAAGATGTATTCCTACATTAACGAAGGTGTAGGGCAGGGGCATGGATAGCATCTCTAGTTATTTTGCAACCACTGCAATGGTATAGGGGATTGAATTTGCAAGGTGAAGATGCAGTAACTGGAGTTGCCACAGATTGGCCTGAATACCAATGACCAAACAAGCAGCGTCACTTGTATGGAACAGGCTCGTCGTCGTTGTCTTTTCAATAGGCATGTTTTCCAATTTGTAAAGGACCTGGAGGCATAGAAAAAGGGTAGTCAATGGGAGTCGAGTTCTACGATCGTTGAACAGAACATAGGCATCAGAAGTTTGTAAATTAGGATACACAGCAGGTACAAAGGTAATGTCGCTACACTACCGTATCCCAGTGTTTAATGCCGGCGGCCTGTTGAAATTGAAGTAGTCTGGCATGCTGTTTTATACAGAAGTCTTGTTGGACGCCTTATGCCTATGTTATTGACCAGACATAATTCATGGCAAGTCATGCTGAAAGGAACTGCTGGCGAGTTTGGTTATAAGAATGCTACTAGTTTCCTTACCTATGTGCTACCTTTAACTCTTGAATTGAAGGTGACCAACTGGCCAATTTTGAGCACTTAATGTGCATGTTAACAGCTCTGTCTATGAGGAGAGCTCCGAATTTCTAACAATGTTTGACAGTTGAGTCCCTTTTCCTGCCACCTAGCGCTTCCCCCTTCTTTCTTCTCTTTATTGTTCCGCTCACCCTTTCCACTCCGAAGCTGAGTAGATATATTCTGATTTCCACTTTAGGGTTTAAAACTGAAATGCCCATCACTAACATCAGTGGTTCCTTCTTTTTTTCCTTTTTTTGGATCTTTCAACTGTCATGTCGGTCCTTGGACTTGTTCAAGGCAGTTAGTCACAAACACCAGGCCAACCATATCATCAGGCAATTATCAGTGCCTTCCTTCCATTGACCTTCTATCAATTCACCATTGCGCATAAAGTGCATTCCTCATCGTTTCTATCTTTTTGACTCAACTGAAGCATGAATACCTTTCCAACTTGATCAATCCAACATCATCCACCACAGTTACTAACTGCATCCTCTCCAGAATGAGTTGGTCCCACCCCAAATATGGTGGCCCTGCCAGATCAAAACGTGCCCTGTCACCTTGCGAGGAAATATCAAACTCGGACCTGCCTGATCGATCGGCTTCTGTGCCAACTAGTTGCGATCCAGTTGAGAGTGAGTAACCCTTTCCATCGCCTGGTCGGACCATCGCTACTGGACTCACAATGGAGCAAGATTCTATGTTTGATACTGGTAAGTCGATATTTATGTTAATTCTGCAGCGACATGTCGGGATCTTCTGTAACTGTCGCGCCCATGCTCTACTTCACCACTTCATCTTCAATATCTGGATAGCGTATCCCACTTGCTTTAACCCACATCACCTCCACCTCACGTTCCAATTCCAACCTCCTGATTTCCTGCCGATTGGCCATTCCCTCCTAAACACCATCTCGACCACTCTGCAATTGCCAAGAAGGAGAGGTCGTTACTCGGTTTTCGCAACGTTAAGCGGCGGATCCTGCTGTTCGATTATCCTCATGTCACTTCCCTGCCACACATCCTGAATTTGTCCTTTCACACCTAACTCTTTATCAGGTATGACCAAGCGTATGCTTCTCGACGAAGACTACGACAGAATTCAATACAACATGAATACCGGCAACAACGATGCGGGCGATCAAAGCTCGCGATCGAGCATTCCCGGAGCCGACCACTTTATGCCTCCCAGCTCTCTGACCAGGGACAGTAAGCTAAGAAGGTTCAATGAGGTTCTTGGAGAGATACAGCAGCTAGTAAGCAGATGTCATTTTCCTATCTTCCCTGGTCAATAAAGGGTTCAATCCTCCTTGGAGACGGCTTGACCTTCCTGACTAGATCAACAGCAGTTACTAACGCAGTGTTGAACAGGGTATATCGCATGTGGTGCCCCTTCCCGAACTTGTACTCATTGGAGATCAACCTGCGGGAAAATCGAGCTTGATGTCAGGTTTGGCGAAGCTTGACCTTCCCAGAAGTGACGGAGTCTGTACCCGATGCCCCTTGCACATCCGATTGGCTCACGATACCAAATGGCAGTGCCGTGTTTCCCTGCAACAGCAATACGACTTCAACCCACCAGCGAACGGAAGACCGATCAGAAAGAACGATGTCACGGCAAGAAATCCGTTCCCCCCTTGGAAACTCCAAACTCTTGAGATCAAAGAATTCAAAACTGTTGAGGACAGAACTGAGCTGGAAGATGTCCTCAAATGGGCGCAGATTGCTACTCTGAACCACAATAGCAACCATGAGCTTTATATTCCAGGCTCAGGAGCAATCGCCAAAGAGGGAGATCTGCAGAGTGCTATGGAGAAGTCTGAGGCGGCGTTCAGCCCCAACACAGTTGCGCTGGAAATCAAAGGGCCGGAAGTCCTTAGCCTGTCGTTTTACGACCTGCCCGGAATATTCAACAACCCTTAGAGAGACGAGGATATGTATCTTGTCGAAGTGGTCAAGAATCTTGCCTTGAATTACATCAAGCGACAAAAGGCCTTGATCATCTGGGCTGTTCCGATGAACTGCGATGTTGAGACATCATCTACCTTCAATCTCATCAGGCAGATGAATGCAAAACCGCGAACTGTTGGCGTAATGACCAAGTCAGACCTCCTTTCAGTCGGTAACCACGCGCAGTGAATCCGTATCTTACGCCAGGAGCAACATGTCGTTGGCCTTGGATACTTCATTACGATGCGCTGCCCAACTTCCGACCTTGAAGATGCCGAAAGACAAGAAGAGTTGTTCTTTGATGGAAGATCTGGTGAATGGCCCCAGGAATTCACGGAGTTCGGGGACAAGTGTGGTGTCACCAATCTGGCAGTCTTCTTATCTGAGCAACTTCGCCAGCAGTTTGCTAAGGAGTAAGTAGTACGGCCCAATATAGTGTAGAGGGATGTTTACTAACGCCCGAAAGCCTTCCATCTACCATTAAAAAGGTCAAGAGTCATTTGAGCATAGTGACGGAGCATTTAGACAGCCTCCCAGATTTACCTGCCAACGTGGAGCTCGAAGTCAGAAGAAGCCTCGGCGAATTCTACCGCCACGCTGAGGAAAAGATCGATAGCAGTGACTTTTCGGCAACCTGGAGGGCACTCACGGAGGAGTTTCGTGTGTGTATAATGGAAATGATGAAACCCAAGATAAAGATCTCACATGAGAGCGACAAAGGCGTCATCGAGGTGGCGGACTCTGACGACGAGGCTATAGCCACCATGTCTACACCTTCGAAAAGACCTAGACAATGGGATTCCTCAAAAAATCAGCCTTCATCAAACAAAAAGGCACGCACAGCTTTGGAGCACATACACGTGAAGCCAGAGAATCCTGCAATATCTAGTCAAACACCGAAAAGCCTTCGAGTGCCAAGTCAGACTGACCTAGCCAATAGTCGATTCGCTGAATTCACGCATGCAGGTAAAGGTTTTGCCGATATTGGCCAGATCAGTGAAGAGATGAACAGGAAGCGATTGGTGGGGCTCCCTAATATGTACGATCATGAAGTGGTTGTTGCTCTCTGCAAGCGAGCAGTCAGTCCTTGGAAAGGTCCATTAAACAAGTACTTGGAACAAACCATGGAATTTCTTCTTGCGGCTCTCAGCACCACCCTCCAGTCCTCACTCAGAACCCTGAACAAAAGGTTGATCTACAAGGAAAGCGCCCGCTTCATCAAGCAGTTCTTAGATGAACAGGGGGAAGTCCAGCATCAGCGTTTGATAAATCTCTATGAGATGGAAGCTCATCACCCTCTTACTATCAACGAGGACGCTTTCAAACAATATCAACGGGAGGAAGCACAGGTGATTGAACGTATTCGATGGTTTTCCCGAGCCCAGTCGCAATATTTAATCCCGAATGAGATTATGCTGAAACCACTGGAGATTTTATCCTCGGAGAACAGGATCGCAGAGCAGAAGAAGATGCGAAGTCATCTGGCTGAGATGGGCGAAGACCCTTTCAAGGCTTCATTGGAAGTCGCTGCGAACGTTCGGGGATATTACAAGACCGCAGCAATGCGATTTGTCGACATGGTCGCAATTTCGATACACTCGCGCTTGCTTGTGGACGTGAGCCTAAAATTGCCCAGATACCTGGACGAGAAACTAGGATTACATGAGGCGTATATTAAGCTTGAAGCCCATCTTCATTTGGTTATCCCCCCGAGTCGTGCTAACACCAGGCAAGGACAAGATGATTGCAACGTATATGATCGTTTGATGGAGGAAGATAAGGATACCGCCGCAAGACGCCGAAATTTCAGGAAAGAGAGAGACATGATTGAGAAGGCCATGGAGAAGCTCAAGGAGCTTAAGTCCTCAAGTGCCACCCTGGGTGTTGACGTCGACATGGATAACGTTTTGCCCGCCAGAGATCTAGCCAGAGTTTCTGGATACGAAGTCTGAGCGGAGCAACTAAACTGGAGGTTCTTGCATCATCGCCATTAGACTGTCTTGCAGTATTCTTCTCTCCGCACCCGTAATCTCGATCTTCAGTGTTTGATAACAAGGTTGATCACCAACGGCATCCTTGGAACGTAGTTTGGTTTCTTTGGCAAAAAGGAAGAGATATGCAAGGAGAGGGGTTGGATTGGTCACTATGAACATTGTGATGATATGAGCTTGATGGATGATTGGCTCATTTTTGAGAGACTGTTGCCCTCTTCTTCAGGATTGTTCTGAATGACAATATGATGATGGTGGACAGATGGTTCTAAAATAAAACTTGCTAGAGCTCAGCCGCGATGGCATGATGTTTCTCGCACAGCTATACGTGGAGACTTTGTACTGATTTTATACTTAAATCTACCGCACTTCACACATTTCAGCTTTACTAGAGACATATCCCAGCGACTTGCGTGAACCGCCCGATATTTATATGGGGAAAGCCAACAGATTACTTCAGTAGCCGCACACTGCCTTCGTTGTGACACTGAGGTTCGCGTTACTTAAATTATCTTGATAAAGACTGCGGCCAGGATGCTTATTCATACAACAGCTGCGGATAGAACCAAATAGTGATCTATGCCACAATGAGTCATCTTGAGTAATTTCAATTACCACCTCAACTCAAAGCCATATATGCATACGTGCATCTCGGGGTATCATGCAGAATCCACCAAACGAGGCCCCTACTCGCCCGCCAGGCAACAAACCCGAGGCAGCCGCCATATACTGATGATGACGTTAATCAAGTCTACTTGATGAAAATGCTGTGCTTGCCCCCATCCCCACGTATTCTAACAACCTTCCTAGCTTCCCTGCTACCCAGGATGGCCCAGGAACTCCTCTTCGTGGGCGAAGCCCCATCGACCAGCACATTCCTCGCTGCCTTGTCGGTCGCCATCGGCAACACCACATCCCCCGTCGTGCCCTCAGGGGTCTGATAATCGAGCTTGAAAGACCCATTCGCGTCCAGCGACCACCTCGCCGAGAATTCCCCCAGTTTCGTGGTAAATCCGCCTTCCGCACTCGTCAAGTCCCCCGGCTGAGGTGCAAGCCGCCACGTCTTCCCCGCCCGCCCCGTGATGCTCAATCCCAGTATATGTTCCGTCAGTGCAGTTACGGGGCCAGTCGACCAGCCGTGCGAATGCGAGGTCATCGAGTACGTGCCATAGCCCGCGTTGTAGCGGTAGCCGAACGTACCGTCGGTCAGGTAGCCCTCGATCATGGTGCTTTGTGTGCCATTGGGATTGTTGAGGTACCAGCCCCAACTGGTGCGGATGAGGTCAAGGGCGCGCTGGGTCTCGCCAGCTAGCAGGTGCATTTGAATCTCGAAGGAGGAAATAAAGGGAGATATTTCACCGCTGAGCTCGGGGCATTGGGCGCCAATGGGGGTCCAGTTCTGGGTAAGGTAGCTGGAGATATCTGTGGCTTTGGTGGATGATGCGTTAACGATTCCAAAGAGAACGGCCAAGGAGTTGCCATCTTGCGAGTGGATATCTGGTCGTTCTACGGCATCGTAGAAGGCACCGGCAGAGGCATCCCAGAGCTTGGCATTGGTGAGATCCTGGATTTCACTCGCTTTCTGCAGCCATGTCTCGCCTTGCCCGTCTGTGTCGCCCAACCAGCTGGCAAGCGTCGCGCCAGTCACCAGAGAGCGGTAGAGAAGTGATTGTGCCGAAGTCAAAGTTCCGTTGGCGTCGAATCGTCCCCAGTCGGCAGTATCCGACTTCACAAAGAGGAGGCCCGAGTCCGTAACTTGGTCGAGGATGAACGACATGGCCGCTATATAACTCTCCCAATTGGCTCTCAGAAAGTCGGTGTCGTCCGAGTAAAGAACGTAGTTGTATGTTCCAATCAGCGTCCACCTTCAGAGTACGTTAGAGAGAGAGTGGTCACACACGCGCGTGGCGGATGTCTTACATGTGATATGTATCACTACCTGTGGCCATCAACGGTGGTCCAGAGAATGGGAATTGACCAGTGGATGAATTCTACAACGACGGTTAGGAAGATTGCCCAATTATGTGACAGCTTGTGGGAGTTGCACGAACCTGGTCGTCGTACATGGCTTGCAACCCGTTTTTCACACTCCTGTATGTCTTGAGCACAGTTTCACTGCGTGTGGGAGGGGTCAGGAGGGCCTCACTCGAGATCGCCGGTGCTGTAAGCCGCTGCGGGGACAGCAACACCTAGGTCGCCAGGCCAGACAGTCCTATCTCGCTTTGCACCGTCAGTGAGGATGGTGTATCCTGGCCCCAGTTCACCAACCTCGCTCCATCCACTTGCGGGGGCAGGCCAGGCCCGACCCGTGGAAGGAGGTATAGAAGCGGTCTGGAGAGTATAAGCTCCACTGTACCATATTTTGTTGAGTAGGGCATCACTACTGTGGAAATATCCTTGATAGGCTTGCAGATTGGCCCAAGTCGGTTGAAAAGCAATTTCCAAAGTCACGTTGTTGATGCTGATAGAAGCTGCTTCCGCCACGAGGAACAGCGTCATGTATCGGAATCCGCCGCGGAGATACTCATCGGGCATGATGTAGTTGAAGTTGCCCACTTTGGAGAAGTTGGCGTACAAGGCGCCATCAGAAAATGCGCCATTGCCGCTCGAGTAGTCTGAATCCGGCCCTATCCAGTTTTTGGCTTCCGTGAAGGCTATGCCGATGGCTCCGTTCCCTTCGACTGAAAATACATTGTAATCGATGGTGGCAATTCCTCCAACTTCGCGCCCAAAATCCAAGACAAGGCCGATTCTGTCCCTACCCAAAGCAGTTTTTCCGTTCCATGAGCTGACATGTTCTCCACTGTGGTAGTCCAGAAGAGCTGACGGGGAGACTGCTCGAGATGAAGGGGCAAAAATGTTCGCCTCCCATTCCCCGGGGAAACTAGCCTGTTGTATACTTCGACACGGCGTATTTCTCCAACAATTTTGGGCGCAGGCAAGATTGTTCTGTGAATTAATGAGAACAAGCAGGACACTGAGAATAAATCCAAGAAACCCCATGGTAGATACTAACAGTATAGCACAGCCGAGGCCTGTCCGTTAGAGAAAGATACTGTGGGGTTTTGACAGAGTGAACGAGAAAAATATACTCCTACGACCCGCAGAGTCCATCATCATTCGTAAGTCATGGGATATGTTTCTGTTTTCCGAGCAGTGAACCATAAGACGAGTGAAACAAGCACCTAGCCGGTCGACGTAACTTGGCAGTAACGATCATGGTGGAGCTGAAGGCGTGACATCCCTTCCTCAGACGTGAGTCGCAGGCATGAGACACAGGGAAACTGCATAGCTCATCAGATGTGCGATGATAACCACCGTAAAGACCAATCAATTGTTTGACTTGTTGCCTACATCTGAGGGGCACTGATGGCACTGATGGTCGCAGCTGACCCCCGCAGACCTTGCTTCATCAGACAGATGTCCGTCAGCAAGGGGGGTCGGCATCCAACCAAAGAATGCAACACCTTGACCGAGGTAGAATGGTTCCCGATGCCGTGCCTGATGCCATCCATCTGGCAGTCGTACGCCCGAGTGCTGCGCAAACCATTAAAGTTCTTAAGACTGCAGGTAGTCAATGCGCACAAGTGACCAGACATTATGCACCAACTGGAACAATTTCTCAATGACTATAAGTTTTCAGCTGCAGTGATGTCATGGTATCAAGTTTGGCTATCGCACTACAGTCTTGGTTTGCTCTGGAGTCGCATTTCCGTGGGCGAGCGAGACCCTCGATGTGTTGGCTGGAGCAGCGACTCAGCAGTGTTCATGAAAGGTGACCTATAGGCGCCCAAACGGGTAAGACGCCTGTCATGATGTGGCTTCCGCATTCTTGGGGAAACTGGAGAGGGAGGAGATCCTGGAGCAAGCGTGCATAGTGTTATCAAAGCCTGCGGACAGGACAGCGACCCGAAAACTTGTGCCTACTGTCGTGTTATGAAAGAGGTGGTGACACATCTCACTTGTGATGTGCGGGGTTACCACATGGCAAGCGATCATCATGTTGTGCGACTTGGCGCAGTGTCATGGTGTTACCGTAGTGCTCTTATTAGACCGTGTTGAAGATAACACCGGTGTCGTGTCATGAATGATTCAGGCAAACGGAGCTCTCAAACGCTTGAGCAAAGGCAGGTCAGAAGACACACCTTGACCAACAGATATCGGCAAGCGCGTGGATTGTCTCCCAAAGTCGCTTCGTGCTTGGCTGTAGAAAATTTGAATCTCGCATGCGGCTTCATTGTACAAAGCAGAGTGGCAAAGTAGGAATGGAAGCAGTTGGGATTGGAATATTTCCCAAGTTCCCAAGGTTGGGATAATGATCAACCCTGGTTCGGTCTGACTGCTTTAGAGTAGGCGCTAAGAACCTAAGCACTTATATTGGAAACGGCGCAGGTTCGGAAGATTTCACCTGCCGTTCAGACTTGTGGGTGCAGTAGGTGCTTGAGTAAGTACTTCAAAGTAAGGAGTTATTGAAGACATTGCGTCGTCTCCTCAGCATTTAATTAGCCATGAAAGCAGATGACTTCCAATGCCTCAATATACGAGAGCGAACAGGAGACGGGGTATTATGGCACTAATCGTTGCTGCCAAAAGTTAGAGGTGGGACACAAACACTTTACGCGTTGGAACTTCATCGATGAGGGGCCGGCGGCTCAGAGCAGTCCCGAGATGGCAACGTTGTTAGCTCCTCATGGTCCGTCTTACATAGGCGCCTGCGAGAACGCTTGAGCATCAAAATAGCCACTGGTAGCAACGCACCAAGTAGGGCCAATGTGACAGATGATACACCACCTTGGCTGCGACACACCTAATGTGGGCGTCGTTCGGTAGTACCGGAGAGTGGCTTGACCTGCACAGTACCTAAGCACACTAGCAATTATCTACGACTTTTGCTGGAAATAGGGGAGGAGGGGCATCGTTATGACGGTGAGAAGAAATTGGTTCAATTAACACCAAAAAATCACCTCCCAATGGAAAAGAAAATGATTATTCATGACGTCCTTGTCTCCTTCTGGTTCTTTGGAACTTTACAATACTGAAACTGCAAAGTCGTGGAATGATTCCAGAAATTCTAGAAACAGAATGGATGAATAGACGTCTGGAGTCTCTTCGATCATCCGATCTGCCATGGTACCTTACGGCCCTAGCGTCATCGACTTATTCTTGTCAAAGTCTCAAAGAGCTCGCCATCCCAAATCACGAGTATGAGCTATTGACGAAGCAGTAAATATTACAGGCAAGACTCCTCGGCACTATCAATGACTTTGTAAATGTTTCTCGTTCGACCCGCCCCCTTTTCTGTAAAAAAAACAAAACAAATGGGTCTCGCTGCTTAACGCATGATGAGGTCCTCCATAGCCCCAATCCAGACTCAAATGGCCACTTGGGCCTTTGTTGGTATTCCATTGTACTCAATAGGTAGCATTGCGAATAGCCCCATCTGAGAGCGGGTGCGCGGACGGTCCATCCCAAAGAGGACTGAATGCCTTGCGTATCTGGTCAAGCGATGATACCCGGGCCCTCCCAGTGCTTGTGCCAGTGCCAGCTCAGAGCGCTGTTGCTGGATAGAGTATGCCGCCGAGCTACCCAAGGATGAAGTACACGTGACAGCTCCAGGGGCCGTTGAAAATACGCCTGGCAACCTGGGAGCGCTTTTCATTACGCTAATGCACCCGCCAGTGAATCCAGAGGCAGACCTAAAGTCAAAGGCAACTGTTCATTCGATCCAATGTGCAAGCACTCACAATCAACAGGATGATGAATAGTGACGAGACCAAGATCATGAATGGCCAGCCCCATCTCACCAACTAACACCTCACCTTTTTGAACCTAACACCACGACTTTTTGCCACCCCTTCATGCCTGCCGGCGTCAATACTAACGAGACCGTCATTGGCACTTTCTGGATTTCGTCGGGTGTGGTTTGATATAGGCGGCTTTCAATCATCTCGGTCTTCTAATTACCAGTTGATGGTCTTGCTGGCTTGCATCAGTGGATCAACGAGCTCTCTGCAAAGTACCGAGCACCGTCCCGACCAATCCTGCCGCCCCGTGGCATCGCGACGCCCATGGTAGTTCGGCGACATACTCGAAATCGTGCCTTGTGCCACCAAGCGACGTTGTAAGGGGAAATTTGTGTGTTTTGGGCCTCGCTTGAGGTCGCGTTAACCGTCCTGGATGATGGTGGGTTTGCCCTCTTGTCCTTTTGCTTCCGAGCGCATATTGTGAACCGTGTCCAAAAGATGTTTCGCTGCATTGTTTCCACGATGTCCGACCGTGCTGGAGACGGAGCCGACTCGTGCCTACTCGTGCCTAGCTTTTGCTGTTCTGCACTTTGGTGACTGACTGACTGACTGACTGACATGGCTATACAGACCTCATCTAGGCCCCGCGACGTCGGTGGCAGCTTCGCAAGTCGTCGCGGTCACGCCAGCCAGCTGTCCATTTCTGACTCGAGCCACCACATTACCGAAACCATCGGAACCCTATATGGCGATGACGATGATTATGCAAATAATGATGCACGGCCCTTGAGCTGGATCTCCAACGCTTATGGCGGTGAACAAGTTCCGAAGCAGCAAGACGAACCCCCCTCCCCAGAAGACCAACGTCTGCGACTAGTACGTTCAAGATCCGACAAGTCAGAAGTCTCAGCCGCCTCGGCGCCATCTGCAAATGGAACATCAAAGAAGTCTCAGGTGGGGCGAAAGCCCAGCCAGAGGAGCGACGGCAGCCCAAGCTCGCCAATGTCTCCGACTCTGCAAGACATGAGAGAAGAGGAGGGCTCCTCGCAGTTTCCTTTGGGCAATATCGATAACCCAAATGACATCGCCCAGGAGCTCAGCAACCTGCAGGCCCTACGGCGCATGTCGATGGATGTGCCTAACAGCCACGATCCTGATCTGCCGTTCCAGAACTTTTCGCTCATGCCCATGCCTTCGATTGCACCCCAAGGGAACGACGACGAAGGCGACCCGTCACGGTTGCTATGGGTGCCGGCTGGCGTACACCCCGAGCTCGCCCCGACTGAGTTCAAGAACTTCTTGGAAAAACGCGTTCAGTCCATAAAGAGGAGGTCTGGTGAATCTACCCTCTCTGCTGATGGAATGGAAAGGAGCAATTCGAGTGCGCTCAGGCGTAAAAAGTCAATGCTCTCAAGGCAGATTGATAACGTGGGCGGACGTGGTGCGGATGGCTACATGGATGGGGCTGATAGGCTGGAAAGGGACAATTCGACATACGCGACCCCAGAACTGAGCCTCGATGAGCTTGTGAAGGATCCTTCCAAAGCGGTGCAGAGGCTTACTCTAGAAACTGGCGGCGAAGGCGGAGCTGATGACATGCCCATCTTACCAGTTGCACCTGGCATGGGTCTTCGTCGTTCAACTCGCACTACATACCGGAAAGGAGGCAGTTTGAAAGATCGCCATGGCGGCGGGACTAGCAAATCCAGTAGTGACCGTCTCCCATTCTCACAACGTATCGTTTCGCGGAGAGCAGAAGAGGAATTTAGCGACTCATCACCAATAACCGAATCTCCCATCCAGGCCCCCCAAGGATTCGGGTTAACTCGAGTACAGTCCGAGCCCGTTGGCGAAAACTACTCAAGGCCAACCCGATCAATACGAAAGCAGCCATCATTCACTCGAGAACCTGGCAACACGTCACTTGACGGTGCTCAAGATGAATATCAGGAATACTCAAGTCGACCTGCAGAGCCGAGGCGGATCCCATCCGGCGACTCAGTCCGAGCCTCTCCCCCCGTCCCACAAATCGTCGAGACTCTCGCGAAGGACGAGGAGCCCTCTCCTGTACAACCTCCGCAGGCCCGACCATACCCTGAAAGATCTTCTTCTCAAAAGGGTATTGTTCAGGCACAGATCCCAGAAGAGCCCCCGGCTCGGTCAAGTCGACGTCCTGCCTATGGACAGAGCGCGCAATCCGCTCCTCAGCCTCAGAATCCTCAGCCGCCCCAGCAGCAATCCGCTCCCAAGTCACAACAAAATATGCGAGCACAGGGAGCCTCGAACCAGTCACTCAACGATATGGCACATCACCCTTCGCCATTGCCCGGAGGTGGTGCTGGGAGAACCGACAGTCTGACGTTCATTCCCACCTTCTCGGCCGAGGAAAAGAAGTCAGATAAGAAGAGCAAAAAGGAGAAGAACGAACCGGAAAGCACAACCTCGAAGCCTACGTCATGGAAATGGTTCAAGAGCGACGACAAGGATAAGAAGAAAAAGGAGGAAGAGAGCAAGAAAGCGAAATCCAAAGGGTCTGTGGAAAAGGTTCAGGACAATGTGCGGTTAGATGTCTTGCAAACCTCGATCGACACGGTGAACAAGAAAGGCCGGGAAAGCTTGCTGCTCGATCGCGATAGCGCTGATAACAAGCTCGAAGAAGAGAGAAAGAAGGAAGGCGGGCGAAAGTCGGGAGAACAGAAAAAGGAGAAGGATGGCATATTTTCCTCCCTCTTCGGCGGCGGCAAGAAGAAAAGTGACAGAGATTCTGGCAGCAAGAAAACCCACCTTGCCCAACGATCTCTGTCTCCAGACCCAATTCCTTATCGAGTACTTCGACCCGATGTCGACTACCACTGGACCAGATTTCCTATCCTGGAGGAACGGGCCATCTACCGTATGGCGCACATCAAGCTGGCTAATCCCCGCCGTGCGCTGCACAGTCAGGTTCTACTCAGCAACTTTATGTATGCATACCTCGCAAAGGTCCAAGCCATGCATCCTCAGATCCAGGTGCCACAGTCGCCTCAACAGAAGCGACTGCAAGAAGAGGAGAGAAGGCGACGCGAGCAAGAACAACAATACATGGAGCAGCAGCAAGCGCAGGACAGTATGGATCGGTACAACTTTGAGTACCATCGCGTAAGTCCTTGACGGAGCCCGTGTTGACCTAAGCTAAACTGCTGTAGTCAAACAATCAGTATGGTGGAGAGCCAGGTTCACAGCATGAATCAGGGGATTACCCTGAGGACGCAGAAATATACGACTACGGACACGGCAAGGATGACCGTGGCAACAACGGCATTTATCGAGACGACCGCCGGCGTGACGATGAAGAAGACGAGATGTGGTAGCACTCTTTCGCGTCATCCGTTCGAGGCTGAGGGAGCCCCAACGCGGGTAACAATCGGCGGTTCAGGGGACAAAAGCAAAAAGGGTTGTCCTACCTTGCCTTACGTAACCGTTGTTGAGTCATAAAAGCTTTCCAACGAAAAGAGTTGGATAGAGAGCCGCGTGAGACCGCACCCGCTACGTCAGCGGAGAGCAACTGCGCCTGCCTTCGCATACCTCTGGGACCCAAGTTTGTGGGTCAGTAGATTGCTACTGTCGCCCCTAGCCATCTCCCGCCAGACTGAAGCCGGCGGGGCTCATTACGGGGTTGCCACCAATTGAGTGCACATGGATGGTGCGGTATGGTTGTGCTCTATCGAGATGTTATATATGGGGCCGTACGGCATTGATCATAGCCGCGGTTGGGCTTTTATTTGTTTCCTGTGTCTGGGGTGGAAGGGGCCAAAGGGGCCAGGGAACACCCCCATCATAGCTTGAATGTATGATAATTATTTCGAAGTGGATGATATGTAGCATGCGGCTGGAGGGAAGGCCACCTTCGAAGGGTTATAATAAGCAACGATGCCGCTTATAAACAACAGAAGGCGTTTGACCTTGTATAGTACTGACAATGCCCAGGATTGCCACTCTCTCAGAGTGCAGTCTCGTCTGTGACCACCAGATCAGCATTGACAAGGACTCGGCAGCTGAGTTGAAGCTTTTGCGCTAGAAGAGGTTCCCCATAATTCATCCGGGGTAATGGGAGAGTTGCGTAGGGTTGAGGGCCAGAGGCATCCACGATGGTGGCCTACCCTAGCTCCGTTCTTTGGAAACTTATAGCTCTCCATCAACTTTCTCAGAAACACGACTATGCGGGCTCACCAAGTTTTTTTTTTTAAAAAAAAATACCACTGTGACGAAGTCTTTCTTAGCTGCCCAACAGAGGTAGACAGAAGTCCGCTATGCATTTTGAGAGGTGAACTTCGGGGTTAAATAAGCCAAACGCTTGGACCCAACTTGACTTTTTTACAGCTGAGAATGCTGGGCAAAAAGGTGCCAGGCCTCAGCCTCGTTGGCATTGGACCTCCTTGGATGTCTGGATGCAGGCACGCTAAGCCTATTTGGTACGAGTTGGGCTGTCTTCGAACTTTTCGACATGCTGGCGATTGCGCATTCTTGACCAAAAAATCACAGCTTCAATCTACGACTCACAAGACCCTCACTCCTTGGTCGCCCAACTATCATCCATTACTAGATATCCACCTGGTTGTATTATCTTGATACCCAGAATCCCGTTAACCCCTTGGGCCTGTTCGACCTGATAGTTTTGTGAAGCTGCCACTTCGCCGACCCGAACATCAACCTCACGACGTCCACGAACCTCACGCGCCGGTGACTGCCTTTTTTTTGTTTTTTTTGCACGCGTATCACGAGACATCAACGTCCTTTGTCGCCCATTGTGCCGTAGGTCCGTAAACCGCATCGGATTTTTCTAATTTCAACATACACATTGATCCATGGCTGTACGTAAATCCCCTCGTTGCCTAATACATCTGCCGCAAGCCTAAGCTGTCCGTTGAATACCACGCCCACCGTGACCACTGTGGCAAGCTTCCACCTGCGCGCAACTGCACCCTTCCTTGATTCCCACCCTCGGCCTGGCTGTGGTTAATATTTGCACTCTCTGCACTTCCCCTCCCACAATCAGAGTGTAATCATTACACCATCATCGCCTGTCATCATGGACCCCTACTCAGCCAGAATCGTGCCTGGACCCAACATGCTTCACCCGCACCTTCCAGGCCCCCTTCCACCAAACGCTCGCATGCAGCAGCCCATGCCCAATCCCTATTCCTATCTCCGACGTCCCATGTACACAGACGTTAGATTGGAGATGGCAGATCAGATGGCTGACCCCTTCACTCAGCAACCCCGCCAGCCCTACAACAGCCAAGGCTACATGCCCAACGGGGCTCCCGGCGGTCACCCTAACCTCCAACCAGCTCCTGGTGCCACGCCCCTCCTGCCGAACCAAGGACGAGTCCTCCAAACCGGCCCGATTCGCGTGCTGTGCATAGCAGATGTACGAGGTGAGGAAAGACAGTTAGTTGCCTGGTCGAAGTGAAGCGATGCTGATAGCTGCGCCCTAGGCAACCTCCGGTCTCTGAACGATCTCGCGAAGCAAGCACGGGCCGACCACATCATCCACACTGGTGACTTCGGCTTCTACGATGACACCTCGCTGGAGCGAATTGCCGAGAAGTGAGTGTGACGTACAACAGGCACGCATGGACAACGAGGATTATCAACTGACGAGCTGGTGAACAGGACTTTGAAGCATGTCGCTCAGTACTCGCCACTAATCCCCGAGCATGTCAAAAAGGCAATCAGCCAGGGCGGCCCTGGACCCGTCAAACAGCGCTTCCCGCCGCACGAGCTGCCTCTTTCCGAACTGTCGATGCTGATCAGCGGCCAAGTCAAGCTCGACGTGCCTGTCTACACAGTCTGGGGCGCTTGCGAGGACGTGCGCGTTCTGGAGAAGTTCCGATCTGGCGAGTACAAAGTACCCAACCTTCACATCATCGACGAAGCGCGATCTATGCTGTTGGAGATTGGAGGCGTCAAGCTCCGGCTGCTTGGCCTTGGTGGGGCGGTAGTCATGCACAAGCTCTTCGACAACGGCGAGGGACGAACCACCATTGCTGGCGGACAAGGAACTATGTGGACTACGTTGCTCCAGATGGGCGAGTTGGTAGATACTGCTAACCGCGTCTATGATCCCACCGAGACGAGAGTGTTCATCACCCATGCCTCCCCTGCCCGCGAGGGTATTCTCAACCAACTGTCCGTCAGCCTCAAGGCAGATTTCTCCGTTTCAGCCGGTCTCCACTTCAGATATGGAAGCTCCTACAACGAGTTCAGTGTCAACCCGACCCTGGATCACTACCGAGGCAAGCTCGCTGCCTCCAAGGCCTCTTTCAGCGACGTCTGGGAGACGGTCAAGAACGAGGTTGAGCCCGCGATCCAACAGAACGAAGCTCAACAGAACTTGCTTAAGAATGCGCTTGGTCTTGTTGAGAAGATGCCGACGACCGCTGCTGGTGGCAATCCCTTTGGTGGTCCTGTTGGTGGTGGTCCCGCCGCCCTTGGGCAGGTCGACGAGAGCGCGTTCAAGAACATGTGGAATTTCAATCTGGCTGATGCTGCCTTTGGCTGGTTGGTGCTGGAGATCCAAGACGGTCGCATTGGCACGGAAATGCGAGCCCAAGGCTTCAACTTTTCCCATCGAGGCGCTAAGCAGCAACCCAATGCCCCTGCGACAAACTCTCCTTCTCCAGCACCTGTGGCGAGCGGAATGTCTGCCGTAGCCCCGTCTGCACCTTCAGGACCTCCGCCGCCCTCAGGACCGCAGCGCAACCCATCTGCAGCACAACCCAAACCTGTAGTAGCAGCAGCGACTCCTCTCCAGCCCAAGCCTGCCACACCCAAGCCCGTGGCCTCGTCTCCAGCTCCTGCTGCTTCGGCAAGCAAGGAGAACGAGAAGCCCGCAGGCCCCGCAGGTACGAACGGCACAGCCAGCGGGCCCGAGTCTGCGCCCTCGCCTGCGCCCCGTGCAGCGGCTGATACTGTCGGCCTCTTCATCATGAACGTCCAGTCTGACGAACAAGCTCGGGACATATTCCCCGAGGAGCACAGATCTAAGATCACCAAGATCGACAAGTGGGGCGCTGCCTCCAACAACAAGGTTGCCCACTTCCCGACCACCGACGACCGAGATGCTGCCCTTGCCAGCCTGTCTGATGAGTTCAAAGTTCGTCATGCAGAGGACAGAACCCGACCGCTAGTAAAGGTGTTTGCACCGCGCGAGAGCAAGCCTTATGCACCCAGAGGTGGTGCAGGAAACTGGGGCAGCAGCAGAGGAAGCTCCAATGCTAACACGAGCGGTTACCGGAGCGCCACTGATCGAGGAACCATTAGCGGTGGTGAAAGTGGACCTGAGTCTGGCCGACAGCGAGGCGGACGGGGGCCGCGAGGTGGCAGAGGCGACCGTGGTGGCCGTGGTAGTGTTAGAGGGGGTGGCCGTGGCGGTCTGACAAAGGGCGAGGGTGGTAGCGCTTCACCAGCTCCAGCTTCCGCTACCCCGGCAGACTCGTAAGTCGTTGCCCTAAGAGGGTATGGACTGAGTTCCGCCTGAGCCGTGTTCTACTATTCCAAACACCCCCAACAACCCCCCGCCCCCCCCCCCGTCCCGCACCTTACACCCTTCGGCTTGTACTATGGATTTTCTCATGAAAAAGCAACTTTCTATCTTTTAGACTGGCATTGTGGACTACAAAAGTTTGGCCAGCTGTGAAGGAATGGAAGGATGGCTTTTCTTTTTGCAGGAGGGTATACCCCCTTTCCTCACAAAGGATGTGTTTCCTGGTTGGACAACGCGCAAGGCTTGAGCCATAATGCAGATGTTGTCTCCTTCCCCACTAGCACACATTCTCACGGACAGACCCTGGACTGTCTTGACTCTCTTACGCTAATCTCCCGTCCGAAAACGGACCTACCCCCCAGCTTCTCTTACTCCACGCCCGCCACCTTTTGAGACACTGGTCCGAATGCTTTGACATAGGGATAGGTTGTTTAGTTTTCACACTAGGTGCCTACCACTACCTTGACACTACTGAAAAGGGGACTTTTTCTAGTTGCTGAGAAGAAATGCGAAAGACAATGAACGTTCTTATTACATGCCACGTTTGGTGTATTTCTGCTTGAGCCGTATTATGGTCAATCAGGTCGATTCAATGTGACCGTCGTCAAAGCAACCGCAAGTCCACTGTTTCAATCATGAACATATTGCCATCCTTACCACGTCCCAGAAGCGAAGCATCTCATCTTGTTATCATAAGTTATCAAATTGGTTGCTTCGAAAAGAGGATATATTGCGAGGCCTTGATCCAAGTTCAAGGCCCAGGTGATTGAGAAAGATGACAATGGAAAAGAAGACAAACAAACATGCCGCCATGGAACCACAGTCCCAGTGAGATGTGTCATCTAGTCAGTTCAGTAGTCCTCAGCGTCAAGCCATGCATGCATGCCCATGTGTTTAATGTACAGCGATTGGGTTTCCCTTCCTGCGTTTTGTCCATTGCTGGCTGTCACCATAGATATTGTATGTAACGTTTACTCGTACATACATCTCCTTCCTTCCTCTATTTCAGTTTTCCCTTTTCACACTTGCCGTTTCGTTCATTCAACCATCCAACGGCTTCATCCCCTTATGTATAGCTGCCACACCCCCAGTCAGATTTTCATACCCGTCGCCCCCGACCACAAAACCAGCATCAACAATCATATCGCGGAACTCCCCCTGGCTCGGAAACCGCTCAATGCTTTCGACAAGGTACTGGTAACTATCCCTATCGCCCGCGACCAACTGTCCAATCAACGGAATCCCGCTAAAGCTCCAGCGCTTATACACAGCGTCGAGCACCGGGTTTTCCACTTTGCTGAACTCAAGACACGCAAACACTCCGCCCGGTTTCAAAACGCGGTACGCTTCGCGCAGGGCGAGCGGGATGTTGGCGAAGTTGCGGATGCCGAAGGCCACGGTGTAGAGGTCGATGCTATTTGGCAAGATGGAGGCCGGGAGGGCGGTGGCGTCGGCGGGGAGGAAGGAGAGGGCGGATTGTTGGGAGGGCGGGAGAGAAAGAGAGCGTTGCTTGCCAACTGCGAGCATGGAGGGGTTGATGTCGGAGATGGTTACGTGGACGGAGGTATTGCGGTGGATGGTGTGCGCGTTGTGCAGCATGCGGAAGGCGATGTCGCCCGTGCCGCCGGCGATGTCGAGGATATGCTGGGGTTTGGGAGGTATGGAGGAGGAGGAGCCCGGGTTGAGGGAGGATACGAAGTGGTCCCTGTTGGTGGCGGTTGTTGTTGGTCAGCACGGGGCTAATACGGAGGAAGAGGAACATATTGGAGGAGACGAGGGAGGGAGGACTCACTTCCAGAGTCGATGGACGCCGAAGGACATCAAATCGTTCATGCGGTCGTAAGATTCAGCGACGCTGTGGAAGACGCCCGCCACGCGCTCCGTCTTCTCGGCTTCGCTAATGCCATCTTCGAAGCCAAAGTGTGTCGTGCGGTCGGTGGACGAGGATGTCGATGTGGCATGGTCGGACGGGGATTTGAAAGAGCGTGGGGTCGTGCTGAATAGTCTTACATGTCGCGAAGAAGAACAGGAACGAGAAGGTCCAGATTGTGGTAGTACTCGTACAGCTCGTACAGCTGTGCGCAGCACAGGTCGGGCGGCCATATCTATTTTGCGCAAGGGAGGAGGCCGTCTTGGGGGATATCCTGCCGACGAATCTCTGTCAGTAAGATGTCAGATGTTCGATGTCCCGCTCAGGCCTGCCGGAGCTCAGAAAATTGAAGGTGCCAAGACGGAGAGCGCGACGCGAATGTGGCTGTGTTGCAGGTACCGGGAGGCTTGTTCCTTCCGTGTGGGGAGGCGGCTGGAGTCGTTGCAGATCGCCGAGGCCCCCGTTGTGGAGCATCGGGGTTTTGACGGGTTTAGAGTTTGGGGATCATCATTTTCCAGAAGCTGGAACTCAGCACACCATTGTATAGGAGATCGAACTTACTCAAGCAATGCTAGACCGAGGAGTCGTCCTGACCTCGCGTTGTTCGTCCCGAGAACATGACATACGCGAATCTTTGGACCCTGGTGTAGCCCTGGCAGACGAGGAAGCCGCAGAGGAGCAAGAGAAAGATGATGACCAGGCCGATCGCGACGTTGGGGCCAACATTCGACATTTTTCTGTTGTTTGGGCGGATTTTAGGGGTTACAGGCGTGGCTTGTGTTGGTATGATTGTGTGTAAGAAGTCTCCCGCGTCTTAATACCAGTTGTCGTAGCGGCAGGGTTTACGACAAACGGAAAGGCGTCTCGTTGGGTTGGCGGGCGGAATCGGAGTTGGATGGAATACGCCAAATCAATTCCAAATTTGTGGGTATGGCCCAAGTGGAATAAATTTCTCGGCGGAGTTGGGTTATAAGTATTGATTTTGATGAAAGAGTGCGTGTTTGTTGACCATCAAACTGCACCCAAGGCCTCTTCATGGGCAAGCACAACTGAGGCCAGTAATCTTTGTTGCCTGGTATTGCCTTACGTGGAATGGCGCCGTGCTGGTGCAGAATAGGAACGAGCCGTATACACGTGTGGCATTGACGCAGTCGGACGTCCTCCAGCAACTCAACGGCAAACAAACGAGGTTCAGCTCTGGTACCAATACAATTCAGTGCAGCCACAAGTTGCAATTTAGATCATTTGTCTGGTATTCCTTCGATGGGAGTCAGAGAACTCCACGGTCTCCCTGAGTTAGCACAGTGGCACTGTAAACGCTGTAGGATCATGACGAGTGAACTTGCAGTGATACAGTCTGTTCAATACCGCCCGTTCCATACCGCTCATTCGTCAATTACGTGTCAAAGTGCTTGGCCTATTCTTTACCGGCCTATACAGAATAAAAACATCCTCCAATGCCATCGCATGGATGTGCAACGTATCCTTACCCTTACCAATTGACTCAGAATACCTTCTCCAATGCCCAATCCAGCTTGTCCGGTAACCAACACAAAATCCTCTCCAATGCCTCATCCAGCTTCTCCAGTGGATGGCAACAAATACTCCCCTATATCTGTGCTAATCCTTTATGAAACTCAGTCCGATAGCTCATCCGCCGAATCCCACACAATCGGTGGTGGCTCACGAATACTATCATCCAACAAGCTATCCGGCAGCAACTGGCTCTTGGTCGGCAACTGCGACGATCTGAGCGAATACCGGTTTGCAGACGGACTACTGCCATCAGGTTGCTGTTGCATGTGGGCAGCTTGACTTGATGACATTTCAGGCAACTGTACTGATGACCTCTCGGGCGAGAGCGCAGGCGCAGGACTTGACGAAGACATTTGGCTGACGGTTGAGGCCTGCGAGGGCCGGACAAAGGCAGGATTCCTCCGACTCGACGACGGGCCCGGCAGCATGTGAGCTGAAGCGCCAGACTGCGACTTCGGCAACGCTGGTTTTTTGAACATGCGACGGTTTGCGGGACTAGCGTGCTTCGCTGTCGATTTCGGCCGTGGCTGACTCGCTGGAATGACTTCCTCGTCGACTTCGGAGGAAGGGCCTAGCTGAGTAGAGTGTGTGATATCGCTCCGGATCTGCCTTTCGATTTCCTGGGACTCAGTGACATTGGGGCTGCTTCCCACAAGGCCGTGACTTTCTTCGTCCCGGAAGACGGCACACCTCAGATTGGCCGTCAGCTCGCCGACAACGGCTGGCGGCATATAAGCATATTTCTGGGGTGCGGTTGGCCAGCCGTGCTTCCTCATCCGTTCAAGCGGAACCGGGTTGTTCAGCTCGTACATCTGCTGGACCTCGTAGGCGTACTTGGCACTCTTCTTGCGGCCTTGGTTGAAATCTGCATTGCCGATCCCCTTGTCGTCGATCTCGCCCTCTGTCTTCGCAGGCCCAAAGATACACATGTATTTCAAGATGCTGTCTGGTTTTGTCATGTAAATCCATACTCGATGCACCGATTCCGGTATGCGCCAGGCTCGGAACTCGTAGGTCTTGGTGCGGTTGACCATGTTGGCCACATGATTTCCATAAATCGAGATGATGATGTCGGAACGAATATTGATTGGCCCGGTTGCGTTGATGACTTCCAACGGCACACGTTGGCTTTCGAGTTGGCTATAAACTTGGGTTTGATATTGTGTTTCTGTCGCGGTCGCGTGCTCAGCTTGCTGAGACGGGAGCTGGGGGGTAGATTCGGGAGTTTGCTCCAATACTGCATCTGAAATATGCTCTACGTTGATCGCCTTCTCAGTCACAGTCTCTGCCTCTTCAACTACTTCATCCGGAAGGTTCGTCTGGCCATCCGCTCCCGGATGCGAAATATCATTTGCGCCGAGTTTGCGGCTGGACGGGACATTAGATGAGATCAAGATGGCCTGCGTCTCGTCTCCAACAGCATAATGAGCTTCGGCGGCATCATCTTCCGCTACAATTACCCTATCTGTCTCGTCTCCAAGAACGGCGCTTTGCTCGGCTTCTGTTGTGCATGCGTCTGGGTTTTCGTCTGCTGCCTCTGAACCGTGACCCAGTACCACACTTTGCTCGGCTTGCATCTGTTGTTCCTCTTCCTGGTCAGTTTCGTCCTCCGTCGCATCAAGGTCCTCGCCGAGATCATCGTCGGAGTCAGGTACCTCCCTAAGAGGCCGCCTCGTGGGATCCCTTGCGATACGTGCCTTCGGAGATTTCGGCTTCGTCCTGCCTGGCGTGATGTTTTCCTTGTCCTCTAGTAACTCGAAACTGATCTTCTTGGTTGTGCTGACCTGGACTCTCGACTTCGGGGTTGGGGTTTGGGGCGAGCTGTGCGTTGTGCTATAGGAATCTTGGATGACAAAGTTTCTAGGCGTCTTCAGTACAGTCTTCAGCGTTGGGGAAGGTGCCGATATATTCGTGGACTTTGCTCCCAACGGTGAGAACAGCACCTGCTTTTGAGGGCTATATTTCAGTAACATGGGTGTTTCAGGCGATTCTGACGACGGAATCTCCGTCCTAATCCGCCGGTTCTTGGGCGTCTCAGTCTTGGGCGTCTCGGACTTGGGCGGTCGTGAGTGGCTGAGGCTTGCTGGCTGCTGCTTTCTCGAGGCACCAGGCGCAACCCCACCAAAAACCTTAGCCGACTTCACCTTTGTAGGGGTTTCTTTAATGAGACCGAGATCCTCTTCCTCGTCCGAATCACTGATCGTCCAGACTTCGGACTTGTCCTCGGTGAGTGAGAGAAGCTGGGTCAAAGTTCGTTGCGATGAGCCGGGAGTGTCGCCCAGCGTCTTTCGTCGCTTCTGTCCCCTGGGCTTCTCTGATTCATCTTCGCCGTCACCAGTCGTCTTTCGCCTCTTGCCTCGACTGGGTTTCCTCGATGACTTCTTGGGCTTGGGTTCTTCCTCTAGTGCCTCCACTAGGACTTCATCCTGTACTTCTTCCCCATCTTCTTCCCCATCTTCTTCCCCATCTTCTTCCTCCAGCATATCCATGACTCCGGGTGCTGAAGGTGCAACAAAATCCATCTGCGTCAAAGTACCCTGCTTCATGCGCTTGGAAGCCATGTTAGACCGTCCATACGTTCTTAGGTGTTGGTGACGTTGTGGGAATAGGCGCTGTTTGGGAGCCGGTGCTGTGGACCTGTAAACTTTGGCATCCGAGGCCTGGCTGCCTGCACGAGTTTGGACAGGCATTTTCTTTTAGAATTCGCTGTCCTAACTTCTTGCCGTCTTTGATGTTCACGGGTTGAGGGAGGGAGTGGTCGGTGGTGGGTCCAACGCGTCAAGCGCGTCTGCACACGCCACTTAAGCTCACTCCTTTACAAGCATACCCCACTTCGGTCAATAGTTATATCAGCATTGCAAGCCGGACGCGACTACCTACTGTGATAACTGTATATACCCTCTCCTGGGGAAAATTCTAGGTTCGCAGCCTGCGTAATTCAATCAAATGAGTCGATTGCAAATCGGGTATATCTCTTCCTGTACTCGAGATTTGCCAAATGGCAAAGTAAGGCGTGAGTATTCGTCAAGCATATGATTCTTTCTATATTCATATATACGCATATATCGTATCTCATCCCTTTACAACACAGCACAACATCTGCTTAGCGAACCAAAGCATGCTTCGCTTAAGTAGTCTAGAAAATGCATAACAACATCATAGCTTTGACTGCCCAACCGCCGGTTTCTTGGCGGCTCTGGGACCTAGTCCCCCAACCTTGTCTAAAAATTCCTCACTCATGGTTGTCTTCTCAATTAAAGGTAATTTGGTCCACTCATCATACTCCCTCTGTTCCTTCCTAAACCGTTGCATCTCCTTGTCAATCCATTCCGCGGCATGTTCCGCACAGAGTTCAGGAATCTCCATGGGAAACAGGTGTCCCCTGCCCTCCATGACGACGTGTCCCACGCGGCCCGTCTTGATGCCTCCACTGCCATTGGGGCCGGTGCCACACGCCTCTAACTTCATCCTGCGGGCCTCGGGCGTACTGAGATCGCTTGTTCCGCCAAAGACCCAAAAGACAGAGGGCCTGACCTCGGCCAGTCGACGGAGCACCGTTGATCCTTCTGAGCGATAGAAGGGAAAGGGGTTTCTAGGATTGGGCTGGTCGTGGTAATTAGGGTCGAAGTCCGGCGCTCTGAGCTGGTCTACCGTCCCATCTTCCTTCAAGTATGGCCACAGTGGCCGGAAGAAGGTGAAGAGTTCTTGATGTCGAGTCGTGGCAAGCGTAAGGCTGCCTTTCTCATTAGGAAACACGACCGTCGGTGTTGTCCGCAACCCGTGAGTAATCCACGCTTCGAGCACTCGAGGATCCCATGTCTGGTAGAAGGGAGAGCGCTTGAACGCCTCCGCGGCCGCCTCCCTCGAGGGCCATAAATCACGTCGAAAAGCCGAACCCCGAGCCGGACTAATGCCAGGGCCGACATTGTCGAAGCTGAACTTGGTTATGGTGGGATCGAAGAGGACGAGGGTGCTTAGCAGCCGTGGATGAAACAGGGTCAAGTGGGTGAGAATGTTAGCCCCGAACGAGTGTCCGACCCCAATAATGGGTCGGGGCATTTCTCCCCTGAAGACATTCGTCATGTGCAATATGTCGCGCGCATGGTCGTGCCAGCTCGGATCATTGCCCATCGTCTTCTCGTTCAGAATGCCGCTGTGACCCTGATTCGATACATCAGCGATCCATATTCCACGGATGCGAAAGCTGTGCTTCTTGGCAGCAGTGTGCAATTCCGCCCAAAGCGGCTCGTACAGTTCCTTGGGGAACCCGTTGGCATGGGCCCCAATAATGGTCACGTCGCCAGGCTGTGGGTTGGCATTATCTATCGGGATGTACTGCTTGACTGAGATGTACAGTATGTCCTCCTGTGAGTTGGCCGTTGCCTGAGCATACTCCCTGACATGCTGACTGGGAATTACATGCTCTCTTATCTGGAAAGGGAACACCATTGCCCGAGCGTAATAATAGTGGCAGCAGTCGAGTACCGCACTTGAAATTTCCGCTATAAGAAACGCGGTTCTCCTCGAGAACGTAGAACAGATCGAGTGGTTGGTGGATAAAATCTGTGCCAAAGAGGTGTAAAGGTGGTTGTTGACCCGATTCTGCCTCAATCGTGTAAATTTGATTATCAAGTAAAAGTAAAGGTCTGGGTGTAATTTGAAATCTGTTTGTCTGCACCTCCCAAGCCCTTCGGACATTCACTGTCAGCCGGTACGTCAGTGGGGCAATAGCCTCGGCAACTGGCAAGAGCAATCCGGGGTAGTTGGAACGAGCTCTGATTGGTCAGTATTACCCAGCTGGCCCACCATGATCCCGTTACTTATTGGTCATAACGGCAGCCGACATCAACGCTTGGCGTGCCTCAGGTTGCGGGTTTCACAGCCGGATGCAAAATCATAATGCGGATCCGCAATGCTTCGTGAATCCTTTGGCGGCCTCAGCATGGCTTCGATACTGACTTTAAGGCGTATCATGATTCCAGAAGCTTTTCGTATGCGCCTTATGATTTTGTCAAACCAGGTGGGCACCCTGAGGTGATGAGCTACTGCCTGCTCTGATCCATGCGTGTGTGTCACTGCAACGAGTTGATGGACTTGTCGACATCAAGCTTACACCACGAACCCTCAAGTAGACAACTTTGGTTAATTCAAATCTGCTTCAAGTTAGTTTTGGGGTCGATGAGCAAAACCAATGATCAATACTAGTGGTCTCGTGGTCTCGACATCACGACAGTACAGGAACGACCACCCAGTAAAAAGTACTTCGACAAATTGACCAATCTATCTACCTGAGCTTCGGAACCCATCCGTTCGTTTTCATAAGTGGGAATAAAACAAAGCAAAGTGCCAGGCCAGAAATCGACCTTCCAGTCTGCGATGCCCATCCGTCGGGCATCATGGCTTCATTCCGAACATCCCGACGCCAAGACAAACCTCTCCATGCAACAAACATGCTTTCCCAGCCCTCAAGTACCCCAGCTTGCGTCTTATCGTGACCATTTCGTCGTCGTCGTTGTCAAAACATTTGATGAGAGTCCTGCTCATCGTCCTAGGCCCGAAAGCAAGGGGGGCTTGGTTGGCGGTGAGTCGTAGATTTGGTGTGTCGTATGCGGTTGGAATGGCAAAATAAGAACGCTGCAAAGCATTGTAGATTAATGCTCATGTTGCAGGGGTGGTAACCGTCACATTGTTAACGCCATGACAGCTGACGTAAGGAGAAACGGACTGCTGGGATATATCCTTGATTGCTCCTATTTCGTATGGGGAGCCGCTGGATAAATATCAAATGTCGTAGTTGGTTATAGAGACCCAAACAGGCCACTGCTTTCTTCTGCAGTTTGTCTCCACGTACCCGACAACCTCAACCAATTTTCTCCAGATGCAACTAGGACAGGTGGAAGGCACCTTGGCCTTCTTTAATGGCAGTGAATAGTTGTCGTCTCATGCTGTCAATGGTCGTGTAGTCAGGCAGCTTGAGGTAGTTGACGCAAGTCATGACGCTAGGGAGATAGTCGTCAGATGTGTAAGGAGGCTCACTGGGCTTGCAGACCACAGTGAACATCGGGGTTAGGCTCTTGAAACCTGGAGAATATTAGTAGGTACTCTATTATTAGCAACCAAAGTAACATACCTCCGATAGGCAGCTTGGGGCTGCCTGTGGTGAACTGCAGGAAGTCTCGGCGTTGGGCTGCCGTGAGCTCGCTCATTGTCTGCAGTAGATTCTTGACACTCTTGCTATCCATGTTAAATCCATGATCGGCCTTGATTGAGTCCATCAGAGCTAGAGCAGTAGATTAGCGAAGGTATATTTTCAACCATGGGCACAGTCAACTTACTTTCCAAGGACCAGTCCTCGTCAACACGACCAAATAGGGCGACTAGCTCATCAGGCGTAAAGGCGCTGAGCGCTGAGTACGGGAAGACTTGGGAGAAGCCGGCACGAAAAGCATCCACCTGACGCTTGACACCGCTGCCCAATGTCATGTCGACCACCTTGTCGAGATACATGTCAACATTGTAGATTGTCACTGGACTGTGCGAACCATTGGGGATCAACTCAATATCGGGGAATCCAGGAAGCGTGAAATCCAGGGCAAGGTCTTCTATCTTTATGTTATCAATAACAATTTGTTCAGTGTCGGCAACCTTCTGTGCAGCATCTCGGTTTGGGTCCTCGTCAATCTCCTTCTTGGCTGAAGCAAACTTCTTGATGTGCTTTAAGGAGTTCGCCAGGCCAGCATCAACAATCTTGACCGCGCCGAGAGAGGGCTTAACTCCAGTGGTGCCATCTCCAATTCGGAAGAAAATGGGGTTGAAGTTCAAATCGATGATGCGAGAGTCAATCATGGATCGAGCAACAAACTTTCCAAGCATCTTGAAAAGTTGTAAGATGCGCTCGCTATTGACATCGTCTTTGGCCATTGGTCTAGGGAAGAGTCCGTGGGGACCTGAAATGAACACCTCCGAGTCATTCGAGTCCATCTCACGCCACAACTTCAGCTTCTTCTTTGAGAATTCCTTTGATACGGTCGAGTAAAACTCAAGGGTAGGTCCGAGACCAGTGCCCACCTCTTCAAAGTACTCAACCTCGAGAATGCTCTGTGATGCGCCATAGAGCTCCATGACCTTCACAGCAGATTCGAGAATCTTGGTTCGAGAGATGCGGACCTTCTGGCGTTGAAGACGGCCGAGGAAAGGTCGTTCGTCCCTACGATCCCGCCGGCTTGTCTCCTCCTGCTGGGCATTTTGCCACCGGCTCATAGACCGGGCATAGCCGAATGACGTGGACTGAAGAAACAAGTGGCGCGTCTCGAAGGGGAAGAGGAACGGATAAAGTCTGGCAAGGTCTTCACTCCAACCTGGCAGACAATTGCTCGCCACGATCAATGGTTCCTCAAGCTGGCGGTTCAGCTTCGCAGTCAACTTCGTGTTGACAAACTGAGACAGCGGCTCAACATTGAGTCTGAGAGCTGTTTTATCCTCGATCAAAATGTCATCGATGTTAGCATTAAGGTCGTGCAGCATTTTAAGAAGCCGCAGGATAGAAGCCGTGGTCGGATTATTGGCGAGAGACGCAGGCGTCCCATTGATATCGGTAGACTCGTCTGTACTGGTAGCGAACCCAATAGGCTCGGCTGGAGGTGGTCCCGGCACACGGCGGAACTTGATAGCATGCACGGCAGACCAGACGCTTCGGCTGAAGTGCTCGTCTGCTGGCGGAGAAGTGCGATGAACAGCCCGGTAGATGGTAGTTTCATTAGGGATGACTCGGGTGTCTAGGCTGAACTCAATATGCCAGTCTTGCGGTACGGCCTGGATAGCAGCAGCGTACGAGAGCGGCCGGGAAGGCGCCATGGCCGGCGTGGGTGTGCTCTGCTGCGATAATCCAGAGGGAGGGTGCGCCACGGAACGATTGGGAACATTACCAAGCCCCGACTGTGACGGGGTAGGTATTCGTGTTCCATCTTCTTTCCTAGCCGTGATCTTCCCACCGGCGGCAACTTCGAGATTGACTGCAGATGGGTCCGGAACTGGGGCGTCTTCCATATCTTCATCAAGATCCCCAACGATGGCATCCAAAGCACTGCTGTCAGGGACCTCATCCTCATCGTCGTCAGACAGTTGCTTCTCATCTGCACACTCTAGCGCATTTTGCAAGTCATCTTCTTCTTCCGGTGGTGGTGGCGGGGGTGGTGCTTGAGACTCGCTCGGAGGTGCCGGGTTACGACGAGTCGATCTGCGGAGACTCACCTTCTCCCGCGCTGATCCCGCAGGTGGATTGGGAGTTGCGGGAGCGTCAGTTTGGCCCGAGGACTTGGGCCTAGGCTTTTTGGCAGGCCGTGAGCTCGAGGACTGGGCAGGAACAGGCGGCGGCGGAGCTGGTGTAGAAGAGTAACCCAATCGTTCAGCAAGACGTTCCGGGGGAAGTCCCGCCGAACCAGCCATGGCAGCTAGCGCTCTAGAGAGTCCGTCACGGGGTCGTGGCCCGCGAGGTCGCTCATGAAGACTGATCCTGGGGCGCAGGTAATCATCGAGAGCCTTGAATGTTGCTATAGCGTGAATCGAGACCATAATATTGCGGTACGAACGTGGAATGTCCGAATCATCGTCAGCCACTAGCTTGAGACGGATTTGTTTCGCCAGCATAGATGCGGCGCTGCTGCGATTCCCGTCGAAAGTGTTCTGATGCACCGTCAACACCTCGAAGTGCTCCGATCGACTGAGGAGATCCTGCATCTTGTGGACCATGACACTGAAAGGCGTCGCAGGTGAATCAGCCGAGGTGGTCTTCGGCCTGGACTTCACAGATCGGCCCATAAAGACCTCCAGGAACGCGGATCTAGCGGCATTCGCGAGAGCTTCGTCAGGGTTACTGAAGACTTCTTCGAGAACGCGAACTAATCCTGATGCGAGGAGTTCTGCGCTTGTAACGCTCTCCAAAACATCGGCGTCGAAGTAAGCTGAGAGCCTCTCGAAAAGTGCAGTACCTTGCTCTGGAGCAAGGTTCTTGGCAGTTCGCTGAAGATAGAACGATTCTATGTCTGATGCGAGGGATTGAAGATCGGTCAAGATTTTTAAAGCTTTTTTCTTCATACTCTTTCCTTGCTTTTCTGTCTCGTGTGCCTCGAGGAATTTCTTTGCAACCTCGGCGATCCTCGACTTAATGGAGGGAATGTCAGCGAGGAACGTTCGTGGTGGGCCGTCGAGAGACATGGTCGAGCCGTCAGAGCTGACGGGCGACCCTGACATGTCGTCGTCATGGTGATCATTCTCATGGTCCTCATCGTCGTTGTCTTCTTCATCTTCATCATCCTCTTCCTCCTCCTCTGAGTCATTGTGGATGGAGACTCTGTCACTTCCGCCACCGTCTGCAGAACCCATGCTCGGTTCCGTGTTGGACTCCATAGGCGTGGTCTCAGCTCCTTTCGGCTCAGCAGTTTCCTGATCCTCAGCCAATTTCGCAATCTCAGATATCACACCCTCACGGTAAATCTGATACCGATAGATGTCATCTAAGCGAGTGAGGAGAAGTTCGGTTGTCTGGATGGCTGACATCACTAGAGACGGGTGATCTTGCTGGGACAGAATAGCAGCCAAGAACGAGGCGTAGGGGACAGACTTGAGCGCATCGACAAGAATATCTTTGTCGAGGTTGGAGAGCATCTTCAACTGGGCGGTAAGAACCTTTTGGCGCACACTGAGGTTCACAGTGCTGGAGAAGGCATCGGTTAGGGTAGGGAAGAGGATGAGGGCGAAGCGTCGGACCTGATCCTTGCACTCGTCGAGAAATTCCAGTCGTTTCTCATTAGAGGACTTCTTCCGCGGACCGCCCACGGAGGAGGGAGTGATAGGCTCTGACACGTCGAGACCAGTTGGGATCTGTGGGGTTGAAAGGTCAATCCACTTAAGACCCGGGAGCAATTCGCAGACGACGTTAAGAGTCTCGATAATTTGGTCCCGAGGACGATGGATAAGAGCTTGCATTATCACGACACTGTCGAGCTTCGAGGCCACGTCCTCCGTCTCATCCGGCGGAGAGACTCCTGTGAGAATTTGGTATAGTGTCTCGACCACATTCAACTTGAACAGCTCGGCAGACAGTCGCGGGCTGGCACGTGCTGTGATGGCCAGAACACGTAAGAATTGGGTGTGAATGTTGGCGCGAATGAGGTTTGTGGTGCCAGGAACTAGGAGACGCAGAATAGCCTTGAGGAGATCCACACTGACAAGTTCCTCCAACTTGCTAGACTGGTACTTGAAGCTCTCAATGATGCGCGTGACGCATAGAGAAGCCTGCTCCACGACTCTCTGATCGTTGCTACCCAGAACATTGAGTAGAATGGGCATGACGTCTTTGATCACAGGGAACGAATCCTCAGGGATGTTCCGGCAGCAATTGGCAGCTGTCGTTACAGCCGTCCGTTGTGTGCTCGTAGCAAAGAAATCTAAGTAGGATAGACAGGCTGTGAGGCCACCCTCACGGACAATGCTGGTCGGGTAATCGACCGATATCTTCTCCAGAGTACTTAGGGACTGCTCGGCGAGATCGATGAATTGGATTTCAAGTAGCTTCTGGCAGAGAACAGGCACTGCGCCACCGTAAACAACGTTGGCCGCACTAGCTGGTAGAGCCTCCATGAGGTTTGCAAGGCATCTGCAGGCGATAAGCATCATGTCTGGGTTCTCTTCTCCTGTAATCTCGTTCGGCTGCATTAACACAACGAGCTCCTTGACGAAGGAGTCCGGGGAGAAGTGCCCAGCCAGGTTGTCCTCATTGGATACCAGGAGAATCTCGGACAGCTCCTGCAGAGCGATCATCTGCATCGAGGGGTCCTCTTTCATCCTTAGATTGTTCAGGAGCTCTCTTAATCTCGAAGGCATTCCCGACATCATGCCCGTCAAGGCTCGCAGGGTACTCGAAAGACCTGAACCTGGAGGACCCCCGAATCCACCAAACGGATCATCATCGTCGTAGTGGCGATGCGGTTCATCGTCGTCGTCGTCGTCGTCGTCACTATCATCATCGGGATCGTGCGCGGGTGGAGGCGGTGGCGGAGGAGGGTCAGCTTCTTTTTCGTGCTCTTCCGTACCAGCCATAGTAGTGTCCTCGTCTGGCTGCGGAGGCGCCCGACCGCTCGACGTCCTCTTTGATCGACGAGTCGAGCTCGAGGCGCTTGCTGTAGATTCTGTACCCGCATTAGTACAAAGCGTGGCCATAAAGATCATTGGTGATTGCTCACCTTGAGTCGGTTGCCCACCTCTCTTGTTGCGACTGGATTTTCTGCTAGAAGAAGCTGAGGTAGATGTGGAGGGGGCGTTTTCCTGCATGGCTGGCGGTAGAGCAGGCCTGAAGGAAAGTATGCGTTAGCCTTGTGGTATTCAGAGAGATCAGGCATCCGGAGAACACTTACTCGTCAGGGCTCGACATGATCCTTGCTTTACCTCTTCTGCGACGAGTTTGGACACTGGGAGGGTTTGACGGCTCAGGATCTTCAGCTGGCTCTTGGACCTTCTGCCTCTTAGACCGGCGCGCGGATGAGGATGACGGCTGATTATTCGTTGGAGGCTGCGGGGAGCTGGGCTCGCGATTGGCAGCTTTTCTTTTCCGCGTCGAAGCGGGGGCAGGTCGAGAGGCTGTCGTATTCGGTATTTGACTGTTCGCGGTCGAAACTACAGGTGAGGGGCCTGAAGAAGCTACACCAGAAGATTGACCTCCGGGTGAAGCTGCTTGGCTCGCAGCGTTCCGGGCAGACGAACGGGTGATTCTGGAAGACATGAGTATTCAGTGGCTGGCGGTCGCAGAAACAAACGAGGTTCGTGGGGATGCCAAGGTTCAGTATACACCTCGAAGGGATAAGAGGGGTGCAAGGAGGTAAATCGGTGGGTCAAAGGCGTGAAGACCTCAGGCTGTCTGGCCTTGACTTCCTAGAGTCTTGTTGGTGCCTCTAAACGAGGCAGTCAACGAACGCCGCTAGAGACCACAAGTCTTTGCCTGATGCTGGGCTGTGCGGGTGCTCCTCGTAACAAAAAAACACCAGGATCATTGAAGGGTCAAGTGAATTTAGAAAAGATGGGAGAAATGGGGTAGATGACGAAGAGGCTCTGACTGGAGCTCTGGTCCACAGATTGCCGTGATTTTTTGCCCCTCCCTCCCAAACGAGGAGACGGGGCGAATACAGGTTAAGGTGCTGGTAGGGAAAGGCGAATGGCTCGGAAGATGGGGAGAGCAACACAAAAGTGGTAGGGTGATGTTCAGGGAGATGTAGGTGTTGGGTGTTGGTGTTGGAGCGAAGACACAAAATTTTGGGAATCAGGTAGTGCTTGGGGGTAACCAAACAGTTAGTTATCGTGCGTACCTAGGCGATAAAGACGTAGAAGACGAGGCAGGAACGACGGATCCAAGATTTGAAGTTTGAAGGGTCTTAGGCAGGTGCGAAGAGGACGCCGCCGAGGGAAGTCGCGATGGAGAATCCTTATCGACTACCGAATCGGGGTTTGTTGAGGTTCTGGATGCCATTTACTCCATGAGGCTCGGGCTGGGACGGGGTTCGACGAGTTCGATGCGGGTGCGTGTGCTGGTGGTGAAGGTGTTACGGGCGCAGTTCGGTGCCCTGTTTCCCACTGGACAGACACTTGAAGTTCCGTGGGATAATTGGACGAAAGGTCAGGAATCGAAGGAGATTACCGGATTTGACGGCCGCATTCAAGTCATCAAAAACACGAGAACGAACGATGCAGGAACGCAAATTAGTTGTTGGCAGCCTTTCGCAGTCACAGAAACGCAAAAAAAAGGTGAGCGGTTCGGAAAAAGAGGTCTAAACTGAGTTCTTCGGAGTCGTAGTTTGACACTGCGTCAATCATCAGCCAGCCCGTGTCCAGTCTGGGCTGAGCCGGCAACGGCAAGGAGGGGGGTCTCACTAAAAGCAAACTGGGTCTGGCTGTGAGTTGTACATGGACCAGGCTAGGACGGACGGCATCGTGCTGTTATCAGCCAATTGTTATCAACCAATCTTTAAGCGGACCGTCGTCAAAGTCAAAGTCTACATATTTGATGCTAGTTCTCACTCAAGCCACTGCTCAGATGCCTTTTACGTTTCATCTATATAGATACTTAAGTCTTCGAATGAAGTACTACTACGAAATATACACAGAGTTGTCTAAGTTGTAACCAGTTGAACCTTTCTGTATTTCTCTCACTCAAATACTTTTACTGCTCGGACGCTTTCGTCAACTGTTGCAGTAGTTGCACGGAGCAACACATTAGATGTCTAGAACCATCCGCATTTGCTGGTGCCGTGCCACAATCCGCCACTGAACGTAAACCTATCAATCACAACTTATTCCGTGACACTTTCGCTCCGGGTTGAGCTTCAACTTTGAAGACTCTAAAGACTATTGTTTGGGACATTAAGACGGTTATTCCGACAGACGTGTCGTTTCTACAGCCAAGTAGTCTATCACCAGTTATGTTTCCTGCTTAAACTCCGATCACGTTACAAGGCCATACTGCTTCTATTAGTTTGGTACAGATATTTACAAAGTTTTTGCCTTATGAGTTTCTTTGATGCAAAGTTTTAGTTGTCAATTCTGGATGGTGGTGCTCTGTCTGTAAACAAGCCATGGAAGGAGTCCCTCAGATGTCTCCTACGAGTCTAAGCTACTCTTGCCACCCTCAAACGAACCCAGGTCATATTCATTTGGGTACTTGTCCAGATGTTGACTCAGCTCTCTCATCTGACTTATCAGATCCGGAGTCAGCTCCTCATAAACGTCTTCAAACATTGCCCTAATGGGCGGTTTCTTCTCTCTCTCGGCCTCAGAAAATGCCTTCAGGACGTCTTTCCTAATGCGCTCGCGCGACTCTTTCTCCTTGGTCTCGTCCCAGATCCCTTTAGCTTCCATGTACTTTCGCAGTCGGGCCAGAGGATTATCTCTACGTTTCCAATCCTCGACTTCAACTCTTGCCCGATATGCGAATGAGTCGTCTGACGTGCTGTGGTGACTTACACGATAACTCATCGCTTCAATGAGAATTGGTTTCCCGCCGTCCTGGAGGGCCATTTCCCGCGCTCTTTTGGTAACTTCCCTCACTGCCCATATGTCATTACCATCGACCCTGATGGTGTCAATACCATATCCTATGCCTCGGCTCGCAATTCCGTCGCCTCGGTATTGTTCCAGGGTTGGTGTCGAGATGGCATAGCCATTGTTTCGACAGATGAAGATGACGGGGCATGAGCGCGTAGCCGCCATATTCAAGGCCGCATGGAAATCTCCCTCGCTTGCTGCTCCCTCGCCGAAGTAAACTGCTGCAACTCGAGGTGGTAAAGACGGGTCATTGACGCGTTGCATCTTCAATGCATATGCTGCGCCGGCGGCTTGCGGAATTTGGGTGGCCAAAGGCGACGATATCGTGTGCTGGCTACATGTTAGAACCTAGCCTCTCCATTCTCCTATCTTAAAAGAGACCTACGATGTTGAGCTCTCTACTGCCATAGTGAACGGGCATGTTCCTTCCTCGCCCGGGATCCTTCTTATTTGCGAACAGTTGGTTCATGAAGTCGCCTAGAGCAAAGCCGCGCTCCACAAACACCCCTTGTTCACGGTACTGGCAGAATACCACATCTTCTTTAGCCAACACCGATGCTGACCCCACACTCAGCGCCTCCTCGCCGGCTGATACCATATAAAAGCTCAGGCGACCCTGGCGCTGCGAGTCAAACATGATGACATCCATTATGGAGACTATCAACATATTTTTGTACAATCTGACCACCTCTTCATCGCTAAGGTCCTGCTCGAATGATTGATCGACGATCTTCCCATCTTGGTCCACTACTCGGTAGGTTGGTAGCGCGGGGTTCTCGGCCGATAGGGCAAACTTCATGTCACTCGTAAAGGCACTCTTTACGGCGCCAGGAAATGACACATGACTCGAGCCTTGTCGTTGCGCGAAGCTGCTGGAGTACCGAACGGGCAGTTGGTGCGGTACAGCTCTCAATGGCCCTCGAGCTTGGTTGCCGGCAACTCTCCGCAGAGGTGCTTTCATAAGTATTCGAGTCTTCATGTCGGTGGTAGAACCTCGCCGGCTTTAATTAAAAGCTCAATTGGGTACATTGATGGATTGTCGCAGAAGAGACCGCAGAATGTAAGTCAGCAATCTGACATTGCGAAGGTTAGGAAGCGACGACTTGTTCGGTTCAACTGACGTCGTGAGCCGGCGGAAAGCGCCCGTGGGTAGCCGCTTCGTTTATCGATATAGAGTGGTATCCTTGAGCTTCTTTGGTTGGACAGCTAACAGCAGTAAGTACCTCACTGCTTGTAGTGGCAGTTCACAAGTACTTCAGTAGACATTGAACAATTAAGCAAGTATATGCAATGGACTGACCTATCAAACACTGAAGTTGATGTACAGATACTGGGGTGGTGTCTACTGTGATTGTTCCGCTTTGCTGACCAAAGTAAGTGTCAGTGATATTCGACAAAATCTTTGCTTCCGACAAAACAAATCTTCAAATAACTGAAGTTACTTATAGATGTGGTATCTTCAGTATGGACTCAAAAGCAAACTCACTTTCATCTTCGACTTGAGTCACGGGGCCATTCCCCGACACGTCGATGAAAATAGGAGCCTACCAGGGGCAGGAACATCGTCTTCAATGGGTGGAATCCCTTGGCATGTGGTACGCGTACCCCTTACTCGTGGTTATGACTTATTGTATCTATATTTTGTAGGATACATGTGACCATCTCATGACAGAGATGTAACTCAGACATAAGCCATGTCGAGGTAACTTAGGTTCCCCCGCGAATATCACATAAACCAGGGCGCACAGCTTAATTCAACACATCTTGAAACCTTCAAGAAATAATGGCTCAACAACGATTATGGATCCTCCTGTAGTCCTGTAGAATTCTCAGGGGTGAAGTGCCATTTGGAGGCTCCTGGGCAGCTTGGCAAGAAAACAATATACGGTAGCAACCTCAAGTAACCCAGTGTCTCATTATCTGAACACGGCATGGTATACTGTCGTTGTAAGTTTACTGCTAAAATGTCGTTTTAATGGGATTACGTCTCCTGGATATTAAAGCGTAAAGCTCCGTCCAATGTAGTATACTTGAGGCCTTTTTATGAATTGGTTGTCCGTTATATGAGCTTATAAGTAGCAGCACTACATAAGATGGATGTCCCTCTTCCAAGCTACTTAAGGACTTAGAAGAATGCTATGGAGAAAATCGCAAATATGATTTACTAGTTTTACTAAATTCCCATTTCATCCATCGGGAATTAATTTTCATATCGCCCATGTATATACTCCGTTTCTAGTCCAGCTCTTTTTGACCTTCATAACTCAACTTGTCTTATGCCGCACGTAAATCCACGTTTATTAAAATGTTGGCTCCATATTACAGAATTTGTGCACACCAGATATTTCCAAACCCGAGTTACGTATAACCACCTGTTTTGCCCAGGGGCTCAATTGTGTATCGCCTGTCTCGATTAAATTTGGAATACGTGTGTACCAACCAACTGTCCCATCCATAGCCGCACAATGGCACAAATGATTTTGCTCTCGTCGAGTTCTTCTAGCTTCCCGAATTCTATCTCGACAACTCAAGACAAACCAAATCCACGACTACTTGGGAGGTGCAGATACATGACAGGCTCGACAATTGGTCATCTACAAGAGGTTAATCCAAGTCAATGGCGAGCTCTTCATCGCAATAATCGCTAAAAAAATCGCCAGTCAACGACCCCTTTTCCAGTTAACAGTTTCATACTAGTACCGTAAACTCCGACCTTCGACAACGGCAGTCTCACGAGTCTTACACCATTAGGAGAAACTCCAGCACCAGGGTCATAACCCATCAACTAGTTAAATCTGAGAAGTCTTTCCAACAGCGCTTTTCAGCATATCCAATCACTCGTCGGTCATCTTTTTCTCATCTACTATTCTTAAGTTAACGAGAATTGTCAAACGCGCACGCCGAACGATCTCAACCAATCATCGCCTATGATCCCGTACATATATCTTCAAATTACCGTTCCATTAGCCATGATGGCACTGTTCGAAATTGGCAACATCGCCACCAATGTTCGCAAAACTTCGAGCGTCAATCCGCAAACGTTATCCAAATTTAAGACCAAGGAGCTCGAACGAAAATACAGCCTCATGCGAGACCCTTTGCTCCCCGTCCAGGATGACATTCAATTTCAAGACTTCATCAACGGCATGGCCACTCACGAGACATTACTAAACAATCTGGCCAGCATAGCACGAAGTACACCCGAAGGTCAAACATGCTGCGAAAGTTTCACGAGTAAAACCACGGGACGAAGGAGTGGCAAGGGGCAAACGGCACGACTACCAAGGAGAAGATAAAGGAGGCATCTCCCAATATTTTACTGAAATATCGAGAGTAGAACTACATATCGAAAGACGGGAAAACGACATAGGGTTATCAGGTATGAGATAATTGGAACATCCAGCAATATGGTGCGGAAATTCCACGACTGAGAATGAAGAGGCAAGGAAGACAAGCGAGAATTTATCGCCGTATACATTCCATTTGGTAATGAGATAACGAACAATGATATGGGATGTTTAGAGTGAAGTTCAACTTCTTATGATTATCCCAGTTCTCTACCGTCGCAGGATCAGTTGAGTACATCACTGTTACACCGCGATGAAATGCTCCGAACTGACTACCATTAAAGAAGCCAGGTTTTGCAATTTTCCATATCCATACACAAGCATTTTCGTTCGACCCTTTTACATCAACTCGATCCGGTTCGTCCCCGCCCTTTTCCAACTTCAAGTTTTACGTTTCCACGTACCACGCCTCCTATCCTGACTCGCCCTAACAGTTGCTTATACTTCCTCAAATCTAGGAAACTCCCAAACTGAACCAAGACACTGCATATTCTCAGCCATGGTGCAGTAATCCTACCAAACCGGCCAGACCAGGCCTTATTATTGCCAAGTACGATTTGATTTTCCAAAAGCGGGCAATAATCCACATAATCTAGTTGTCATAGCGCAGAATTACGTGTCCTAGACGGCCCTCAGACATGGCCCAGACCTCCTGGCAAGGCAGACGACGAGGTTCTGGTGACCACGACAAGTACCCACAGAAACGGGGGCGCAGGCGCTATACTGAGACCTCTGGCAGGGCGTCGCACAGACAAGTGTGAGCTTTTTCTTGTCTCTGTGGTATCTCGGTTGGCAATCTGGAGATGATGAGCTCGATTCGGGCTGTTTTCCTTTTCTACCTTTTCCCTCTCTTTCTTTAGGTAGCGTCCAAATGAATATGCAACTCCTCCACTGAAACCAGGTTGCATATCTATCAATCGATCAATCCCTACAAGTCGCTACTATTTTCTTCCAATATGGCCCCTTTCTGTTGCGTTGAGTTAAGGGTATTGAATATTGGCGCGTATCAGTACCAAGGCTAGTTGTCCGTTCCCGCAGTAGAACGCACTTCTGACTCAAGAACTTACCGGCTTACTTATTTTTATTCTAGTCTATATATGGGAAAGTTCTGTAGATACCACAGTGCCTATCATGCATAGTTGATGGGCACTAGGTGAGTTGAATTGAATACGACTACCTCAATCAGAGTGACTGAGAATTGAGCGTAGCTGCGTGGGGGTCACTGTGATTACGATGCCAGGAGCATGCACATTATTACTCTGTCCCGACGACTAATAGAAGAGCAACAACTCAATCCTCTCTACTTGGCTTCTTTGGTCTGCGGAAAACTCGTGTCATCTCAAATGACGAATTGAGTTATTCGGTCATAAGGCATCCGGTGGCTACGGAGAAACATTGCAAAGACGATCCATGGCATTAAGACTGGAGCTCGATCCAAGTTTCATATTCTCCTCAAACATTTCCGGTGACCCAAGACTCTCAGACATGTTCAGATTCAGCGTCGGCTTGGTGGAGTCCAAATTCCTACCTGCCTGGCATGTAAAAGATTTTGAAACTCATGTAGTAGACTAGCTTGCTAGAAGTGTGGCTTGTGAACAACGCAACATGAAAAGACTCACCAAATCTACCGAGTTTGGTCTCCATCTGCGGGGATGTGTTAACAAGGGTGAGTTTGACTCCTGCTTCACAGGCAGCATGAAGCTCGCTTGCAAGTTCTTTCCAGATTGAGGCGCTGATATAGCCATAGTGACTTGGCTTGATGTGCGAATTACTATACACCAGATCTTCTTCGATTATAGACCGTGGGCTACGAACGAGTAGTAACCTCGTCGTACCGATAATTCCTTTACGAGCATGAAAAATCTCTATGGAAGATATAAGCATCATGTACCGTCCAGTATACCTAAAAATGGTATGGTAGGGAGGGATTGTCTCTTAAATGGCATTTTTCCACACTTTCCGATCCGATGAGGAAGAGCTGCACTAAGAAATCTGTTTGTACTCGGGGTATTTCAAGTTTCCAGGATGGAACAAAGCCACACTCGCCCGCGTACAATGCTCCGGATGAGACCAATTGCCCCAATGTCGCCCTCGCTCTCGGCGTGCTGCTAGTTCCCGTAATGTTCCTGGGGTAGGAAACCACTAGTATCGAGTGATCGATTCTCCAATTCAGCAACGCAACTTGAAATCGAGTTCAGTTATTCTTCGTCGTACAGCATGGGTAATCCGCATCAACCAATCCCAGTAAGGGATGTGTGGTGCCCTCATATCGGGTGGTAGCCAACTTCGTGGCCAGGTCTATCCGTCCGCTGAGTAGTGATGGCGTGAACGATGGTACTGTATTGCAACTTGTAGGATCAGACACCATGACCTGTTTGCGTGACATGAAAATAGGCATGGGCTGCTCAGAGTTCTTGCAGAAGTGGCTGTGATAGCCGAGGGGGTTGGTTTGGAACATACCACGGAGCTACAACATTTATGTAACATTAGCAGTGACAAAGCCTGCTCGAGACAGCGTGATTGTACGAAGTCGGAAACCTTTTCATCGATTCCTCTAGACGCTTCAAATTATGGACAGCACCGATGATGTTACATGGAGAAGCTCCATGCATCGGGGTTTTTTTTTTCTTTTTTTTCTTTTTCGCCAGCATGGGAACGAAAACAGATCGCACATGTACGAGACAGACAACATAGGATTATTCTTCCTAAACAGATACATTTAATGACGTCTAAGTAGATGTGGCAAATTCGGCGTCTTGTACTCTGCCCCTCAAGTACGCCATGCGTCGTTGATGGCCGAGTGGCAAGTGGGTTGTAATGGACGATTGGACGATCGAGAAAGACACAGCAACTGACGTTGCCCGCGAAAATTACGGCTTGGGTCTAGTGTCTGCAAAGTTTCCCAGCAAAGCACAGGGCAATGGGTCTATGGTGCAAGGGTAGTGTCATTGCACGAGCAACTTGAGTACTAGCGGTAAGGCATCCATCACGGACGGTAGGGATTGGCATTCATCACCGAACACACTGAAGTACAAATGTATCGAATCGACACCCGACAAACAGGAGACAAATTGAAGATTAAGATGCGATGGAAGGTGCTTGTCTTATTCCGCAAAGCACTAGTAGTCAAGCCCGTTCTGGAGCACATGTAGTGAATAGATCAGTCAATTCGACGGCTAAAATCAGGGTCGGGGAAGAGAATGTAGCACACCAAGTTTCTTTCTGCTCCATCCAGCATGTAGTTCCATTTTCAGTCGCCATTTTCCTGGAGAGTGAAAATCTTTTGAGTGTACCCTGCAAAACTAGAGCCCAAGAGGCCCAACGTCGCGTTGCGGGATGCAAGATTCGGGCTAACCTCCAATGATCAGATCACTCCATCCGAATATACGAATGGAAGGAAAGCTTGAGATGGCAAGCCGTTTCCTTCCAGACACGTAGGTCTATCACACCTCCCACGAATCCCTGTTCATCAGAGCCGGAAACGATGCCGATGCAAGACATCGCAACCAGAATCTTCAAGAAACACTTCGGATGCCAGCAGGCTGTAACTCAACCAACTTGGAGTCGATCATGAGCACTGGGCTGGCTCGTCTTGAATGTCTGAAGACCACGGATGTCGTATAATCTCACGGGAATCAGGTGATATGTGACTAACTACCGGAACGTAGTTGCGTGCGACCATCATGCAGTACCAATCAAAGGCCGGATAAGTTGGTCGTCTTTTCCGAGCATCATCTAGAGCGTATTCTTCCGCCGGCAATCTTCAGGTAACACCATGTCGCTCGTCACTCGGAGTAACCGTGTTTGGTGCACCCTCTGGGTGGAGCTGGAACAATCAAAATCGTCATAGAGATTACCGATTCTATGGAACCTTAACGGCCATCGCAGGCGTGTGACTGGTCCGTCCCTACTTTTCGAGAAAAAAACGTCGCACACCTCTCTGGGCATGCATGTTGTCAGCATTTGAGATGCTCACGTTAAGAGGCTGATCAACACATACATTCTATGAAAATATCTGTGCTTCTTTTTCTGGACAAGGGTATCATTACCGCCAGAGCAATAAAATCGAATAAGACACTAAGTATTGTGGGGGTCTATAAGACGCTAATAGTCTGCATACCTCGAGAGATGTACCAACGTTGAGTTCGCAGTTCGCAGTCCCACTTACCAATGTCGGTTCCGAACCACCCACTGGGCTCGTTGACGATGCCAGGACCCCTGGTTTCTACTAGACGATCGACCACTGACGTTGTATCAACAGTCTTTTCGTCAGCTCTTTCGAATACGAAGTACGCGTAGGGAAATGGTATCTCAATATACTCAAAGGGGATTTCCTTAGCTGCACGTAGCCTGGGTGCCTTGGGAAGCAGGTGTGTATGTGGAAAGCTGAGTTGTCCAGTGCTCAGCAGCCCCCTTTGTTTGTTCGAGGTGGTCTAACAAACAAAGGCTCACTTTCGCAGGTGTAGCTTTTGCGTCGTAAATCGGGTCGCGTACTGCTTTCCACCACTTTCATAATCGCAGATTTGAAATGCCGCACAGAAAGATGCCTCTGCTCGATTCGTTTGGTAACTTACTTGGTCGTTTAACCCAGGCCATACTCTGTGAATGCCTAATATCGGTGCTCGTACACAGAGAACAGAACCTATACAAATGTACCATTGGAAGAGATTGAATTCTACATGCCATGTACTGTCACGTACAGTATCGTAACGAATCTGGTCGTGCCATATTGCACATTGTCCTAAACGCCTCGTATCTGTGATATGTTTTCTGCAAGTTCCATACAGTAAATCAGTGCGCCAAAGACCCGATCCTATGCTAACGTCGTAAATATGGGGTATCATGCTATGCCTGAAAGCAGTGGGATACCGTAACCGTCTAGATGCAAATGCCTAGTAGCACCGGAAAAATGCAGCAAACTCGCTGACGTGAAAGCCTCGATGATGCTCGCCACTAAAACCCCTAACCGTTCGTTTATCTTCGATCTCGTATATATTCTTGGTGTGTGGCAGATGTCTCAAGCCTTGAATTACCAGGTCTTTTCGGCCTGGAAGCCGACCGAATATTTCGGTTCGGCACTGTTCCAACAGATAGGAATCATGGCTAACAGGTTGATGAATTGTCGACCGTTCTTCTTGAAATTAACAACCTCAACAGCCAGTTCTTCATTTCGTTCGACAGCTCGGCGCATCTTCTTGATGGTGTCCTTGTCGACGTGTTTCCGTGCCGACGATTTTCGTACTGTTCCGCCTGGTGCTTGCATGAACCGGCAGTTCCGACCAATCACCTCCCTCTGGCTGTATCCCGTCAATTCGACAAACGGGTCGTTGGCATACACCACGGGGCAGTCTGGCTGTTGAAGATCGCACAAAATGAGAGCGCAAGAGGCATCAATGGCGCCGAGCTCGATAATGGGATTTGCCCTAGACATGACTCGAACCTACTGGCGGTTAGAGTGTGTGAATGTGTAGTCTGGACCGCAATAGAATACGTACGAGAATATTCATCATGTCGTAGCCACTGGGGGCATAGAGTCCCGGGTAGATAATCGCATCGTGAACCGAATCCTTCGGACCAACTGGGATGGGTTGTATAGTACCAGATTCCGCTGAGGCTTGGTTTTCTGTATCGAAATGGTACTAGTTTGTTGTAAGCATACGGCGTAAGGGAAAAGAGCAGACGGATTTGAGTGTATTCAGTGCATGACATGAAACAGCCGCATAGGGGCTAATGTAGGGAATGGTGATATAGAGTGCGTCGTCGAAGAATATATAAGTCTGCTTACATCAAGGGCGCTATCTTCCCAGTAATTTAGACCTGGCATGGTTGGAATTCGTTCTTTGCAGTGCAGCATCACACTGACGATGTGCACGTTACGACTGGTGTGGGAGAGCCTCTCAAGATGGAAAGTTGAGGGAGTAATGCGCAGTGTGGTGATGATGATGAAACGGCGAAATTCGGTGTTGTTGATGAAGCTATTTATTAATTCTCAAGAGCTGTGGATGCAGTGCTTAAAATGCCGTTGGATGAATGTGTTTATGTACCTAATCCGGAAGAAGACGCGGAAGACGAACGAAGACGATACTCAAGATGATACAAATGTAGGGATGCAAAGGGAAGTTGCGGCTTAGGAGACACAACGGTAATCAACACTTGACTGACCCATGTTTTCGTCCTTCGTGTGGGATCGTGATCGCTAAGACGGAATAACAAAAGCGTACGGGAAAGCAGTGGCTGGTAGTAGTAGGCATTTGGGTTCGGCTGCTAGCTTACAGGACCCCATCATTGTGGCACTGGGCGGGACTTCTGGACCCAATTCTCATACTCTCAGAGATGGGAATCTGTATGTGATTGATCTCCAAACCGTTGGATGATCGCAGGATGCTTTCGTCATGGCCATGATCGGGCGACTAAAACCGCGGTGGGTGTCTCAAAGCCAGCCGCAGACGCCAGGCTATGCTCGCATTGACCATATCCAACCACATTCTCCCAGCACCACCCGCTTTAAGAAAGCCGGGATACCGGGTGGAACCATGAACTATCCCGTCTGTGGGTCAGTTGAAATCACCGTCTTTTTGGACATCGAAATTTCGAAGCTCCATCTCTGCGTTAAGCCTGAATTGCGTACGTCTCCTCGACGACTTGATCGCCCAACAACAGTAGGGTAGTAGGTTTGAGCAGAGCTTTGGCCAATCATCCGTCAGGCCGTGTGCTGCTTTGCGATGTCGCAAACTGCCAACGGGCAGTGGAAGAAACCATCAAGCGACGCTGACCGAGGTCTCTGTCATTACCGCAAAGAAGGTTAACCGACAATAGCAAATGCCATCACCACGTAGTTTCAGGGTTTCACCGAAAGACGCACAAGTTACGGTTCGATTCGGTTTCATCTGCAGCAGGAATGAATCGAGCCGCAAAGCAGCGAACGGGTAGCAGGCGGCCGGTGGGCGTTAGCGAGATTCCGTTCGTGGTGAGACCACAAGGCCGGAAAAAATGGGGAGAAAAATGACCTTGTTCTAAGGCAGGGAAAGATAAGTGGGTAAGATATCTGCAGAGCGTTTTCCTCTCCAGATCGCGGTGGGATCGTCGACTAGGGTTTCTGTCCTTAGCAAGGCATCAGGGCCAATCAACCAGGGCTTGTACCTAGTGGGCCAATAATGGTCGGATACAAAGGTCAATCACCGCTACGGTGCCTTGCCATCCCTGTCCAGCAAACCGCAAGTCTACTTCCTCCAAGCATGCCATTCTTGACTTACGATTCCTCACATATGCATTTGCTTCAATTTAGCATGTTGTGCTACATCTTGGACCAATAAAAACCAGGCCTCGGATCTCCGAAGTCTCTGTTACGAGACAAGCCGCCTGTCTGGGACGACGCGAACCCCTTGACGGCTTCATTCTCGCTTTCACCCGACGTCCATATGAGCCTCTGCCCTCAAAGTCCATGACGGCATCTCAAGCCACATAGACGCAGCGGTGCGTACGATAAGGCTGTGGCAATGGTCCGACTTTAGCGTTTGAGAGCAAGGCATCGCCGATTCTAAACCACCGGAACCCAAGCTGCCAAGAATATCCAACTTGGATGGTTGTCAGTTGGCGTGTAGCTCCTTTTGAAGGCTGCAGACTTCTAGGTTCTGACAACGGTTGATTGGGCCCGTGGATTAGTGCTACACCGCGCTCGATTCTAAAGTTCAAGTTCAAGATGCTGTGCCTTGTTGCCGCCTCATGTCGGCTTGATATGTAGTCATATCGCAACGCCTGCCCGAGTAGATCTTGTGCCTACCAACGGTGGTACACAATGGAAGTACATACATACTCTCACAAGTGGCTGGAGGGCGCGCGTTATCGTGGCTGAACGCTCACGGAAACTTGCACCTGCCTGATGCAGATCGATATATATGCTCACCTCGTCAATTATAGTTTGACGGCATGCCGACGTAGGCATGACAGTGTTCCGAAAGGTTCTTGCTTTTTGACATGAGTGGATTGCGATAGAATCCACTATATGGACGACACTATCGTTAGTGTATGAAAACCTCGGCAGCGCCTTGTACCGCTGTGTCATGGCATAATCCAAGGAATTTCACCAAAGTACCGCCGTGGCAATGACCAACCTTAACCTGTTCACTTATATTCAAATGGATCAGTGGAGATAATACAACCGATAGTTTCAGTAGCCAAAAATATCAGGCTTGTGCGGAAGCTGGTTTTGTCAGGGTCAAGTCCGTATCGATCACTTTAATCAGTCTCAAGTTCTACCACGCTATGTTTTGGGCTGCCACGCTGCACCAACTGGAAGCGGCTTTGATATGCGGTCTCGACTCGGCCTCCTGATGATAGGATGGCCTTCCTCATGTGCCAGATCAAAACGGAGCATAGGTGTAAACGGTTTTTAGTGACGTGACGAAACACTCCAGCGTAGGTTTGCCCGGACATCCTCCCGATCAGTTGTATCAGTCTCAGCTGAATGGTACAGGACTGGCTTGTGGATGTGATTTGAATATGCCGGCCTTCTGGCTGGCTGGCCATCTATATCACTACCATGCGTTTTGCAACTTGATCTTCTCTGTATGGCTGATGGCCGCAATACTACTAATGTCCAAGCTGCCCGACTGGGCGATCCCTTCCCAGCTCCATGGCGTCGCAATAACACCGCAGAATACCAACTCCACGCAAATGCGAAGCCTGCGACCGAAAATTCCCCTCATTTCCCCAAAGTCTCCCTCAACTGGATAACATCTCCCTGCGTCTCCACAGCTGCCCCCGACATTGACTTCTGGCGTACAACCACCATGGCCACCTCGGCTCCGACCAAGAACCCATAGAAGATCATCAGTACCACTAAATCCGTGAACTGATGCTCCACCGGATAAAGGGTCTCCTCTCGGGCCAATATCCCCGTGAATTTCGTCAGCGCCACGAATTTAAGGGCCGTAACTACCGCGCCAGCAGTCCAAAACATAATGCTCGCAGCCCACCAGCCCCTGAGTCTCCTCCAGCCGCCGTCCGTCGCCTGCAGCAAGACAGCGAGCAGGCAGCCCACGTAGACGAACGGCAGCGTCCCTATCCCTAGATCCGCTATGATGAGGCGCGCGATCTCGACAGATTCCATGAGCACGATGACGCTAATGAGGAAGTAGTAGACGCTCGCCAGGACGCGGCGGACCCAAGGGCGGGGAGAAGACGACGTGGATGCAGGTCGAGGGATGCGGGACCAGCCCGGGCTAAGAAATAGCAGAATACTGCAGAGGTAGATCCAGGTGGGTAAGGGCGCTAGGACTACATCGAAGAAGCATTGTGTGGGGAGGGGGGAGGTGATCTTGGACGTCGGGCCCTGGGGAATGCGATTAGCAGGTGACCGATGAGTTCATGCCTCTAAATGAAATACCCACGAAGCCTTCTGGGCGGTTGGAGCAGAGACCTGCCACCATGTCGCGATTTATGAAGTCGTCGCCGCTGCGTTGTATTACCAAATTGCTTCTACGTCGAGAACCCGGGCTTCGTTGTATTGCCAAGGAGAAAACTATCAATACACTTGCTAGACCAACTGGTGATGTTATTCTGAAATTTTCGCCACCAAACAAGATCAGTCCTGCGACACATTGGACATTTCAATCCCCACGATGTAGCCACATTTGGACCCTTAAACTGTGTTGCCACGACCCGAGACACTTTCTCTGCCTTGTGTTTCAGTCCTGCGACCCCCCGTTCCCGCTTACTATACATATTGACCGGGTTGTGTAAAGCGAACGAATGGGCGGGTGGCCCGAAACCGCCCCAAGAATAGCTCCGGAAGCAATGGCAAATCCCGAAAATCATATTAGCCTCCATTCGCTTCTGGGTTATTCCCTATGATGAGTTCTTCGGATGATTGGCAAAATCACGGTCCAAAAATTCTCGAGCCCACTTCTCAACGCGTCGCATCCACCTGAACTCCTCACCTGTTTGTACCCGATTTCAATTTATAGTAAGTTAATAAAGAGGCACAAGCTCTTACGCGCGTTTTCATCGCAAGTGACCAAAAGGTGTACGTACCCTCGAACTACTCGCGCTACTATAGCCGCCTAGCGGGCTAGCGGCGTTAATATTAGGAGTATAGCTAAGCAATTTAGAAACTTACCTGCAATGGTTAAGATTATCACCAAGCGCCTGCTACAAACCGGATTATTTGCCTTGTAACATCGTACCAGTCGCTCTAAGGCTCTGACCGTGCGGAAGGTCGAGATATTCCTAGAATCATAAGGAAAACTCCTAGAATCAGCTAGGTAGCCCCTATTAAACGCCGTACGAGACGAAGTTAGCTATTTCCTATACTATAACACCATGAAGGCCGCCTTAATTTATAGAACATAAACTACTAGAACCCCCTACGCCGAATTTAGTTAACCCTAAGTGTCACGGGGATAACACAAGTCTTAAGGATGATAGTTAGGCAATGCAACTGTCACAGCGCTGGCGATTACAGAACCACAGAGTGCTGTATATAGCAGTTAGTGGAACCAAGTGTCAGTGATCCACTGGCATTCTAGATATTTTGGTCTATTGGCCTAGGGGCTTGGTCCTCCCTTGTGATAGCAACGACCTACTAATAACGTAACGAGGATACTGAGGGATTCAATCCTCTATTGATGACTCTGCGTAGATCCTGTCTTCATTGTTGTATATCTCTTCTGTTCTGCGTGTTGTGTGTAGCTATTTTATCTACGAGGAAGGGTTTTGACCCACTAGTGCAATTGCCGCTACACCGCCTTCTATCAGATAGGGCACCTGGTTCCTAGGTTCAGAAATAATATGGCACTAGAGAAGACTATTGTCACTTGAAGTTCAGAAGGCGAAAGGAACCCCTCTTCTCAAAAGTAACACCAAAGTTACCGACATGTTCTAAAGCATCTATAAAAGGCAGAGCAACGGGAGTTCGCGAGAACAGAAGTGTCAGAGCCACAAGTGTCATCCGAGGCGGGCCGGCTTCCACCAGGAAGGAAGTCGTTTGTGGCGAATGAGGAGCCGGGAGGCCGTTTGTGGCGGCTAGAGAGCCGCTTGTGGCGAATGAGAGCTGTTGAAGCCGTTTGCAGCGGATAGGGAATCGCTTGGTTGCAGATAAAGAGCCGCTATCCAAGATGTTGGCCGAAGTCGGAGGAACACAGACATGCGGAAGCAAACATCCAGAATCCAACAGAGAACCTCGGCTGGCTATAAGTAAGGAGTCGAGACGGAGGAAGATAGAGAGGGGAGAGATCAATAAACTACTGTGGATACCCCTACCTGCCATCACCAAGTGACCACCAGTGAACACCAGGTGACCACCAGGGGGACACGCCTATTTCTCCCCTTCACTCTGTACTATCGCCTTCGGTCCAGGCCGTACCCTGACAAGAAGACAGACAGACAAGAACACACCTCATTTATATACAATCTTACGCACTGCTGACTACTCGATTGGACACACGTGATATTCGACAGTTCCTAGGTTCAGAAATGATATGGCACTGGAGAAGACTATTGTCACTTAAAGTTCAGAAGGCGAAAGGAACCCCTTTTCTCAAAAGTAACACCAAAGTTACTGTCCACTTAGGGGTCAGATACCTGAACAATGTACCTCCGTGATACGAAAAGGTAGGGGAACCCACTAGTTAGGTGAATCCCATTCAATTAGATACTATAACTGTAACGAGGCAGAGGCACATAGGTACGAATCAAGGTTGCATATCAGTGCATCTCTATTGTTGAATACTAAACTAGGGAAGAAAGAGAAGGAAAGGGTTACAAGTATGTCTGGCCGTTCTCCTATTATAAGGGGAACGCGCTCGTCCAGATCAGGGCAGGCCATGTCAGGATGTCCCTGCTTATCGTCCATGTGTCAGTCGTCACAATAACGTTGCGCACTACTGCATTATAGCATCCTCCCCCCTAGGTGCACGCATCACTCCAATATGTTCTAAAGAATCTATAAAAGACAGAGCAACGGGAGTTCGAGAGGACAGGGAACAATACACCTCGTTCATATACAATCTTACGCACTTCTGACTACTCGATTGGACACACGTGATATTCGACACCTTCGGCTTAGGGTATAACCGTGGCGCTCAATCCCACAGATACTACACATCTCAAGGATAATAGTCAGGTAGTGTAAAGAACAACTGTTAATGTGCTAATAATTTAGGAGTGTATATTATAAGACTGATTCTTAAAGAATATAAGTTAGGTAGGAGCGTCGAGATCTCCTCTTTAGCTGGGACGGATCCGGAGTTCTACTAGATCGGGGACGAAACACGACTCTTCCTACAGATAATGTTACACGCAATGGTGGTCGAATATTTGTGAGGTTGTAAAAGCATGACATTCTATCTAATGCTATCGAGCATGAAAGTTGGACTTAGTCCCCAAAGGGCTAAGTAACGTAGTAACCTTGGTGGTCTTGGCAAAGCCCACAAAGGTTGCCTAACAGATAATGTGCTAACAATACGGGTAACGTACCCCACGGTCCAATTGAACACTTTCGCGCATTTCCGTACAACCTAGGTTTTATCCCTTATTTTCCACCTTCTACAATGGCACATAATTGGGAAGAAAGCGATATTCAATTAGCGCTATGACAGCTCAGAAGCAGACCCCTGGCGGCTGGCGCCCCATTGCCCTGCTGTCAGAGAACAGAATGCCATAGGCACCAGTGGGTGTCAGGACACTGAACGCAGGACACCGGCGGGCCGCCGGAGGGGTGTTTCGGACAAAAGACTCCCGAATCATGATTACAATCTATGTGAAGCTTTGGGATGACGAGAGTCAAGATCCTTGGCATCGCCGACCCTGCTGTTATGCCGGGTCCAAGCGGCGGCCTAGCTATCTATATAAGGACCATCTCGAAGTAGGATAGGGAAGGAGTTGTCAGAGCCACAAGTGTCATCCGAGGCGGGCCGGCTTCCACCAGGTAGGAAGCCGTTTGTGGCGGCTAGAGAGCCGCTTGTGGCGAATGAGAGCCGTTGAAGCCGTTTGCAGCGGATAGGGAATCGCTTGGTTGCAGATAAGGAGCCGCTGTCCAAGATATTGGCCGAAGTCGGAGGAACACAGACATACGGAAGCAAACATCCAGAATCCAAGAGAGAACCTCGGCTGGCTATAAGTAAGGAGTCGAGACGGAGGAAGATAGAGAGGGCAGAGATCAATGCATCACCGTGGGCACCCCTACCTGAGACCGCCAGTGACCACCCGGCATTACGTAGAAGGGACGCCCGTTACTCCCCATCACTCTGTACTATTGCCTTCGGCCTAGCCGTACCCTGACACCTGCTTAGCACGGTAGGGAAGGTAATAGAGACGGCGATGAGCCAGCGTATCACCAAAGTAGCTGAGGCGGCCGGCCTACTACCAAACGGCCAAATGGGTAACCGCGCTGGGAGGTCCACCGAACTGGCAATACGTATAGTTGAGGACGTGGTCTATACGGCGTGGAGACGCGGGGGCATCGCCTCGCTGCTACAGCTAGACATCAAGGGGGCATTCGATACGGTCAATTACAGACGGCTGATTTCCATATTAGCCCGGAAAGGCTAACCGGAGTTGGTTCAGGAATGGGTACGCAGCTTCGTGGAGGATAGGACGGTACGCCTCCGGTTCGATGGCAAGGAGTCAGAGCCAATCCCCCTACGAGCTGGCGTCCCCCAGGGGTCACCGCTATCCCCGATACTGTTTATATTATACATTTCAACGCTGTACGAGGAGCTAGCGGAGCAGCACCCACTACTTTTAGTAGTCGGGTTCGCGGACGACACGAACCTGCTAAGCGTCGGCACCGATCCAGACACGACCTGCCGCCGGTTGGAGAGCGCATGGGCTACGTGTCAGCGGTGGGCAGTGAGGCACGGGATGGAGTTCGCTCCTGACAAGAGTGAGCTAATGCACTTTACTAGGGCCCGAGAGCCCTTGCCGCAAAGTATTCGCCTTGGGGACGCCACAGTGTCGCCGGTAGTCTCAGCGAGGTTCCTAGGAGTCTGGTTCGACCACAAACTGACGTGGCACGCCCATGTTGAGCGTGTTAAAACAAAAATGGCAACTCAAAAGCTAGCCCTGACAAAGCTAGTCAATATGTCGTGGGGCTGCGATCTTATACGAGCGAGGCTGTTATATACGGTGGTTATCCGTAGCGCGATCGCCTTCGGGGCGACTGCGTGGCATACTATAAGTGAGGAACCGGCAGGGCCAGCTAAGAGCCTGATGGGGATACAGAACGAGTGCCTCCGGGTAGTCTGTGGCGCCCACAAAGCGACGCCGGTTCGCCACCTGGAAGCAGAAGCAGCAACCCCGTCACTAGACCTCTATCTTAGTGCCCGGGCTGCTAAGTTTGAAGAACGGCTACGGCTTAGCGGGAAGAGAAATCTGCTTCGCAACGCGAGCGCTAAAGCGTCACATATACTCCGGCAGGATAGGCCGGCGAAGAGGAAGCAAGCGTCCCAGCTACTCCGACCGGCAGGGTACACTATGGAGAAGGAGGCCCGGGGCTCCGAGTGGATGAGTGAGGAAAAGGACGTCCCGGCTGCCCTCCTCGGCCACTGGAGGAAGAGATGGCTCACCAGAGCAGAGCATCACGATCGCCAGCGACGCGCTATCGCTGAGGAACCGGAGGGCCCTTCGATGCAGATACCGAAAGGGGGCAAGTATTTCGGCCTGAACTGACTGGAAGCGTCTACGCTGTGCCAGATCAGGACGGAAAAATAGGACTAGCAGCCTTCTTATTCAAGACAGGGGCTTTTGGCGTGTACTCGCCGCTATGCCGCTGTGGCGACGCCCCTGAGACGGCAGAGCACGTAATCCTCTTTTGCGGGCTGTTGGAAGGACCGAGGGAACGATTACGGGCCGCTATCGCACCACG